ACGGCGAAGTCGAATCACGGGGCACAGATATGTATTATCAACACGGATGACACAATCCAAAATTGCATCGAAGTCTTCCTCCATTGGAGCTTCGTAGGAACCTCCAAAATCATCCTCGGCAGGCCGTAGGTAAAAGTGGACATGAAGACCTTGGTTCGTCATGCTGGACGGCATACTTGCGTAGGTGGGTAGTGGTGGTAGAGGTTGGATATCACCTGCATACGCAAACTGAGCTGGAGACTTTGCGAGAAGACTCGAAAGAGCATCCTCATCCTCGATGTCATCCGCTGAGTTCCACGCGAATAAGGACTGGTCATCTGTCTGCTGGAGAATCGCCTCCTGCAACCGCCTAAAAGCTCGACTTCCTTCACCGTATAGAAGGGGCATATTGACCTGGAAGAGACCCATCAGGCAATACGCCACATCCTCTCGCCGGGTTGTCTGGCGACGAGACGCCCAGGCCATCCGTGCAGACACGCTGAGCTGCAGTGGATCAATCCTCCCGTCCAAGACTTCACAGCCAACACCTGTCACCTCACTGATAACCCTGGTAAATGACTCTGGTTTGTCTTTTCGGCCAAGGAAGGTCCAGTCGCTGGCGTAAAAGAGCACGACGCTTGGAGCAACGAGCTCCTGCAGCGTCCAACCTCTGGTGAACCACCGACTGCCATAAAGGCTGGACTGAGGGTCCGTCCAGTCCTCGACAGCCTCAGGACCGACGTCGGAAAGAAAGGCATAGCACTCTTCAGACTGCTGGTACCAAAGGTACATTGAGTTAATGGCCTCGGACAGCTCTGCACTGCTCGATTTGTCAATACAGCAGGTGTCTACCCATAAGTACTCGAGGCCGCGACTGAGGGCCATGGCCGCAGCGGCTTTCACCTTGAGATATCCGTCTTTCTGGGTGATGCGGTTCACAGCAGAGCGGTTGTCTGAGTCGTTGGTGATGACGCGCTCCATCTCCTGCAGAGTGATCTCCTGGTCACCCCAAGTGTGGGAGAGGATTGCATAGCTGGGCACGGCATCGTCGGGAATCTCGACCAGATCCAGGGAGCTTGTGTGGAGCAGACGCATTGCTGCTAGACTGGATACCGATTGAGGAGAGACGAGGGTTGGTGGGCGTGCGCAAATGGAACCATGGCCATCTCCCGGTTTCCCCCAGTGCGTCGCGCGCTGTCAGTATCCAATTGTCCAGTCAATTAATCAGTGCAGGTCGCACAAGGTTGGTGTTGAATTCTCTGCGCTCGGGGTTGATCGAGGTGGAAGAATCTCGAGATGTGCGAAAACGAAATGCGACGGCAGGTGAGACAGTCCTACAGTCGATGCAGGTCCTGCCTTGCGCTGAGTGGCTGCTGGTTCGCGCTAATAACGGCGCGGACTGCGGCTGAGCCTCTCGCATTTGTGGCGCTGTGGCGGTGGACCTCGAGGTATCTTCACAGCGATTGTGTCTCGTCTCCATCGAAACACGGAAATCGCATGCGATCGGTCTCTTTCAAATAGAGAAGCAGTTGCAGTTGCATGTATCCAAATCTGATTGATGACCAGACCCATTTTCCCAACTCTATGCTTGACGGAGGATTAGGAAGCGTTGTACCCCGCTCTACGCCTTCACAAGCCGGCCTACCCTACACATCTCCATTTGGTTCTCTCATCATCAAGAAGCAAAATATTCCCGAGGTAATAGTTAGACGTTTTTGGGAGAATAGTAGATAGATAGACTTCATAAGAAAGGATAAGGGTAAGCCTGAAAGTAGGACTCCGATAGCTAATATAGCATCTGGGTGCTGTGTTCCGAAGACACTATAGCTTGCCAGCGACCGAATAGTATTACTTGGGCTTTTCAAAGAGAACATTCCAAGTGTGACCTAATAGGAATCATCAACCGCAATGAGAATTTTGTGGTTGTTTGTCAGTTTCGCATCAAGAACAAGTCTCTTACTAATGCCACAATTATCATGGATCGACCTCCCATAATTCATCTACAAACAATCCTTGGGACTTGGCATTTTTGGAGTTGATGTTTTCAGAACTCGATTCGGCATGGGACAACTCCATTGGTCAAATACTTTGCTATGGGTGACTATTTTCTCCTTGTAAAGTAATGAAATGAGATAAGATGCTTTGGCTTCGAGTCTACTTTGCGGCTGGAGGAATGGGCGCTCTCAGTCATGGTGTCGTCTGCGGTAGATGCATTTTCGTAATCTGACCAAGCCTCCACATGTTCCCACTCACGCAATTTATGTCTTTCATCACCTTTCCGAGAACTGGATGGTAGATTTTCGCTCAAATCTCCTAAAACGATGCTTTAGAGAGTTGTGTACTGAAGACCGGGAGCCCAGCATCGGCTGAATTTAATGGCGTCCGACATTGCGAAGATCAGTCCCTACCACCTAGCATACAAGTTAACCATTTACACAAATATGGGCATAATGAAGCGGAGACATTTGGGTTAAAGCAAATGCGTATTCAATTTCGGTGATCTGGATGCTGACGAAGCATCTTTTGAAGTACATGCGCTGCGTAGACCTTGAAAGCATTACTCTACAGCGAGGGACCTTTGCAGTTCGTATGTGGCCTGAAGATATCAGTGCAGCGGATATCACAGCAAATTGGCGCCAGTTATTGAGACTCTCCTTTCGCTTACAGATTTCTGCGGTAGCTAAATCCCTTATGAATATAATGCGGTGAAGACAAAAGACAACTCATCACCAGCTCACCCCGCTCCGTATTACCCACGGTCATGACGAAATCTAAGCGCATATTACAAATGGGCCCAAGCTGGCGCGGCTGATGAGTTTCGGTGATACGTCATAATTCTGTAGGCACGATGCAGGTCTTACCAGGGTATGTGGTAGCCATCGAACCAGCGCTCAACGCGGCAGCACAAATGCTGGACCAGCTGACTGAGGCCATCTGAGAGCGCCTAGAGGGAGCTAAATGGAAAAACCCGCGATGAGGCTAGAGAAGATAAAAAATTGTGGTATCGAGAGCTACTACGTTGGCGAAGCTGCCAAACCCAGCTGAGGGGATTACAGTCAGACGCTGATTAGCAATGACCTAGTGATCACCGACCAGATCTTAACCAGAAGCGGTAGACACCCAAACACAGAGGGGCTCATCCTGATAAGGAAGATGGAGCCACAGATCAGGCCGTATCACCAATGGCCCAACGTGATGTGACCAGCTGCTGATAAGACACGGAGCTATATCGAATCCCTGCTGGCAGCCTTGATATGGCATCTGGCACGCGTGGATAATCACGACTGATGCCTGGAAAGGCAACCCGTGGCTGAGTGATAGCCAGCCAACACATTTGTGCCCTCTGCAGACAATTGGTCCATTTCCCCTCATCCCCCCACCCTCAGCGCTCGAACTATGGTGTCGTATGACTTGCAATTGTATGCAGGATACTCTGCTTTGGGAACATGATGAGCTGGCAGTACGGAAGTCGGTATTGAATAGTATTTAAATCCCTCGGTCAGGTCTACCTCTTCGGTGCAACAGCTCTCTAATTAATTACTTCTCGACCCAACCTCATCTCGCTCTCAAAGTAGAAAACCACTTCCTTCTAAACTATTTCTTCAACATGGGCACCTCCATCTGCGGCTGTGACGACTGGTGTAGCTACGGGTGCCGCTGCACTTGCCATGGAAACTCCACCTTTTAAATGGCCGAGTATTTGAATACCTTACCTTGCATTGGTTGCATATTCTTGTTAGTGACCAGCTCCGGATTGAACGGACTTTGCGGACACCGCTAATAATAAATACTAGGTTACGATTTTCCTGATGTACGATGGGTCAATTTGATTGACGTTTGTTTAATGATGGGTTGATTGCATTTCAACCCCAGAATGAGTTTTACTGAGGGTTTACAGCATGGGCTTCGGCGTTATGGCATTGCAACTCAGTATAGAGTAATTGTTTCGGAAGCTTGCGATAATACGAATACATTTTTACTATGAAAGCATGCCCCCGATTTAATTGGAATGCTTCGTATATAAATTGTAGCCTTTTGATATGCGTACTACGGTACATGTGTCTGCCTCGGTCGGGTGAGCGTCATCTTTCCCTCCATTCCCTGCCATGCATCTAGGAGAGCTCCGTCTTGGGCTGCCTCGCCAGCATTGATGTATCCCCTCCAGACTTTTCTGTAGAGGTGGCCAAGAATTCGCGTCTTAGCCATCCTGTGACTAGAAAAGAAACAAGAAAAAGCCTTCGACGGGGGGAATTGGACATCAAAGAAGGAGAGAAAGGGCCGGTTTACCGTCCTCGGCAGAGCTGCACGCGTGCTGTTTTACTCCCCTGGTTGAATAGAGGTATATATTCCTGTCTCGAGGTGTGAACGCGGTGAAGCTTGGACTTTCTTTGCCATGGGCAGCCTTGAATGATGGACCGTGAGGCTCGGTAGGCGATCCTGACATTTTGTAGAACTGGACGGGTCCTTAAGTGTAGACACGCGAGCAAGAACCAAATCAGGGCATGTGGTCTGGTGGCAAGAGAGCCAATACTGAGAATGGCCCTCATCGTGAGACCAAGATTAGATGAGACGTAAGCCGAGCCTGCGAGATGTAACTAGTTCATGTAAGCCTATCTCGGAAGGTGGGGGGTATAGCCGAGACATGATCTGGGGCTGACTGGCGATCACGTCGTAAGCCGCCGGAATGGCGGTAACTCGAACAGCGGCAGAAGTTGAAATGATGATGTGATCTTTTGATAAAACGGGTATTGCTGAGACTTGTAACCCATGGTGGATGAAACTTTGACAGGGAATTCATAAATATAATTTTCTGGAGTCTTGCGTATTGCCCGTCGTTCGAGAATATCAACCGTGCTGGGACCCAAGTTGAAGAAATAGCGGAATTGGTAGAAAGGGACGTATCAACTCATAAACTGAACCTAAAGCCATGGAAAACTCATCTCAGTTAAAACAGGCCTTTCCCTCACCGATGTGAAAAGAAGATTCATCGTCGCATCCGCAACGGTGACCGAGGTAAGTACTTACATGCTCAAGTAATTTATCCCCCTCAATCTCTGTCGAGCCAGAAAAAACCTCTTCATAAATTGCCGCTCGCCATCTCCCCCGCCACCGAGATAAATCGGCCCAAGGCTCGGAAAGAAGCCTAGGAAATTTCGGGCCAGTTTATCTATATGCTCGCTATTCACCCGGTCCTGGGTTCCGTTGTACTGCAGCAACTGCTGATCTCCGTGCAGCTTCAAGCGCATGGACTTCATTCTCGTCGAGATTACATCGTCTTCCGCTCTGCCTTCCACCTCCTCCCAGCTAATGAAGAAAGAGGAAAGCACAAGCTTTCTCAGTTCTAGACAATGCTTGGACAACGAACGAACCGAACGGAGTGTTAAAGGTGTCTCAGTCCCCATGTTCAGGGAGAGAATCCGGATGTTTCGAAGATGCATCGCAATTTGGTCTACCAACTTGTCATTCAAACCCGTAGCCTCGGGATGATTGTCGCTGTGTTCAGCGAGTGTGACTACCTCAAGCGCTGGGCAATATCGTGAGATTGATAGCAGGGCCTGTCCACTAAATCTGCTCCCATGGGGAAAGGATAGGTGAAGATCAGTAATTGATTTGAGATTTGCTACCTCTGAGATGCTCATACATGGAGGTCGGAAATCTATATGGGCATGCACAAGACTTGGTATACATGGAGCTAAAAGACGTAAAGCATCATTCGAAATGTTTGTAGAGAGGTATTTCAGATGATGAAAACCTCGGATCGGAGAAAGGTCTTCGATCCATTCATCTAGAATTACCGGTATATCCAATGATTCTAGGTGTGTATATTTCGAAACGGCGCAAAAGGCCTCTCGTGACCAGACTTGATCGAACTCGGGCGATAGTGTGAGATGCCGTATGGCACGCAGAGACCGCAGCAATCGCACCACACCCGCCTCGGTGACAGTGCTGTCCGTAGACTGGCCCAGAGAGAGGTTAACCAGTCTCGGTGACTGTTGGCCAAGCTGGTCTAGGAAGGCATCGGAGAGCTGGCTGGCTGGCCAGAGGCTGAATACTCTCAAGGTCGGTTGCGCATACCGGATAACGGCATCGCAATGGTTGAAACGACGGATTATGACTTCCCGCAATAGTGGGAACTGGAGACAAGCCAGATCTCCATGCCACTCAGCCTCGAGATTTGAAGCATCTGATCCCTCGGGTGCGTCAAAGTCGAGAACCTGGATGAAGTTGGCATATATCTGCGCTCGTTGCTCATCCCGCTTGCTCAGCTGGACAAGATGGCCGATATTCACCAGAACACCATAGGTATTACATTCTTGCCACATGAGCTTGCATGACTCCCGAAAGAAGAGACGATTGACGAAGAGACAGGTGTACAAAAACCTGTCGTTGTCCCTGCCGGCCGCGATAATGAGGGCGACGAGCTCGGGCAGCAGAAAAGATCGCCTTGTGGCAGTAGCCGACATGATTTAATGAAAGGAGTAGTTCTTGAGGAGGGCGAAGATGGTGACTGCTGCTTCTTTGATGCCAGGTGGCAGAGCGACGAGAGTCGTGTCACGGCGTAGGTTTGACTGCGCCCACGACATTTGGGCGGGGTTTATCTTCTGACACCACATCACTCATCAGTCACTGCAACAGTAAGCATGGCCTTTGTGGGCCACGCTGGCTACGTCACATTCATCACATTTCCAGACATGTGCGTTTCTAAATCTGCTGTTTGTCCTATTGACGTGGTTCTGCAATCATTTATTGGTACTGACACCCTATCGGATGAGGCTTTTAATGAGCGGGGAGAGACTTATCGTGTAATATTGTTCAGGACATGTCTCGGCGGAACATTTGCAATAGGGGCTAACCCGTGATAACATGTTAATGTTAGGATAAAAAGACAACATGTTTATTCTTCCATTTCTGCCATCGCGGGATGGAAAAATTTACCTAATTCTCTTTTTCAAATTCAATCTCATATGCCTGAGCGCGAGCGCGACGAAATCCCCCAGTCAATGTAATCCAGTAAACTTCCATCTACATCATCTACCAGCCACTCGTCATGGAATTGTTGATCAAAGTCCAAAATGGTGTCGTTCAAACAGACCTCTAGGTCCATAATATCTTGGTGTTGATTACCGTTGGTCGTTGCGCCAGGAAACGGAGCTGTTCCATTATCACTCGGGCGGCCGGAGTCTGCAATATTGCTCATTGCCGGCGATGAAGTGATGGCAGTATTTTGAGAACCGTGCTGTCTGACCAGATCAATGGAACCGAGAGACGGAATATAAATTTGAACGCGCTCGTCATCTCTTCTCGAGTAGCATTCAAAATTGTGGGTGTGATTGCCCGTGTAGACCGTCTTATAACTGGTGCCGCGCGCAACCTCTTCCTCAACAGACAAGATATCGCGGAACACACTTATCATCTTGACAACGCTCGGATGAGTGCGCGTCAGGGATAATTGTTTGATCGATTCAAGGGAAACCTCCATCATGCCGCGATCCGCAGGCCTATGATGAAGAATATGATCCATCAGACCACCGATCTCTCCATCTTTCCCGACCTTTATGTATGATATGCACAGCGCGGTACTTGCGGCTATAGCAAGCATACTCGCACCGAGACAGTAGTATCTTGTTGTTCTGTGCATATTCAGCGCCACAAACCGAGCCAGCAACTCCCGACTGGCGTTCATGGCTGACATACAACTGTAACGAAACTCGTGCTTAGCAGTTTGAACTAACATGTAAGGCCAATGAAGCTGAATGAGTAGATGATAGTGCATTAGTTGATCTCTGATCCGGCCAGACTCTTCAATGCCGCTGAAGGTCTTGGATTCATAGCATGACTTGGTAGGGTCAAGCCACCACCGAGGCGGCATCCAACCCGCTGCGTTCTGGAGCATTTTATCCATCTCCATTGTCTCCGCCCGGCCTTCGGGACCTAGGTGATGACGGTCCAAAATACGACCAGCTACCATGCAATGTACCTGCCTAAGCCGGGTTTGCGGATCGGCAGTGATTGGCTTGGATGAGTCTAGACTAAGCGGATAACGGCTCTGACCACTTCCCTGGGGTAGACCGAGAATCATGCAATAATAGCTATCGATATTGATCATCTCAAACCACAAGTGATGGGATATGTGGTGATAATCATACTCCTTTGCATGACCTGTTATGGGATCCGTCTGCTTATGAAGGCCTTTTAATTGTGCCATGAGCATCGCTTGACGATGGGTATGCCAAGCTTTTTGCAGATTACCCTCGAAACAGTGATACATACTCTCAAGGATAAGACACATAATGCCTTCAAGACTTGTTTCAGTCTCGTTGTCTGCTTCATGTCCCAATATCTTGTGCGCTGAGGTCACAGCGCGCGATATGACATCTTGATGATCAAAGATGAGGTTAGATGGAGCGTAATTTTGTCCAATATCACTGCCTTGAAGACATACGGCGAGAAGGAGAAGCGATCGAGCGTATGCTGCAGGGTTTGATTTTGGCCGCGGTGACTGGAGCACCTGCTCAATGGAAGATGGCTTCTGCTGTTGACAATCCATCTTCGAGCCGCCAAAGGTGCCTATCAAGGGATACAGGCTGCATAGTTTGTGGATTGAGTCTCCGAATATTATGTCGAGTTCCCTTTGATTAGGCCACACCGAGAAGAAGGTGGAGCGAGCAATGTCATTGTCTGCATCAGTGCCAGGAGATACCGGCCCGTGGGCATGATCAGCCGGGATTTGGAATTCCATAGCCGGGGATTTGGTTGCAGTATTGTACTGGGATGGATCTATTGAAGAAACAGGCGACCCCCTTCTTTCCCGGTCGTTTCCGGGAGGGCCGGATGATTGAGATGGTGGGCAACTTCGCTCCATGTTGGTGCTGTCTGCCAATTGTTTCAACAGCGACTCAACTCGTCCCAGTCTATCTGTGCTTTGACTCGACCCCTCGGGCTCTGGATGCTCTTGACTGATGCAAGGAGTGCCACGCCGCTGGCAGCCGTCGCATATTGAGTTCTGGCCGGACGCGAACGTGCATCGCGCTTTTCTTCTTTTACACTCCCAACAGCTTTTGGTGCCCTTGCGAAGCTTTCGAGGGGTGACTCTCGCCCGGGATCTGGGTCTTGTCACAGGAGTTGACATATTTGATGATATCTTGTTAGGCACTGGCACTGATGATGTAGGATCTAGCTGGGGAAGGTTGATGAAATTGATCAACTACCCCTGTGTTTTGTTGCAAGGGTTTGAGATCAGCGCGGCCACTACATTTTGCGAAACGCACAAGACGCCGCAAGGACCATCGGATGAGTAACAAGCTATCGGGTATAAAATTTCATGGTGTTTTTCATGATGAGAGAACTGCCATTTTGAGATTTCATTTATTGATCGCGTTCAGGTGCCAAAGTTGATGACTTTATATTCATGACTGAATATTCGAATACCACAGGCGTCTATGCAAAGACAGTACCAAAACTTCCATACATTAGGCTTAAGTTTGACTTGTGATATAATTGGATTTTTATTCTTTAGTTAACTATGCGAACAGAAGACCTGGAGGACGACTCGAATGCTTTGAGTAGAAAGGAGAGTAGATACTATAGAAGACCAGGATCTTTGTATAATGAATGAACCAAGTCGTTGAATGAGAGGTATGAACTTCATTTCTTGCATGATTAGCACAATCACCAATAGAAAAATACGCAGGGGGAAGAGTGAGATGAAGGTGAAATGCGGGTGGATTTGGGAACAGTGAAGGGGCATCAAGTTGTCATGTGAACGCAACCTGAGAGAATTTTTATTTCTCTGCCTTGCATGCTGTCACTTCTTTCACCAGCTTGATTGAAAGCAACCATAAGCCTAGCACATGGTCGGTCCTTGATTTTCTGGTCAACAACGAAGGATGGAAAATATCGCAACAATCCTTGGATCATATTAATCCAGATCCCGCCATGCAACCCTCTAGGATGTGACTTGCTTCAACGATACCTAGACGTGACCCACGTGCAGCAACCACGAGGATTGTTGGAGTCGCTCGAGTCTGATCAGCAACCTGGTCAATGACCCACTGCCACCAAAGAGTAGCAGCAATGGTAGGCAACTCTGCATATCATCAGCGTCCTTCCAAATTCAGTCTGGTCAATGTGATGGTATGAGATCTGTGGGTGGCCACACATGATAATGATCATCTGTTCGTCCCTGACTAAATCAAACCATGTCTTCTAGCCCAGGTCCGCAGCCTGGCTCAGGACCACCAATATGACGACGCACACAACGTAACCTACACGGGCGTCCAATCACCGGTGTCGCATTTATCACACATTCTCCTTCTGGAACTTATAGAGAGCACGGCATGGGGCGTGCTTCGTGTGCAAGACATGGCTAGCCATGGCCTAATGGAAGCTTAATAGCTCGGACACGACGAGATATGCCGCTTACTTGGAAGTGGCAGGAAAGGCAGTCAAAAGCCCTTCTTTTTTCTCCTCTCCTGGCCATAAAAGGTCGTGCCTGGTCGATGCTCCAGACAGCCTTTGTTTGAAAAACATAAGCCACTACGACCATGGTTTTTATCTCAGCGTACATCATCTTGGGTACCCTTCTTGGGACTCAGGCTCTTCTAAACTCGAATTTTAATTATCAATCCCCATCCAGAAGAGAGGAGCATGTCATTCTCGGTATCGATATTCCTCTGGTAGAGAGAAGGGCCTGGAAGCGCAACTCAGAGGAGTATGCTCCAGACGAGCTCAATTTTACCCACGGCATAGCGTCTGGAGACCCGTGGCCCGAGAGCGTTATTCTCTGGACACGGATCGCACCAACCGGAGAGTCTGATACGAGCAACATCACTGTCGAAGGTGATGTCCCTCTCTATAACCACGATACGCAGCCCTATATTGATGCCGATCCTCACCCCATCTGCCTTGAGTGGTCCGTGTATAAATCCAATAACGGCACGGCCGCGAAGGAAGCGGTGACCAGAGGTACAGCCTTCACAACATCCGACATTGATTTTACTGTCAAGGTTTGTGCTATCACTGAGAATCATATCTTGAATAGGGGGACTGATAGAGTCACAGGTCGAAGCAACGGGCCTTGAACCTTTCACAGATTACTTTTATCAATTTATCGTTTGCAATTCCGAGAACAAGAGCCCTCTCGGGAAAACCAAAACGGCTCCCCGAGAGGATGATCATCTAGATGAGATATCCTTGGCTGTGTTTTCTTGCAGCAATTACCGTGAGGATCTTCGTTAGCCGTTCTTCTCGGGCTTCAACTAAAATGGAATAAACATGCAGCTAGAGGATATTTCAACGCTTATGGAAACGCGGCCCGCCGTCAAAACCATGATTTTGTCGTTCATCTAGGTGACTACATCTACGAGAATGCTGATCCTACCGGGGAACGCGCCCACAAGCCCCCTCATGTCCTTTTTTTCGCTTCATGACTATCGTACTCGCCACAATCAATACAGAACAGACCCTGATCTACAATTGCTATCTAAAGATTGGGCCTGGATACCTACATGGGACGATCACGGTATTGTTGTCGCTCAATATCCCCTTACTGTTTCATCAAGCTGACCTTAGCTTATTAGAAATTGCCAATAATGGTTACAGAGACGGATACAGTGACTTGGACAACACTGAGGAGTCCTTCTTGATCGATGGACCAAGGATTAGCGTGGACCAGAGAAAGATGAATGCAGTCCGTGCTTATTTTGAATGGATGCCCATTCGGTTAGTTTTCAGCCTTTTCTCCTGTCTATCAAACAGTCTTCTCATCCGCAAAATGTAGGCAAGTTGATCTTGATGACAATCTTCGAATTTGGAGAAATTTCAAAATGGGAGATTTGTTTGACCTCATCATTCTCGACACGCGATACTACGACCGCAGTATCGCTGATGGTAGTGAGTCAAGTCTTCTTCTAGTATAAAATCATGAAAGGGTCTTTAACACACCAATGCAGAGGAGAGCAAAGATTACATAGATCTGATCCGATTTGATGCTGGTCGTTCGATCATGGGCAGCAGACAGGAGAATTGGTTCTTCCGCCAACTGTCAGAGTCTCAAGACCGAGGGGCTGTTTGGCGTGTTGTCGGGAACCAAGTCATGTTCAGCCATCGGATCGAAGATGCGTCAGGCCAGATGGCAGGAGATGACTGGAACGTAAGTGCACCGAGCTTCTCGCCCTGAAAAGCATCTCTAATCTCGCAGATAGGCCTACACGGGGAGCCGGAACAGAACACTCAAGCATATCTATGACAAAGAAATAAATAACAACATTTTCTTGGCTGGCGATAGTCACCAGAACTGGGTGGCTGATCTGACCTGGACCGGAAAGAAACCATATGATCCCGACTCTGGCAACGGTTCTGTGGGTGTAGAACTGGCTGGCACCGCAGTCTCATCCGGTGGTCGTTTGGGGCCCTTGACATCTTCGGACTCAGGTTCACGAACGGAACTGGAGCGTAATTCCGTATTCCAGTGGCAAGATGGCTATTACAGGGGATATTTCATTCTTCATCTCAACCATGAAAAGATGACGGCGCAATTCTTTGGCTCCCCCAGTGTGGCAACTCGTAACGGTTGGGATTTGCCATTGGCCAATTTGACAATGCTTCCTGGGGTGAATCACCTTGAGCGGCCAGTGGCAGGCGGAAGAGTTGAGACGGGCGCGTTGAGAGGGGGAGAGGTCAAACATACGAACCTGACATTCAACACAGAGGCCAACGAGTGGAAGGTGATTGGATTTGAGAAGATGTATTTGTAACATCTCACAAAGGGAATGTGCGCGTGAAATAAATTTTGGAGAATGATTAGTTTGGCCTCGCTTGAAATCGCTCATTGATCATTACGCTCAATATAAGCTGAACATGAAGAAGGGCATGGATCATTTCATGCCTATTTTTAACCTAAGAAACAGCCCCATCAGCCATGACTTCGTACACCATATTATTCTTGAGGAGGCGGTGGACTGCAATGGATTGTAGTTAATAAGTACCAACATGAAATTGCGTCATGAGAAAAAAAAACAAATATGTTTAGCCATGCGCATCCAAATCTGAGACCCAGGGGATTGCCTACAAATAGGCGGTGAGGTTTGCCGGTAATGCCGTAGTTTCGGCGCCTGGCGGTGTCGCCGAGACAGGACCTTTATCAATCCCATCTTCCCCATCAATTTGATGTTTTGACCTTAACGCCTCGCTTCTATCCAAAATGTTTCTTATCGATCTACCCAATGAAATATTACGCGCGATATGCGAGGACCAGAGGCTTTCCCAAAAAGACCTCTACTCCATCACACGAACTTGCAGCAAGCTATTCCACATTTCTGTTCCGTACCTCTATCGCATCAATTACTTGAGCCAAGATGGCTCGGCAGTCGCATGGGCCATAAAAGAAAAAAGAATGGAGATGATCCAGCGAGCGCTCGATTCGGGACTGGACGTGGTGCGGCCTCATCACCTCCGTCTTGCCATAGAACATGGTCCAGGCGGCCTTTTTACCAAGCTATGGGAGCACAAAGCGCAACACGGAGATATCCCAGACCCGAACACGTATAAACGCGATGAGAGCCTTATTTGTATTGCCACTTGCTACGGGAGGCACGACGCTGTCAAGACCTTGTTAGAGACTGGCAAAATTTCCACCAATGATCGTAATGACGCGTTATGCCATGCAGTGTATAATGGAACTCCTTTTGTACTTCCCCGAGTGCATGGCGCCAGTGCCGTGACACAAAATTATCGCCCCATTGGTTCTTTGCGCACTGCGGCTGAGTTCTGCTTTGAGCGCTCTGTAATCCGCCCTGCTGGGAAAAACCTTGACGATTACCTGGAGACAGCAAGGCTCCTCCTTCATCACGGGTTGGAAATCGAGCACAGGGACGAAGGGGGTCGGACTGCTCTGCATGGTGCCGTCATGATTGGAGACTGTCAAATGGTCGAGCTGCTTGCCTCATACGGAGCCGACCCAACTGCCAGAGTACCATATTCAGGGTGGACGACCCTCCATACAGCGAGCTTATATGGTTGTCAGCTCGAGATGTTTGAGCTTCTTCTGCGTCTGGGCGCCGATGCTTCTGCGGTAGATGACGAACGTCGAAGTCCGCTCTTCTGGATGGCGAGCCTCAAGGAACCAGCACCAGTAGTCAAGGCTCTCCTGGAGAGCGGCGCTAGCATAAACGCCGACGAAGACAGACATACTCCTCTTCACGAAGCAGCTGCCCGTGGTTCGGTCAAACTGGTCGAGGCCCTCGTCGAGCATGGGGCTGATGTGAACGCTACCGATCGTCAGCGCGCAACTCCATTTTATTATGCCGTCCGGCATGCTGCTCCTAGCGAAGTTATCAAGTTCTTAGTTGATCACGGCGCGAGGACAACCATGACAGGAAAACTAGGTCAGGGTGCAATGTTGTCTGCGGCTCAGAAAGGCACTGCAGACACCATGCGTGCAGTGCTTGAAAATGTTGCAAATCTCAAAGAGGTTATGGGATGGGTGGATCTCAGGGAATACAAGGAATTCCCGCAGTCGTTGCTACATGTGGCTGTTATCCGCGAGTCCCAGGAAATGATTGATGTAATAATACAATTCGGGGGTCATGAAGGGTACTTGGCAAAAGATAGAGGAGGTCGTCTGCACCAGGGCGCAATAACAGGAGACTTTGCCCTGATGCAGTCGGTCCTAGATGAAGGTGCATCACTTGACGCAGACAGGAATCGCTTTGGCCGCACAGCTCTCGTTGTTGCCATCCACGTAGGGGCCACTTCTTCTATTGACTGGCTACTCAAGAAAGGGGCCAAAGCGAACGCACGCGACAAAACGGACAACAAGTCTACGCCACTTCACCACGCGACCGATCGAAATGCGATAGCAGCGGTGGAGTTGCTTCTCAAACACGGAGCCAGAGTAGGACTAAAGAACGGCGGTGGAGAGACGGCACTCCACATCGCCTCGTGGTCTGGTGCACCCGAGATAGCCAAGATGCTCCTTGAGTCTGGCGCCAGCATCTGGGACCAGGATGATGAAGGTGCGACACCCGTAGAGTATGCCGCAATATACCATCGTAAAACTGTGCTCCCGTTGCTCAGTGAGAAGGTTGGAAAGTCTCGCATTTCGAGACGCAGATTTCGGGAAGTGACTTCCCGCTACGGTATCTAGATAGAAGAGAAGCGATATCCTGCTTCCTGAGGGAACCACCGTATCAGGCACAGAATTTGGAACTCTGAGCAAAATTATCGAATAGATCACAGCAACCAATATGCTCGCATTCCAGCCATTAGGCATACCAGGTTTTTCTTTCACATATGCTCCTCTCTTCATACACATAACATTTATACTCATAATACCAAGTAAGAGAAATGCTGGTCGCTTCTTGATGTAGTGAAACTGGATGATTGCTAAACTGCGATAGCTTGGTATTCAAGAGTATCTCAACCCTCTCCAAGGTGATGATTGAACCAAACTAGGGCTTGATTAAACACCTGCTCCTTGGCGAACCTCTGTGCCCTATCTTCTGGGTCAGCTCTGACAGCAAAGCCGTGCCCCACAGCGCCAAAAAGATTAATCTGATATTCTTGACCTGTTGTCTTCAAGATCCCCTCCGTCTCGTGACGCTTGTGGTTTGGGAAGTACTCATCCACCCCTGCTGCCGCAATGGACAATGGGCCTGAGATTCTCGCGAATTCACTGTTTTCTACAAACGAGGGATGTGCCAAAAAGGCGCATTGGATCCCATGGCTGTAATTTCGCACGACGTACTAGGCGACAATCCCGAATTAGTCAGTGCAACTGGCAAGAGAACTGTGAAGCAAAGCCGGGGAAATACCTTGGCGCCAAAGCAGTAACCAGCAGCTCCGATCTTGCTGAACCCCAGGCCCTTCATGTAATTGATACCGGCAATGATGATTGGATCAATTTGTTCCGCAGTATGAGGATTGTTTCCGTCGGAGCCGTGGGCTATCCACCCATTCAGATCGAAGTTCTCAGGCATCTTCAACGGCACTGGGTCACCATTGAAGATATCCAAAATCAAGCAGGGGTACCCTTTGGAAGCGAAAGCATCAGCCATCAATTTGCTGGTTTGCCAAATGCCGAACACGTTTGGAACGTAGATAAGGCCGCAGTTTCGATGGGAGATGCTTCCGCTTTCGGGACTGGCCAAGTATGCAGCAATTTTGTTTTCAATTTTTATGTCCTTTCCGGATGGAGTTCCCCTTGTCGGTCAGTTCCAAGCTTGTCAATCCGAGGGCTGGAAAACATACCAATGAAGTGTTTTCAAGCCACGACTTCGCTTGGCTCCATCTGAAGACTGAGGAGCGATGCTATGATGGCGTTCAGGTTGCAAGGCTCCGGCAATTCTAAATCGACTGTGTTGACCCAATGACCGTCCTGCTGATAGAAGGGTTTTCGAGGACCAGCCGTGCATCATCTCATGTTTCGGTGCTGATGTCTCTTGGGAATGAAGGTGTCGAAATACAAAGCCGTACAGAGTGATGAAAGAAAGCTAATAAGCCCGAGAGGCTGAGTCATAGGCCCGGATAGCGGATTAGCGCTGGGAATAACGATGAAACCGAGGCGTGGATATGGTGCGCTTGCAGCGCAATTCAGGGACAAGGGTTGGAACCTGGCTCCTCGAGCGCAACTGAACCAAGGGGCTCGGGTAGTAATGGTAGAGTGGATGATAGTAAAACATCTTCGAGGGGATATGATTTCAACCTCTTGGAAGACTATGTCCCTGGGGCTAATCCTGACAAATTCCCGAAGGATGTCAAAATTTCCGCCGACGAGTATATGGGTGTGGTGTTCTTCGGTTGGCACGGGCAGTGAACAAGGTATCCGCGAGTACTGATGGATGTAGAAAGCTAACGAGAAGCTGATGAACGTATTTCTCGAGGATTTTCCTAATCCTATGGAAACGATTAGCCCTTCCGATGTCGTTTTCTCGCTATTATCCAAAATCACACCAATTCAAGACCACGCACCTGGTTAAGGCAGACTAAGTTAGTATTCAAGGAGCCATGCCCTGTATTCGTGATTCATTGGGAACGCCTTCATCAACCACGTCGGTATAGGGTAGTGTCGGATTTCGAGGTTTGCATCGGTTGCGGAGAGTATTTCTAAGCGCTAGATATGACGAATCAATGATACGGGCGTAATAGCCAAATTGAAACCAGGCCGCTCTTTGAAGGAAATTTGATCTGGGTCGGTGTTTGTGCAATGTCAGTGCAAATGCATAAGGTGGGAAGAAGGAAGACCAGGAAACAGACCAATCACGCGTCTGCGCAAATGCGTGGTGGGGCCTCTGACGGAGGGATTCAGAATCCGTCAAATCCCGCCGGTCCTCCTGCTTTCAACACGCCTGCGCTCAAATACCATATCGTTGATCCGTTCCATCACCTCCCGCATATTCACTGATTCAGGTGCTTACTTGATTGAGTAGCAGTGTCCAGACCGCGATGGATGCCAATCCCGCCGCGCGCAAATCAGCCCCCTACGGTCACGCCTGTGCGGGCTGCTCCAAAGCCAAGTGCAGGTGTATTGGCCGGGGGCCTGCGGGCACGAGCTGCGAGAGATGTCATCGCCTGAATAAGGAATGCCAGCCCTCAACTGTGGTTCGGAAGCGCCCGGTTCGGCGTGTTGTTCCCGCTACTTCCAGGAAGACCTCCGGCCTGGAGGCTAAATTGGACGATCTAGTCACCCTGCTCAAATCCCAAGCGGTCGTTGCCGCGGCCTCCAGTTCGACAGAGACTGCATCCGGTGCTACACAGCGCCTTACCAACGGTATCGTTCCTCCCACTGAACAGCTGAATAGCCAGACCCAGACCGGAGCCCTGTGCCAACCCCCTGTTGCTCAGGATTCAAGCTCATCGCCTTCCTTTTTGTCCGGAACATCATCTTCCTATGCCGCTACACCACCAGGCTTCCTTCCACCCGTGGTGGAAGGCTCTGCAGAGTTGACCATCGTGGAAGCTGAAGGGATCTTGAAGACTTTCAAGGAATGCCATTTGAAGACATTTCCATTCCTAGACCTTCCAGATCATCTCAAGTATGTTTGCGACGCGCCCTTGAAATTGCAGAACCCACCCACGCACCGGCAGAACACATGGTAACTGATTCTTGGCACAGTATTGGAAGCTTCCAACGCGAACAACCATGTTTGTGGCTTGCCATTCGTGTTATCCTCAGCCGCTCATCATCAGAGAAACACATCCTCGACACACAGTTCCGGAATTTAATCGGTCAGCGGATGCTTGTCGAAGCAGACCGCAACATGGATTTGTTACAAGGTCTCATTACATGGCTGTCATGGTAAGTATATTCCTCAGACAAAAGCCACACAGGAGAGAGACTAATTAATACTGTATGCAGGATGATGGATCACAATAGAGAGAAGAAAACTCTATGTTTATTTTCCAATATTGCGTGCTCGTTGGTATTTGACCTCCGGTTAGATAGAACGGCTGGGCAAGAGTACCCCTGCAAAGAGACGAGTGCTGCATTCGCATACAGCTTTCCAGTTAAATCTCGGGCGCCAGCGCCCAGACGCACAAATCAAGAACGAAGAACGGTACTGGCTTGCTTTTGCATCTGCACAAGGTAGGTGGTGTTACTCAATCTGCTTTCTACCGATCCCGGAATTGCTTACACTGTACAGCATTGCGGATTTTCTCAGATCACAGTCGATGCGATGGACGCCCCATATGGAAGATTGCTTGCAACACCTGATTAACAACCCAGAACTCCCAGGTGACCGAACTCTGGCGGCCATCACCCAAATCCTCCAAGTCACGGACGACATGTTGGTTGCGTACAACAGTCGCTTTTTCGAGGTCGAGGCCGGTTTAACTCCAAAAGCACCATTAATGATCTATGTTAAATCATTGTCCTCTCGGCTGGATGCCGTCACCAAGTCCATCCCCCCGGAGATTCTCAGTGATAGTGAGTCAACATTACCGCTTTGTCAGGCAGTCGGTTTTTCACCTGGTCTACACTACTAACAGAACTGAACTCCAAGAGTTTGTGCAATCGTATGTTACCTGTGCTGTGGCCAGCATCAACGAGCTGGGATTGCCGTACCTCTACGACCCGACTGATACCACCGGTTCTTACGATCATCGCAACTCGGAATGTGTTTTCGCATGCATCGAATCATCGAAGCAGTGCCTTGAGAACGGCGTGTTTGCGCTGTCCTCAGATGACTGTCTTGGTCTCACTTTGATGATAGTTATTCACCTGGCTCGCTGCACGCACATTCTGTACAGGCTCTGTATCACCCAGCACCCAAGCGTGGATCGTCAGATGGTACGGAACTCAGTAGATCTATTCGGTCTGATGGAGAAGATTGCCGAGAAGTTCAGCAAGGCAGCTCACGCCAAGGGGGCGTACAGCTTTGAGGCCAACGTTTTTATGAGGGCCTCCGTCGTCATGAGACAGGCAATCCCGCTTTGGTCGAGAACGTTTGCTGAGACGGATGCAGCCGTGGCGGCCGCTGCTCAAAGCACAAGCGAGCCCCCAGAGCGATTAACGCCGATGCCTTCGACAGCAATGACGCCTGCCACGACTGGAGGTGGAACTGAGGAGTTCACGCCCATGGATTTGTCTGAAGATGCGTGGTTGGATCTTCTCACCAACTGGGACGGGTCGTACTAAGACCGGCGTTTCAGATAACGAAGATGTTCATGTATAATTAATTTTAAGCACGATATGTGCCAAATAAGTAGATGAGGATTGAGATGTAGTAATTTTCAGGACGGGATTCGGCCGCAATTATATGCTGACTGCCTGGATGGCATGGCGGGCCGGCTTTGAAAACCGGCGGGATTGGACGGGATTTGGCTCAGTGGGATTGGCCTTCAGGGGGAGGGAAAAGAAAAACATAAGACGATGTTTGTTGGTAGCAGGTTACATACGTAAGATCTGTCCGACCTATATTATGTTCACAGCTTTTGAATGTCCTAAAGGAAGAAAACAGATGTAACCGTCACACTACATGCACGAGTCATCAAACCTCCTTCTCTCTACCTCGCCTGACCACGCTCTAGCCTAATTGCCTGGTGAACGAGAAGGCCTCTGGCCACCAGCTCAAGAAAAATGGCCGCGACCAAAGAAACGGCCGTCGCTACTGTTGACGCAGCAGACATCGTCAAAGATAGCAGCGCCACGCTATCATCCAAATCAGAAGGCGACCCGGATAGTACGGACGCGCCAGTTGTCGCCATTGGCGATGCGACGCCATATCTCACAGGCTTCAAGCTATTTATCCTCATGTCAGGATTGACAACTCTGATGTTGCTCGTCATGCTCGATATTGCTATCCTCAGCACCGTACGTTTCTCACCTGGCCATCCAACGAGCATACATTGCTAGGTATTTACTGAGAGATAAAGAAAGCTAATGATGTGCTTAACCATAGGCAATCCCCCAAATCACCAGCGACTTCAATCGTCTTCAGGATGTTGGTTGGTATGTGGGAGCGTACTCGCTTGCGAGCGCCACCGTTCAGCCTCTCACGGGAAAATTCTACACATATTTCAGTACCAAGGTGAGTAGACTAACACGTCGTTCAGTAACCATTGGCACCTACATTCAGGGCAGATGCTAATCGTAACGGCTCACCAGTGGACGCTTCTGACATTCTTTTTCATCTTCGAGGTTGGGTCCGCCGTCTGCGGTGCCGCCCAGTCCTCTGTAATGCTCATTATTGGCCGATGTATTGCAGGCGTCGGGTGTGCTGGGCTTTCGAATGGGACTTTGACAGTTATAGTTGGCGCGGTATCCAACGATAAAAGGCCACGTGAGTGAATCAGAGATCTAATATAATCCAGACACGTGCTTATTCTTATGACGAAATATAGTTTACACTGGTATTGCTATGGGCAGTAAGTTGTTTTCCAAATGCTCAAGGCAATGCTCGGATAGCAAGTCGGACTGACATATGTCGTGTAGTTGGCCAAATTGGCATCATCATCGGTCCCATCATCAGTGGTGCTTTCACAGAACATGTAACTTGGCGCTGGTGTAAGATTCAAATGACCTTTCCACTTGAGATGCATAACATACTAACTACTGATCAGGCTTCTACATCAACCTTCCTCTCGGGGCGCTTGTTGGCCTTTTTCTGATATCGATTCACATCCCCGACCATATTATAAAGCGACCTTTGACTACCGAGGTACTGAAAGAAATCTTTCACAACTTGGACCTCACCGGCTTTGCTCTCTTTGCACCTGCCTCCATTATGCTTCTGCTCGCCCTCCAGTTTGGATCTGGAGACTATGGATGGAAGTCACCCGCCGTAATCGGCTGTTTCTGCGGTGCTGGGGCTATAGGTATTTTGTTCCTTCTGTGGGAGAAGAGAATGGGAAAGAAGGCCATGATCCCGCTTGAGCTGGTGAGGAGACAGGTTGTATGGAGTAGTTCAATCTACTATGCCTGCTCAATGAGTGTGACGATTGGAGGGGGCAGTTTCATGCCTATTTACTTCCAGTCCGTCCGTGGACTCGCCCCTACAATGAGTGCTGTCTATATTCTCCCTTCCATTTTTGGGCAGATTTTCTTCATTCTTCTCTCTGGCGGCTTAAGTTAGTTTCGTACCTCCGGATTCGTGTCCACAGACGCTAACTTGTATATACAGTGACCAGACTGGGATACTATATCCCTTGGGCAGCTTTTGCAGCTGGGGTTTCCAGTATCGGCAGCGGCATCATCGGGACTTGGAAACCATACACTACCCTCGCTCAAATCTTTGGCATTCAGATTCTTTACTCTGCTAGGGGCGCGGGTATGCAGGCTGTAAGTGGAAATTGCGCGGATACTTAAATGAAACCCCGAGTATTACTGACGCGCGGAAATTCTAGGGAGCCGTCGCACTTCAGAACACACTACCAGCAGACGAGATTGCCGTCGGCACCTCTTTTCTCATCTTTTGCCAAAACATTATCAGCTCCATCTTCGTCACCATCGCCAACACTGTTTTCCAGGAGAGCCTCCGCTCCAGAATTACGAACAATGCCCCGGGCGTGTCCCCCGAGCAGGCAATCCTCGCAGGTGGCAGCGCGGATGCAGTGAGGAGGCTCGCACCGGCTGGGAGTGAGCTCCTTGAGAAAGTTCTAATGGCGTACTCGGAAGGCTTCGGCGATGTCTTTTACTTCTACACAGCAGTTGGTGTTGTGTCGTTCTTCGCAAGTTTCGGAATGGGATGGGTGGATTTGAGGAAGAATACTGTGAAGAAAGACGAGACAGATGGAACCGATGTTGAGAAGCAGAAAGTGTGAGAAGCTGGTCAGGAGAACTGGAATAACTCGGACGAGGGGGAAGAAAATGTACGCACGATGGGGACAATTGTTGTGGTTGTAAGTAATCTAATGGGCTTTTCTTTGTTATAATTAGAATTTAAAGGCATTTCCTGTCAATGGATGGCTGAGTAAAGGCCGGGAAGACATATGTGTTCTCTTTTGAAGACCGTGAAAGAATTACAATCGCCGATTCTGCTTGTCTCTTGCTTTGATAGCTCCAGCCGTACGAGATCAAATGCCCATTAGCATCACTTATGCCTCTCGTTCGGTACATCAAATACAAGAGCCTATATACCGGCCCATATATGTGAATGCCTGCCGTATGAAAATATTGGATCTGGTTTCTCCATGTCGTATCTGTTCAATTCTTGGAAGGTTTCATTCGAAATATCGTTATCTTACCCCTGTAGTTGCGACTGCCAAGACTTTTCGACTGGGATCCGCGATTGCAATTTTCCCCCAATCTCGAACATGTATCAATTTCATGACGCGCGTCTCATGGCTCGGGCAAGATAGAATCTACAACCTTCGTTGTCCTCATCGCCCGCTATGCGAAGAGGCGGGCGCCCCAGGCGAGGCTTCTTTGGCCCGGCGGCGTTCTCAATCGCATTCATCGCGCAGGTTGGCGCAACCCTCAACAATGGGCTTAAGAACCTGCCGTCAAATTACACTCGCACGATCGGAACGCCGGGTTATAATGTCTCCGAGACCTTTCCTGGCAGTGAATTAGATTGGGAGCTCTCATTAAACTTCTGGTCTGACGTTCCTGGTCAAGTACGAGGGAGGGATGATCTTTACTTGGCCGCAATTCAGCTTGTGTGGGACCCGCCAAGCAGTATCTCACGGGAAAGTGATGGAAGTGTGAAGGTTGATTCGCGTTTCTACTACTGCCTCAGTCCATTGAAATACAGAGATCCCAAAGTCAAGGCAGGTGAAGCCCTGGACGCAAGGTGCGAGGGGGCAATTTCGGACTCGTGTCTCGATGATCTGCAGGAAATGATCGAGGACGAGTCGTGGTGCGCCACCTCGAGCTGGCCGAGTTCATGCATGGAGCATTCGCTGGATAATGCTGAGCTGCACAGTAAGTTCCCCCGCTCAACTGTGGCCATAACGATGGTGTCTTTGTCTCGAGTGTGATTTTAAAGGTTAGCATAGTGTACGGCCGAGTGAATTTAACGAATACTCCAAACTCTCTTGTTACGTTCCCTTACAACCCCGACGGGCACGAAAAAGGAGACACAACAGAGTTCGAGGAGGCGATGGATGTGACCTGGATTGTTATGACGGGATTTGCGGAAGCTACAGCGGATGGAAGGCTGGCGACAAACTCGAACGTAAGACTCAAGAGTGGCATATCATGCATTCGTGGTTCTAGTCCAACAAAGGTCACATCAATCGGGAGCAGTGTGGTAGAAGCTCTCCCAACAGTGACATCACTTGTAGTAGGGTTTGTGTTTATGACTGTCTGGCTTTCATCCACTTGGCCGTGTTTATGATATGAACAGGAATATACGAATTTCATGACATGTTTTAATAATCCTTCGACTGGAAGATTTTACAACTATATCATCATGATCGCGCTTTGAGACAACGTAATGGTCTGTGGCTCTAAGGCCGAGTACATGGGCGATCACCTCGTTCCTGGTCATTGTTCAGACATTCACTCATCTTTAGTCTTTCTTCATCATCAACCCTCCAACGATGGCAACCCCAAAACACCTTTACTACGTTTTATGATACTGAGGTGGTGAAATTAGCCACTGTCTTTGTGGACTGCTTGTACTGAGCTGATTAACAACATGAATCATGGGTCAATCTAAGGTGCATCTACGCATAACTGATTCTGTAACTTAAATAAGAACATTTACTTTTTGTTAATGCAATTAATCGTTTTTGAATTGACTTACGAAGTTTATTTGTTCTCGTGGCTGTTGAGGAACTACTGTTGTTTATATTAGCTACGTAAAACAATCAACATGAAACGCCTAGATACTTTCTTAGCGGAGGAGTTTCGAAACCGACCCCGGCGAGGCATAGCTTTGTGTTCCGGTTTTCTAACAAGTAATTGTTGAACTAGCTCTGATGCTATAAAAAAATAGCATTGTTTACAATGCATACCAAGCAAATAATCATGCCAGCTCATTCGTCTGCCACAGAGCAAAATATTTGAAGGACTGCCTCTGTATTTGGTCTTTTATCACTCTGATAACGTTATAGTAGTTCAAAATAAAAAGAGATTTTATTCTTGATTTGAGTCGTAAACAACGACCAAGACTTAATAAATGCGCCCTGAAAACCACTGGTTCACGCCGGATAAGAGCAAAAAAGAGGCAGCGATAAAATCAATAGTCCCGGTTCGAGGTGCAAACACGCCGAGCTGAATCAGAAGGGAGCCAAGACTAGGAAATTAATTGTACAGACCGGACATATTTGTTATCCAAATAAATTATTTCGTTTTTTGTATCTCTTTTTCCAGGCTTACACCTCATAATACATCCGCCTCCTGAATCAGTTCATCATTGGAATCATTGCGGGTCTTCAATTAGATTGGAGCATTATCGTGATTGGAATGGATACGTCTTTCTAGTGGAGAAGGTATCCGATAGCTACATCGATCGTCACATAATTTCGGAGGCATGTCCATTTAAGATGAATTGGGCCTCGAAGAAGCCGCGGTGGGAGCGCAGGCTTGTGATGTTCTTAAATTCTCATGTTCTCCCTCCACCCGCCTAGCTGTAGATAAAGCTCCCACAAACGACAATTTTGCAGTAATTCTTTTGGCGTCTTGTGAAGTGTGTTATCTTCCTCTTACCGCAAAAAGGCTGCTCCGTGATGAAAGAAGCAGGTCTAACTCGGTGGCTTTCGAACGATGAGTGGTCGCCTTGGTGTGGTGGTAGTTTGATCCGTGTGGCGTTCAGCTTGCAGTACCAAGGAAAGCGTAACCTGTTTTGCGGACAGTCTATACGGAGCCCAGATCTCCTCAGGTAGCTCTCTCTTCCCAAAGTGCAACCCAAACGACGCCGACAAGGGTGCAATACCTGGGCGGTGGGGCGCCCAATGCAACCTCAGCGCTCGATGAGCAGTCAATCCCTCGATTCCCCATAGGCCGGCTATCTCAGCTGGCCACATTTGTATGTACCTTGTAAGTCGCCACCCATGTCAACGGTCCACCCCCCTCAACGGTCCACCTTCCACGTCCCAACCTCCCTATTTTCTGTATGTGTAACTGCGCGATTTCTCATGCAAATTTTATTCAATTCAATTAAAAATTATACCATTAGATTCGCCAATGCCTGACGTTTCCGAAGATGATATTCAATCGGCCATTCGCGAGGTGCAAGCAGGTGCTTCACAGCGAAAAGCTGCAGCCCGATGGGGAATCTCTCGGACAACCCTACGCATGCGTATAGAAGGTCGCAAAACGCGGCAACAGGAAGCAGAGACCCGGCAGCGGCTCTCGAAGGTCCAGGAAGCCCGTTTAACGAAATGGATCCTTGTTCAAGATTCAATTGGGTTTCCTCCGACCCATACGAAGGTCAAGGATATCGCTGAGTTCCTGCTGTGCGAACAGGGTGATCTTGACCCTATTGGAAGACGTTGGATGGAGGGATTTTTACGCCGTAACCCGGAGGTTAGAACTCTCCAAGGCAAGAGAATTGACTTCCTACGAATTGACGGGGCTACAGTTGACCGTATAAAGGATTTCTTTGCGCTCAAGCACATTCCTGATATCAAGAAGATCCCTCCTTGCGATCGTTGGAATATGGATGAAGCCGGCATTATGGAAGGCATTGGTGATAATGGCCTGGTTCTCGGATCGTCTCGTAAGAACTGGGCAGCTAAGATACAGCCGGGAACTCGTTATTGGACTACAATTGTTGAGTGTATCAGTGCAACAGGAAGGCACCTCAAGCCTCTCGTTATCTTCAAAGGAAAGACCGTTCAGCAGCAGTGGTTTCCTAATGAATTAGATCATCTCAAGCAGTGGCATTTTACAGCTTCCGAGAAGGGGTGGACTTCCAATGCTATCGCGTTGGCGTGGCTCAGGGAGGTTTTTATCCCGTCAACTAAACCTACGAATAACAGCTGGCGTTTACTCATTATGGATGGCCACAAGAGTCATGAGACTATTGAATTCATGTGGGAATGCTTCCAAAATAAGATCTGGCTTCTTTTCCTGCCCTCACACTCATCGCACGTTTTACAGCCGCTTGACTTATCTATCTTTTCCGCTCTCAAGCGAGCGTTTCGTCGCTATCTCTCAGAACAACAAATACAGACGGATTCGTCGCCAATCGGCAAGATGACCTTCTTGAAGTGTTATCACCTGGCCCGGCTAGCTGCCTTAACAGTTGAAAATATCCTATCAGGCTGGAAAGCATCCGGACTTTGGCCAACGAACGTTGCGGTGCCGTTAATGAACCCTTATGTGCTTGCGCCTCAATACACCTTCAAAAATCGGCCCTCAACACCTCCGGCAACGCCAGCAGCCGGATTGAAGAGGAAAGAAGCCGTGATGACCACTCCAACAGGGAGTCAACAGCTGCGTGGCTTGATACGTGATTTCATAGACGAGAAGGAGGTGGACCCGACTATCCGACTGCTGTTCCGTAAGATCTGCAAGGGCCTGGATGAACAGCAAATACAGTTATCTATCTCAAACACCGAAAACACACAGCTGAAGGAGTCAAATAACCTCCTGCAGCCGAAGAAAAGACGTACTGTTCATCCGGATCCGAATAAACGCTTTATTAAGATATCTAACATCGTTGATGCAAGGGAACGGTATAAGGGTCAATTAGATGCTGAGATATCGGCTCAGGAAATTGAGACTTATATTTTTGAAGAGCTATGCTTCACCTGGCAACTTGAATAGCTTCATTTTTAATGTAAAAAAATAATTGCGCTGAGAAATGCGCATTTGAATTATATGCTTCAATCGTTGAAGGTGGACCGTTGAGGGGGGTGGACCGTTGACATGGGTGGCGACTTAGGTCAATTTCCACAACGAGACAAGATCCCGCTCCCCTCGAAATGGTGACCGGCGAGGGTTACCTGCGCCCTCTCCATCAGCCTAGTTGAGGCTTGGCGCCGGAGATGCATGGGGACACGAGGACACTGGATGTCATGTGGATAAACCAATAAAATTTATCCAGCCGAGATTGTTATTGCAATTGTGCCCGACTTGCAGTGACGATCCGGCGGAATAGAGTCGCTGCTATTCGCCATGGACACTGAAAGAGACCGGAATATGCCCCGCTCGTGCTGGCAGTTGATCAAGCCATGGTCAGCTGTCTTTGTGCATATTGCGGAGTAATAGTAGCGGTAGGCTTCCTACTTTAAGGGACATTGGGCCTTTCGTTGCGCAGGAGTGAGGAGAGGATTCTGCTGCGCCGTTCACGTTACCGATATGAACACCGTCGTGGTCTGTCAGCGTCTGGCACTTCGACTCTTTCTCTTGTACACGGTGTCAGCAATTTTCGCAATGGGGCAAGGAGCTTCCAACCTATCGCCTCCTTACTATCCCGCCCCTTATGGCGGCTGGGCTCCAACCTGGAGTGACAGCTACACTCGTGCTGTCACTCTGGTGGAGGCTATGACTCTCGCTGAGAAAGTCAACATTACGGCTGGAACGGGCATGTACATGGGTAAGTGAATCATACCCAGCTAAACTTGATATGCGCAATATAGGCTGACTTTCAACCCAGGGTGAGTTGTATACAATTAGGCCAAAACTCGGGATGCATTGCTGACTTAGCCCAAGCCGATGTGTGGCCAACACTGGAAGCGCCGAGCGTGTCGGTTTCCCCCAGCTCTGCTTCCAAGACGGGCCACTTGGTGTCCGAACAACCGGAAACATCACTGCTTTCCCCGCCGGCATCACCACCGGCGCCACGTTCGACAAGAAGCTCATGTACGAGAGAGGCGTGGCGTTGGGCGAGGAATTCCGCGGCAAGGGCGCAAATGTCTATCTGGGTCCCTCGGTAGGGCCCCTGGGCAGAAAGCCAAGAGGCGGCAGAAACTGGGAAGGCTTCGGCTCAGACCCTGTGCTTCAGGGAATTGCAGGAGCCGAGACTATTCGCGGCGTCCAGGAGCAGGGTGTGATTGCCACCATCAAGCACCTTATTGGCAACGAGCAAGAAATGTACCGAGCCTCGTTCTGGCAGAAAGCGTACAGCGCAAACATAGGTGAGGATCGCACTAACTAGAAGCTTCAAGAGACGAGGAGGCTAATTTTTATTCAATAGGTGATCGAGCCATGCACGAGCTTTATCTTTGGCCCTTCGCTGATGCCGTCCATGCTGGCGTTGGTTCTGCAATGACCGCTTACAATGATGTATGGCCCCATGCGACAGAGAATGATTGAAATGCATCTAACTTTTCTATAGGTCAATGGATCATCTGCCTCGCAAAACAGCATGATAATCAGTGGGCTTCTTAAGGACGAGCTTGGATTCCAAGGCTTCGTCATGACTGACTGGCTCTCTCACTATGCTGGAGTCGCCTCTGCCCTGGCAGGCCTTGACATGTCCCTCCCAGGAGACACATTTACCAACTCTATCCCTCTAGTGGGATATAGCCACTGGATGGGTGAACTTTCAAAGTCTGTTTTGAACGGCTCTGTGCCTGTTGATCGCCTCAACGATATGTGCACCCGAATCGTCGCGACCTGGTTCCAGTTTGGCCAGGACCAAAACTATCCGAAGCCAAACTTCCATGCTTGGGTCGGCACTGCAGAGGGAGCGCTATATCCTGGAGCGGTAGTCAGTCCAAGCGGCTTGGTAAATGAGTTCGTCAATGTCCAGGGAAACCACAAGGCAATTGCGAAGCAGGTTGCACAGGAAGCAATCACCCTCGTTAAGAACAACAATTCCTTCCTGCCGCTGAGTACCTCCGGCCAACTCACTGTATTTGGGACCGACGCACAGGCAGACCCCAGCGGAATAAATAACTGCCTCGATAAGTCTTGCAACGGAGGAACGCTCACTATGGGTTGGGGATCTGGTAGTGCGACTTTGCCATACCTTGATGACCCCATCACCTCTATTCGTAAGAAGGCATCGAAGGTTACATATCATGCCAGTGACACGTTCCCAAACGTTGGCACGCCTGGGGATGCCGAGATTGCCCTCGTGTTCATCAGCTCAGATTCTGGCGAAAACTCGCTCACAGTCGAGGGCAACCACGGAGACAGAGATGCCACCGGACTGGCGGCATGGCATAACGGTGATGAGTTGGTCAAGAAGGCTGCGGCTGCCTACAAGAGTGTAGTAGTGGTCTATCACACTGTCGGCCCAGTCATAATGGATCCTTGGGTCAACCTGCCCTCCGTCAAAGCGGTTTTGGTTGCTCATCTTCCGGGCCAGGAGGCCGGAGACTCGCTAACCGAAGTCCTGTTCGGTGAGGTTTCGCCCAGTGGCCACTTGCCCTACACCATTCCTGTTTCCGAGGATCAGTATCCCGAATCGTTGGATATTGTAGAAGGTGCAGGTGTCCAGGATACCTATTTGGAGGACCTCTATATCGATTATCGCTTCTTCAACAAGAACAACACGAAGCCTCGCTATGCTTTTGGACACGGCCTCAGCTACACAACGTTTGAGTATTCCGAGCCGACAATCACATCAGTAACCAAGCTCACTCGCGACCTCCCAGCCAGATCTCCTAAGGGCACGACTCCCGTATCTTCAATGAACCGCACCATTCCTGCCGCGTCTGAGGTTTACCAACCCAGCGGCTTTTCCACTGTTTGGCGTTACCTGTACAGCTGGGTCTCGAACGGAGACGCCGACAATGCGTACAGGATTGGCAAAGAGGGCACGTCGAAGTATCCTTATCCAGATGGATACAGCAGTGAACAAAAAGCCGGACCAGCAGCTGGTGGGCCAAATGGAGGAAATCCAGCACTTTGGGACACGGCATGGACTCTATTCGTTACTGTCACCAACACTGGTAGCAAAGCTGGAAAGGCGTCCGGTCAGGTGTATGTGCAGTTCCCAGACGGGAACGGCTATGATACACCGATCATTCAACTTCGAGATTTCGAAAAGACCGCAACTCTGCAGCCGGGAGGAAATGAGAAGCTTGAGTTCACGATCAAACGCCGCGATGTGAGCGTTTGGGACGTGAAGGAGCAGACTTGGGTTGTTCCGGGACTGGACAGTGGATACAAGCTTTGGATCGGTGATAGCAGTGACAATCTGCATCTCTTCTGTAATACGGCGAAACTTGGATGTGAAGAGGGGGTTGATTCCCCGGTATGAGGGCTAGGACATCGTGGGGGAACGGCGGTTATAGTTTCGAATTCTTTCTGATTATGGACTCGTATGTTTGTAACTGTCTTAAGCAATTAGTGATCGAGCATGATTGACGCCGATTTTTCATTGTGACTCTTGCTCATTTGAGCATACAATTGATCTTATATTCGAAAGAAGCCTACAGTAAGTGGCTGTTATCGCGTTGTAATATGACTCTATCCTGGGCTTGCTAATCGGAATCAACCTCCCTCGCCGACACCAGAAATGGTCGGAACTCTGGTAGAAGATCATCGTCCTTCTTCAGTTCACTTTGCCTCTCACCAATTGTGGGAAGCCACACCATCAGGCGACGCGGGTCCCTCTCACCAAGGTCATTCTTACTGACTCGCTCCTCTCTGTTGAACTCTCGGGCATTGTCCCCTGACTCTCGCAACTCGTTGTCTGACCTCCGAGCTTGAAGACTATTAATCCACCCTTTGTCATCGGGCCCAAGCTGGAGCTGTACAAGCGGGGGATTAAGGTTCTGCCAATCACCTTTGTGGCGAGCAAGGAATTCCTTTGAATTTTCCTGCGTCTCAAGTTTCACGGAGACCTTGTCGGCACTGGAATCGGCTCTCAAGATCACAGTTATGGGACCGGAAATCGAGCGTATCTCTTCATCGACATGGTCCACTGGACCACCTTGCAAGAGCAGATATTCCACGCATTCAAAGGCCTTGAGCATGATTGCATTCCATAGGGCAGTCGGTCCGGTCGCATACCTCCCGCTGCCGAGGTGGATATCTGCGCCATAACTTTCAACGAGGAGCCGAACCATCTCATGCTTGTTATTCCCTGCCGCGGCGTAAAGAGGTTTCACCCCTGGAGGATTGCGATGCTTGTTGGGGTCGGCGCCGTATTTCTCGATTATGAAACGGGCACACTCAATAGATCCACCTCCGACAGCTTTGTCAAGAAGATGCTGAATGTTGAGCTTTTGTCCTACGGGAAGTTGATCAAGGGACATTGTCTCGTGTTCCGTTATACCAAAGCTATTGATGAACTCAAACTTATCGAGGCGGTTGTATACCATAGCGTCATAGGCACCGTAAACAAATGGTTTGTGGAGTTCTTCAGGCAGGTCGAAGGGGATAATGTCACCCTCCAGGTTCGTTGGGTACTGATAGCTGAGGAGCAGCTTGAGAGATTCTAGAGGCCCGTCCATCGCTGCGCCGGGCGTGGCCTTCACGATGGCTTGCCTCTCCGTCTCCGTGAGCAGCTCAGATTTTGTCTGCCCATTCCGAGCCTCCATCGGATACCCGCCTCTTTCGAGGAGAAAACTCAGCGCCTCAAAGCCGTTCCTTGCTGACGCAGCGCCTTTGATTGATAACGGGGTTACCCACACTCCGGGCTCTTCTCCTGCGCGGCTCTTTCTCTTCCTTTGTGAGCCGTGGAAGGGATGCTCCAATAGTAGTCTAAGGCTGTCAACACTGCCGTGGACAGCTCCAAACTCGAGGGCATCGGCACCAGCATATTCGTCCTGTTCATCTTTAGGCAGGTCATCATCGACATTTGTTTTCGCAGTTGGATCAGCACCCTGCTCAAGAAGATAGCGTACAACACCTGGTTCGTGTGCGCCGATGATTAGTGGCGTTCGCCCAATGCTGTCGCGGACATCCACGTCCACTTGGCCCTCCTCCAGGAAGATCTTGAGGCATCCAACGTGGCCACGGGCGGCCGCTGCGTGAACTGGCACCACAGACGGATCATCTCTATCTGGGATCTCCCCATTCTCTTTGGCTTCCTGATCGGCCCTCTCATCTTCTTCAGACAGCGCTGCAATGTCTGGGTGCACCTTCAGACCTGTAGCAACAAGGCATCGGACCATAGCCTCGTCACCGCGGAGGGCAGCTTCGTACAGCATGTTCCGTCTGTGAACTGATTTTGGGTAGTTTTCCAGAACCTCCTTGAGCTTGCTAACCCGGTCATCTGGGTCGGCAACGAGCCATATTCTTGCTTGCTGAAGGGGATCACGGCCCAGCTGGTCATAGTACTCGTAGTCGTCAAGCCAGAGACAGTGGCCTGCCGGAGCGATAGACAGCGCCATGCCTGGGGGGGGCTCCGGGATGTCTGGCTTTGGAGGCGGAAGTACCTTGACCATCTTGTCTGACGGGACTGCGAATCTTTCGAAAGTTTGATTTCTCTTCCTTGGATTTGCAAGGTAAAAGGGAGTGACAGTGGGAAGAGAAGAACCAGGCTCAGTAGTGCCTCAGGTTTTAAGAGAAGTATCTTCATTTCTAGGCTCCAGCGGGCAGTGACATCACTTCTTACTGAGAATTAGGCAAGCAGTGGCATCTGACGCTGTAAGCAAATCACTACTCAGCCCTGTGAAAATCGCTACCTTAGTCACTGATGTGAGCACTAGAATGCACCATTACGGTAGCTTGCAGGCCTAGACTCTAAAGGCAGATCATTATAACTAGACGGTCAGTTAGATAAGGGAAGTTTGATATTTCGGCTTCTTGATGGAAATCGATTGATATGAATATCTTACAAGAGAGGGAGTCAATTACTTCAGAATGAATTAACAGGCTCGTGTCGATGCAAGCAGGCTTCTCTTAAGCCCAAACATCATTTCATGTCCCTGGATAAGCTGGACAATGAATGCAAATAGTCCTGCAGATTAATTGTGTGTGTGTTACTGAGTATTTGGTTAATATTGAGTGCTTGGTTGATTTTGATTAGCTGGCTAGTTATTGAGTATATGGCTAATTATTGACCATTTGGCTAACTATTGAGTATTTGATTTAATTTTTAACACAGTGATGCATGTCCAGATCGCTATTGCTTTACTTCAACACGTTGATTCTAGCTCTTTCTGCAGGAGCTGTAACGAGGGCGAGAATTCGGTGGCCCAATCGCCCAACCACCCAGCAAGCGGCGAGGATTTCGCTCTTAGTTGGGTCTTGGTTCCCATAATGCTGAGTATCATCGTCCGCTTCATCGCTGCTATCTGGTGCTGATTGTTTCTGTGATGGACACATGCCGTTTCGGGACGAGAATTCTCTGCTGCCCCAGCCTGTAGAAGAATCGTCTCTGCAGCTTTATGACCATGTTCTCTTGCCTCTTGGAGAGGACTATATCCTCGGGAATTCAAAAGATCCAAGCTAGACCCATTCTCGACGAGGAGGCCAACCGCTGGCCACTGCCCCTGAACAACTGCTACATGAAGCGGAGTGCAATTCTCATTGCATCTGGCGTCGATGCTGGCACCCCACCTGAGAAGTATACTAATGGAACCGAGCTGACCATATTCTGCAGCAATAGCCAGCGGCGTCAACCCGCGGACCGTCTTACTATCAGGATCTATGCCGTGCCTCAGTGCTCTCCCGAGAAGCGGCACATTACCGACCGAAGCTGCTAGATGGAGGATGTTTCGACCATCATTTCTACGACTGGCTATGTCTGCACCCGCGTTCAATAGAGCTCTCACTAACTTCAAACCGTACGAAGGGTACCGGTTTTTCGACGCTACATGGAGAGGCGTTTCCCCTTCGGTCTTGGTTCTGGCCTCGAAGTTAGCTCCCCGGCGGATTAGATTTCTGAGAAGCCTAACTTGGCCCCACAAAGCAGCAAAATGCAATGCCGTCTTCTTTTCTCTGCCAAATGTTGCCTGTACGTCAGCACCTCTGGAGAGGAAAAGCTCGGCGATGGTTGGTTGGGCGTGGGCTATCGCGTACAACAATGGCGACGATCCCTTGGGCAGTTCCATATTATGCCACCCATGTTCAAGCAGCAGATTTATAATTTCCACATGTCCGCTCCCAGCTGCGGCGCAGAGAGCCAGGCCTCTGTCACTCCCGGCGACGCCCTGCTCCTCCATCTTCCCGATGAGATACTTGACCATCTCGAGGTGATCATGGTGCGCCGCATGGGCGAGAGGAGTAAAACGATCCGGATATTGAAAATACTCGCTAGGTATCCTGCAAGTCGCGCATCTAGTCGAGTTTCAGCAATGGAAACTTCTTCAAGTGGCAGACAAAAAGGAAGAATTACAAATCGGCCCCGTGTCGCACCAAGCACTGGGCCATATTGACTAGGCCCAGTAATGCAGCCCAATGTAAAGCAGTCATCCAAGCTGAATTTGTCGCGTTGACATCAGCGCCGTTCCGCAGAAGAAACATGACGATATCCGCATACTTCTTAACCGCCGCGTTTATCAGCGGGGTACCGGTCAAGGGATGACCCCGATTGACATTGGCCCCTGCCTCAAGCAGCACTTTGACCGACGATAGCCTGCCATTGGCACAGGCAGCGCTGAGCGGGAAGCAAGGGCCAAAGTCCGGGTCAACTCCCGCCTCGAGAAGAAGCCTGACCATGTCTTCCGTTCCTGATCGCGAAGCCAACGTGAGTGGCGTGTCCCCTGCTTTATCCACCGTGGTCAAATCATATCCGTGCTTGATTAGGTCCCTGACCCGGTCCTGGGAATCTCTCCGAATGGAGTCCCATATATTCATGATTCGTGGAAGTTGACCTGGCTTCCGGTTGATGACAAGGCGAAAAAAACGACCAAGCGACAGCAAACGTGGCACGAAAGCGGGGGAAAGATGGTGAAAGATGAGCTCTCAGGTCCCACATTTGATCGTGCGAATCATATCCTCAGCCGGGCTCAACGGTTGCATTTATGGACTAGGCTTCGTTGAAGGGCTGCTCGATAAAGTGTGTTGAATCGAAAATAATCCAGTAAGCGCATATTAAGTACACTGGTGTCTTCAATATCCCACACCGCAGATGATATAAAACAGGAAAAGCAAGCCTATCAAAGACATAGTGAACCGCGGACCCCTGCACCAGCTCGGAACAGGGCTTGTTTGAGCCGCTCCTCGCAACCCCTTTGCTTTTGCTTCTCTGCAAACGATTTTGCCTTTTCAATAGCATGTTTACTGTATCCGTCGGCTCCTTTTTTAAGCAAAATATCAAGGACACTGATCCGGCCATGTTCCGCAGCCCCTTCGAGAGCTGTTCGTCCATGAATTAACGCTGGATCAGCATGGATATTGGCTTTTTTACCCAAAAGAAGCCTAACAACTCTCACATTCCCGTTGATAGCTGCAAGTTGAAGGGCAGTCCCACCACCATTTACTGCCGGGGGACCATTGACCTCTGCACCTTGATTGACCAGGTACTCGACCATCTGGAAGTTGCCTATCTCGCATGCCTGCTGCAGAGGCGTGCGACTTAAACGCTCTTGTGCTGGTTGGTTGATATCGAACGCACTATCCAGGAGTAATTTCACTATCTGTATGTTGTTAGACTTGATAGCCATGAGGAGTGGCTGACGGCCACGCATCGCACCAGCCTTGAGTAGCTGGCTGATCATTTTATTGCCCACCAGGTCATATTTTCCGCAGGATTCGATAGCGTACAGCAACGCGGTAGTATAGTCATAATCAGAACCAGGCCGAGTCGCAGTGCTGTTCACATCTAGGTTTAACCCAATCAAGAATTCCAGGGCTGAACTATCACGAGCATCAAATGTTGTGATCAAGGCCTTGCCGCCGAACCCTTTTTTTCCATCGGGATACCTCAAGGCGAAAGCCTCCGATAGGATTTTGAGCAAAGACGTGTTAGGGGCATGAAGAGCAAGTGCGAAAGCGTCCCCGTTGTCCGGATTGGCGCCGTATTTCAGTAAGAGCCGTGCCAATTCAGAACTACCAACCTCTATTGCTTCTTGAAGCCCAATAGGCTGGGCACCCCGATCGAGAAAAAGAGTCGCGAACTCGACGTGGTTGTTTTTGATCGCGAAGTCAAGTGCCGGTCTGCCGGTAAGCCCCATGAAACTCGGCTCCAGTTCAATTAAACATTTGACAATATTCACATCCCCCCAACGGACAGCTGCCTCTATGGATAGAGTGCTCAAATCTGGTGTTCCAAAATACTTGATTGTCTTGTATACCAGGTCTTTGTCGCGTATCTCTAGCGCCGATCGCAATATTGGATCCGCACTATGTCGGGACCCGTCATCGCCTTCAGCAACATATACCATGAGTCTATCAGCAATTTCGGTATGTTTCAGCTCCATTGCTTCTACGAGAGCATATTTCAGTTCAATTCCGGGTGGAGCTCGTTCCAGAAGCTGTTTGAGATACGGCAAATTGCCCACCTCCACTGTTGCGATAACTGCTGCTAGTGAATCAGGCAAGGACGGGTCAGATATTCTATCCAGTGCACCCCTTTCCTCCAGATGCCTAATGAGACCGCAGTTTTGCGTTCTTATGGCCTCAGCTAGTGGCGTCGTTGGCCATCGGCAATTACCAGTATAGTCGTATTGATGGGACATGTTCGCTAAGCATACGGCTTCCCCATTAGTAATAGCACCTTGCTCCAACATGAGCTTCACCATGTTCTGTTGTCCGCCGCGAATGGCAGCCGAAAGGTTCCCCATTGTCGGTCTAGTATGCTCCAGGAGGTAACTGGCAAGGTCCATGCTGTCCTTTGTAATGGATAGAGTGAGAAGTCGATTGAGATCCTTTCTACTGTTCTCCGCGCAGTTTCGTGCGCATTCCATGGTCTTGCACTCTGCCAAAAGGCCTTTGATGACCTTGACTGCTACCAGTGGCCTCAATTTTTCCGCGATGCTACCCAGTCTCCATATTAAGTGCCCACAAATTGTGTGTGTTTCAGGGTTTTCTGGAATAAACAGTTCATGATGGTGCTCTGGGGGCACGGCTTGAACTAATACTTCAAGCAGCTGGCAAGGCGTGGTAAAAAAGGCATCTTTGAGCAATCTCACAACAGCACTAGGTTCGTTGTCCAACAATAGCTTTGCGATCTCAACAGCCTTTACTGGATTCTTAGGACACCGAGATTTCTCTCCCCATCCAACGCGGTATTCTTGGTATAGTGAAGTCAAGGCGCAACTTCTCGAGACCGAATCCCCAGAAACGTGAACTTTGGCTCCGCAATCAATGAGCGTGCGGACAATGGCAGGCTGGTGCAAATAAGAAGCCAATGAAAGCGCAGTAAAAGTTTCGCCGTGCAGTTGACAAACAATCCCATTCACGTCGATCTCGTTGGCTTGGCCACGGGTGGTTTCCAGAATCGTGTTAACCACGCCATAATCGCCAGCTTCGATGGCAGCACGGAATAGATTGTCAGCCAGGGGCTTGGAAATACTTAATATTCCAGACTGGAGGTATTTCAGGAGGTTTACTGTCATCTCAGACGAGGACTTCAGTACACCTAGAATAATAGCACAGGGGACGCCTTCTAGGCCCGCGAAATTATTGGCGATTGAGAGGAGAATTCTTCCGTGGATTTCGGACATTGATATGGTCCTAGAAACTGCGCCGGAAGTGTCAGGGCATTCGTCTTCGAAGAAACCGTCGCGCAGGAGCGACTCAAGCTGCTCGGATACGGTCTGAATAGTGGTATTCGCTAGATCCATGCATATACTGTCCGGGGGCTCTTGAAGTATGTTTTGGATCATGAGCGCAATATTTTCATCGGAGAGGATAAATCGGGGCTCATCCTGATATGCAACCAGGGGCGGTATAGAGCTGTAGATACTACTGTTCCCATTGTAGTGTGGTAGAAGTAGTGTATCAGAAGCGAGACCGATTGTTTCTCGAGATGGATGTCGGAGCATGGTCTGTGTATATTCATCGGACAACACCAACTGCGGCTCGTAATGTGCTACTTTTGGCCCCAGTGTGAAAACATCTGCTGCATTTCTCGGACTTAATGCAACAGACGCATCAGGATGAGCAAATGGCGAGTCGGACAGGATACCCTCCGTTATGAAATAGCTCGTTATCTGACTCAATGTCTGTGGGTCCGGTCGAGGTGAACATAAAGTCGGGTGAAAGATGGTAAGCTGGGAGCTGGGTGTGTTGGCTTCGAGCTGGTTTGCCGTCCAGATTGGGTCACTCTGTGCTGGCAACAAAGTAGCTGACAGAGGAAGCTCCTCTATATCCATATTCGCAACTCCAGGGCCTAAAACTGCCGTGGGTAGAGTATCTGCAATCGTAGCCTCTCCTTCCTGGCCGGAATATTCCGAAAATTGGCCATGTCGCCAGATTTCTAGGCGCCACAAACGGGTGTGCGCCGAAGGTAGCAACTCTGAGAGACGAAGGCGTTGTTAGTTAGGCTCGTGATACTTCGCTAAGAATTAACTTACCCTGGTTATCTTGAGGTACCCTACTTTTTACTGGAAGATATCGGCGGCGGGCTTTCTCTATTCTCTTTTGGTCGAGAATTTGGTCGCCGAGCCTTACGCGTGGTTTGAGGCCCTGCCGTTCCAGCGTACAGTACAATGGGAGTAGCGCCTCCCAATCATGTCTCTTAAGGTATTTGGCCGCTTTCCATCTCTTGAGTTGTGCTTCGTACTGAGCCGTCCTAAATCTCACTTAGTATCTGTAAAAGCAAGGATCCATTCCATGGGATGAGATCCAAAGGCGACAAAGGAGTCATGCGCAAACGGAACGCACAAAGAGGGACGATTTACTTACGTGGCTTCAAACTGATATTCATCGCGCATGACCTGCACGACATTCCTGGAGCTTGTCTTGACGCTATCAAGCGGGAGTCCTTCATGGAATCGAAGGCCCAAGATTGTGTCCTTGTGCCGTTCCCACACTTCGAGTGGGATTTCTTTGCAAGAGGAGGCCATGTTATTTTTGTTGAAGAGTCGACGGTGGGCACTAGCAGCCGAAAATCGTGTTGTGTTTTGCTATTGTTTTGGACTGCCTTGAGTCGTCGTGATTTAGGTAGGTGGGCTTTTATGACGAGCTTCGTTGGTCGCGGGCCCCAGAAACTGGTCACAAGAATTTGCGCCCTCCAAGTTTTGGGTTCCAGGTTTTGGGCTCCAGGTTTTGGGCTCCAGGTTTTGGGCATTCCAATGATTGGTAGGTACCAAAGTGTCAGAATGTATTTCTGTCATATCTGCCCAAGCGGCTAACATAAAAATGGCACACCCAAAACCTCCAGCGTCAAATTTCGACACAATATCAAAACAATTAACCTGGGAATAAATGCAATACTAAGCGAAACATTATAAAACAATCCATTATTTTCTTATATGTTTACTATTATTGAGAGAATATTAGGTCTCTACCTTCCATACGCGGAAAGCATTGAGTATGCCATGTTTGAATTCAGGGACTTGCGGCCATACTATCGCCTATTGCCACCTAATCAACATGTGCCACGTATGCCACCATTTGGGCTTTTTGCACATTGCGATAAGCCCGAGTAGGGTCAGCAGCAACATGTCAATGAGCGCGGAGTTAGTTCTACTGTACGGTTTGAAGATACGATATATGGAGGGTAGTTGTTAGGTCAAACATTCAAACAGCAGCTATTTAACATAACGCCATATGTGTACGCCCATCGATTCAAGAGACTATTCAGCTTTAATTGTTCAGGAGAAAATGTCGTCAAGATGCCTGGCGACAAATTCTCAATGCTCCTTCCTGTTCCCGGGGGACCTTTTCGTTTTCCGTGCTCTCACCTCCCATGTCGACGAAGAAAACACGACCTCTTGATTCCTTTGCTTTTTGGAGACCATCTGGTGTGATCGGTCAAAGACATTGCGGCATCAACAATGTACTGCGCATTCGTGGCGTGAAACAGTGCGCGTGCGCCCCTATCCTTTGCACTGGTTGCAAGGAAGCCTCGCCGAGGATCTTGTCGCTGTCCACTGGCTCGGCGGGCTCCTCTGGCTGGCTCGCCATGGCTGTGGGGACTACATAGACGGGATCGGCTCGTCTGGCTCAGGCTCGCTGGGCTGGGCTCAGCTGGGGTGGGCTGGGCTGGCCAGCTTGGCGCTGTTTCTGGTTAGACTGGCCATACATTTTTACCTAGGAAGGCCTTTCTAAGTTAATACTTACCGCGATCTCGCCACGGACATGATAATTAGATCACATGTGATTCAATACACATAATGAAAAGAAAAACAGACTCGCAGACGTGCCCCGAGAAAATCGTTTAGAACCTACACATGAATGACCAGTTGTTCTTGTACCTCAATCTGTTCATTGGTTTTCTGCAAAACCGTTAGGTTGTCAGAATTGGGCAGTGGGAGAACATGCATAACTTACCGTTTCATTTCTCCGCCACTACTAAGCAAACGAAAAATCAGGTTAGTCCTCGAGAAGTTTGACCTCATAATACAGAACAATACCTCGACGATGTAAGGCTGAGGAAGAGAATGTTAGTGTCAGTACAACTCAACAAATTGGTGATTTCGTACCCTCGGTCGAGGCTGGGGAGGACGGGGCCTTAGCAAGAACTAATCACAAGTCTTCGACAATATAGCAAGAGCCTCTGGATACCTATGGTGGCGCCAGGAGAAGCCTCGGAGGCAGCAGCTGAGGCTGGAGAGGTTGGGGGGGTTGAGAAAGAATTGGACAGGAAGAGGGGGCAAGAGAATGAGGGAGAGGGCGCGGGCGCCAAGGTGTGGGAAGCAGAGGCGGCGGCAGCGGCGATTTCGACAGCAGTGCGACAGAATGTCTTCCGTCGGTAAGGCGACTATTCGTCTCGGAGATCGTTTCTGGCTCGGTCGTATGGCTGAAGTTCTTTTCAGCTGCGCTCGTCTTGCAACTTGCGCCCAGACAAGCGAAGGATTAGAGACTGGAGGATCAGAGTGAATCATAATACTGATCTCAGGCAGTAACCAGTGGCCAGAGGAACCTTAAACAATGCTGCCTCAGGTGTCACTGCTGCCTCAGGCATCGACCGGGCGGGTCGACACGCATTGAAAGGTCGAGGGAGGAGCTCTTCACGCTGCCCCTCCAAAGGTTTTGTCGCCTCATTTCCAAGGTGCGCTGAATCACGCACTTTATGTTAACATGGCAAAAAGAACTGCCACCCAGAACATCATCATCCTGAATGACTATCCTATCCGGGATCTACTTTTTTCTCTTCGGTCTTATCTCGGCCATCATCAGAGTGCCAGGTATATGTCGCACGCCCCATAACCCCGTTTATCTCGAGTTTTGAGCCTTGCAGTAAAATGACATAAAACAGTTTTCTCCAGTAAAGAACTCACTGGAAACTATTATTTCCCCACACCCTTTTCTCCTTCTCTTTGGTTAATAATATTTTATGATACTTTAGTAAATTGACTATTGTATCTAAAGTATTCCGAACCAAGATCCTGCCTAAGAGCTGAAATAATACTATATTAGAATGCTGGTAGCGATAATCTCGCGAGGTTTCCCCTGCACGTAGTATATCTCCCCAAAGTTGAAATTGGGTGATTTTGATACTGCTATTAAAATTGAAACACCTTGCCCAAGATGTGACAAGCTGAGGGTCCCACTATACATATAGCCACACCATGCAGCCATAATGACAGACCTCGACCAATTCAACATCTATGATACCGAAGCCTACTTTGCTACTTGGCTTACGTATTATTATGTTCAATCGTAGAACCTTTGAAGTTCCTTCACTCAACACAACAAGGAGAGTTGGAAATAGATAATCAGGCTACCGTCAATTTAAGGTTGACCACAGTAAATAATCTAGTAAAAGCACTTTAATTTTTCTCATCCAGTTCCATCGGTGCCTGGTTGTGGGCGCAAGACTCTGAATAGTCGTTCACGGTAGCCCGGCCTATTTCCAGGTGGTTGATTGGCAGGCTTGCAGAAATTATCCAACTTCCACATGAAAAATGAACCTTGAGATTGGCACATCAGACCGGCGAGTAATAAAGCAATACTCCTTTGGGTAGTCCCACATATAACATTCCACATATTTCGTCTTCCCATCAATGAAAATTTCACCATCCATCTTATGCCGGTCAGGTACCTGTTCTTTACGATAGAACATCAGCACGGTAGCTAAAATCGCTTTTTCTTCCACTTCTTTCAAGCCTATACTTGGCTAGAAGCCGTCCTCCCCGGTCAATCAACCATATCCGAGTCCACCGAGGGATGTAGGTGGAATTCCACGCCCAGCATGCTCTTAATACCAGCCCCCTAAGAGATGGTTCATAGAGATGATCGAGCATAGAACTATAGCTGTTTTCCAAACCATCATCCCAGCTGTCGTGGAACTCAAAGGCAATATTGATACCTGAGTATTTCGGAAGGCAGAAGAAGGGAAGCCGGGTGAGCAAGATATCCCATTGGAGGGTAGCACAGATATGCAAATCTTCGGGTGCAAATCGGAGACATATAATATCACGCCTGCACATATCAATACAGATACGTTGATCCTGATTGTATGTCGCAACAACGGCATTGTGTGGGGGGCATGTCGCGCTTCCGGTATGTACCCACCTTCGCTTCGTATCGCCAAGGTGACATAGAAGCACCGCGCGAGATTCCCTGCATGCAGTTCGTAGGCTAACATCCCAAGACGAGAGAAAACGATTAGCCTTGGTCCAGGATTGTGACTTTTGTGGCTTCGTATATAGCTTAGGATAGGGCGTGTATGAGGGTTTCCCATCCGCATCCCTTCGGACACGTGGCTCTTCAGCCATGGTAGGCTTGTCGATTAGCATAGAACGGAGGAAGGTCTGTCGGAGTCCTTCGACATCATCGTTGAACAATGAATAATAATGAATTCTGGGGGTGTCATCACAACATTCAAGTATAAAAGCACCAGACAGGACGGCATCAGTTAGTCCTTGAGCGCTCACCCTAATCAGCTCTCTCCTTGGCTTTGTTGCCTCGAACTATTCATCCCAAATCACTCCAATCTCAGGGCATCATCAAACCTACAAGCCACCAAGATACAGTCTTTGCAGAGACAAGAAAAATGCAGTTCTACAACATCCTCACGGTGGCTTTCGCCACATTCACATTCGTCTCAGCAACACCAGTTGCTGAAGCCCCTGACCAAGTCATGAACATCGCACCACGTCAAAGCACCGCCCCAACACCTTGCACGCCAGGCAGGTACAAGTGCGACGGGAGTTGGATCTTCACCTGCAACTCATCCAAGAAGTGGGTGCTCTCAGCCAAGTGCAATTCAGGGTGCTGCTCGTCGGCATCGGGTGGCCTCACCGCTTACTGCCGCTGTTAAAGTGCCTGGATTTAAGAGGGGACCAGGCGGCACGACAGATTCAATTTGACTGCCGAAGGCTGAAGGGAGATTCCTGCGGACCTAGATTAGGTTGAGCTCGATTAAACATAAATAACATCCTTCAATGTTCTGCAGTCTCCTCCATTTTATGAATACTTGTGGACTAGTAAATTCCTGGAGATAACATTGATTTTTGCTTATGCTAAAGGCATTGGTTGGCAGTGGCCATTCTCCCCATCTCTGCCGCCAGGTGCCTGACAAATGGCCAGCACAAACAGTAGTGGAGTTGTAAGAGACAAGGCTGAGAGACCAGGGAAGATCCTGTCATCAATGCTTTGTTAGCCATTCATTCATACTAATTCTCTGGATGTAAGCAACAGTCATGTGACGGGCATGAGGATCGGGCCACTCTTACTCTCAACTGGCGCACAAAAACACACACCAAACCCTTCTTGAGATGACCCTTCCCGTCACCCTCTTCGGCTTTCGATTTCTCCCGCCTTCCGACCTAGAATATTCCCTGCACAATACCACAATACTTCCCGCTTTGTTTAACATCTTCCTCAGCATCAATGGGCGGCTCAGAAATCTCCGGTTTCGAGTGGGTAGCCACCCTCTGGGGCCTCGAGCCACGGTGGACCATCGAGCTTGATGAAGACGCCATCCAGAAGACAGTCCAGCTTGCTCTCCAGCGGCAATGCCCTGCTTCTATTATGCTCTTGGCTAAGGGTACTTTCAATAGAGTCTACTCTGTGGGCGCTAAGAACCCAGAGGCTGCTGTGATCCGTATTAGTATGCCAATTCTGCCAGAGGTAAAAACGAAAAGCGAAGTAGCAACGATTCACTGGGTGCAGCGCCATACTTCTCTCCCCGTTCCGAGCATTCTCGCATATCAATCTCATGGCAAAAATCAAATAGGATTTGAGTGGATTCTTATGGAAAAGTTGAAAGGGAAGACTCTAAGCGATGCTTGGAGAGAGATAGACTTTACAGCCAAGCAACGTCTTGTTCGCCAGATTGCCCAATTCTATTCCGATACTTTTTCTCATCAGATGGAGACTATTGGAAGCCTGTATGAGAGTTCGTCCTCTGAAAGCCAGGCCACGCATATCGGAAAATCAACATCCTTCGGATTTTATGTTAGAGACCCTCAAATCCAAGTTCACCGAGGCCCCTTTACTTCATCCAGGGACTGGATAACCGCTCTGATTGACGCAGCAGAGGTAGACTGCAAGTATCGCCTTGAGATCGCGAAAGAACAATCCGATGACGAGGAAGGGGAGGATTCCGAAGATCTTGAGACGTCACTCATAATTCTTGCTAAATTAAGGGGCCAAATCGTCAGCTTCTTTCCTGGGACAAGTCCAGAACCAACAATCCTCATGCACGACGACCTCAACAAGAAGAATATCATCGTTGACGCTGCGGGGAGCTTGTCCGGTGTGGTCGACTGGGAAGGGGTATCTGCCTGCCCGCTGTCCATAGCCTGCCAGTACCCCGGCTTCTTAGATGGCAAAGACAGTACAACCAAACCCGTCAAGAGTTCCTACATGCACGACGAGGACGGGAAGGTCAACGAACTCTATTGGGAACACTTGGAGTTTTGGGAACTCCATCAATTGCGAATTTTATTCATGGATATTATGCAGGCTTTGCAGCCTCGTTGGGTGGAGGTGTTTAACAAGAGTCAAAGACAGAGAGACTTTTACATTGCTATCTGGACCTACGATAATCCTTTAAACAGGAAGAGGTTATTGAAGTGGTTAAGTGACCTTGAATCAGGTATTCCTAGTGTGACGGGGCTAGAGGAAAGAATTCACAATAGTATCTTGTAGTCTGTCTTTACTTCCATCGTCTTTCTTTCTATAGAAAACTAAATGACGACGATACTCGATAAAAACCCACATCCTATAAAACGCCACGTGAGAAAATGACACTTTACGACTAATCACTTCATCCGTTTAAATGGATGTGCCTCCGTAGTAAGCACATATTCATCCAGATTGATCAGATCTGGTGGCGAGAAAATGAGATAGAAATACTTGAGCGTTTCAGCCAGCCAAAAGCTCTACAAAAGACACCAAGTTAGTTCCGCTTACCAAACAAAGAGTGAAGAACAGACACTCTACTTACCTCCATGGAGTCAATATTTGGGGAATCAGGATTGGTCACGTCGTCGACTGCCGCATTAGCCAATTCCGTCCTTGATACCTTCACAATAGATTGGAACATCTTCCAGGCCAGGTCCTGCCACTCAGTATCCCCTGTGATTCGATACATGATGAAGATGCTTTCGATCGCCTCGGGCCGCAGGAGGTAACGCGGGTCGCGAGCATGTGAGAACCCCTTGGGAATAGACTTGTCATCCGGCTTCCACCTGGATTCATCCCATTCGCACGATTCTGCCGATTCGCACGGGATCATGCCATAGATCTCGGGCATAACTCCCGTAGGAAAAGCGTTGTATACCCATCCGCAGCCACGGGCTAGCTTTTTTCCAACTTCCACGTGGCTGTTGTTTCCGGTCAGACGCCCGCCGAGGCCAAACATTCCTCCTGCGAAGCAACTCAAGTGTTGGCTGTCAGGACTGAGACTCAAACCTTGACTGTTGACCCATACATCGCCAGCAATTAGAATATCGCCATTGTCAGGCACCATGGGTCGGTACAGCAAATTGTTAATGACGACATCTGCAGAAGTGAGATACAGCCTCTCATATATAGGGTCAACTCCGCCAAGTAAAGCATGCATCTTGGGTAGATACTCGTACAATGAATCAGCCAATGCGCCAATAGAGAAAGTGTCGCCTTCGGCCGTCTCGTCCTGGAAATTAACTGTCAGCGGCCACATGCCAGGCAGCTGGGTGTCATTTTGGACAGTGTCGAGAAAGCGAATAACCCGGTCAGCGGCGTCATAAAACTTGGGGTCCCCTGTAAGCTGCGACAAGCGTGTCATCTCCAATGTCAGAGACGCTGGCGAGGCCGACGGGTCGTTTGTGCCTGCAACCTGTCGGCCGTTACGGGCATCCTCAAAGTTCAACCAAAAGCCCGGCAACCGGTTGGGTGTGTCAAACGCAACGTATAGCATCTCCCCAACCTCCCTTGCTTTCTGCAAAAGAGTAGGTTCGCCACTCAGATCATAGGCCCCCAGCAGTCCACCGAGGTGTCGGATTGTGGTCTCAAAAACATTGATACCGCGCTCCTTGGTAACAGAGAAATCCATTGCAGAGATTGCGATGGTGGCTTCGTGGAATTCTTTCTTCAAGTCCATTATCCAAAGTGTATCGAGCGAATCGACCAGCGTGGCAGCCCAGCCGCCAAATGTAGTCTTGCCTGTACCGGACAGAGGCGCCAACTCATCCATCATCCAGGCATATTCCTTGTATGCGTTGTAGCTCCGTAGAAACTCATTGCGGACAGCAGCGCGTCGTTGCTCGGTCAATTCGGAGCTTTCGAAGTAGCTTTGGTCGGCTTGGACTGGAGGCAATCGTCGCGGTCTGTCGGTTGGGACTGGTTTGATGGAGTCGACGGGGTGGAAATGTTCAAAGTTTGACCAGTTGACGGACCCTGGAATGAAGGGAACGATGATCGGGGAAGGTGCAGGGAAGTGCAAGATGATTAAGATCATCATGAGAGCGCCTGTCGCCAGGACAGCACGCGATCGTCGCCGAAGAGCCATTTTATCGCAACAAAAACAATGACAGTGAAGGAAAGAAGAAGCTCACGAGGAATGCCGGGGTACCATGGCAAATGCAGTGTTGAAGCACACAAGTAGAGTAGGCGACACGCAGAGAAGCGGTGGGAGTCCTTTCTTGACTTGCGGCTGGTCCTGGCTTGGCCTAGGGCGAGTGTTTACAAGAGCGCGTCTAGGTATGATAAATCCTAGTAGCGGTAGTACTAAGGGTAAAAAAGGTCCCAGAAAGCAGATACAAGGCCAGATGAGTCACCTGAGCCTGAGGTGAGATTCACTATAACCCCAGGGGTAACGAAGTGTACCTGCAGGCGTCGGGGATGCTACGGTCAACTTGAAGTCTTGGCAGCGCTTGAACAGGCCAAACGCAAGCTTATATCGACAGCCAACTGCATAATGTGAAATTGACGAAGCGCTTACATTCCCCTTTTGTCTCCTCTTCTCCGGTTGGTCTCGATCTCCTTTTTGTCCTCTTTGTGTTAATTCCCAGTTATCCGTTTTTTTTCTTCTTGTTACTGTCCTTTGTCTCTCCTCTAGTTTCAAGTCTCCTCATCATTCTACGGACTTGGCATTCGTGTTCGAACCGGCTTTCATTGACCCGTTTCTCGCTTTCCCATCACGTACAGGTAGTAGGTAACTTACATAATTTCTAAAGAGAACCTACTGAAATCACTTGAAAAGTAACTCTCATTTAAATTTCTAGACATATATAACGATAACCATCTGTACTAACGCATAGGTGCTTGTTAATAGTCCCTACCTTAGACATTAGTAGGTTGCTCCTAATAGTTGGCGTCACGTGACCCGCTATGATAAGCCGCCGGATTAACGCAAGAATTCAACTACACACTTCCCAGCTTCTACTTCATGTTGAGGGATACGCAGCCCAATAAATCTCTTGCCGGGAATTTCTGCCGCCCTGGAACACCCAGAAATACACCTTTATTGGTTGCCATCCCTGTTTCCATTTAGTCCGGTTATTTCAATGCGCCATGGATACGGGCAATTTTGGTGCCACCCATCAAGGGGAAGGAAACTTCTCTGCACCCGCGGGCACACGACGGTACCGCTCCAAATCCCAACGGCCCTGTGATCTTTGCCGTGCCCGCAAGGCCTTGTGCAACATTCCATCTCCCGAGAAACCCTGCCAGCTCTGCACACGGCTCGGTCGGCAGTGTACTTTTGTTCGCAACCCCAACAAGAGACAAAAAGAAGGACAAAACGGTGCGCCACAACCAAGAAATTCAGTCCCCGGCCTCGTTGATCTTGCGGCCAATGATGATAAAGATATCGATAGCAGTCCTTCTATTATCGAAGACATGACAGAAGACGCCACGGCACCGGCTGAAATGCCTCTTCAGGACCAGTATCTGGATATGTCAACATCGATCGGTTTGTGCAATGTCTCCGCTATCACTTCTGTTATTGACCGCCTTACCAGACGGAAACAATCGCTTGACAGGCCTTTCGCCCGGAATGAACCTCCCTCACCTCGATAGCGTACTCGCCGATTCTCTGTGGCCCACTGGACGAGAGGATAGTTGGAGCATGCAGCCCGTACCCACCTCTCTACAGGGAGCCTTTCACTCTTTATCAGAAGAAGATGGCTTTCAAGAACTAGGGATATTCGATACCACACTCAACCACAAAGAACAAACACCCGTTGCTGGCCTGCCACAGCCGTCATCGCGCACACACCACACTTCCAGCCCCCCTCACGTCTCCATCGATGATCAAGCAGACTACTCAGCGCAGATGATTGGCTTCTCGAATGAGTCTGATCCTTTCTTCCTACAGCACTTCCCATATAATGACGTTGGGGAACTCAAGTTTTTCCGCGTGGTATACCGCAAACCCGATATATTGTCATCAGGCACACCAAATGAGAGCTCCCATAGCACGCCGGTGCACCTACTTCAGAGTCACGACCAGACTGCATCTCTTGCCATCGAACTCACGGGGAGATGTCTCTCTCAGAACCACGATCGAGAGCATGTCCGGCAATTAGTAGATTCCACCATGGGGGTTGCTCTTGTGCGATTGTGAGACTCCTTTCCTAAAACCTTTGCTTCTATCTTACTAGGACTGACAACACATCAAGATATTTCAGATTTGTCTTCGAGTCGCTCCCCGTTTTATCGCGATCTTGCATTCTCCAGAATGAGTCGGCCTTTGTAGAGACGGCGCCTGTGGGCTTGCTAGCCGCTATCTACGCGCTGGCTCTTCCTTTCATCTCGTTCGATGAACAATTCTGTCTCAATAACGCCTATACAAAGCCATCATCAGAAACACTGTGGCAGATTGCCTATGCCAACCTCCAGAAGGAACTTCACTTTCCAAAGCTTGCCACCCTGCAACTTTGTATCCTACTTATCAACCATTATCCCTTCGATCCCGTGTCCGTTGATACCCCCTTTGTGTGGTCTATGGCGTGCTCGATGCTCGGCATTGCCCAGACTCTAGGCTTAAACGTTGACCCATCTACATGGAATCTGCCGCGCTGGGAGATCCGACTGCGCCGGCGTTTATGGTGGTGTGTGTTTGTTGACCACACTTGGCGCTCAGTCACACACGGTAGAGCGTTGATGATAACGGACGATGATTGGAATGTCACACATCTCGATTCATCAGATTTTGAGATGGACCTCGAGAGTGACGTGGGACGCTCACCCGAATATTTTTTCCAGCTGTGTCGTTTGACAGAAATTGCCCGGAGAGTCATCCGACAGTTTTAGTGAGTGCTTCGTGCCAATTACCTCTTTCTCCCCTATATCATACCGGCCAACTTTGCATGCAGTAACTAATGTTATCACAAGTTCACTCCGCGCCGTATCTCAACCTCAATCTTTAGAACGCCTAATCGAACAAGCGCGAGAGCCCCGCCAACAGCTCTTAGAATGGATGAACGGACTACCACAGTCGCTTCAGATGCATATGGACGGGCATGCAGAAGACGGTTACGAAGGTGAGGATGAAGACGACTCCGTCCAAGCTCAAGGCTCTTTGCATGTTGCGTTCTTCACCGTGCAGATTTTGGTTCTTCGTACCCTCTTACGCCCCATTGTGGAGAGGCGCGACCAGCCCGATTACGCGCAATCTTCGATGCCTTCTATTGAAGCGATTCTCCAAGCATGCCGCGGCTTCATGCAAACTGTCATCAAGTTCATGAGACGGCTAGATGGAAGACACCAATCCGCGTTCTGGCCATCTTATGCCCGCCATTGTCTGTGTTATCCAGGGTTGTTTACATACATGCTGTGCCTACAATCTGTGCAGCCACGCATGGCTGCCCACGACCAGAAACTGCTGGGGACATGGAGAAGGGCATTGCAGACACGTGCCCAAACATGGACACTACTGCGCCTGGCCGCTACGAAGCTTGATGCCCTCTTTTGGAAGCGAATCGATCCCGCTTCCAAACAACAGGATCTCAATCAACCCACAAGTGCTAACTGAGTGCGGCCACAAGCATTACTTCTTTACTAACAGGATACGCAAGGGACAACATAATGGGTGATTATAATACATATTGATACTTTTTGAATATATTCACGGTTGCACCAATTGACCCAAAATCTTACGTATATCTATATTACAGGTTTCATGGAGCAAGGTCTCCACGCTCCGCACGAAGCTTATCGTATCGTAAAACGGCCCCCAGCAATACGCTCGCACCCAAGGCACTATCAAAGAGTTAGAGTTTATCGTCAAGCTGAGATACTTGGAAACGGGAGGGGGGGCATACCAATCTTCGGCAGAGCAGTACTCAACAGGATTGTGACTGATTCCATCTTTCGTGGGTGTGAAGATCATGCTGGTCGGGCATCGTGTGTTGGTGTAGCAGCTGTCGTGGCCAGCACCGCTAATCATCCTCCGCCACAATTTACCATCAGGGTGTGTTTGTGGGAGCGCCGAGCAGACATCAGTGGCACTTTGCTCGACGACACGAATACAGTCAGGGTTGAATTCCACCGCAGGACTGTCAACGAGCAGCTTCCACTCAACTTGAACGCCCTTCTCGCTATCCTCATGTGCGATCCTCTGAAATTCGGCTCTGCATTCCTCCTCCATTAGGCTCAGAGTTTCATTCTTCATGTGGCGGATGTCGAGTGTGAAAACTACGGTGTGTGCCATGGTATTGACAGTTCCTGGCTTGGTCTCAAAGATGCCAGTAGTCGTCAATCCTCCGAGACGTTTAGCAATAGGATTGGCAGCAGCAACCATTCTCGCAGCACTTAAGACGGAATCCTTTCGCGCATAGAGAGGCGTGGTACCAGCGTGGCTGTCCCTTCCCCTGACTGTAATCTCAAACCACTTGAAGGCCTGGACACCTATTGAGATCGCCAATTAGCACACGACCAAAAGAGCAGACGGAAATTTCAAATCGTACCTTCTACAACGCCAATCTTTTGACCTTGATCTTCCAAAATGGGGCCTTGCTCAATATGCAACTCGAAATGAGCAGCAAAAGGATTCGAGCGATAAGAAGCTGGATTTTTACCCAAATAACCGATCCGGGTGAGCTCTTCTTTCATCGTCTTGGGACTGTCATGGTTCGCAGTTACTTCTTTCAGGTTCCAAGCGTCTTCCAAGGGAACTTGCTCGGCCCAGACACCAGAAGATACGGCCATCTTTGGGAATCGGGCGCCCTCCTCGCTTGAGTTGACCATGTCAGCTTGAGAACAGACATTCTAGATTAGGCAGGGTATTCTTACTTTGTCCAGTCGACCACACCAACGGGGCCTTCCGTCTCATAAGAGTTCTCGTTTAGCACCTTCAAAACTTCCAGACCACCTAGGACTCCGAGGATACCGTCGTAGCGGCCGCCGGTGGGCTGGGTATCGAGATGCGAGCCCATCATGATGGGAGGCGCATCGTTGTTCTTGCCAGGCCGGACGGCAAAGATATTTCCCATCTCATCCACTGACACTTTGCAGCCAAGGGACTCAGCAGACTTGATGAACCAGTCCCTGACGGCCTTGTCGGAGTCATCGAGACTTAATCTGGCCATCCCGGTCTCGGTTGTGTCGCTAAACTCAGACCATCAGCCATGCTCACTCACTAGGGGACAAGGAAACACAGAAGAAGGAAATAAGATGAGTCAGATTTTGATGGGGAGCAGATTCACACACCTTCCATAGGGATGAGCTGCCCCAAATTGGCAGCTTTCATGAAGAGTCTCTGCCAGGCGAGCCTGGTTAGCCCTCAGGGCTGGAACTTCGGATTGACTCATTTTTGAGACTGTGGGAGGGCAGATGATCTATGCAACCAAAAGCGAAGGGGTTGGATCAACATCAAACCAGGTGAATGTCGAGATGGAGGCAGATGAATGCAAGGGCAGGTTTGTTTTTTAAGCTACCTTTAGTCCTTGCATCGGGCCCCTCCTCGCCGGCTAATGCACAACCTGGAGGGGTAACATGCAACGCCGCCGGTTGTGGTTCGCCGGCTCCCGTTTACGAGGCCACGGCCAGCTATCTCTCTGCTAGTCAGTGGGTGGATTCGAAGGCAACGCCGACGGCGAACTAGACCCATAGACCCTCTCAACGATAAGCCGTCACTGGCCTGAAGTTTGCGGGGTTGAGTGGATCATGATGTGTCAACGCATTATATCCGCCGTCGGCGTTCCCTGTGGAGCACGATTTCTCCGCAAGTTGTGGTCAGAGGAACCGAGATAGAGATAACACCAGCCAATGGGGCTACGAGTAATACCCGGTTCCTTGGGCCTGTATCAGCAGTTCCTCCAGGCCCCATGTTGATCGAGTTGCCTTTTAAGAGTATGCTAATCCTCGCCAAAGTATGACTCTGTGTCCTCAAACCTACCATCAAACCTAGATTTCCCCACTGGCAGAATCTTACTGCACACCATGTCGAACGAAAAGAATGAGCTATCTGATCGAGAGGTCAGCTCGCCTGTTGTCGCCACTGGCGAGATCGAAGAGATCTACAGTGACAATGAGCGTGCCGTCTTGTCCAGATTTGACTGGCTCGTCATGCCGCAGATGGCCATTTTGGTCATCTTTGCGTACCTAGACCGCACAAATATCGGTAATACTCTTGAACCATGCACTTGAGAATCTTTTGCGAATGGTTGCTGACATCGCCTTGCGGTTCCGGAACAGGCAATGCACGCGTTTTTGGTTTAGAAGAGAGCACCGGAATGAAAGGCAACGACTTCAACGACATTTCCATGTATTTCTACATCCCATACGTTATTTTCGAGACCCCTTGGGTTATTGCCGTGAAGAAATTCGGGCCGGGACGAGTGCTTGCTGTTGCCATTGTTTGCTGGAGTGCCATCACTCTTGGGACCGGGTTTGTCAACAGCTACAGAGAGATGATTGCCATGCGTGTCCTCCTGGGTATCTTTGAGGCCGGTCTGTTCCCAGCCCTCACCTTTGTCATTTCTATGATTTACCCCCGCGGTTCTCAGGGGAAGCGAGTTGCCGTCTTGTATATATCGATTGCCCTCTCGGGTGCATTCGGAGGTCTATTTGCATACGGAATCCAGTCCATGGGAGCCAGACACGGGCTTGAAGCTTGGCGGTGGCTATTCATTGTCGAGGGAACCATCTCGTTCGGAATCGGACTCGCGTGCTGGGTCAGTCTCCCGACATCCCCTGAGACAGCGTGGTTCCTCAAGCCGGAAGAGAGGGAAACGATGAAGAGCATCAAAGCCAAGAACACGACGCCCTCGAGCTCCGGAACTCTTGACTGGAAGGAAGTCAAGATGGCCATCACTGATCCCATGATCTACCTTGCTTCAGCATCTCTGTTCTGCTCCTCCATCGCCATGTTTGGCTTCAGCACCTTTTTACCGACCATTTTGCTTGGTCTCAAGTAAGACACATCTTCAACCAAACTTCTGATGATTTTACGCTTACAAAATGACTCCTTCTCAGCTACACATCCCTTCAAGCCAATTACCTTTCAATCCCAGTGTATGTGTTGGCTGCCATCACAACCGGTATCTCGACATTCGTATCCGATCGCTATAATCGACGTGCTGCGTGCCTCATTCACTCGCCTCTTTTGGTTATCATTGGATACGCCATCTGCATTGGGTCTGCAGACAAAGCCGCTGGGTTTGCGGGCATGTTTGTGGTCGGTGCAGGAGTTTATTCCTTCAACTCCATTCTTGTAACGTGAGTACTCTGTGCCTTCAAGCAGCGACATTGCCATCTTTAGAAGCTAATCAATCACCCCGATATTATAGATGGGTCTCCAACAACACTCAGCCAGACTATAAACGTTCCGTGGCCATCGCCATGGTTATATCTGTTGGAAACATTTCCGGTCTTGTGGCCTCGCAGATCTACCCAGCATCAGACAAGCCGCGCTACATAAAGGGGAATGCCGTCTCTTTGGGACTGGAAGCTGGTGCATTGGTCAGTGTAGTGTTGATTTACACTCTGCTCCGGCGTCGCATGACTCAAAAGGAACAACTGCTGGCGGAGGGAAAGACGGAAAACGGAAAACACGGTGATCAGGCACTAGATTTCAAGTACATCTACTAGAAGATGACGTTACGGAGGTAACCAAACTCGACTTTTACCTACCCAAATGCATAGGACAAGATAACTCAACGTTTAATTCTAATTTTACCTAAACTTTTCCATTTAACACCGCATGGCGATGGATCAGGTCTGGCTGGCCTATCAATAGCGGGAATTTCACGCACAATGAGAATCAGAAGTTGCCTTCAGAAAGCCACAAAAACAACCATACGGAGAATCAAGCAGCCATGTCCTTTCAGAAGGCGTACAAGGGACTTCAAACAAGACGTGACTCAAAGCTGGCGTGGTAGGCACCTTGAAGCTTCCAGCGTTAAGCTGAAGGTCGAAGTCGAGGTTGAGGCTGACATTGAGTTCAAGATCGAGCAGCACTTCCCCTTCGTTAGCTGGCTGAAAGGTCCGCAAGCCATTCCTCGTTACTGATTGCTATCACGGCCACTGTATTCGAAAGGTTCTATTAAGGCCTAATTTGGAGTTTCTATCAACTAGCCCATGATCTTGAAATGGCACACAGATACCTCGAGAGAGTTTTGCCTGGTTTCTATGGTACAGGACACTCGAGGATCCATCCCATCACCAACACAGGATGATTAGGCTTAGAGGTTTCCATGTTAACTGTAATGTTTGAGGTCGAGTAAATCCTATGGGAGAATCATGTTCGTTTCAGCGCGAGCTCAGAATGGCTACAGTTTTTATTCGGTCACTGGCGCGCATCAGTCGGTTGCCGACGTTGAATCCACAGAGAATCAGCAGACTTTTTGCCTCGGCTTCATCAATATCGGCGTTGCTCTCTCTAGGCGGTTTACTATCTGCACACCGCCTATGCCAGCTACTCCATCTCCTTGTACGGTAGCTTGTCATTTGCTTGCTGATGGGAAGCAGCGGCCTACCAGAGCATTTCTCAAACCATGCCATGTTATCTCAGCATTCAGGTATTATATTATCCCGCTTACATCAATGGCAATCGGGGTCGCCAGAGGATAGGGTTTATCGAAACACGAATCCCATCTTGAATCACCCGAAGCCCAGAACCTCTCCAGGAGGTCCTTGGCCACCAACGGCGTGTTCGTGCCGATGTGGTAGCTCATCCCTACCAACTCATCCCTAACGAAATCTTTCATGGCTCCACAGCTGTTCGCAGCTTCCATTCCAAGGACGTACAGCGGCCAGCCAACAAATCTCCTAATCCTGATCGATGGAAGCGCTTCCTTGAGGTATGTATGTAATGAGATCCCGTGTTCAATCCGGCAAGCTTCCAATAGATCGGAGAGTGGAAGCACTCCAAGGCTCTGTAGCGAAGCAATGCAGTACAGCGCGGCCGCCGCCTGTGTCGAGAGGGCTACTAGAGCCCATTCACGGTTCATGGCAGGCTTGGAATCGGCCCAGCTGTCAGATGAGAATGCTTCTATCCGCTCCAAGATCTCATACGCTTCCTGGGACAGGTCCTCCCCCGCCATGCCGGACGCGGCTCGCATACGCAGGTGATTTATCCGGACAATTTCAGCGAATAGAGGCGGCGGCAAGAGGTGAAATTGGAACGTCCGATCGCCGTAGCGCTCTATGATGAAGTCGAGGTCTTCAGCGTTCGATCGGGTCATGACGAGTGAGGATGCCGGGGACGTCGTGTTTCCAAGTGCCAAAACGCTGCATACGCCGTTAGCCTCTCTTTACATTGCAGGAATTCCTCGACGGCACGTACTAGAAGAAGCAGAGAATCACGGGGTCGAGCGAGGAAGTGCAGGCGGCGCGAAACCCGCCTCGCGTTGATATAAGGGCCTGTATCATGTCGATGTGGCAGAGCCAGTCTGGAGAGGAGCCTTGCTGCGCCTGTTATTCGTGGAACGGTTTAACATTAGCACGGACGATTGCCCACGTCTTATTACTAGACAGGCCGACTTACATCTACTAGTAAAAGAGAGATGATTCCGGCGAGGATAATGTCGAAGTGCCGTTTGCTTCCTTCCTCTATGTCCTCTCGGAGGCCTCGGATAACTATACCGCGGTATTCCCATATCCTCCGGACGAGTGTCTTGAGTTCAGGATCGTTGCGTGTTCTGTTGATCCGATGGCTGAGGGCCACGCACACAAATATATATTTGATATAATCTGGCACCAGAGCGGCATGTTGGAGGTGCTCTCTTGTGATTGGGAAGACAGCATCGTTGTAAGCAAGGTCGTGAATGTGTATAAGGTCTTGATAGATACAGGTATTGTCTGGCAAAGTTAGTTGAGTCTAGAGGATCAGAGCTTGGCCAGTAGCCACTCACAATATTCTGCAGCCTCAGAGAATATAAATGCCTCAGCCCGCAACTCAGGAGGCCAAGTCCACTGGATCACATCCACAAAGGGCGGTGATCGTGCCCCAGTCCGGGCGGCCACCACAGCCTTGCAACTATTTTTGGTGACCTTTGTCGAGCTGGTCCCTTTCGGTCGCCTGTTCCGGACTTTGACTCTCCCTGGAGCAAGCCACTTCAGAGGCTGGGTGTTCTCATAGCCGGGACAGACGACCCCGGCGATGGAACACCTGTTGCATACAGGGTGCGTCGAGTCACATACCAAGCGGCGTCTTAGGCATTCCCAGCAGTGACGTTTCTGGCTGCGAGAGTGGCCCTTGTCCATCGAGGATGACGCGGCGTTTGTCAATGTCTTGTCGCTAGAGCCCATTGTGACATGCGTACAAAGCCGGGATAACAAAGGCCTGATGAGGAAGTAAAAGGTAGACTGTCACTCCGCATCCAACAAACAAGCGACAAGAGTGGCTTCGTACATGCTGGACGGAAGGGCATTAACATACCAGCATCAGATCCCTGCTGACATCTCTCAGAATTTATGGGACTCCTCAGCCTAAAAGTCTTGGCCTTTTATTATCCTGTTCGGGTTTGGTTTGTCGCAGGATTCGGCCATGTGTTGACTGAAGCGCGCAATTTGTCACCGCGCGTTTTCGGTACCCGAGGCCACTCAAGGTTCACCTGGAGCCTGTATGGCGTAATCGCTTCTCGCAACGCTGTAAAGGAATAAAAGACGAGTTTCCAAGCAAAAGGTGATTCAGAGATTAAAATAACCGAAGGTATGTGTATCTAAACAGGGGAAATCAGCTGTCGAAAGTGGTGCATGAATCTGTGATTGGAGAGCGCGCTGTCAGTGTTGACTCGGCCCACCAAGACCCCTGTCTTTTTGTCTGTGCTCTGTCAATTGTTTGGCGTTCAATTGCTTTGCTTCCGCGGGACTGGCTCAGTCGTCATTCTCGAAACCCTCTGCGACAGTTCATAATCATGCCTTGCCTCGCCATGCTCGCCGATTTCGTTCTCAGGGGTCCGCCTCTGGGAAACCGCTCCTCTGACAGCCTGACATCTCATTAAAAACGCCCATCGCACTCTGCGGGTTTGGTACCCGTGGCGGCAGATCCCTGGAAATGTGACGACGCCTTTGGGTACAGCGTACCGGATACATCTATTTGCCTTTTTCAGACAACGCCAAGGTTTACCTCGATAGCTGAAGAGAAGGCTTCAGTTACAATCGACACTTAAAAACCAACCAAGGGCCGAAAACCAAGATGTCTCCTCGCAGTAATCACCACACGTCACTTGCGTCTCTGCAATATTTCCATCTTATTACCCTAAGAGTTGCTTCTCCCCAGTTCCGGCACAATGTCGCACGGTGAAGCTGGTAAGTTCTGGTTAACCTTAACTTTCTAGGCAAGTCTCTAATAAAATTGGCACAGTTCCATACAGTTTATACGTCTACGCCCCGAACAAGATCGCTCCAGCGGTCTTTGCGGGCCTCTACGCGGCTTCAACAGTCGGACACGTCTACCAGTGCTAGTATGTCAAACTCAGGCTCTCCGTACTAAGAAAGGATTACCTATTAACATGAAGAAGCCGCTATAAAGCTTGGAAGTTGGTTGGGCTGCACGCAGCTTGTGCCTTTCTCTTCACTGCGGGGTATGCCTTTCGAGAATTCGGAGCATTCCACTACTCGTACTTCGAGGACCTTGATCTGATCATGTTTATCCTCAGTCAGGTGTTCATCTATATTTGCCCGTGAGTGAGGCCTGCGATGGATGGTTGTCATGATACAAGCTAACGAATCCAGCCCCATCCTCGAACTGATCAATTACAACATCCTCGGCCACATCTTCTACTATGCGCCTTACATAGCGCCCTTTCCTCCCGGCAAGGTCCTTGCCGTGTTCGGTCTGTTGATGTTGTTCGTCGAAACTCTCAACGGACTTGGTGTCTCGTTCGCGTCCAACCCGAAGTCCCAGCCGACGATACAGAAGATGGGAGGCCACCTGACGATCGCTGCCTTGTCCATACAGTTCGTTCTGATCGTCACATTCGTCGCCCTGTCAGCCGTGTTCCACTGGCGCTTTGTCAAACTCAAGCTACAGTCCAAGGTCATCAGCACTCTCCTGCCGGTCCTCTATGCCAGCATGCTGTTGATCTTCATCCGCTGCATCTATCGCCTCATCGAGCACACGGGGCACACGGCAGTCGACCTGTCAGATTTCGATTCTCTCCAGGACCTGACGCCCATTCTCAGATACGAGGTCTTCTTCTACATTTTCGAGGCTACATTCATGCTCATCAACTCGGTCATTTGGAATATCTGGAATCCTGCTCGGTTCCTGCCCGCCGACTATCACACGTATCTTGCCCAGGATGGGAGTGGAGAGACGCACGCCGAGGTGAACGATGAGCGCACGCGGGCGCAGAAGATTGGGGCGAAGCTCACAATTGGATTGTTCTTCCGCAATAAGGAGGACCAGGGGTACTGGGAGCTGAAGGAGAACCTTACTCACACTCACGCCGTTCAACCCTGAGTTGTAGCCTGGCCAGTTTGTCGGATGGTCTACGCAACGCAAGGTACCTGAGCCATCGGAACTGGTACGAGGTGAGGACAACCACCGGCTCGCATCGGCAGCGGCGAGCGTTTCAGAGGTGGACTTGTTCGACGATGAGCCTGTTCAGCACTCATACATTCCTTCACTTTATACTAATATACTCTTTCCTTTGTATACATTTGATAGAGATCTTCTTTGCAGTCACTAGATGATTAGAACATACCAACTATACAATCCCATTCACTTGCGTATTTTCTTGATGCATACAGACACTGCACATAATTGATGACGCTTGATATGTTTGAATTATAGCACTAACACGCTACCAAGCCACATTACTAGGATGAAACATCTTGTTGCCAAGTTCCATCCACAGATTTTCCGCTAGACATTACACAGGGCCGTTGACATGCTCGGAAACCTCATTCAAGATCCCGATACTGAGAAGCTCATGTTCAAGATCCACCTTACAGGACCTGGGGGAGGTTGACAAGGTTGAGGATACCGTTGACAAGACCGAGGACGAGAGAGAGAGCGCTGACGAGCTGGTCGGTCTTGATGCCGAGGGAGCTGGCCAGGTTCTCGACGGCGCCGACGATGGTCAGGACGGGCTGGAGGAAGGGCCACAGGAGGCCCTTGACCTGGTTGATCTCGTCGGCGAGGGCGGTCTTGACGGCGGAAGGAACATCCTTGACGATGGTGGAGACGGCGATCTTGAGCTCGGAGACGATGTTGTTGACGGACTTGACGGCGACGAGGACCTCCTTGACGTCGGCCTTCTTGAGGCCCTTGATGGCGTCGGCGGGGCTGGCGGCGGCGATCTGGGCGATGGTGGAGGTGGACTCGGTGACGGCGGTGATGATGGTGGCGAGGTTGCCCTTGACGCTGGAGACGATCTCGTCGACGTTGCTGGTGATCTTGGCGGTGGAGACTGCTGCGCGTTAGATGCCTCAATTGTTAAAACTACTCGGGGCGAAAGGAAACATACCGATGTCGTCGACCTGGGTCTTGACGGTGGTCTCGAGCTTCTGGACGGTGCTGACAAAGGTGGAGATGACGACCACGTCGCGCTCCTCAACGGAGGCGGGAGTGGGAGCGGCGAGGGCGAGGGAAGCCCAGGCGAGAACGGCGGAGAACTTCATTGTGGCGGTGGGGGATTTTAGAAGGTAAAAAATTATAAAATAGGTGGATATAAAATTGCGGTAAATGGACGATTGAATGAGCGACTGTGGTTTTGTTACTAAAGGAGTGGTGGTGAGGAAAGCCTCGATTGCTGGTGTTTGGGATGAATGTGGATATCAAGCCTGGAGAAGAAGCAATCATAAAATCGAGAGCGAGGTGGCAGGCTCATATATGTCAGACGGAAAGCCAAGCCCTTCCACGAATCCGAAGGTTGCGTCCCCCCTGCACGGCTTCTGTCGAAATGGGATTGCAACCCCCCTCCCCCACCAGGTGCAGATCTTCAGTGAGGTGGACAGTAATACTACAGCGCAGTGCCTCTTGCGCTGACCGACGTTGGGAGCTTCAGGGGCAGTGACATTTCGAGGGATCAATGCAGGCACCCGGGGAAGAGGCAAGGGCCCTGACGGAAGCTCTGGGAGTGATTTGCGCCATTTCCACCCAGCCCTACACCGCAGAATGAGCCTGATGGGTGCCGCTTGACGTCACGGACGAGGAGAGGAGAAGGGGAGTTCTGTCGTTCGGGTGATCCCAATTTGTGGCCGTTGCTAGAGGATGCCAGGATGTGGGAGAGAGTCCCATGCTGACAGGCCGTTGCCCACGAGCGGTGATTAGATCGGCAGGAGTAATGAAAATCCCAGCTCTTCTCGGGCAAAAGGCCCCCACGGAGGGGTCTGTCATATCATATCAGCACGTGTTAACAGCCAGGGTTTTTTGTTTGATGCCCATCAAAGTAAGGATTCAAAGAGGGTGCCATGCCAGACTAATTCGCTCCAACGGCTAGGCTCGCAACATGGAACATCATCATGAAGCCCTCACCGAGTGTCGCCTCTGCTGATCTCGATATTTGACTCGGCGCACTGCAACGCCAACACTCAGGATCGTCACTCAACATGCCAAGGGCCCAAGTTAACTAGCAGGATGTCCTAATTGGCCTCGTCTCAGAACCACGCGACTCGGAAGATCCCTAGCTGCATACAGCCTTCTTAGAGCAATACCGAGGTCATGATAATGGCATTCCAGGCCTCTTGGCCTGGAGATCTGCACCTCGAGGGGTTGCATTGAGTGAAGCCCCTATTTGATGCCATCGCCAGGCAGCGCCGGTGAGGCTTTAATGAGCAAACATCAAATCCTCGGTGCTATTTCCGCTGGAGCGAGGACAGGCCTTGGTGCTGGAGACGCTCGAGATCACTTGATGCCTCTTTTCTCAACCTAGATACCCATGTCAATTATTGGGAATGACGTCGGGAGTATTCTACCCCTTTACTACCAATTCTCGAGCATGATGTGGAATTGAATTGGATGATACCAGATGCTGGATTAACCCCGCCGGTTCCCCGAAACTTGAGACGGCTTCAATTTATCCGGCCTACCCTAAAGCAGTTGGCAAAATGGCATCACTTGTGCTATTTCTCTATTGAACCGAGCACAAAGCTGTAACAGTAAGGTTTGATGAAAATTAACCACCACTTATTTAATTTCATATTTTATCTTTTTTCATTATTTTTCATTCTAGAATCGTAGAGGTTGTGAGGGGCTTTTTATGACCGCGGCATTGCTGTGCTGCAATTCCAACATGAAATAGTTGTCATAAATCTCGTGCACTTCTTGCTTGAACTTGAGAAATGAACAACAGCTTAATACAATAGTATTAGTGCATTCACTTAAGGTTAGGTTGTGAAGATACACCCGGAAATTCTTATGCCAAAGACCAACCATTTCAGTGCATATTCACCCTTAACTTTCCCAAAGTAAATTGCATCATCATGTTAGTCCATGATGAGGACATTCATTTGTACCTGTGACTTATCTACTTGACACCACCAAGTATCACCGTCGCATCACGGAAGAAGCAGCATCAGCGACAGAAAGAAGAAAGAGAAAGAATGAAAACAACGCGCCGCGTGATCATGCAAAGACTTCGCCCACCGGCTTCTTTCAATATCCATAAAGCGACCCCGCAGGAAGGAGAATTGGCGCGGGGTGGCAGGCACCCGATCTCCGGATTCTGTCCACAGAACTTCGTGTATCGCCCGTCATGCGCACTACGAAATTCTTTGGGTACCTCGCTGGGCAGCTTTGGTGTGTTCAGGATGACCGTCGATTCGCGCGGTTCAAGACAAGCCCCACGGGCGGCACGTAGCCCCTCTCGATAGACAATTGCCCCTCCGGCTGTCGGACATTTATGTAGTAGGTATTAGATCTAAAGAAAGACATTGAGCTTGTGAGGAAACTTCCAAACCCTCCATCTCTTCGTTTCACTCAAAACGCCCAACATGGTGCTCGCTACTCACTCCAACCCCAAGGCCCCAGTGCTGTCCCACTTCAGCCTGGCTGGAAAGACCGCTATCGTCACCGGCGGATGCCGCGGAATCGGCCTGGAAGTGGCCCAGGGTCTGGCCGAAGCAGGCGCCAAGGTTGCCATCACCTACTCGAGCACGGACGGCAGCCAGGCCGACGCCGTCGCCGCGCAAATCTCCCAGTCGGCCAACGGTGCGACCGTCAAGGCGTACCGCTGTAATGTGAAATCTAAGGACGACGTCACGGCGACAGTGGAGAAGATTACCAGTGAGCTGGGCGGCGGGAAGCTCGACATCTGCGTGGCCAACGCGGGCATCGCGGCGCACATCCCCGCCATCGACTACGACGAGGACCAGTGGCGGGAGATGCTCGACGTCAACTTCCACGGCGCCTTCTGGACCGCGCAGGCCGCCGCCAAGGTGTTCAAGCGCCAGAAGGAGGCCGGGGGCGACGGCCGCGCGAGCATCATCTTCACCAGCAGCGTCTCCGGCATCCTCGTCAACATCCCCCAGCCCCAGGCGGCCTACAATGCCAGCAAGGCCGCCGTGACGCACCTGGCCAAGTCGCTGGCTGTAGAATGGGTCGAGTTTACCCGCGTCAACTGCGTCTCGCCGGGCTTCATCGCCACAGACAGTATGTGGAATCACCTGCTCATTGTTCCCGATTGTGTATTAACGGTGTTTCAGTGATTGCGACAATCCCGGAGAAATGGACCTCGAAGTGGCCCGAGCTGATCCCTGGTGTGCGCTTCTGTGATCCCGCTGAGCTCAAGGGAGCCTACGTGTACCTGGCAAGCGAGGCATCCAGCTACATGACTGGTAAGTATAACGATAACCATATTCGAGAAAGAACACACACTGACCCAGACCTTAGGAGCCAACCTTGTGATCGATGGAGGCTACACCCTGCCTTAGACCTTGGCATGGGTTACTGAAGGTGGTTGGTGAGTGGACCAGGGCAAGTGGGTGAAATAAAACATGGTACATCGAGATAGTTCAGCACTGAAGTTCAATACGATATCACAATAAATGACGGAGTACTGAATAAAATATTAAGCTAAATATTATAGAATAGTTTATTATTATATCATTATTCTATTTTTATTATATTTAGTTAAGAAATGATGCCCCTGTCTCACGCGGAAAGAGCTTTGGTGTGCCATGTTTTATTCCAGCCGTCTATAGCTCTGTAATTAGGGAGGTAAAAAAATTTCAAAGAGAAAAGAAAAGAGAGTCTGGTTAAAACCAAACAACTATCTGCTCAAGTATGAGATTATTAGTTGTTTAGATAAAGAATGTCTATGCGAGCCTTAAGCCTTCGCTTCTTCCGATGACGTGCTTCCAATATCTGCCTTTCCCTCCTTGAATCCAAACTCAGTGTCGAGCTCATTTCTGAGGGCCACCTTCTTCTCCATGAAGACGAACAAGAAGACAATTACCGAAAAGCCCAGGCCAACTTGCCATGTTCGCCTCAAACTCTCGTTGAGGGTCGCGATAAAGTCCGATCGATTCTCACCAGACAGCGTCTTCAAGAATGCTGCCGTGGCGTGCTCATAGGCCCGGCCACCTGTGACCTGCGCCCTCAAAGCTGCGTCAGCAATGGTGCTGCCTGCCAGCTCGTCAAACCGATTGTTGAAGATGGCTGCCGGGATGGCGGTGCCCCAGGTCATGCCGAAGCTGCGGAAGAAGGACCAGGTGCCCGTTGCGAGCCCCGTGTCGGCATCAGTGAGAGGAGCCAGGATAGCGGGCAAGAGGGTGGGGATTATGACGCCCATACCGATTGCTTCGATGATCTGGAAGCCTATCCAAGCGCCGGCGGACGAGTTTTCGTCGAGGAGGGTGAACAGGCCGAAGCCAATGATGGCAATGGCAGTAGAGATGTAGTGGATGGGGATGTAAGCGCCAAACTTGGAGAGGAGCACGCCACCCGAAGCAGCAGCTGGTACCATGACCAGGATAGTGGCTAGAAGTTGCAGCCCCGAGGTGCGAGGGGAGGAACCGAGAACTCCCTGGAAGTAGACGGGTAGAAAGTAGAGTGTCCACATGGAAATAATGGCATGAAAGAATGTGATGAGAAAAACTGCCGCCGATGTTCTGTTGGATAACAGACGGAGAGGCATCATGGGCTGTTGGGCGAAACGAGAAGCCTCGAATACCAAGAAGCCAGCTAGACCTGCGAAACCGACCAACAGTGGTACCAGGATCTGGTAGGATTTCCAGGAGTAGACGACTCCAGCCCATGCCAGCGCAATGAATATCGAGGACACTGCTCCGATGAATATGACATTCCCGGTCCAGTCAATCTTCTTTAGTTTGGTAGCCAGTGTCGTGTCTCTATTGAAGTTTGACGGCAACACGGCCGTGAGTAAGACGAGTGCAACGGCTCCTATCGGCAAAATCATGTAGAACACCCAGCGCCATGTTGTCGAGTCGACGATCAAGCCGCCAAAGAAGGGACCGAGGGCTGTTCCGAGACTGACGAGCCCGAATATTATGGCCATGTATTTACCCCTTTCGCGAAGTGGCAGGAGATCGCATATGATGACTTCGATGAAGACGTTGACGCCACTTGCGCCCACACCTTGTATAACTCGACCGGCAACCATCATGGCCATGTTGTTCGCGCCGCCACAGAGACCACTTCCGAGGATGAACAGAGCAGTTGCAGTTACCATGGGCCACTTTCGACCGAAAACATCGCCTAGTTGTCCGAACAGAGGTTGCAGAGAGGTCCTAATAGAAAGATGGAGGGTTAGCTCTTGTTCACAATAAAAATAGGATTGTAGGCACGGACAAGGCAAGGAGGTATCCGTTGATGGCCCAGATGTAGGCATTTCCGCCACCCAGTTCGGCAATGATGGATGGCATCGCCGTCGATGTGATGGTTGCTTCCAGGGCCGTAAGCAATCCGGCGAATCCAAGGGCGACGATGGTGAGCCAGAACCTGTGGCCTTTTTTGACGGGGGCCGTGCTATCAGTGTTGATGTTGGTAATGTCAACGCCATCGCTTGACTTGTTTGTCTCATCAGCGACCCCCATTTTGAGTCGGTTTTGTCTCTTTGACGAGGGAATGTAATGGCGTTGAAGTCCGAGTAGGTGACCTTTTGGGCTGTGATATGCATACAGATGGGATTGAATGCCAGAAAAGCATGCTGATTCTTCCGAGTTATATAGTGACTACCAGCATTTTACAGTTCCATCCCTTTATTCCACACCCGGCTGCCCATCGAAGCTCCTTAGTCTGGACTATCGGGAGTTTTGATCAGACACATTCGGGAATTTGCCTGATCGAGTTAGTACATCGGGAATATCATGTTTTGGAGGATTCAAATTAGCGATTCGCGACTAATAAGCGGGGAGCTTACCGACTTCTCGCCCGTGCCACGTCCACTCATCCTTGCTTTCTTTCGTCGGCACGTTCGCAGGCAACTCAATATCACCATGACTCCGCCGCGGGTGCAGTTCTCAAGACGACCCGCGTGCGACAGGTGCCGAGATCACAAGCTGAGATGCTGCCGGCCAGATGACGAGTCGGTCGACGCGTGCACTCGCTGTCAACAAGCTCATCTCCCCTGTGTTATTTCAGGTGGTCGTCGGCGTGTAGGGCGTCCTCGAGCTTCAGCCTCCACGTCATCGTCGTTCTCAGGGTCGAACTCGCCGCATGTTACGCATGCGATGCCGCCCACATCACAGCCAACAACGCAGCTCTTGGAGCATCTATCGACGGCGACTCCTCCCGCCGACTCGGCTGCCCTCATTCTCGGTGATGATGACTTTTCATATAGCCCGGGTTCTCTTGAGTTCTTAGACCTGGACTTCTCGGGTAGTAACTCACCACTTTCTCCCGCGCTGAGCAACTCCCAGCATCCGGATCTTTCGGCCCCGACATTCCTCGCGGAAAAAGTGCAGGCTCATCCTCCAAATCCACAAGAGCACGATAAACTAGTCAACATTAGAGATCTTGAACTAAGCAGGCGCGATGTGGTCAGAGGAGCACCTCAACACCACACAAGCATCGTCAGACAACCCTCAGGCTTGATTGAACCGAGCGGCACCAAGATGCTTCAAAGACTTGCTCAACTAAATGTAGACGCAAGCAAACAAATATCTAGCCTGGAGCTCCTCACATGGGGTGGACCCGGGGTGCTCGACTACTGCAGTGAGGCGATCAAGAAGCCGGAGTTTGATCCGCTCGCACAGATGATGAACACCACGGCCGAGCTCGGCAATATCATTGAGGAGTTTATGCCGCTGCATGCCAGCGTGCCAAAGGCAGCTGACAGTCTCACCATGCCCATTGCGCTTTTGTGCGTGTCGTGCTACCTGCAACTGCTGCACATCTTTGACTGCACGTTTAGTCGTGTTTACGAGCTGTTGAGCAGCGTCCCAGATATCGACCAGTTCTTCGCGCTGGCACCAAAGTTCACTCTTCACCCGGGCTTGCCGCCCGTAAAGGGGCGGTTCTACCTCAAGATCATGGTCCAGACGATCAAGCATCAGCTGGGTAATGTAGAGCAGCTCCTGCGTCTTCCTCCGAGTACGTCCGTCATTGGGAGATCTGTGCCTGAGTACGGCTTTTGCGTGTCGACAATATTCCATATCGCAATGGAGCAAAGTCGCGACATGTCCAAGAGAACGACTGGTGTGATGGTGGAGTCTATAAAACGCAAAATAGATTATATTTCGAGTTTTGCAGCAGAATAATACATTCGACGTTGATCCTATAGAAAGTGATCCATTTTTTGTGTTTGAGAAGTGAGCAGCTGGACCAGTGACTCGTTAAAGATTGTCGTGTGCCTTTGCGCAAAAGTGTTAATGCCGGGTAGAATGTACAACCAAACGCCCATTGAGTGCGTCATATCCATACACCGGATAGCCTATAGGTGTTGTGAAAATCTCTGCATACGGCTCGCCGACTGCCTTAGCAGCCCCTGCGAGCTTGTGACCGCTCGTACTAACGCCCAGAAATGTTAAGATATCCAGCTCACTTAACTGGCTATTCTTAAAAATACGTGCTGTTGCTACAGCTGGCTGGCTTCGCTTTGACTTCTTCTTCCACATCTTGATGCGTGTAGAGTATGTGTGGTTGGTAACAGATCGGGTGAGAGTGGGATGTTTGAAGTTTTGGCAATTACTTGAGTGCAGCAACGTGCGAAGTTCCGACAAGGAGTCGATTGATTCGACTGACGGCGAAGGTAGCGATGTGTGACACTTGGCTTGTCTGCGAGCAGCGATTTGCAGAATAGGCGGATTATCGATATGGACTTAAGCTGTGCGGTTCATTCAGTGAAAGGACCAGGCCAGAGATGGTGACCTTTAAATAGATGGAAAGCAGCATCTTAAGGTTCATGAAAGGAGTCATGCTGACGAAAGAGTTATTGCCGGGCGCGGCCTTTGGTATTGAACCTTATATATGGCCGGGCATAAGCCTTATAGCCGGGCAAAAAGGCTGAAGTTTGATATATTGTAATACTGGGTATGGTATTAAATTCTTAGTGTTTGGGAATCCTCCCTGAGATGGGAGATTGCTATAGAAACTGACTTAGCTATTACCTCTTCAGATAACATCGCGGTCATTAAGCCATAGTCTACATAGGCTACACTATATCTTTAATATATTTATTGTGATCATTTACCTGGGAAATGTAGAAGCAAAGTCGCCTTTGAAAGAGCAGGTTGTCCGGGAACTGGGTTAGGGATGTTTCTCCCCCCCAGCGTGAGGTACTTGTATGCTTACGACATGATGAAGGGGACGCGATTACTTGACTGTAGCAAATGCAGATCTTCCATTACCCCGAGTAGCTTCGGCGCCAGGTTTTGGTCATGACTATGCTATGTGGACATTTTTATGTCTCATTCTGGTATGAGCACTCCTTCTAGAAGGACATCATTAATGTGGAATCCTAGAAGGCGTCAAAGGGCTTGAAATGACATGGCTTGGCGATCATTCTGAGTCAGATTATATCCCTATTACCTGGCGCCAAAGAATGGAAGTAGAATCCCAAGTGGCGGTCCTCGATGATGCACCTGAGGTAAGCTGATGGGTTGCATCAAAGTGCCGGGGAGGTGGCACTCGGCACTCGCACTGGATGAGGAAATTGGTTCCTGGTTCCGTCCCTGCCGAAAGAAACGACAGCACAGTCAGAATTTCCAGAGTCTGGGCTGGGTTGGGTTTGTAGCAGATAAAGAAATGTACCTGACTTGTCGCCACATCATCCGCTATTAGGCGCACTGATGCCATTATGTTAGGCTTTGTCAAATGCTCCATACGTTCCTCGAGAGTCAGGTCCTCATTAGATCATTATGGACCCCTGTCGACATATTTTATGCCTAGATCTATCTAGTGAGTACGAAGAGGAGTATAGGGCAGTGGCTCGCGTGATCAGGAACCAGGGCGAAAACAACCTACAAACTAGCGCCGGTGCCTTGCTCCTAGAATAGCATGAAGATGGCCTACTTTATCCGCTGCCGCCCGTGTATTTGGCCATTCACAGCTCCCGCTACTTGGTGAATAATCCGGCATGAGTTAGCTCGATGCCAAATGCAATATTGCACTGCCACCAGGCAATTTCTGGTGAGCTACTAACCGAGCTGCGGGGCGATTCCGTAAGATGGCCGTAAGGTGGAGAGTCGAGATGACTTCTAGATTGGTCACGGAGTAGAACCAGCCAATGCGAGCAGTAATCAGTCTTTTCAAGCCATTTGTCAGGCGGTCGGCCGCCCCGCCAATACTGCGGCTGATCACAACACGCACAAATGCAGCTATTATTATCGGGAGGTGCATTTCGTCTGAGGTAAGGCTCGTGAAATGATCCTTGGTGTTGATGGCGGTATCCATCTCATCGCGTCTGAGATCCACGGTGGCATTGTGCCATGTGAGTCTGCGCCCAGAATAGCAATCTTAGTTCGTTTGAGCTGCCGGTAGACCTGTCAGTATCGTTAGATTTCATGTCGCAACGGCACTCCATGCCAGGTACTGCCGGGAGTGAGATCAGGCCCGATATTTCCAGGAATCTCGTCCCATTCACCAGCTATATAACCCATCAATCCTCACCTTCTTCTCAGCTGGAACATCAGAACAAACACTTCCAATTTCAAACATCTTCCAAAGCCATCTCTTCACAAGCAAGCCTTATCTAAAGTCCTTCCACCTTTCTTACATCCACATTCACCATGCGCTTCAACGTCATCCTCATTGCTGCTGGTCTGGCCACCACCGCCGTCGCCTCCTCATACAACAACTACAACTACGCCCGCGACGTTGAATCTTACAACGACGAGGTCTACGAGCGCGACGTCTACGAGCGCGACGAGGAGCTGGTTGCCAACTTCCTCCGAAGCCTCGACGACGACCAGCTGGTCGCCATTGCCCGCCGCAACCCCGGCGATGCCGCCAAGAAGGCCGTCAAGCAGGTCAAGTACGCCGGCCACCAGACCAAGGGCAACCTCAAGGGCGCCGTCAGCCGCGTCCTGCCTTTCGTCAAGTTCAAGAACCAGGTCAAGAAGTCCGGCGTTCGCAAGCCCATCTCTAAATAAGCGCTTCGAACAGTCTTGATACAGGAGAGGATTTAATAAGGGGAGAGGGACTACACTGTATTACTATGGAGAGTACTTGATTAGACAAGGGATTTCTTTTGTTCTTGGAATTTGTGCTGTTGCACCCTTTGCATCTGGATTCATCAATCGCTTGCCAGCCATCAGTCTTAGCTTAGACTTCTGAAATTTACCATGTTCAATACATATTACTTTATACAAAGCTCGGAGTCTAAAATCAGCTTTCACTGTGTGTCATTTAATTGCCCATTGGGTTATTCATTTACGAAGTGAATTGAATTAATTCCCAAAGAAAGCTAAAACCAGTTGTGCCAATGCCGGAAGTGCCCCGGAAAAATATCAACATTCAGACTCAAAGGTGTCTCCTCCAACATATGATCGAGACCACTGATGTCCAAGCTATCAACCTCATCAGTGATACTGATGTGACGCAGCCGCGGCAGTCTGGTGCGATAGCTTTGATCCAGTTCCACGAGCAGGTCCATGACCTCCTGGTCCGGCCATTCCTCATCTTCATCCTGCATCCAGGGGAGCGCCCTGTCAAACAACATCGTGGTTGAGAGGAGCAGTGCCTCGACGCTGCGAGGGACATAGCGGCCCAGCGACTCAGGCCCTGGCCCGAAACCTGCAAGACACACCAGCGGCACGTCGAGGTGGGTTATGCGATCGAAATGGACGAGGCCCTCGAAGGATCCCGAGACGCATATCGTCGGCTCATACTCGGGCGAGTAGCTGCTGACGATGCATATCCTGAACTGGAACCTCTGCAAGGTCCCTCGGACAGGTGACAGTGCCGTGATGACTTCATCCAAGTTCAGGCTCCTCGTGACCCATGGATCGCGAGTGTTGTATGAATAGTGGCATGCCCAAGCAAGCGACTTCAGATTAGGTGTGAGAGCAATTATCTTAGCCGCAAAGGTCGGGCAACAGCCTTCAATATCAAGCGACGTCAAGCGGTCCAGATTAGGCTTTCCATCTAGCCAACGGAAAACCGTATGATTCCTCACCCAAACGGCCAGGTTTGTGACCGTGGGCAGATAGAAGAGAGCCATTCCATCTTTGGATCTCTGCTGTGGAGAATAAGCGAACTCCTCACCGTGTATATAGACCATGTGCTTGAGCCGGTAGAACCTAGGGAGTCCGCCGATCGCTTTCGCCTGGAGGACTTTTCCGATCAGGTCGGTCTTTCGAACAAAGTTGTAAGTGATGGTGAGATGGGTCGTCCAGGAGAGACGGGTGAGCAACAGAGCAGCGAACGCGCCCATGCTGCCTGCCCACAGCTCCCGCACCCACTGGTTGACGAATGGCACATTGAATGTTGCTATGATTGGGGCGAACTCCCAGAATGCCTCGCTGACTTGCGAATCATCAAGAGGAATAGGCTCAAGACTGTAATGATCATGGCCCTCTAGTGAAAGGGTATCGATGTAGGCAAACAACTCTGGTCTCGTGATGAGGGTCCGAAGTAGTTCGATGATGGGAGGTCGTCGTTGATGATCCCAATGAAAGCGTATGTTGGAATAGATTGACGGCTCACAATAGTAACGAAGGGCTTGATTAACCAAACAAACTTTCAAGAGGGTGCGCTTGGGGACAAAATCCAAGATACGATAGATGAGTTCACTTGGGAGGTTCAGAAACGCCGACATCCTCGCGTTTGGTTCGGGTAGGTGTATTTGTTGGTATTTAGCGCTTGGGTTGGTTTTCGGGTCGACTTGAAACCAGAAGAAATATGAAGAGGGGTCGGCTAAGATATCGAGGGCGCTTGCGGGCTTTTGTAGCATTATTCCGTCACAAATGTACGCGCGCTTAGAGCGACTGCCCAGCCAACAGATACTACCGCAGCATCCGCCAGCATGTTGACCGAAAGCATATTTTGGAGGGCAGCACTTGTGGAAATACAGCCAATTACAGAAATTAAAGATATCACCTACCACTTAGCTACAAATGGTAGGCAGTCCCTAAACCTTCGCGGTTTAGCATCTCATCCCAGTCCGAATGCCACTGCCGTTACCTGGGTTGACTTGGTAAATCGGTGTTACGGAATCTGCTGCCTAAAGGAGTCGTGTGGCGGCTATTATCGTGATCTGTTGGTGATATGGTGGTCATATCGCATGTGTTGGAACAATGCAATTTTCAGCTAACTGTCATGCAATACACCCTTGATGTATCACTATCACAGGAAGCAGGCACACAACTTCGGTCATACACAAGGGCATGACATGCTGTACTTCTTAGCTACAGCCTTTATTGATGAATCATTAATTAACTTGGTTATTAGTCAATGTGGCCTTGCGGCTAGATCTTACTTTTAGATAGGGAATGCGCCTGATGTTCCCTGCAACTGCAACCACTCCAGAACGACAATTCCTCAAGCAACAGTCGCCTTGTGAACGCCTGACATCCATCAGCCTTTGGGGTCCACCAGAGTGTCACGTTGCACTGTTTGTTCGCTTAATGAATGGCTGACGAGTAGTGGAATCAATAGGCACACTTCAAAGGTGATGGAGGGTATGTGCAATGTCCAAGTATGTTCCCTAATAACCGAGACACTAGTGACATCCATGATGTTGCTTCGGGGATCTCTGCCCCGAATGAGCTGGAGCCAGAAACCAAACTCCAAGAAGCAGCCGCTATTTTCCCAATTTCGCCCGGTAAAAATTCATTATCCTTTACATTTCAAATACAATGGTATTGTGGTTGATGGCCGTAATCCAGCCGGTGGCGTTTTGGAGATGGAATGTACGGTTGTAGTTCTTCTGCGACGATTGTCCGAACCGCTTCCCTGTCGAATGCAGCGCTTCCCACACCATACGGCTGGGTAGGTACTGGTACAGAAGCGCCAGAAGCGCCGAGTGGTTGTGGCCCCCATGTCGGTTGTGACGGGTGGGCGGCAAATTCAGAAGTTGGCCAGGGCCGTTTGGATCCCGGCGGTTGCACAACGTTCCCATACGGAGACCAACCAGGGGCAGGGGTGAGGGCGTTCATGATTTGTGCTGTTGGTTGGCTTAGGAACTCCCGAAGCAGGTCAGGAAGCATACCAGCAACCATCTCTCGAAGGGCAGGTTCGGAGGCCAGGGATTGTCGGGGATTATGATTGTGTGCTATGGCTGTTGGTGACTGGGTCGATGGTGCTCTTCGCTGGATATGACGTGGCGGGGAAGTAAGGTCAATGGACGACATTCTGTGAGAGCCAGCCTGGGCTCCAGGCTGAGGTTGGTTAGATAGTTCAGGGGTAGATCTCCCAAGTGAGCCAGAGGAGCTACGCGACGTGGGGGATGGCGTAGGCTGGTTCAGGAGTCCACTGTTTGCTCGATTTTGCGTAACATCAGCTGGACGGTCGGTTGTTTGAGACGGTGGTATGCGCAATCGCGGCAGTTCATCGAGGGGTGCGTACTATACAGGACAAGTAAAAGAGTGGTCAATAGAAGCTCTTGTAGGATAGAAAGATGATGACAGATGCTCACAATTTCTTTGCCGCCCCTCCAGAAAGCATCGAAAAGTTCCAACGAGAGCGGCTCCCGCGCAGTGACCACGGGTGGGCTTTTCGTGCGGTCAACTTGCAGCATTGAGCTCATTGTATGAGCACATGGAATACCGTGCTGGGTCATCAAACTCCTCGTACAAGGTTTGAGGGGTTCCCCAATAGGGTCAATCAAAGAGGCACGCGCTAGACAATACTGCTCATAGGCCATCTCGCGTCCCTTCTCAGAGACGTATGACATGATGTCTCGGAAAAACTCAATCAACATCTTCGTTTGGTGACGACTTGACTCCATCGATGCTTTCATGGCGTATTCATCGCTGATTTGTTCGCGTTGGTCCGATGCCTCCTTAGCCAAAGTGAGAAGATTCGGGACCGCGGTCTGAAAATAACTTCGCGCTTTGGACTGAAAACCTCCCTTTGGTGTTGGGTTGTCGACAGCAAAATTTCGATATTCCTTAGTATAAGCCCGTGCCCATTGTTCTCGAAACGGAAGATACGTCTCTTTCAGGTGTTCAAGAATACCTAGGCGCCAGGAGAGAAGAGATCTTAGCGAAAGTACATAGCAATTGATCAAATGAGTGGCACTCACCGGTCTGGGCAGCAAAGTCGGCCTGTAGATGGTCCCACGCATCTTTAAACTGGGCAACCGAAGGAGCGAATACAGTACGCTTCCAAGCCATGAGGAAATCGTTTGGCGCACGTCCTTGGTTCTCCCGGCAAGGCACAATCCCCTCCTCTTTGGCTAGGTCAGCCTGTTTCATGAAAGCCCCCTTGCCTTTCGCGCCTTTCCAGTGCTGCTTCACGACTCTCAAGACATCTTTCGAAAGATGGGATAAACACAGCTGTATTTTGGAATCGGGGAGGTCATTTTTGAAACTATCAGCAACATGTGGGTGGATATTGGAGATGATCACCTGGGGTTGACGTCCCGAGCCCCTGACTTCAGAGAATCGTTTAATAAGCCACTGGTAGAAAGAGGGATCTGCTGAAGTTGTGACCGCGACGGCTACCGGAAAGGTGGTCCCCCGTGCCGTGTACCCATTGATTTCCGCCAACTTCCAGCTTTGGCTGGCGTGGGATGTGATATTGATGAGCACCAGCTGAAAGAAGCCTTTCCCTAGCGCAAGTTCTGACTCGTCTTCGGAACCCAGCATGAAGAACTTGGAATCCGGTCGGTTTCTCTCGTTATGCCTCGTGTGATGAACTGCGCCAGTTTCAGTGAGATGGTCGTCAAGCTCCTGGACGAGTGTGAACAGTCCACCCGACTCAAATCTGAACGTGTTTGTGATGCTGCGAATATCACGTAGCAAGACAGGGTCCATGCTCTGGGTGAAATGTTCTCTAACGAGCTCCAGTATGTATATCACAGGCGCCCTGGGCACACTCTTCCTTAATGATATCAAGATGCTTCTGTTCAAAGTTTGGGTGGCGAATCTTGCAGAGGTGTAGGAGATCCCGTGCGCCATGCGTATGAGGCTGGCGGCCACTGGAGAGCCTCCATTTTTCCTTGGAGCCGGAACCATAGCTGCTCAGACTCATACTGAACGGACACGGCTCCTCAAAGTACCAGTCTGCTGGGAAAGGCGCATCTACTGAGTCCATTCCATCTGGATAGATTGTATCACAGCCTCGGTGGCAGAACAGCATCTGGCCATGTCCAAATATGCTTGGTGTAGGCTTAGAGAGGGCGTAGCCCTGCTGGAAGGCAAAGTCATCGGCAGCTCTCCAGGCGCTTTCGGCGCTCTCATAGTCCGATGTGGTATTAGGTGTTAGGGGACCCATGGCTGTCAATATTGAAATGCCAAAAGTTATGGAGCGATGGGAGAGGCTGCATTATGATCCATGACGGCAGTTATATTCAGGGGCGCGGGTCGACGCGTCGACGCGTTAAGTGGCTTGATGATTAGGTCAGCAATTGAAATTGCTGGCAGGGCTCCCAGTCACGCCCAAAAAAACACCTACAAATTTTTTCAGGAGTCTACCAAGTTGAATTTTGACGATCGGTTTGATAAATCAATATATGGAAGTATTTAAAATAAGAATGCGGGGTTGAGGCCAGCAAGAAGGCTCCTAAGCAACCACATCCACGTCGTGATTCATTCGCGAAGGGAAATTTAGCGGATCTACCAGACTACATCACATACCCTATACCGATGAATATGCACACTGGCAGACAGGGTAATGACCTCAATATCTCCACGAAATGAATTTCTTTTCTATCCAAAAAAAATCCATATCTATCTAAAAAAAAATTAGAATGAGCGGAGGGTGAATTTAACTTGCTATTATTGCCTTTGCTCATTAATGCTAAGAGTCCCGTTCAGTAATTCGACGCGTTCTTCCAGAATGACCAGAAGGTAAGTTATTCCACAGCAATGTTACCGTATCGCTGTCAAGATATACTCGGAACAAAACTTGAATTTAATTACAATGAGTTGCTATTTATTTTTATCCAGTTGCCTTTCATTTTTCTTTCTTTCTTATTATTTTCAAATATCAAAAGGATGAAGCAGAAGGGCGGAACATCGCCTTTTCATCGATTCTTTGTGACGACTGCTACAGTGGTGCAATTACTGGAGACTAAACTGTACTTTAGCATATGTTGATTAGATTGATCGCTGTGTGCCCTGCAACAAATCACCACATATGTAATTTCTTGGATGTTCTCATTGCGCTGGCCAGCCGCTATCAGCGGAAGACTGACTTGCACCCAGCGCCAATTGCCATTTCGATAGATCTGGCTCATCATGATAAGAAAACCATAGTCTGCGCCTGCGGGGACAATGATATGCGTCGCTAGGTATTGCCTTCCCCAGCCTGCTGTAAGTGGCTACAGGTAATTATTTGGCTGATAACGCTCGCCATGACAGAACGGGTGGGGTCGTGGACCCGGCGGCGGGTTCGCCTATCACACGATTCGTGTTAGTGGGGAGGGGGTCGGTTTATAGGAGGGGATATTTATTGATTACTCTCGGTTCTTTGCATTACCAACTCTGTACTATTGGTGGCGGCATTCGACTGCATCGTAGTGCATTTTCTTCCAATTATTCGCTGGCTTGTGATAGAACACGAAGCAACTGATCTTTCCAACATGGCTAGCATCTGCCCTTACACCTCGTTTGAGGACAAGGCAAACTGGGCCAGAGCCAAGCGAGATGCCTCTGTCGCCAAGGTCGAGCCCAAGTTGAAAGGTCTACCTGCTGAGCTGCCGCTGAGCAGCCAGGATCTACCCAAGGCTGTATTAACTTCAAAAGAGATTGAGATCACAGAGAAGTACACCATAACCGAACTTTTGTCTGCGCTCAAGGAGAAAGTGTTGTCGGTGGAGGAGGTCACCAGAGCCTTTTTACGGCGAGCTGCGCTAGCCCATATCACGGTATAACTTCTATCAAAACTCTCAAAGAAGAAAATAATTGAAAGGCTAACAACTATCGTACTAGACAAACTGTCTGGTTGAGCTTATGTGGGATGAAGCCATTGCTCGCGCAAAGCATCTGGACTCACTCCCCGAACCAAAGGGTGCACTGTTTGGTTTACCAATCTCTACCAAAGAGCATCAGGGCATGGTTGGACCAAATGTCACCACATCGGCCTCGTTTGGAGCCTGGATTGGGAAGCCGCACGGGTCCAACCTCCTGTACGATACGTTTTGGGAAGAGGGCTGCGTTTTCTATGCAAGGACTACTCAGCCTCAGGCTATTATGCATCTAGAGACAGAGAGCCCTATCTATGGGCGGACAACGAACCCCTACAACCGAGATCTTACCCCTGGTGGTAGTAGCGGCGGAGAGTCTGCGCTTCTGGGCCTGCGCGGGAGCATCTTGGTAAGCCTTCGCAAAATCGCATCAAAATGTGGCGAACAAGAGCGACGCTAATAAAACACAGGGTGTTGGTTCGGATATTGGAGGTAGCATTCGCTGCCCAGCCGCTCATGTCGGTGTATATGGTTTCAAGTGAGTGTGCAATGATCCTGCTATGCGTGGAACGGAGCCATGTGCCAAAGAAGCAGGCGAAGCCTATGACAGATCCTTTCTAACCAGATATTCTTAGACCTAGCGCTAAGCGAATCGCTACAACAGGATTACGAGCTGCCAATGGCGGAAGGGAGACAATTCCTGGTTGCCCAGGTCCCATGGCCGTAGACCGTGATGCCCTGGAGCTCTTTATGAAGGTTGCTGTTGGAGCAGAGCCCTGGAATATTGACCCGTCTATTACCGTTAAGGAATGGATACCTCACAAGTTCACAGAACCCCTCAAGGTTGCCATACAGTGGTGGGATGGGGTTGTCCAGCCTCATCCACCAATGACTCGGGCGTTACGGGAGGTCGCAGATGCCTGCAGGAAAGCGGGCATGACGGTTGTCGACTGGGATTGCGAGCCCCTTGACCACAAAGGAGCTTGGGATCTGTTGTCGGCTCTTTACTGGCCAGATGGCGGCAAGGAAGTCTTGAGCTTGATCGAAGACGCTGGAGAACCCCTTATGGACCTGACTAAGTGGATTATACTTGAACAGCCTACGGTAAAGGAACTGACACAACATGAGCTGTGGAAGGTGAGTTTGATATCTCTTGAATTCATAAGACGTCTGGTCTCACTAATCAATTTTTCAGTTGTGTTGTCAACGAGATGAGTATCGTGCGAGGTATGCCAAGGCGTGGCGGGATAGCAAGAAGGATGATGGGAAGGAGGTCGACGTGATCATATGCCCGCCTTATTTCGGTGCAGCATCCACTCATGGAAACTCTCGTTACTGGGGCTATACAGCACAGTGGAATCTTTTGGATTATCCCTCGGTTGTCTTTCCTGTCACCACAGTTGACGCAGCTAAAGATCCGAAGGACGCTACTTACATGCCAAAGAATAAGCAAGACAAATTTGTGTACGATCTCTACGACCCCGAGACGTACCAAGGCGCTCCGATCAGTCTCCAAGTTGTTGGGAAAAGGCAGCATGATGAGAAGGTTCTCGCCGCGTTGACCGAGATTGAAAGAGCCATGGGAAGGAAGTAAATCGATAGAATTATACAGAATCAATAAACCTCACGTTCACAAATAGTAGAATCTTGACCTAGCGTCAACAACCCATGTCTCAGTCCTGTATCAAAATTTACTCGTGGATGCCCTGGCTTTGCTTCGCCGCTCTATTCCCCATATTCCACCTTAACATCGTAATGGTTTTCAATATGACCTGTCGATATCCGTGCTATTTCCTTGCCTCGCTTCGCGACCCCAGATGTCTTCTCCACCACCAACTCCATCGCTATCAGACTAGGTGGACATGACCCATGTACATGGGGCTGTCATTGCCACCCTCGCCGGAAACACTCTCCCGGTGACAGAAAAGTATCCTGTTAGACAATGGCAAGACTCTGCCCAACAATCGAGTTATCGATAAATAAGCGGCTCATTTGTTATGGCGAGTGTGCGATTAGTTTTGGGTTATCTTTGGTTGGTCACTGCTCTAACATGACTCAAGAAACGAGGGAGAAAATGCCGCGATAAGAAATGGAGTAATGACGAGCGAAAGAGTGATAACAGACCCCCACAGAGTCCACTTGAACCCAAGCTTAAGACACTTATCTCCCTAGAATATTCATGACCGGTTAAAACAGTCCAGCCAATAGACGATAAGGTAATCAAAGCAGGGGAATGCCGCTTCCTGGGACTCGGGGAAGGACAAGGTCTGGTCCTGTCCCAGCCCTTAGCCTCTCGCTAAGTATTGCCGCCGCATCTCTTCCGGAGTGACGAGTCATAGCTGATTTGGCAGATGACCCCAGTCCGTGGCACAACTCCCAATCGTATGGTTCCTCATGCAGAGCGGTTCCTTCAACCCCAGACATTGAAGACTGGCATAGTTCGATGACAGGCAGGCAAGCGAACCCATGGGGGCGGAATGCAACCTTTCAAGATCGTTAGATACCAAGGGCAACTATTGGTGCTTCTTATCTCAGCTCGCATTTGCTTCTGTCCCTCCGTGGCCAGATTTTACAAATAGAAAACCCCGTCATTCCTCACTTCGCAGCTTTCTTTTTCTCACCACCAGGCCCAAGAGAATTAGATTTCTCACCCCTACCGACAATTTCCCTTTCTTCTCTATTTTCTTTCGTTCAACAAGCGACCCCGACATTGGTCCGGTAGTCGTTGTTAATCATGGCCGGCAGCAATTCAACCATGGATGCTGATGCGATTGAGCGGCCCACTCCGGGAACCGTTCGTCTCATTGACACGGACGGAACCAAACTTGCAAAGCACGCGGACGGAAAAGGCCAACATGATATCATTTTGGTCCCGCATCCCAGTGAAGACCCTGAGGATCCCCTCAACTGGTCCCGCAAGCGCAAGTTGCTCGCCACCAGCTGTGTGCTCATGTATACGATCATGATCGCGATCCCGTCCAGCGCTGTGTACTCGGTCGTAACACCTATCCGTCTCCATACCTCGCTCAGTTTGACCGACATTAACAATGGAACTGGTATCATGGTGAGTTGAAAAGTTCTGCAAAGAACGGGAGACGTGAACATTACTCTAACATGCTCCAGTTTCTCTTCTACGGCTGGGGCTGTGTACTTTGGCAAGCTGTTGCGCTTCAGTACGGAAAACGACCTACGTATCTCTTCTCGCTCGTCACCAATGTCATCGTGTTGGCTTGTGCTCCCTTGTGCACCACCTCAGGCCCATACCTCGCCAACCGAATTCTACTAGGATTCTTCGGTGCCCCCGTTGAGTCTCTTGCCGAAATCTCCATCACCGACATCTGGTTCGCCCACCAGCGCCCTCAGTATCTTGCCTGGTATGGCTGGTCGCTGGCCCTCTGCGGCAAGCTGGCACCTATGCTTTCCGGCTTCATCAACGTCGGCATGGGATGGAAATGGACACTCTGGTGGTGCGCCATCTTCAACGCCATTGCATTCGTCTACTGCTTCTTCCTCATGGAGGAGACCAACTACGACCGCAAGCACGATGCGCACCCAAGAGCTGCTACCAACGTCCAGGCGGCTGATGCTTCATCTACGGATAAGGGCGCCGAGTCGAAGGAGAAGACGGTCACTACCTCTGTTGCCGATACGGAGCGAGGTGAAGTTCAGTGGGTCAAGAAGACGTACCTGCAGAAGCTTGGAATCAAGGACAAGAAGCGGCCCAACCGTTTCCTCGATATCATCATTGCTCCTTTCAAGGGCTTCACCTATCCTTCCGTGGTCTACGCTGGGTAAGTTTTCATTTTTCTTTCTTGTGGCATTAAGGCTTTTGCTAACCTCATACGCAGTCTCATGTATGGAGCCAACAACCTTGTCTGGACGGGCATGCAAAACGCTACTATTGGTACCATCTACACAACTGAGTATGGTTTCACCACGGCCGGTGTCGCAGGTGGTTATGCCGGGGGTATCCTAGGTACCATCATTGGGTAAGTCTGCCCCATCTGCTGCATGAGTATCTCCCAGGTCAATAACTAACGCTCGCGGCGTAACAGAGGTCTTTACTGTGGCAAGATTGGCAGCATGCTTACCATCAAGCTAGCTCGCCGCAACGGTGGAATTTCCGAACCAGAGCACACCCTCTACCTCTTCACCCTTAGTTGCATTCTTGTCCCCGCCAGCATGATCCTTTACGGCCTGGCCATCACTTACCACCTCCACTGGTTCGCTCTGGCCTTTACCCAGTTTACCCTGGCCATCAACTCGTCCTTGTCCGTTGCCGGTGCGCTCAACTACGCTATTGGTAGCTATCCCGAGCTGGCAGGCCAGATGGTCACGACTTGTGTCATCATCCGAAACACCTTGTCCTTTGCCATCAACTTTGGTATCACCCCATGGCTGAACGCTAGCGGCTACCTCGTCGTGTACTGCGTCGTGGCGGGAATCGCTCTGGTGTGGAACGCCTCGATCTTCGTCATGACCCGGTTTGGACGCTCCATGCGAGAGAAGACTGCGGCCAAGTACTGGCGGGAGGTCGACCGGGCCAGAGCCAAGGGTCTCGGACATTAAGGCTAATGCCTAGCCATGGGTGTTTATCACTGCCAGATTGTTATGAGTAGTTGAAACTCTTAGCGTAGAATATTGCCTATGGGATGCGTGGTCGATCAGTATAGAAACCAGATACATAATTTATGGAATATCATATCTTTTCCAGCTTTAATACACTTTGTGCCAGTGAATACCAAGCGACTGATATAAGACACCACGCCTATAACCTCCAGCGTTGAATTTCAATACAGTAACAAAACAATTAATTAACCATAAATATAATAATAAGCTAAATACTGTAAGATAAGAATTTATTAATTTGCTTATTATCGTGCTTAGTATTGTTGATAAGAAAACAAGGTCCCCGACTTGCGTGAACAGAGCTTTGGTGTGCCAAGTTTTAAGTCACTCGCTTGAAAAAAACCTAGTCATGTATCCTGTGCATTTATAGAAGGAAAATATCGTATATACTGCCAGTAGCGAGCACTGTTGGGCTAGAAATAAAATCACTGGGGCAAAAGCATAATCAAAATCGACGGTTTCACTTCACATAATCACCTCACGCAATGTTTAGCTTTACTGTATTTGATCTTGCGCTTCAACTTAACATCAGGTGAGCCTCAGTCTCCTCCACAACCATCCGCCACCGGCTCGTCATATCGGCTCCAGTCGTAGGGCCGCGTTTCCATACCTCCAAGAGCACCTGTATCCCTGACCTCCTTGCCTCGATCCCGTACACTTCAACCTGATCATACCAAGTCTTGAAGCGGTTCTGCAAGGTCTCATTGAAAGCTTCGCTTGCAGCGATAAACGCGGGCCAGTATATCGGTGCCGCCAAGATCCTTGATTCTGCCTTGATCTTCTCTATCGCCTCGATGTTCTCGAGCACGGTTTGCACATACTGATGTAGGTATCTATAACTGAGGCGTCGGATATGCTGTGCAAAGTAGATGATCAAGGCATTGTGGAAAGCGCAAGTTGTGTGCCGTATAATGTCGTAGCTCGGGCCTGAAGTATCCAACCGGCAACGTTGCAGTTCAGTGTCAATGGGCCAGTCCATTATTGACTGTTCTAGATCGTCACAGTAGCTCACAAGCTCAGCAGACAGATTTCCCTTGCCCTCCTTTTTCTGGAAAGAGAACACTCGCCGGATCAACCGCGTGCTCTCAAAGAAGAGTACTAAGAGGTTCTGGGGGACCCCGTAGATACACTCGTATGTGCTCATTTGCAAGTTAGGCTCGATTGACAATCGAGAAGACTGGGGGAGACTTGTGGCGGCTGGATCAATGCCGTCACGTAACGTTAACCGCAGTGGTCGTTGCGCGCCTGCTTCCAGAGACTGATAAGAAGAAGACCCGATTTCATGATAATGGAGAGCGGTGCTTTCGTATATGGCCTGCAGATAAAAGTAGATGCGGTGGAGTGCAAGCGCCTTGGGAGAAAACTTGCTCTTCCAGGTCTTTGCCTGCGTCATGAAGCGAAAAGCACCGTCAAGGTGAACACCACATGTACTTGTGTCTCCCGACATGACCTGCGTTGCCATTTAGTTAGCTTGAAGTCCAGTATGACACAAAGGATGGCTTCCCTACATTGATCGTGATCATTGAAAGCATGGTAGCTAAAAACTCTTTGTATTTGGGTATGCATTTAGTGTTGAAGTCGGTGTTGACTGCATCTTTGAGAAGTTCAATGGCCCTGCCTCGGAGGATCGTTGCTTGTCTCGCCCACTTCGCAGCATCATCGGGACAAAAACGCGATTTCCCTTCGTTGGAGAGGTAAAAGGCGCTTATAGAGAGGAGTGCATTTCGTAGGGCATTTCTAATTGATGAGCTCGACCCTGAGATACTCAGTTGCCCAATGCTCTGCATCGCTCGAGGCAGATGAATTGTTTTCCAGGGACTCTTCCGGTTATCAATCACGCAAAAAAGGTTCACGGCTCGGTGGGTGTAGTGGTACATGAGGAACTGTTCCTGCTCCGGCAGAGATAATGAGCATGGATTCCGGATCAAAGCACTGCCGGTTGAGGCCCATTCGTAGTGCTGTAAAGGTACAGCTCCTGGGTCTTGCAACGGCTCAGAGTCATGACCGTTAATTGCTCCCACGGCAAAATTGGGAGCGTCAAAGAATGATGGTGAAATGGCATCAAACAAGATACTAGAGCCGAAGTCTGTTTGTGGTGCATGAGAGTCGTCCTCACCCAAGAATAAAGGGGGGGTTGCGCCATCGAGATGTGATGAGTTAAGTTGCTCATCGGTAATACTATCAAACGGCGAACCTTCATCTGAGGCCATGGACGAATCGTGCTCGTCAGGAATCACAGATGTAGACAACCTCTCCACTTGAGAGAGGGGACAGGGGTTCAAGACTCCGAAGTTGTGGATAAAGAAGTGGTCGCCAGAGCCAGGAGCAGAAGACTCCAGCGGCTCGTAGGCGTCGATGGAGTCAAGGATGTCATCTATCTCGGCCGATTCGAAAGACTGGCAATTATGCTCTACAGGGCGTTATCTTAGCCGACGGGAACTTGACTTCAGCCTGGGTTACCATTCTACACGTACTAGTTGTGACCTGGCTCCGTTGAATCTTCATGCGAGGGGCATCATGGTCTCCGTCAGAGGAATGAACCCACTGCAGCCGAACTCCATACCCTTGGCAGAACAGACTCTTTGATCGGCATTGGAGGCACGTTGGTCTCGCCTCATCGCACTTGACCTTCCGAGAGCGGCATGTCCAGCATCCCGTGAACGTCTTCCTATGCTTTCGGGCCCCAGAAGTCGGAGGCGATCTCATCATTCATCCCTTATCGCTACCTCTTGCTTGCCGTCGATGCCAGGCAGGATCAGTCTCTCAGATGGGGTGAAGTGGCCGCTGGACGTGGAATGTAGAGGCAGCTGCTCAGGCGGTGCGGTGTAAAAGAGTGGACAAGATGGAGGAAACCATGAGCGACCGATGGCGCCAGACATCTTTCTAACACACGAGGCGGGGAGGATACACCCAGCGAGAAAACCGGGGCACTGTGATAAGACGAGGGCCGTTTGTCGGGGCAAGTGGGTGACATTGAACTTGAGACACTCAAACATTAAGATGCTTATTCTCAAGCCTGCGACGAGTATCATCAGATTATTGAGTCCCAATAATACATACTTCAGAGATAATATCGTATATATTGTTACTTTATTTTATTTTATACAACTAAAATTCTCTATTTATTACAGAAAGTAGTTGATTAATAACCACCCTTCCATTAGGTGTCTCATTTCTCCTGTCACCCACTTGCGGGGATACCCTGATCAACTCTTATCACATCCCCGCCATCGCTTGCATTGTCGAAATGGTTGCTGGTGGAGTTAGCGTGTCGCCTGGGATTTCCCTGAGTCGTTCCACGCCCCGCTCGTCGCTATCTCATCTATGTGGCGAGGTGGATAATATTATCCCTCGGACAAAGCTAGCGTCCTATGCATACACGATAACATCCATGCCTTTAGTCAAGCTTATGTGGCCCATGCAGAATGTGGAGTGAGGAGGCATCTTTAATCTATGAGTGGACTTGACAGAGCCCAGAGACAGTCACGCCTGCCAAGATATGGCTCATAGCATTCATATCATCTTTAGTTTCTCAGGCCTTATCTCTGATCGAAAACTAAACGAGCACATCCCGTTGAGTTTGGGCTATGGGTTTATCACCGGTCCTTGACACAATCAAGCAAACAACTAAGCCCTAAGCACATCTCTACCATGCCTTCGACGACAACGATTACAGAGACGGCACCTGCCAAGATCTCTCTGAAGAATGAGGACTTGAAAACTCCAAAGCCACAGGGTCTCGCTGCCTGCGCCACAGGGGGGTATGAACTTGCAGGCATCCCCAAGATCGATGACCCCTACAAGAAAAGGCAGTGGCAGCTCGAGCACATGGCCGGCGCGTTCAGAGTTTTTGCTCGTAAGGGTTTCACCGAGGGTACCGCTGGTCACATCAGTGTTCGTGACCCAGTAGACCCGAATACCTTCTGGATCAACCCGTCAGTACTCATTCTTCATCTAACGTGTTACCATGGATGGCATCTAAAGCAAATCGTGGCTGACGGAGACAAAACTTAGACTCGGCGTACACTTTGGCATGCTCAAGGCGAGTGACATGGTTCATGTGAATGAAGAAGGCCAAGTAATCGGTGGAAACAAGGTTGCCGTTAACGCTGCCGGTTTCATGATCCATAGCGCCATCCATAAAGCTCGCCCCGACGTCAACGCTGCTTGCCATACGCACTCTGTCTATGGCAAGGCCTGGTCCGCTTTTGGAAAGCCGCTAGATCTCCTTAACCAGGACAGTTGTACCTTCCATGGAATACAGGCTGTTTATGAGTCCTTCGGCGGCGTGGTGTTAGAGGCGGAGGAGGGAGAGCACATTGTCAATGCGTTGGGAAAGGATGCGCGAGTGCTGATTCTGCAAAATCACGGTCTTTTAACAGCCGGTGGCACAGTTGACGAAGCTGCATATCTGTTTACTGCTATGGAGAGGACGTGCGAGGTTCAGCTTCTGGTTGACAGTGCCAAGTGGGAAAAGAAGCTCATCGGAAAGGAGGCGGCCCAGTACACTGCTAGTGTGAATGCCGATCCGGTAAGTACTCACTCTAGAAATTCCCACCTCATAACGTTCAAGTTGTAATTATTGACATCATCAACAGGAAACTCTGTACGCAGAGTTCCAGCCAGACCTGGAGTTTGAAATTTGGCAGTCTCGGGGCGAGCTCAGCAAGGGCATTTAGGATACCAGATAGACATGTTGTATTGAATGAAATCTAGTGATAACCAGTAATACATTTTAGTGATAGCTGGTCTTGAGGCTAGAGTGTGCAGACCCCAGTTTGGTGGATTCTAGTATTTGGAATAAAGAGAGCATGTTCATCAATTCAAAGTCAAGAATTTGCGTTGTCACACTGGGTCTATCTTAATGATAACCTGGGCTTGGGGCACCTTGAACATTCGACTTTACACGTCCTAGCTACACTACAACTTTGATACACCGAACCCGTTACGGTTCGCGACTCCCAACATGCCTCTGGATATCTCTTCTACACTCCTCACACCTGCCAATGCCATGGTCCGACTCAACTCTCGCTCAAGAATGTGCATGACCGTCTCGACACCCCGGCGACCGTCATAAGCAAGTCCCCAGAGCGCGGGACGCCCAACGAGCACAAAGTCGGCACCCAGGGCCAAACACTTGAACACGTCCGCGCCAGTCCTGACTCCGCCGTCCATGATGACTGGCAAAGCGCCATTCACAGCCTCAGATACTTCAGGTAGCGCCTCGATGGTCGAGCATGTTTCGTCCAGCTGACGACCGCCGTGATTTGACACGATAATAGCATCCGCGCCAGATTGAACAGAAAGCGCAGCATCCTCCGCGGTCATGATGCCTTTCAGGATGATCTTCATGCTTGTCACTTTCCTTAACTCCCTGATGGTTCGTTCCCAAGTGAGACTTGCGCTGTGCATCTTGGAACCAAAAGCGGCACGCAGCGCCTTGGCTTCGGCAGCGGATCTCACATTCATGAACTGTCTATTGATGCTAGGCTGCGGCTTCGCCCCCGCCGCCGTCTTTTCCAAGTTAGGTAAACTCAAGCCCTTTGGTAGGATCACAGCTTCCTTGCGCTCGGCAAGACGGTTTCCCAGCACGGGCGTGTCAACTGTGAGCACCAGGGCTTGGTAGCCAGCAGCTGCAGATTTGAATATAGTCAGCATACCAATGTAGTGAACCTTGACCTATAGCACAAGGAGACGATATTTGAGTGAGGGTGCTTACCTTCCGCCCGTTTAATCAAAGGTACACTCTTCTGAATGTCGTCGTGCAGATAAATTTGCATCCAAAATGGAGGCCCAGGGAGACCTTTCTCTGTATCAATCTTCGCCTGCATCACATCTTCCAGCGAGCTCGTGGATTGCGAAGAAAGGGTTAGATTGAGCCCTATGCCGGCTGCGGCTTTTGCAACATCGATCTCTCCATCGCCACCCGCAAGCCTCTGCATAGCGCTTGGGGCAATTCCCACTGGTAGAGCTGAGCGGACACCGAAGACGTCTACGGACGTATCAACGTCGGATACATCTTGCAACACCCGAGGTCTAATAAAGAGTCTACAGTCAACATGTTAGTCTTGTAAATATTCTCATTTATTTTTTTTCCTTTTTCGAATATGTTTGTACCTTGAAAATGCGTGACGATTTCTCACAACAGCAAGTTGGCCATCTGCTCCTGAAGCATAAAAGTCATATATTTTGCTGGGAAGTGACTTCTTGGCTGCAGCCTCGACCTCATCTAATGTAAGGGGATCTGCCATGTTTGGATAAATCTCGATCAGTGATACTGAAGTTGAATGTCGAGGTCCTGGGGATATGCACAAACGGATTCTAACTCTGGCTCCATATGCTTGGAACTAAGTCAAATTATACCACATCAACCATTTCTACTCTACTACTAAACGATTTTGGCCCGCCTCACTAAAACAGCTCCTTAGCCCGATTACTCAACAGGAGCGAGGTTGAGCCAGTGGGGCAAGAGGAAACAAACGGGACTCGCCAGAGCTTACCTTTGCATTCTCACGTCTAGGATCGCTAGATACTACCAAGACTCCGAGAGGACACATGGCTAGCTCAGTGACTCGGTCCTGTCATCTCTACTAGCGCCTCAAGCAGTGGGGGGAGAAAACAAGGCCCTGGTTTCCTTCTCTGTGGGTCCGATGGCGGAGATATGTTATCTCTGATCTCGGACGATTTCGTTTTCGATCCTTTGTATACTGATCTGGGTAATTTGAGCAGGGCTATCTGCTCTTGCATGAGAGAGTGTGGATCTTCATATCGCTTCGGGCTGCTGGTTACTGAACGCCCCGTTTTCCTATTATCTTGTCACAGAAGACACTATGAAGATCCTTGCTATACGATAACTCGCGACGGATTTTCCAAGTCCAGCCCGTACTTTACTCTCTCTGAAGAAACACTTTGTAAAAATTGCTGCTTATTAAACCGATTGAGAAGTAGTATGATTTACTGCGTTCTCCTCATCAATTTGCCAATTTCGTGCAATATCACGGCCTAAAATAGTATTGGTACTTCGTAGTAAGTGAGAGAGCTATGTAGATACGCGGCAGCTGCTGAAAAAAAGGGGGGGGGTTCCCAAACACCAAGAATTAACAGCTTTACACCATACCCAGTATCACAACACATTAAAGTATCGTGGACTTAAAGCATCGTTAGTTAAGGCAACAGAAGTTCATTGTTCCAGTAAAGACCACCAAGACAGGGCAAAAGGGAACGGGCATGGTTGTCCTTGCGCAAATATATGATATGCTTTCTTTGTTTTCTTGCTATCTAGATTCAACCCTGCGTATACCTCATTTTTAGATCGATGCGCGATGAACAACATTTAGATTGCCCACAACCAAAGTCTTCGTTTGCATGTAATCGTCCAGCCCATATTTGCTTCCCTCGCGACCAATACCTGACTGCTTGATGCCTCCAAATCTGTGTAGTCCCTTTGGTTAGCGTATGCGAATGTAAAAATTTCCTATGCGACTCACGGAGATGCTGCATCGGAGATCACGCCAGAGTTTACGGCGACCATGCCCGAGTGAAGAAGCTCAGATACACGAGCGGCACGACCGTGGTTCTCCGTGTAGATATAAGATGCGAGACCAACGTCACAGTCGTTTGCGGCGTCGACTACACTATCTTCGGTGTCAAATTTCTGGATGGCGGCAACGGGGCCAAATATCTCCTCTTGGACGATTCGCATGTCCTGTGTAATGTTTCCGCTTAGAATAGTTGGCTCAAAAAAGGCAGGACCTAGTCAAGTCAGTGAAACCATTCAACGCTCTCAACACATGCTGTAGCTCACCCAATTTAGGCATCGTCTTTCCGCCAACAACTATCTGGGCGCCCTTTTTGACTGCATCTTCAACCATCTCGCTGACTCTTGCCGCCGCACCTGCGTTGATTAAAGGTCCGTGTGTGACTGTGCTGTCTGTCGCGTTGCCAATCTTGAATTCTGCCACAGCGGCAGTCAATTTCTTGATGAAATAGTCGTATACGCCGCTTTGGACATAGATGCGGTTGGCACAAACACAAGTCTGTCCAGTCACCTTGAACTTAGCAACCACAACGCCCTTGACAGCCAGGTCGACATCCGCGTCATCAAATACAATGAATGGGGCGTTTCCGCCCAGTTCAAGACTTAGTTTCTTCACAGTATCGCTGGATTGTCTCATGAGTAAGCGTCCCACTCGTGTAGATCCAGTGAATGAGATCTTCCGGATGATAGGAGATGAGCAGAGAACCTGGCCGATCTGTGGTGTGTTCTCAAGGGCGTTCACGATGTTGATCACGCCCGCTGGAACACCAGCTTTTTCGGCTAGATATGCCATAGCAGTGGCAGTAAATGGCGTCTCTCCGGCTGTCTTCACGACAACAGCGCACCCAGCAGCCAAAGCCGGACCTAGCTTTCTCGTCACCATGGCGCCTGGAAAGTTCCAACTATACAAATCAAATCAGCCATGGTTGTCATTACACCGCATCAAGCCGGACTCGCAAATATCCCGAGGATGACTTACGGTGTGATAAGGCCGCACACGCCTACCGGCTCCTTTGATACCACAACCCGGTAACCTGGCGTGCTATGAGGGATCACATCTCCGTACACACGCGCAGCCTCTTCGGCGAACCATTCGAGAAAGCTCGCTGCGAATTGGACCTCGCCCATTGCGTCTGCTTGGGCCTTGCCGTTCTCCCAGCTTATCAGCTTGGCGAGATCTTCTTTGTTTTCGAGAATAAGCTCGTACCACCGGCGCAGGATGCGAGAGCGCTCGCGACCGGTGCGGGTTCTCCATGCCGGCATGGCCTTGGCTGCGGCATCTATGGCTTGTAAAGCATCTTGTTCGCCTGATTCTGGACAGGATCCAATGCGCTGGCTTGTCGCAGGGTCTAAATTCCGGTCAGCAGAGTTTTCTCATCGCGAAGAGAATAAACCAAAGAAGGAAACGAACCCAAAACGTCAAATCTCTGCCCGGACAGCGCCTCAACCCATTTTCCGCCTATCAGATTCTTCCCAATAAGCAGCGAAGGGTCCTTGAGCGTACGCGAAGACGACATGACTTCAAGTTTATCACTTAATGATATCTTAGTCCTATCTCTTCTGGATTGGAAGCAGGGCGATGTAGAGAAGATGCCAATGGCGATTCAGTGGGACCTTGGTTAAAACAAGGGTAGCTGGTGATTGCTTCGTCTCCAAGCGGGAATATACCCTTTTAACCAATATGCTGTCTATGTATGAATCGACGCGAGCAACATCTCGCTATCGTTATCCAAATCTCAAGGAGGAGAACGATTCGTGTAGTATTCGGGCATAGAGGAGCGGGTCGAGGGTCACATAATGTGGATTCAAAATCAAGTCGAAGGTCTCCCGCTTGACTCGGTCCTGAGACTAAGACCAATCAAACTGGCATTATTACTGAGTAACTCTCCACCCCCCCCACGACCATCGCTTCCTCTTTCTTCGTCTTTTTGAGGGGGACTAGTAGATCAGCAAGCATAATTGTGGATATGGCATAGGGCAGCGACGCATCCAGTCTGCGGGCGTAAGAGATGCCATTGGTGAAGCTCAAGGTTAGATACCGAAATCGGGCCCAGGGGTTCGATAAGCAGCACTTTACGGCCGTAATCACATGAGGTCGTTTATTAGGGGAGAGAACATGACTATCACACAAGGAGACAACATCTTAGTATAATAGATAGTTCACCACTTGCATCATCATACTCCCGAAGGCCATCACTGGATCTTCATCACTTCATTGCTCGTCCACAAGTGGCAAAGCGCTTTGCTTGCCCCCAACACAGTCAGCCATGAGTCCGCTTGTCAAGCAACTTGATCTGGAGAACACCAGCAAGGTGTATCATGCTCCAGCTACCATCACAGCCCCTGGCACCAGACTTATCCACGTCTCTGGCCAGGTCGGCGCCACAAAGGACAACCATGTGCCCGCCGACTACGAATCTCAGATCCAGCTGGCACTGTTCAATCTTCGCAAGATCATGGTCGCTGCCGGCGCCACTGTCAATGACATTGCCAAGCTTTGTCTGTACATCGTCGACTACGACCCCGCACACAGAAAACACACTCGCCATATCCAGCGCTTCCTACGAGGCCATCGCCCGGCCATCACCCTGGTCCCCGTGGCCCAATTGGCCATTCCGGGCTGGCTCTTTGAGGTTGATGCCGTCATCGCGTGCCCAGAACCGACTCCCTCCATCCCTCGCTCTCTGGGAGACAGCCAACTGGGAGCCAGCGCAGTTGACGTAATTGTTATTGGCGCCGGTCTGGCTGGTCTAGCCGCAGCGCGCGATGTCATTGCCAGCGGCCTGTCCTGTGTCGTTCTAGAGTCGCGAGACCGTGTAGGTGGACGAACATGGTCCCGACCGACCTCGGACAAGAACGGCATCCTCGAGTATGGCGCTGCTTGGATCAACGATGTCAACCAGACCAAGATGATTGGACTCGCGAGGCGATACGGAGTGGAACTTATTGAACAGAACACCACCGGCAACTGTTTAATACAAGACGCAGAGGGCCGCATAGGCGACTTTGCGTACGGTGAATTGCCAAAGGTACGTCGACAATGTTGCTATCAAACGAGGCTCGTGAATTAACCCACCCTCACCCAGTTTGATAAAGCGACAGCAGATGATGTCGCCCGGATCCGCGATACCTGCGAGGCAGATTGCCAAGCGCTGGACACGGCCAACCCCAAAGCCACAACTCTCGACGCCATGACATTCGAAGCCTATCTCAAGTCACTCAACGCGAGTGAGACAAGCATTGCCACAGCCACCGTGTGGACCCGCGCCATGCTTGGCGTAGAGCCCTCCGAGCTCTCAGCACTCTTCTTTCTCAACTATTGCAAGTCTGGCGGGGGTCTTCTCACCATGAGATCCGATCGCAAGGGCGGTGGTCAGCATCTGCGCATCAGACAAGGCACACAGTCATTCTCGACAGGGTTAGCTTCAGAGTTGCCCAGCGATACAGTCCGCCTGAACACAGCAGTGAGCGATATCAAGCAGTATGGGCCTGGTGTCGTGGAGGTTGTGACTGAAAACGGCAAATCCTACCGCGGCCGTAAGGTGATCACAACAATCCCCAGCCCGGCTCTCAAGACCATCAACTTTGAGCCCAAGCTGGACCCCGTTAAGCTGGCTTGGTCAGAATCAGCTAGATATGGTTATTACAACAAGGCCATTTTGCTATTCAAGACCCCCTTCTGGGTCGAGAAGGGCTTCTGCGGCCTGGTACAGTCCTTCGTCGGCCCGGCAAGCGTCATCCGCGACACCAGCAGCCCAGCTGACAACAAGCATGCCTTCACCTGCTTCATGGTTGGTGCGCCCGGAGCTGAATGGGGAGCACTCCCCGAGGATCAGAGAAAGGAAAGGCTCCTCGCTCAGCTTGGTGCTCTGTACGGCGACAGGGCGAGAGTGGATGCCGACTTCGTCGAGATGCAATGCTTCGACTGGGCCCAGGACAGGTGGACTGGCGGCGGCTGTCCCTGCGCCAGCTTGCCCCCCGGCGTGCTTGACTCTCTTGGCTCGGGTTCTCTGCGTCAGCCTTTGGGCAACATTCACTTTGCTGGTACTGAGACGGCGGCGGAGTGGAAAGGATATATGGAGGGCGCTGTTCGCAGCGGCGAGCGTGCCGCCCAGGAAGTTGTACAAGATCTTGCAAAATATTCGTACCGATTGTAGTCTGTTAATAATACTCCAATTTTAACAGCATTTAGTCAAGATTCATCTTATATTGAACTTGGCATTTACTGTTGCTTCTCAAATGCTTCTAATCATGTTTGAACCCTGACTTCGACAAGGAAAGTTCCAAGTATATTGTACTGTCTATGAGAAACCCCCTTTGTATCTAAAGCATGAGATTCTAGCAGAAATATACGAACCTTATCTTTGTCTAACCCACATGTCAGTTCCTCCTCACCCTTATTCTCCTAAACCTCAACTCTCCCCAATGAGGATGTTTTTTTCTTCTAAGTGACGGCACTCCATCCCTTCAATCACATCCGCAACGAACTGAAGGCTGTTGCTAGAAGTGAGTTTGATTCTGGACTCCAGTCTGTCTCCATCTCGGGTATTATCGTCTTCCATATCTCAACTCAGAAAGACCATTTAAGAGGAATCCGAGTTCAGTGTCGGCAGCCATAAGAGGGTTGTAAGACTGACCGCCGATAGCAACGCCTGGCCTTGTTCAATCATGGACCAAATCACAATATTGATCGTCTCCACTACAACATGAGATTATCAGACAACACTTCCCAATAACTATACATCAGATCAACAAAAAAAGGCCTCACAAGAGGCACATACGTTGAAGCTTCTACCTGCTCAAGAGTTTCCGTCCAGGATACCTATCATTCAAAACCACTCTTTAAAGTAGGTACACTAGCTCACAAGAAAGAAGCTCAAGAACTCGTGAAAGGCTGTTGGCGGTAATCACAGAACACGAGATCCCGCACCTCGCAAACAGCTCTACCTTGAGCTAAACCTCGAGGAGACGCAGCAGCATCGGCACACTCTCCTTCAAATCCGGCTAGCCCACCAAAGCCTCCAAAGGCCTACTATACATCCATAATGGCCCCATGTTCCCCGCGTCAGACTATACAGCCAAGGCAATCTAGATCTACACGCCGACGCCAAGTCAGACCCGTTCGACGTGCCCGCCGTCACCCAGATGGCCACCGAAAACCCCTGGCCAAAGCCCCATCTATGGCGAGCTGAGCGGACTGCCTCCCATGCTGATTCTCGCGGGGGGTGCAAACGCAACATACGAAAATCCTCACCAACAGGGCAAGGAGGGGTGGTTTGGGGGGTCGAATCCTCCTCCGCGGCGAGGATAATACGCATCTAATATAATGCCGACCCCGTGCCTTCGCCCGAAGATGACAGAGCGGCTTCTCGAACCAAGCGACAGCTCGTAGCGCCCTGGGGTGGGCTAGCCTGCATTGCTTAGCATAAAGGGCGGTCTTGGGATTTACATTACAACGTCCTTGTTTGGAGCCGAAGTCTACTGTGGAAGAATGCCGCTTTGTCAACAGTCTGAGCACGTCACATGCTCAAACCCTGGAAATAACCGCAATTGTCGTGAAGCGGGTCGTAAGATGACAGCAGCTTATCTGGACAACTACCGTTCACACCGATCCATGTGCTGACTGTATCTGATCAACGTGGCTGGGTCGGTCCGGGATAATGCTGACATCATGGCACACCGTGTCCTCAAATTGAGCTTTTTTCTCAAAGTGGTAAAAAAGTGAACGGAAGAGAAATGAATTGGATCGAAATCTACATTAAAAAAAACACTAAAACACATCAGGCTCAACAGGCTCAGATGCGGTTGCTCTGCGTAGTGGGGTGCGTCCCGAAATCAAACCCCGTGTCCTGCTGCTGGTGGTGCCGCATCTGCTGCAGCTCGTAGTCGTTCCGCGCGCGGTCGGCGGACAGGTTGGCCTCGATGTCGGGCGTGGGGCCTCGCAGCTCCGTCATGTCCCTCCCCGACACCTCGCTGTACTGCTGCTGCTGGTGCACCTCGCCCGCGTTGCTCCTGTAGCCGAAGAGGCCGATGCCAGACCAGAAAGCGTGCCTGTGGCTGCGGGGACCCCATGCCCACCCTGCGCCGGCGCTGATGGGGGTGTGGTAGAAGCGGAAGCTGTAAATGGCGAGGATGGCGCCCATGGTGAAGCCGAAGAGGATGTCGAAGCCGTGGTGGCGGTAGTCGTACCAGCGGGAGGCGGCGATGAAGACGCCTACCGAGAAGGGCACGGTGATGAGGAAGAGCAGGTAGAGAGGCGGCGAGGCGGCCTGGCTACGGAAGGCGTGGAAGGCCTTTCCAGCGGGCTTGGCGAGGGGCTCGTAGGGCTCGGGAGAGGTGGCCTTGCGCTCAGAGACCGGGAAGGCGGCGTAGGCATCAGCTCGGGAGAGGGTGGAGGCGGAAGGCATGGCGAAGGGGATCCTGACAGACAGCTTGCTGGCGAGAAAGAGGCTGAGGTAGAGGAGACCAGCGGCAGCGGTGGACGAGTGACCACTGGGGTAGGAGCGGAATCCGTCGTCGAGCTTCTTGGTGTCGGTCTGTTGGCAGATGGCAGCCGAGACGACACGGCCGTCCATGCTGCCCAGCTCATATCCGCCAACGATGTAGTTCTTCCAATTCTCAATGTCTGGCTGGCATCGGCTGAGCATGTCAGGGCGGGGCTTGCCAAAGATGTTCTTGGTGGCCTCGGTGAAGAACAGAGCAGTGGCAAGTGAAAGGCCAAGGCCTAGCAATCCAACGTGCAGCTCCCATAGCTTGCGTCTCCAAACGACGGCCTTCGGGGTGCCAACGGGCACAGTAGGCCCAGGAACGAAGATCAGTGATACAAGAATAACAAGAAGAATTGGCATTCCACCACTGATAACACCGGCGAGCCAGATGGGCACAAGCTCCTTCTCTGTGTATGGGAACCTGTCTAGCGATTAGCGGCTGGGTGTGACGTAGGCTCAACTTGGCCTCAGGAGAAGAAGCCTTACGAAATGGTAGGGTCCATCAGGGAGAAATGGCGCTTGTGCGGCTCGAAGCGACCGAGGGCGAGGCCAGCGCCCGCGGTAGCGAGGATGATGACCCAGTCGAGAACATAGGAGGCAATTAACCTCTTGGAGACGGGAGGGACCTTTCCTAGAGTGCGATACATGGCGAACTCATAGATTCACTGGTGTCGCGTGCTGTGGTGGTTGAGGTCGCGTGCACACGTGAGGAGGGATGTGAGTGGAGGGAGACTGGAGATTAAGAATAGAAAAACAGGGGAAAATAAAGTTGGTCGGAAGAAGGCGAGAGCAGGATAATGGCAGGCCGGGACAGAACGACTGGGGCAGCTTTTTTAGATTGAAGAAGCAGAATTTGACGCGTGGACAAGGCAGTCTTTGTGGGCCGTTTCGGGCCGCAGTCACTTGGCTCCTGTCCGTCTTATGGCGGTGGGAAACGCTTGCTTACCGTATGGCAGTGAAGGCACGAAACTGTCTCAGCAGACGGTGCCTGAGTCGTCGTTGGTTATACGCTGCGCAGGCGGTTCAGTTGGCCCAGAGCGATCCGCGTGTGGCTGGGGCGGGCAGCCACCGCCAGAAATGCGCTGGAGCCAATTATAGCAGCGGGTTAGTCGCTAGGGCCCCGCTGTCTTGTGTGCTGACGCTTCACTAGAGCGGTCCTAGCGTGCTCCCTCCCCTGGTGCCAGCCGAGTTGAGGTAGCTCCCCGGCCAGCTGGAGGGCCACAGTACAAGCGCTGCTCGTATCTCCGCCCCCTTCTTCGTGCAGCTGCCCTGGTCGGGCCTTTCTTTTTGCTCCAGGCAATGCTGTGTGCCTGGATGGACCTTATTAATAATAATATGAGAGACGCTCTGGGGCAGCAACTCACGCGACCGCCGTTACTAATCCGCAGCCGCCAGCCAACCAAACCAGCACGCTGTAACCATCCTCCGGCACTGCCTCGCGTGACTCCATCAAACCGTTGAAACAAACCGTGATGCGCCGTCGGACACCGAGAGCGCAATTGAAACGCACTTCGATGGCACGTAGCCAACGGTGCGACCCTGCTGCTCAAATTTAGAAATGAAAACCAATGTCGCTGTTGGTGCCGTCACAGCGCAGCGCCTTCTTACGTCTCCCTGTGCAGCGCTGCACCACTGCCGATGCCACCCTGGAATCAAAGTACCATCTCCCTTCCCTCACAACCGGATGGCATCAGTTAAATTCACACACCAGCCCATTTGCATCACACAAGGTACCAACACAAGACGAACTCTGCATCCAAATATAGACAACAACTGCATCATTTCCGAGCCAAAGAACTCTGCACAATGCGCATTACACACATGGGTACGGAGCAGTCTTCAATCAATTTGCCAATTGTTTATCCGCCTCGATGATCTGCGGAATGCGACACCAACATTGGGATCATCCAGAGGCCGCCCGCAGAGAGGCAGCCAAGCCCTGCTGAGACGAGCGTAGTGTCACTTTGTCTTAAAGTTGGACCCCGGCCTCGGATCTGCAGGTTATGGCTTAGCACGCTCTGATCAGCACAATAAGCTTCTTCATGGCATGAGTTTCTTGCACTGCTTGATTGTTTCTATATATGGTTTCCATTGTGATGGTTCGCCTTATGACGGCACACATCGTGGCTTTGTGTGTGATGTTTGTGCTGCCCCAATTGATCTTCCGTCTGCGCAACGCTTCCCCCCTTTGTGCTAATATCCAACTACCCTAGACCGCCCAGTGACGATAGGATGCAGTCGCCATTACCCAACTTCCGGGCTTTGTGAAGAGAATTACACTTTGTATGTTCAATTAAAGGAACATAGTTCTGAATCTAGTGATGTTTTCTTACTACGGTATCTTGCTCGTTTGTGTTACTAATTAACCGTCTCATATGACATGTCGCTGCAATATTTAACGTGCCGCACGAACGGCCACTTCTGTCTCTTCGGCCAAGCATCATCGTGCGTTGAAATCATGAGAGAAATTAATTCAAAACCAACGCAGTATTAACTTGCCAATACTGTTTTGATACCATCGGCTCGTCATTTTTATATTTTTATCCCAATCGGCAAGCCCTTACCCGCCTTGATCTCATCTCACCAATCGGCTCGCCTGCTTACAATGCTCCACCTCCCAAACGAACTCCTCGAAGCCATCGCCTCCTGGCTCGAGACGCAACGGGACATCTATGCGCTCGTCCGGACTAGTCGCCAGCTCCGCGACGCCCTCAATAGCACCCTGTACCGCCGCAATGTAGAGGACTCCGGCGGCTCTGCCCTGATCTGGGCTGTCAATCATGATGAAGACAGAGAGGAGACGGCAACCAAGGCAATCAACGCCGGGGCCCCGGGGGGCGAAGCCTTATGGTGCTCGGTATGGAATAAAGACGAGAAAATGGCCAAGCTGATACTGTCGTCCGACAATGCCGATGGGAACTTCCAGGACAGTGGACAGGGCGAGACGCCGCTGTTAGCAGCTGTCAAACTGCGCGACGAGAGCATGCTGAAGCTGCTGCTTGGCTCGGGGAAGGTCAAGGTTGATTTGGGAGACTGGGAAGGATCGACGCCCCTGTTCACCGCGGCTGGTTTGGGTTACTTCTCCGTGGTTAAGCTTTTGCTGGAGTCTGGCGAGAGCGAGATGCTGCGAGGCGACGACGATGCCTACAAGGTGCTGGATAGGGCCATTGAGGAGGGCCATGCGCCCGTGGTTAAGCTTTTGCTGGACTCTGGCGAGAGCGAGATGCTGCGAGGCGACGACGCCTACAAGGTGCTGGATAGGGCCATTGAGGAGGGCCATGCACCCGTGGTGAAGCTCGTGATGGAGCGTGCCGGCATTGCCGCCGATTCACCCGTCCTAAAGGGACGGACGCCGTTGTATCGGGCGATGGCGTTGGCGCAGGAGCCCGTGATTGAAATGATGATGAGCTTGGGGGAGATAGACATCAACGCGAGAGGCTACATGGGGGGGACACCATTCACAATGGCCGCCGCGCTCGGCTTGGCCGCTACTGTCAAGCTGTTCCTTGATTCTGGTAAAGTTGATGCTGGTTCATATGCCGACGACAACAGCTCCGCGCTTATGCTCGCCATTTCCTGGGGTCATGATATTGTTGCCAAGATGCTCCTCGTGCAAGACGGCGTGGATGTAAACCATGCGAATGATCATGGGCACCGAGCGCTCTCACTGGCTGCAAAGGGAGGCCTTTTGGATGTGGTGAAGACGCTGATTGGTATGGAAAATGTGGACGTGGATTTCAAGGATAAAATTGGACGCACGCCACTCGCGTTGGCCTCTGAGCAAGGTTGCCTATCAATTGTCGAGCTGCTTTTGGAGTCAGGCGGAGTAGATCCCGACTCTAGGGCATCTTGTGGGGAGACACCGTTTATGCTGGCTTCTTCAAATGGCCACATAGCTGTTATGAGGTGTTTGGTAGACACTGGGAAGATCGATGTGTGGGCAAGGCGTTACAATGACACCACGGCATTTTCATATGCTCTTGATCTAGGCGAATTGTCTGTTTTGGAATTCATAATGGAATTGGGGAAATCAACGTTCGATGAAAGGTTGGTTGGGGACTATCGGAAAACACTCGCACGCGCGGTATATGCCCAGCACCTACCAGTCATAGACCTTTTGCTGGACTCGGGGCTAATTGATATCAACGAAGTGGATGAGCGGGGCAGGACCGCGCTGCATCACGCTTGCAGCCTTCATGCCGAGGAGGTCCTTGAATATCTCTTACAGCGGGAAGGTATTGATGCCAATGTTGCGGATGACAAGGGGTTCACACCGCTTATGGTTGCTGCGGCATCGACCCGGGGTCTTCCTACTGTCAAGATCCTTTTATGGTCTGGGAAAGTTGATATAGCTCTACAACGCCATGATGGGGCCACTGCAATCTCGATCGCACGCACCAAGCGCCGATATCAAACATTCCAGTTCCTCGAGAGTTGGGATCGGCGTAGCAAGGTGGAGTAAAGATGGGGTAGATGGACAGAGTAGCACAAGCTACTTGGACATGCTCGATAGTGACGAGGGTGTAGAGCTTTATTATAGAAAGAGATAGATATCGGTTCGTAGAATGAGTTTGCTGATGCTGTTGACTTCTCGGTGCCATTCTAGTTTGACGAAAGACCTTCGCCGGCCGCCATAGAGGCTTTTTGAGACGAAAGAAACCTGTGACTGATACTGAGACTTCGCTGTTGATTCGAAGGAAGATGTATCGATGTTCCAAACCCTGGAGACGTGAAAGGAGAATATCTTCTCCTCATAACGAATAGCTGTGCCTGATATCACCGCTTCATATTATCACAATGTATAAAGTCGCACACAATGACAAAGAGGATTTATCTGTTGCTGGATGGAATAGCCAAGTTTGAAGTGCCATCAATAAGCATATATGAGTTTCTGGACCTAACATTGGGGGGGGTAAAATCCTTTTGTCCCAAGCTAGGCTCACAACCAGCTCACAACTACTTAATTCACAGTGCATCAACCAAAGTCTTCTCTGGCTTGGACTCCAACAGCCTATTCCCAGCCTCGACCAGATAAAAATCACCGTAGCTAAGACCAGTGTCAAAATTCCGATTAGGAACCTTGGGGTTATTATTGCTTGTAGCATGTAGCATAATACTCTCGAAACCTTTAGTCCCTGGAGTATTCGCAGGCGTGTCAATAAACGTCTCGGCACCCAGTTCGCCCATGTCAGAAAAGCTGATCTCCCCTGCGAAAGCAAGTTCAATAGACGCCTTCAGAAGCCGCACCGCTTTCGCACGGTAGTCATATTTGGCGCCTTTATACCCCTTCAGTTCAATCTGCTCTTGCAAAAGAAGCATCCCGCTGGCCGCGATAGTTGCTGCGCTGCTGTCTCTGGGTGTTTTACTGGGGATGTTCTCTGCATTGAAGTCCCAAAAGGGGAGGCCATCGTTGGGGAGATGGTCGATGAACCAGTTGGCCATGCGGATGGCAGTCTCCACATAAGCCACGTCCTTGGTCAGTGAATAGAATTCTGCAAAGCCATAGATGCCCCATGCTTGGCCTCGCGACCAGGTGCTATCGTCGGCAAGACCTTGTGCTGTCCGGCAAAGGTATACGTCACCCGAAGTGGCGCTGTAGTCGCATACATGAAACGAAGAGCCATCCGGGCGTACGTGGTTGGCCATTGTCTTATCGGCGTGAGATTTGGCGATGTCGAGCAATGTCATGTTGCGGGTGTAATCTGTAGCCGACCGTGCAAGCAAAGCCAGGTTCATCATATTGTCAATAATAACGAGGACGGAATCGTCGTGGCTGCAGGTCGATGAGACGTAATCCCTACAGTCCCAGGAGCGGATGATCCCAGCACCAGGTACGAAGCGATTCCCGAGGTTTAGGGACATATTCCTTAGTACTGGGAGATACTCATCTGTTCCAGTGATCTGCAAGGCACTCTCGAAAGGCTTTGCGAGGAAGCCAAGATCGTGGGTCGAGGTCAAGTTGATATTGCTTTTGAGTGGTTCTGTCCACGCTTGGGCCATATCCAACCATTCAATCAATGAGGGCTCCTTTGCATAACTGTGAGGCAACAACTCCTTGCGACGACGGTAGGCCTGCCATAGTGCATCAGGAAAGAACCCTGAAGTCCAACCGGAAGCCTGAGCCTTGGTGTACACTCCTGCAGAAGTGCTCGAATGCGGCGTGTTGTTATATGCTCCTTGGGTATAGTGTGGCCAACCACTCTCCGAACCAGACTGCGGTGGCCCGGTCAAAGCAGTTCTCCAAAGACGCGCATAAATATTCTCGTCAAATATTTTTTCAAGGTCATTGACGGGGTGCGCTCTCGCGCAATTTGCTACAAGCAAGGATATGATAAGATATGTCAACATCGTGGTGTAAAATATGATCGGACGATTTTCAAAGGAAGCAATACTTTTCTTTCCTTTTCCTTTTCTTTTATATAGATGATGCGCCTTGCGGCCGACAGAACGTATATGAGGACCATTCGGGGTTTTCACTATGCCTTTACCCCGCGATGCGCCCCCATCCTTCAGAACTCCCCTTGGGTGATGAACTCCTCATTAGAGATACTAGGCAAGTCGTATCAGCAAAATATTCTCGGCTAAAGGCCGATCAGGTGTTGATCCTCCAACGCCAATGGACCACGACAACATGCACTGATCATTTGACCGACGTTCTTTGCACCCGGAAATAATTTCGCCGAAAATGGAGGGGCAAGTAGTATTGAAAAGATTCTATGGGTGATTCGCTTAACCAATTAATTAGACAACATCATTTCTTTGCAAGTTTTTGGGCAGCGCTTATTAAACTGAGAATTTGTGTTTCGCTAAGGTAGGCTCTCACTTGAACATGGCTAATGAACCCCGAGAACACTCCAGTTCCCAATAGCAAACATCGAAAACCATTGACTAAAATTAATACAGCCGAAAAATTTTGAACAGACTATAGTATTTGCACAGAACAATATGAATGAATTCTTCCTTGAACTGACCCTACCTCAACAATTGAATGGCCAAATACAGGTACAGGGTAGGGCGATACCGGAGCAAGCACCACCACCTCAATTATTAAGTGGCGCAGACTTTTTAGAACTTTCAAATGCGAAGAACACATTCACAAAAACCACAAACACGAAACTATGAGCCACGATCAAGACAAGGATGGAAAAGGGCGCCCTGAGGGCGATGGCGCCGACCTGCCGAACCCCCCTCTCACTTCGTCCGATTCTGAGGTGGTGGTTGTTGGATGCCGCAAATCGGAACTAGCTCTCATCCAGGCCCGTTACGTCGTATCCCAGCTCGAGAAAGCCCTGGCACCACCCCCTCCATTCGAAATTGCCACTCGCAGCGTCGTGGGCGATGCTGACAAGCAGACGCCGTTCATGCAGCTTTCCAAGCAGACGGGCGGGTCTGATGTCGGCAAGAGCCTCTGGACGAACGGGCTGGAGGAGGATTTGTTGTCTGGCAAGGCCCATCTCCTCGTCCACAGTCTCAAGGACATGCCGACGACACTGCCGCCTAACTGTCTGCTCGGGGCTATCCCCGAGCGCGAAGAACCAACTGATGCGGTGATCATGAGAACAGACTCCGAATATAAAACCATCGACCAGTTGCCGCCTGGTTCCGTAGTTGGGTCAAGTTCGTCAAGAAGGAGAGCGCTGATTAGACACAATTGGCCTCATTTGGAGGTCGCGGAGTGCCGTGGAAATGTGTGAGTAATTTGGACGAGAGGATTTCCTTAACAATATCAATACACCTACAAGAACATTGAGCTGACACGCTACGTTAGGGACACCCGCCTCGCTAAGCTTGATGCTTTCAACTCCAAATTTTCTTGCATTCTGCTAGCAACAGCAGGATTGGTACGAATGGGCCTTGGTCACCGAATCACACACAGGCTCGATCCCAAAGCCTTCCCTTATGCTGTCGGCCAAGGCGCGCTTGGTGTCGAGATCAAGACGGGCTCTCAAGATACCCTCCAGCTCGTTCAAGCAGTCGATCACAAGAAATCACGATGGCTTGCCATGGCCGAAAGGGCGATGCTGCGAACCCTGCAGGGAGGCTGCTCGTCTCCAATAGGCGTTCATTCGGCGTTTGAAACTTCTCTGGGGGATGAGGAACTTGCGGTGCAGGATGATGGAAGCCAACAGGGTGGTAAACTTCGACTGTCTGGCACAGTCCTCGATGTGGAGGGAACAACGGGGGTTACTGCTGAATTCTCGGCCCTCGTTCGCAGCGACGAGGAAGCGGAGGATGTGGGAATCAAACTTGCTGGCATACTCCGTGAGAAAGGGGCGTCCAACTTGTTGTCTAAAGAGACTTCCTCGTAATTACTAGCCAAGTCAAAGCCAGTATCCATGAGAATGCCGGAAACTCAATACTGCCTTCACGTCTCTGGTGAGACCAAAAGCTGGATTGAAATCCTCGAGGTCCATATACTTATATCATACTCATCCGGCAAGGTGTCGAACTTTACGAAATGATACACATTTACGTACTGTGACTTTATGGTTGCAGTGGCTTGCAGAAAGAAGGAAATGCGAGTCTTTTTAAAGTATCAAAAAAGTTCAAGTGGATTAAGAAGGACGATTTTAATCGATGAGGGAGCCAGTACATGTGCTTGAATCTCATCTTGGTGGAATGGTGTCAAGTATTCCCTCTGTGCTCGACCCTCTAAATTAAGATATCGATTCAGCAGCTAACTATCACATCCTTTCGTGCTTGCTTGAAGCTGTGTGCCTCTAGCTTCTCAACTCTGGGAGGGGCCAGGCTCCCAGGCAAAGCAGATTTTTGAATTTTGATGTTATCCCGTGCAATTGATCCAGTTTAGGATGACTGCGTAGGCAAAATTCAGCAATGACGACATTTTACGGGATAAAAAGCAGCATTCCAACTGCGACCCCTTCTGTTGTGTTGAAGCCTGTGCCTTTTTACGGTACCATCTTCAAACCTGACACTTTATCTTTGTATTTCCCAAGTCCTTCTACATATAAGCAACTGGAAATTGTTTGTTTGTGATGGGACATCATGAATTACTGCTTGTCTATGCAACAGAAGATCCAAAGAAACAGAGGCAATGTCTTCTACTCCTCATCTCCTGCATCAGGCCCACATAGGACGTTTGACCCACATGGAGAAGATCATGACTGACAAGACAACAACTTCCGCTTACCAATACAAAGCAGTCTGACATTCTGTAAATCTCGTTAAAGAGCAAAGCGTAGGAAGACCAGCGTGAAGTCCAGGTGAGAGAGACCTGAGCTTTACGTCTTGTATACCTCAACCGGATGCTACGTCATGGCCTCTTGAGGAAGAGACTCTTCAGCAACTATGGCTCCGGACACATGCTCAGAATGATGAATCGATCATTCTTGCAGAGCAGGCCGCCAGCCATCCACAAATATCTCACCTACGCCCGATATTCAATCATGGAGCAAGTTGGCTGTGCTGTCGTGTGCCAAGTGTACCCCGCAGCTGGGGAGCCCTCCACGGTCGGAATGTTACGTGGCCCAGATTACGTTTGTGGGCTTGAGATCGTTCACCGTATCTCTGGGAGAAATCCCGGGGTCTAGGATTGGTGCTTGGCCGTTCATAGGATCATCATGTATGATTTAGCCATCAGCTATAATCCCTTCGATGATGCTTTGGGATGTAATGGCTCTTCGGAACTCCGACAATCTCCATGGAGATCTAACTCTGGTGACGTAGCTAGATACGCGTCCTCAACCCTCTTCTAGAAATGAGAGTCGCACGCCCGCCAGGTCTAGATTTTGAACATAATCGTCTTCGTCACAAGTTCTGTGATAACCGACCTCGTGGTTCAAGTCACCTCCGTTTGAATTGAGTTAAGCACGGTGGAGAGGTAAAGACCTATATTCATGTCACGATGGTAGGGCGGTCCGTAGTGTGATACTTGGAACCACCTAAACGCGTTGACCCGACTGTACGATCAATGACATTGAATCTCATCTTTACACAGACTGAAGGCGGGAGAGTTCGATTTGTAGTTTGGTTTGGTGTAGTGGCGCCAAGAAGTTGATCATTTTACTATCGTTCTTTAGGCAGCGGCCGACCACCTGAGGACCACACCCAACCACACATTTAGCAGCAGTTTTTAAGTTTTAATCCAATGCGCGGATAAAATCTTTCCAAATAAGCGGAGTGACCATGCCAAGATGCTGCCAAGATTCCAGTTGGGTATGCAGGAGTAAGGAGTAGAGTAGGGCACGTCCACTGGCTACCGAGAACCGCGCGGTACCTGTTTTTTTTTTTTTTTTTCCCCCTCCTGGGCTGCACATGTGAGACACAGGCAATAGAGTTCGAGCGTAGTAAGGAGGGCAGGGGACGCGTGTTGCTAAAAATGTGCACTGGAGCACATGGCGCCCTCCCTTGAAATGATGGCGGACAGGAAATCGGAGGTCATGGCCCCCGAACTACGGCTTCCCTCATCAAGCTGGATGGGAATCATTGGGTGCCATCTGTTTCGACCAGGATCGCGAGGCTCCTCTTCGGGTTGTCGGCGTTCTGTATTTCCCGCTGGGCCACACCAGGGAATGAAACGCACCACAATTCATGTTGTACCACTCCGCGAGTTTATCTTAAGACAGTTGAGACTCCGCCGAGGGCAGCTTTCCAGTGGCTGCGGCCCGTGGCATGACTCGCATCGCCTCGCATGTTTTCGGTCTTCGCATCTCAGATTGTCCCAAAACCGATGCGCGGGTAGGACACACCGGACTGCTCGGCTTCTTCGGCTGGCCTTATACTGCCGGATCCATCTTGGCCTTCCCAATGACGTGTAACCTTAAGGATAATTTCAATCTCTGCTCTGTTGGTCAGGGTCCCCCCCACTAGAAACGACCGGGGCGTCTACCGCAAGTGGCACCTCAAGCGAGGAGGGCTCATTTTAAAAGGAGCAGAGAACGAAAAGGCGCTACGCATCAGCACATGACGCGGCCTCTCCGTCACACAGACCGTTAGGCCTGGCACTCTAATCTGACTGTAGCCAAACAACCCGGCCACAGGCACATAGAGAGGCACACACACTCGAGGCACAGCCATTCACATCCCATAGCTGCTCCGTCCTACATGCGACACAGGCTGAGCAGCTGCGTACGCAGTGATGTACTGTAAATATGGAGCTTCCGGTGGCTTATGCAGTGCTAGTCGCTCGCCCTCTCTCCCCTCCAGCTCGCCCAATGAGGCACCTGATCGTATGATGCAAAGTAGGGTCTTGCTACTAGGCTATTAGGGGGTCATTTCGTTTAGATTGGGGTAGCTGCTCGATATAGGAAATCACGATTCACATGGATGCGTGTGGTCTTACGCAATACGGCCATGGCTCGTCTCCTGGCGGCAGAGTCATGCTGCTCCTCCAAAATAAGGAGCGCGCTACGGCCTCAGCCAGGATACCCACCCATGGAAATTCCTTTTGCTGGATCCTACCTCGCCCAAGGGATCTATCAATATGACGTTGCTTTGACTTTGATTTTATCCCGCTTCCCCCCACGACGGAAGAGCCAAGCTTTTTTCAAGCTTTTCCACAACCTTCCCCATGTTGACGAACCACCACCAGCATGGCGACCAAATATTCTTATGAAGAGGTGAGCCTCGAGGAGCAGCAGCCGCAGCCCTCCATCAAGCAGCGCCGCCTGTTTCTGCTGCGATGCCTCTCGCCAAAGAGGCTGTTCAAGTTCTCATTCACCCTGGTGGTGATTGACCTGTCCATCATCGCGTTCCTCGTCTGGCTCGTCGGCCCATTGATCATCCTCTTGACGCGAAACGACGAGCTCTTCGGGCCCCGGGCCATGCCTGGCGGTTCTGTGTTGGGCAGTGAGGACTCGGACTCAGGCGAATACGAGATTCCACGGATCCTGCACCAGACGACCCCGAACGACACCATTCCGCAGAAATGGATCGACTCCCAGCGAAGCTGCCAGGAGGTCTACTCAAACTTCACATACATGGTAAGCCCCAACCAGCATCACGTCCCCCTATCCCACTGGGGGATTTTCCCGCCCAGGAACCGCAGGAAACAATTGTTCTGACCCTTTTGCAGCTCTGGACGGATGAGTCCGCGCATGAATTTCTAGCCACCGAGTACCCTTGGTTCGTGGACCTCTGGGACAATTATGCATTCCCCATCCAGCGCGCAGACGCGATCCGCTACTTCGTTCTCTACCACTTCGGAGGCATTTACCTCGACATGGACACCGTGTGCGTCAAGCAATTCCCCATTTTCGAGGTGAGCTCCGAGACGGAGCATCGCGCGCTTTTCCAGTCGACAAAGCCCACGGGTGTCACGAACGACGTCATGATTTCGACCGCCAAGCATCCCGCCCTCTACCAGGCCATTTCCGAGCTGCCCTTCTACTACCGCTGGACGCGATTCTGGGCCCGCCTCCAACCTTACAGCAATATCATGTTCTCCTCCGGACCGATGTTTATTAGTTTGGTGATATCCGACTACCTCCGACACCTACCTGCCCGACCCTCGCCGACTTTCAACGTGGTGACCCCTCACCAGATGTTGCCGTACATCACCGACCTGGAGAGCAGCACCTGGCATACTGGAGATGCCCGCGTTCTGATGTGGCTGGGTGATCGGCCGTGGTCATGGTACGGCCTGGCCGTCATAGGCTGCGTGATTGGATTCGGGCTGGTCAATCATGGGCTGTCGTGGATGTATGGGTATATGTGCCGCAGGTCGAGGATGGCGGCGTATCCCGTCAAGCAGTCTAATAAGTTGACCTGACGAGTTGGGGATGAGATGACGATGGTGTTTTTCAATGAGCGACATAGAGGATAACTACATATAATTTAATGCAATCACGAAAAGAAAGGCCGGTTCCGAAATTGTTGCAAACGCTGTGTAATGCCTGGGGAATGAATCAGAGCGATATTATGCTGCCTAGCTCTGTTCGAGTCTCTCATGCCATATGATTTCTTACATGACATTTCGCTCTTTGTTAAGAACGAATTGCGAAATGCCTCCAAGAGCGTGATGAGTCCTCCCGCTGGTGCTGTAATTCAGCATAGCTGCATTCCAGTCTGCTTATTTTGCCCCATTTTCCTACCACTGCCCTGGCTTGGCGTACTTGGAGGCCTCTGGCTATCCAGTTTGAGCATTGGATCGTCCGTTTGCTCGGTCACCACCCGAGCTTTCATAGCCCATTTCCTCCTGAAATTGCTGTCGGACCACCACATTATCTTTGGTCATCCGAAAAAATTGTCGCCTGCTAAAGACATGACGCTGAGGGTGTACGCTAAATAGTAAGATCGAGTTCATTCGACAACCTCTGTCACATAATTGGCGGCACCGGATTCTTTCCGATAAATTATAGCTGAGCAAGTAAGAAGAATATAATTACGAAAATGGAAATATTGAGAAGATGAGCCAAGTCCTTACCTTACCTAATGCCCAAGTCAAAGGGGAATGTCATTGGCTCTTCGAAGAATCGCTTCCCTCTCAGAACACTTTACGTTCTTCGTCTGAAATATCTAAGAATTCAGCGGTAATGCTGTCGGTATTGACGGAATCAGAGCTGGATTATTGGCTAGTACCAATAGTTTGGTTGCTAAGTGGTTCGAAGACCTCTAGAGTGCATGTCCACCAGCTTCACCCTTGCCTAGCGACTTAGTTTATTGCGACGACACCCTCATGCCAGAAAAGACGTTGGTGATGACCAAAATAGATCCGCGCATCCTGCATTAGACCAGCAAGGCAATGTTCGCGCTTGGCAATCATGCCAATCCAATCACACTTGAAGCAACTGATCCCGCGACAAAGGAGTCTTTAACCATGCTGGGTTGGAGAGTCACGAAGGGCGCAACATGTCAATCCGAATGCGTTTCACTTGGAAAAATGATTAAAAAATTAAATCCCATAGATTAGCTCTGTAAGAAGATAGAAATATCATAGAAGAAAGTTTGGCCAAACCTGTCTGAGAAGTTCGGCGGTGCACTGGGGTGAAAACAAGCGAAGAGATCATCGGCAACATTGGATTTCTATGCAGTATTTCTATGGGCATTAGATTTACGAGGGACTTTTGCAACAATGTATTTACGTCCCTGAATCTAGTTTTTGGTTCCTGCTAGTAAGGCAGTCCTACACGTAGAAAGCGTGGTTATATTTACCTAGGTAAGATACCTTGAAGGTTGACGAGCTCTGTTAACTCGGAGAACTTGGTCGGCGACGGATTAGGAGGTTGACATTATCTCACGGATGGCCTAGGTGCTTAGGGTAGTAACGCTGGAATCTGCTGCTTGACATTGAATGGACTTTGGGCCGCCTTTTCCTTCTCATCTTCTAATTCTTCCTCGGCCCTTTCCCATCTTTCACACTTCTCATCGCAGCCGAAAAAAAAAAGTCAGAGTCTCCTGCATCTGCAGAGATTGTTAGCTGACCAAGGTACCATTGCAGTTTGCTCAATACACCAATCATTCGTGGTGCATCACCTGCAGGTTATTTTCTTTTCGGTCCTAAGCTGTCGGCCACTTAACATTTCCTATTGAATCTCCATCGAAGTTTTCAAAAGCTCACATTACATTATTATGGCACATACGCTTGAAATTAAACCAAGGGAAATCTTTCGCGGGCATAGTATTGTGGCTGTGGCACATTCTCGAGATGCGATTGGTCCCTTTGGCGCCTAGTCACTTGCGTGCTGCATGAGATGAACAGCCAAGCGCCTCAGATTGGCTGGCTTAGGCACACTGCAGCCATTCGTTCAGCCATTCAATCAGCCAGCCTTAGCGAAACATACCGAGAATGTGGCTGATGCTCAGCAGCATATCAGCCCGGAATTCTTCAAAGGCAAATGGCGCCCTCCCCCGCTCCACCTTTCGCCTCTTCACCTCTGTCCCCTTCCGCCTCCACGGCAGCTACAGGCGTCCTAGGTTCGCTCAAGCAGCCTCATTTTGACAGCGGGCGATACCCACTCCGATGGTGGTTGAAATAGCTGAGCATCCTCAACTATGCCTTCGACAGACAGAACACATCCCCGAACCGGCGAAGATGACTCGTTCAACGATCGGCGAACACATCCGCGACCGAGCCACGACCGATCGAATAGAGTGTTAGCAGCTGAGGATTACAATGTGGCTTGGATTTGTGCCCTTCCTATTGAGCAAGCAGCAGCAGCCGCCATGCTGGATTGTAGCCACAAGCCGCCAGTCCTAAGTCCTGAGGATGTAAACAGCTACGCTTTGGGAAGTATTGGCACCCATAACATCGTCATCGCATGTCTCCCAAGGGGCCAATACGGCACACCCATTCCTGGTATCGCCGCCGCGAGCATGTCACGCAGCTTCCCATCCATCAATATACGTCTCATGGTTGGAATTGGTGGTGGAGCTCCAACTCGAGGCGCAGATGTCAGGCTTGGCGACGTCGTTGTCGGCGAACAGGTTATCCAGTGCGAGATGGGCGAAAAAGTGCCAAATGGCATGGTTTCTTGGACAGGCCCTTCCGCTCGACCCCCCCGAGCAATTCGACTTGCCATAGCAAAGCTTCGAGCAAGCCATGCAAGAACCCAAAGCCAAATACCAGATATCCTTCTTGAGATGGTCCAACGCTCCCCGCAAATGGCCACCTGGGCTCGCCCAAAAGTAGAAGATAGGCTGTTTGAAAGCTCGATCGCTCACGCGGACCATAAGCTTACTTGCGATAGCTGCAACATAATGGGGCTCCAGATTAGACCTCGTCGAATGTCAGAGGAACCTATGATACACTACGGGAAGATAGTATCTAGCACCCAACTTATCGAAGACGCGAATGCTAGGGATAGGCTGTCGTCCAAACTGAGAGCCATTTGGTTTGAGATGGAGGGGAAAGTGATGGTAGATATGTTTCCTTGTCTTGTCATACGAGGTATATGTGACTATTCAGACTCCCACAAGAACAACGTATGGCAACGCTATGCCTCTGCGGTCGCTGCGGCATACACGGTGGAGCTTCTTTCAATTATACCTCATGAGAATCCCTTGCGAGGTAAGCTCTGCTTCTTTGGCGAAGAAAAACAGTCTCCCCTACTCACATCCGTATGGAGCCAGAATCGTCAGTAGACCGAACGAGTGCTCTGTTAAACTTGCTTGATTTTAAAGAGAGAGAAAGTCGGCAAGTTAACATCAAGGATGCTCAAGCCGGAACCTGCGAGTGGATTCTTAGACATCCGTGTTATCTCAATTGGCAGGACCCAGGCACGTTCCATGAGCACCACGGCTTTCTATGGATTAACGGGAAGCCTGGTGCCGGCAAATCAACATTGATGAAATTTTGTTTTACCAGAGCTCAGAGGCGCTGGAGTTCAGCCCCAGATACGACGGTCATATCCTACTTCTTCAATGCGACAGGAAGCCCATTAGAAAAGACAGCGGAAGGAATGTATCGCTCGCTGCTTTATCAGATACTTCAAGAATTTCCAGACCTCCAATCATCTTTTAACGATCTGGACTCCCAGCAAATGTCACCAGCAAATCCGACAATAGAGACACTTCAGGATACATTTGGCAGAATTGTGCACAATTTGGGTCACCGACGCTTGATTTGCTATATCGACACTCTTGATGAGTGCGACGAAGAAGATCAGATTCGTTCAATGGTCAGATTCTTCGACCAGCTGGGCGAGCTCGCATCGCGAACCGATAAGTTGCTCCAAATATGCTGTTCGGGCAGACTCTATCCCCATACCAGCATTCAACACGGCCAGATGTTGATATTGGAGGGTCAGCCTGGACATACCGACGACCTGGTAAAATATGTACGTGATAAATTAAGAGTGGGAACAGGAAAAGCCGCCGAGGACATTATTGCCAAAATACTTGACAAGTCAGCCGGTGTATTCTTGTGGGCTGTTCTTGTGGTTGGCATTCTAAATGACAACTACCGCCAGGGTTATGACTCCCTAAGAAGGCAGCTGAAAGAACTACCTGCAGGGCTAGGCCAGCTATTAAAGCACATATTTTTGAGAGACAGGGACGATAGGGATTTCTTACTTTGCATCCAGTGGATTCTTTATTCAAAAAGGCCTCTACGCTGTGAAGAGTTCTACTTTGCGCTCGCTTGTAGCCTGGACCCTTTAGAGAGCTTGGTCGAATGGGATCCGGATGTTGTTACTCTTGAAAAGATGCATCAATTCTTGTTGGGCTCGTCAAGGGGCCTTGCAGAAATTTCCAACTCAAAAACCAACCGAACGGTTCAATTCATTCATGAATCAGTACGGGATTATCTTCTTGAAGGAGATGGTATACGCGACCTGTTGCCTGGCCGCTGGCAAGATTTTACAGCCTCTAGCCATCACCGTTTAAAAGAATGTTGCTATCAGTATCTGAAAGTAAACATCGAACATTATGTCCCGCTCACCTTGGACGTCCATCTTGAATCAAGAAAAAATCGAAAAGATATACAGGCCAAAATTCTGACCAAGTTCCCTTTCCTAGAATATGCAACTTCATATCTTCTGTGTCACGCAGAGGCTGCAACGCCGGTAATACCAGAGCACGACTTTGTCCGGGATTTTTGCACTGAATCTTGGCTAAGACTTAGCAATTTATTTGCGAAGAATGGAAACGTTTGCCACAGTCTAGACACGAGTCTGATGTGTATTTTTGCTGAAAATAACTTTTTGGGACTCTTGCGGATCGGAATTGAACAGGGGCTTGAAGTTGGGGACTCTCTAATTCCTGCTGCAGCTAACGGCCATAAGGAGGTTACTAGACTTCTTATCGACAAAGGCGCGGATATCGATGCTTTTAAAGTCTCTGGTGATACGCCTCTACTCTTAGCTGCAGCTAACGGCCATAGGGAGATCGTTAGATTTCTTATCGAGAAACGCGCGAATCTCAGGGCTCAAAAACTCTCCGGCGATACGGCTCTAAGCTTAGCTGCAGCCAACGGCCATGGAACTGTGACGAAGCTCCTTCTTGATAGGGGCGCTCATGTCGAGACTCAGAATAATATTGGCAACCGGCCCCTTCATTTGGCATCACAGGGAGGTCATCAAATTGTAGTCAGGTTACTTTTGGAGCATGGAGCGGATATCAATGGGCGCAACAACGCGGGCGAAACATGCCTTTTCTGTGCCTCACAGACAGGAAGTGAAGCAGTGGTCAGAGTGCTTCTCGGAAACGGAGCGGATATTGCCGCAGTGGATCAGAACGGTAACACGGCATTCATGTGCGCCTCCACGCCAGCCATTGCGAACCTGCTAGCCATCAACGAAGCAGATACCAGTTTGCCTAACAATATACAGGCATGGGAAGCAACCCCAATGGCTCCAAGAAATAGCCATGATGGTATAACGAGGTCTCTCGTTGAGCACGATGGAACGCAAACGGTGACTGCGGTACCTCCAACCGATTCGGGATACGCTTCTACTTCTCGGGGAAACAAATTTGGGGACCCGATTACCGATCCTGCATTCCAAGAGTCCACCAATGAATATATTGACGATACGGACGCCACTATATATTCCGATGCATCTAGCACAACATTTTCCAGGGGAGAGTATTATATTTCGGAGCTGGTGGGCCATCTGGCCAGCGAGACTCGGTCTTTGCGCCTGAGCCAGGAGATGCAGACCCGGATCTTAGAAGCTTTACCTGAGATGCTTAGAGTTTTTGCGTTGAAGATTGGACATGGAGCCTCTGATAAGATGCACAGAGATGTCATGGCCTCTGTGCACAAGCGAAGGCAGTGAGTGAAAACCTGTCTCTGATTTCATACCGTTTATTACCCTCGAAATAGGCTATGGCTATTCTAACACAAATGCAACCTTAGCGAGATTGCTGCGGCTTTTGCGGACACTGGGTTCAGCCAAGAATATATTATCGAGGAGAAAATTACAGACTCAAACGATGATTACAGGCAGGAACGCGTCAGCGATTGGCTCAGCAGCGAGAACTTTGAACAAGCCGTACTAGAGGAATATCATCCAGGCTCAGCCAATTGTCAAAATATGCCCGAGCCTCCACAGCAGGTTCAGGAGCTGGACAAATCGGACGAGGGCGAAGATGTGACTGAGTCCTGGGTTCAGGACTACCGTGAGTTTATAATTACAACCCCAGCTTTCAAATGGCTCCTTGCACGCTTACGAAATGAAATTCGCCTTGTTCCGATGGAACCGTACAGTATGGGAACAATCGGTAAAGAAATCATGTCGGTACTCCCTTCTTCTCGTGTAATTAGCAAGAAGATGTCTTCTCAAAGTTACGGCGCAACATTTGAGCTTGAGTGGGACGTATTTGAATTCTTCGAAAAGCAAGGGTACTCGAGGCCACCGCATGAAGCATTCCAAGGCGTTATCACCTTGACTGGGTCTTCTTTGGACGCACAAGCCGCAACTTGCGCTCAGTATCTAGGCCAGACTTGGCTTTCTACCGCGGAGGACATGATTGCTTTGATGGAGGAGGTTCTTAAGGGAGATCAGAGCGATCCGGCACCACGTGAGTCCTATTTATGCAAGCACAACCTGGTTAATTAGCCACTAACTCAACACCAAACCCGCCTACAGGCAGATTATCAGATGGAACGACACTCCGAGTCTATGTGAGGAATTCCAAGTTTCTGGCGGAGATTCACGGGCTTGCGGCCACCATCGCGGAGATCGGAGAACAACTTGCCTGGCTAGGAGCAGCTATGAAGACTCCACCAGAACAATGCGGCCTCTTCTGCTGTACACCAACGATCAGTATTCTGCAGAACAATTCGGCCTTGTCTCAGGCCCAGCCCCGCTCAACTAGCGTTGGTTTCAAGATCGAGTTCAAGATGGAGAAGATCCCGATATCGTTAGATACTAATGGCCAGTGCTGGCAGGCTGTTTTCAAAACCCCTGTCATCGTGAGGGGATATCCGATTCCTCAACGAGCCGAGTGGAACACAGGACTGGAGATCCCTCTTGATATTATGGCTAGGCTCGCTCAAGCACTTGAGATTCAGCAGTTCAACGACATGGTCTGCCTAAAAGGCTTCTCGACGATGTTGGTCCCGATCCGGCGCAGTGGGGATATCCTGTTTTGGCATCTGCTTTATAAAAGGGACGGAAGTCAAATATCATATTCCGAGAATGATCTGGACCACGAGCAAGAAGTCACTCACCTCGATCTTCCAGAGGGCAATCGCCATGTGCTCGGATGGTGTTCGAGAGCGAAGCTCGTGATTGGTGAGACCACTTTCAGTCTAATGAGTTCCAAGTACTATAACTAAAAAACATGGTTCGTAGGTTTGTCTGTCAAGCACTCAAGGCTTGGGAAGCCTAAAGCAGACGGCGCTCTCACTGGGAAGACCGTCTGGCGGAGAAGAACCGTGGCGATGAAGTCGGCCTTCTCTGTAGGTGCTAGGGAGTCGCCGGAGTTGTTTTCCAATGGATACGTCGAACGGCTGCAGTTGCTGAAACCTCGGCTCGTGCTTCTTTGGGATAAGGACGGCGAACGAGGTTGGGTTGTGAGTGGAACAATTGCTTTGCTACTTGCCTTGAAAGCATTTCTGGTGGGTCCTTATAAAGCCGCGTTTACTTTCAACAGCGAGGATTTTCAAGACTCAGGCGGGCCTCTCACCGCAATGTCCGCTTTTGAGACTTTGAGCAACGATCACAACCAGAGGCTCCTTTTGTACAGCGACGGTACGACACTCAAGAGCAAGATTGAGGATTTGTGCAGCCTGCTAGAGCATATCATCCAACATCAAAAGGATATCGTGGGACCATGTGGCACCAAACTGAGCAATAAACCACGAGGAAATCTTGAAGGCTGGGAGTTTGAAGATGTGGCGGGGATGGACCAAAACCCTTTGCATCCGCGTGCCGCCGAGATCAAGGACCACGGCAAAGGTTGGGTTGATTTTACGAGGGCTATCCAAGCTGTTACGCTGTTTGGGAGAGGCTTCGGTGATATCATCCAGCCGGACGTGAAAACGTGCAGCAGATGGGCCAGTTTGCCGACGGGCCGATATTACATCGCTGTTTGCGTCTCTGATCTGGACCGGGTGTTCAAAGAGCATGGATTTCTTAGTGACGGCCACATCCGGCTCAGTAACAACTTGATCTGGCATACCCCGTCCGAACCCGTGTTCTGTCAATGCCAGTATGGCTCGAAGCATAGTGGTTGTGAGCCTGTCCAAGCCGTTTTCCCCCTGTCTTTATCACTGTCTGAATCGTTACGTCCTCGAGGCGACAAATTGCCAAATGACGGCGCACTCATTTTCGGGCATAGCTCACAATTCTCATGGATCTGGGACGATTTGAATCTTCCACAAAAAGGCCAGCTCAGTGAACCGGCCTTGAAGTCGCCTAATGACAGTGGAATTGGCTCATCTCATGTTTCGTCTTCTTCAAGTTCGGGGATTCCATCAATGGAGTTCCCAAGCGGCGCCCAGAACAACCCTACGCTTCCTCGTGTCCTAGAACCATCCTACCAAACATATCCCAAAAAGACTTATACAGTGGCGATTATATGCGCGTTGCCGAAGGAATTAATGGCAGTTCGGGCGCTCTTCGACGAGAACCACGGCCCGCCTGAGAAGGTCCCAGACGACGACCGGTACGTGTTTGGCAAGATAGAACACCACATGGTCGTCGCGACAAGCCTTGCCAAGTACGGAACCAATGAAGCGGCGTGTGCTGCGACTACCATGAAACACACATTCAATCTCCGATTCTGCCTCCTAATTGGGATTGGGGGCGGCGCGCCTTCGCGAGACAACGATATTCGCCTCGGTGATGTGGTTGTTGGCGTAGAAGTGGTTCAACATGACCTGGGCAAAAGGGGGAGGGGAGGCTTTAAGAGGAAAGAACAGACTTTGCGGTGCCCGCCGGACTTCCTGATGAACGCTATCAGTACTAACATAAAGGCAAATCCGATCCCACAAGGTGTTCAGATTAGGCGTCACCTGGATACGATCTCTTGCAATTTTGAGATGTCTAAGTTGTATTGCCATCAAGGAGAGGACCAGGATGTTCTTTTCCAACCATGTTTCGAATGCCCGTCGTCGAATGAACCATGCTCCCAAAAGGACCAGCATCTGCCGTCGCTGCGAGATCCACGCCTGACCCTTGAACCAAAGATCCACTACGGAAGAATCGCATCTGGCAACCAAGTCATCAAAGATGCTGGTTTCCGCGATGAGCAGGCGATGAAACTCAACGCCATATGCTTCGAGATGGAAGCCGCCGGAGTGGTGAACGTACTTCCTTCCCTTGTGATCCGTGGCATCAGCGATTACTGTGATGATCAGAAGAACGACGTTTGGCAGGAGTATGCCGCCGCTACAGCGGCGGCATATGCGAAACTTTTGCTTAAAGTCGTGAAGAAAAGAGAGATGTCCGATGATTTTCGTTGGCACTAGGATGGCGCCCGCAACACCCTTGCGGGAATGAAACTTCCTTTGTCACAATCAAATTAATATTGTGGGTGGAGGGGATGGAGAAATATTCCATTTTGTAATTGAAAGTAGGCGTTGTTGGATTTGTTTTGTGTATGCAACCTGGATTTTGATGCATAACTATATCATAGGAGGCCGACTGCGTCTGTACAACTTACCATAGTTTGCAGCTGGAACAACTACAGAGCCTCGAAAGCAACTAAATTGGTGCATTTAACCTTGGTACAGTTGAATAGAGATATGATGCCACGGGGCTTTTTACCTCCTGTTCCGAGCCCTTCAACAACGAATGGCTCCTTCAGACTCCCCGAGGCCCTGCTCAAGACTGAGATTGTCTTCACCATGGTCATGTTTCTGACTATCATTCAGGCCGCAAAGGTGCTCTGACAACTGGTATTTGGAGGCTAAAGCGAACATTTGATTGCATAGAGCCTTGATTTTCATTCTCGGTTGTGGTGATCCGAGGTTGGATGAGCATACAACTGGCTAGATCTAGTTAATAAACTAGGTACCTTGATACCCTTTGCACATAATCATGCTAACATTAGCTAGCCTCAGGCGTATGATTATGGCCTACGGGTTGATATAGGGCCGTTCTTGTCGTGTCCCTCGCCAAGGCCACTTTTCCACCAATCCCTCCTCTACAGAAAATAATGTGCACGGCGTTTCAACATTTACGATAACCGAAGACACTGCATACAGCCTGACAAGATGAGGTTAATCCAACCCACTAGGTCATGCTAGTCGACCCCAGAGCGGGAATTGTCCACGAGGGGATGAGTCTGCATCTGGCAGGCGGCAAGGTGGTGAAGGTTACACCCACAACTTCTCATGATTTCAATGCCGACTTCCGCTATGGAGAGCAGCAAGTGGAAAAGATAGACGCAAGTTCATACTTTTTGTGTCCCGGCCTGATTGATTGTGAGTGCTTCGGGCCTCGGCTGGCATCATGGACTTGATGCTTACGAAATACAGGTCGTGTTCACCTGATGGCAGTTCACGGCAGCGTGGTAAGAGGCTTGTGGAATTCCTCTAAAAGTTGAAAAAATTATCTGACCAATTCTAGACACTCCACGGGGCCTTCACGTTTCCGCACGAGACTGCTGTTATTAGAACCGCAGGTACTCTGCGAGGCATTCTTTCTAATGGATTCACTTCTGTCCGGGATACCGGCGGTGCTACAATTGCACATGCTCAAGCCACCGAGGGATTCCTGATACCCGGATCTCGCGTCTTCCAGAGCGGGAGGATGCTATCCCAGAATGGCGGCCACGGCGATGATACAGAGGTTTGGAGTGACAACCACTGTTGTAGGAGTAATGGCATCGCAAATTCTGCCCCTGAGAGACTTTGCGACGGGGTTCCCGAATGTTTCTAAGCTGCGACGGACAATATGCGTAAAGGCGCACGGCATCTCAAAGTGTGCACCTCCGGAGGCATCGCATCAGCCACGGATAGGCTTGAGTCTCTTCAGTTCACTGCGGAGGAGCTGCAGGCAATTTCCACAGTCAACAAGAACATGGGGGACACCCTTGTCACAGCCCATTGCTACACGGCTGAAGGCGTCAGACACGCCATTGCCGGTGGCGTGCGAGGAATCGAGCACGGCAACATGATTGACCCCGAGACGGCACAGTTGACGGCCGAGAAGTCTTTCTCACACCTACCTTGGCACTCCATACGTTCGTCACAATGCCGCCTTACGACAAGTTTGAAACTCCGGATGGCCTTCGAAAGAACACCATTGTGGGCGATGCTGGCATTCGTGGGATCGAATACGTAGAGGATGTAGGTGTCGTGGTGTGCTATTGGACCGACACCACGGCGCCTACATTGGTCATGCAGATTTATGAATTTATCGTGCGATCCAAGATCCTACCGAGCCTCGTAGTGCTACGTCAAGCTACTGTAAACGGAGCTAATCAAGTTGGTATGGAAGGCAAGCTGGGCGAGCTCGTTGAGGGCTCCTTTGCAGATCTGCTTTCCTTGGATGAGAACCCGCTGGAGGATTTTGCGAGTCTGGACAGGATCAAAGAGAACTTGATGCTAGTGATGAGAGATGGAAGGATCGTTAAGAGCCAGATCCCAGGTATACGGCCAGAGTGGAACTAGTAGTGATGGTAGAACCATGGAGAGCTGGTGTTACCAACAAGGTAGTAATTTTCCTTGATGTAAAATAGAGCTTTGTTTTGATTCAATTTATTAGAAACATAATGCGATGTAAACAATGAGAGAAATACGACAGGTTGTAGTTCTTCAAACTCGAAATAGCATGCAGATTATCCCGTCACAGGCCATTGGAGATCAAGATACTGCCAAAAGCGCCTTCTAATTGATCGATCAGCCCACCCCCGGACAAAGGCTTGTGCCATAGAAATAAGATCGTTTGTTACTAACTTACTTTATGCGAACACTGGTTTATCTTTTCTGATACAGGCATTGGCTTATTGTCCGATAGTCCGATTGCCCGAACTCATCCGCGATTCCGGATTTTAGATTCGGGTATTAGCACCCGACGTAATTTATCCGAGTCGGGAACGATGATCTCATCACCAATCCTTCTACCAAACTCCACTCGGACTCTTGTCAATCTGTTCGTGCCCGCGGAGGCAGTTATTCTGGACAGTGCGGGGACAAAGAGGAGCGGTCTTTAGTTATAGCGAGCCTGTTCTGAGTTTGCGTTCATGTGACGCCGATGCAGCAGTCACCAACAATCACAGTATCTGTTCGCAGGAATATCACGCCAACCTCATCATTGAACAACTTCCATTAAGAAACCATGGGGGGGCACGTGTAAGCTCATTCCCCTGTTTTGACAGCGTAGGTATTAACGAGAATAGAAATATGATGGATGATGTTCTCATCGCCAACTGTACGCTGTCTTTCCGCGATCGAGTGTCATCCCTTCTAATAATGTTGCCCAAACAGTACCTAAAAAGCTCCTGCGATCAGCCTTGAGAACATTAATCTCACAAGGGTCGGTTACTCAACAGCCATTCGTGCAACACATCAGGGAGCAGCTGACACGATCACCACCCGAACTCACTCCCCCATCATCTTTGTTCCCAGTCTCTGATGAGTTGTCAACCGAATGCAAACAGTATCTTGAGATTACGAGGTGCATTTTCTCCTCAAAACTTTCGGAGCAATCGTTGACCTAGTTAGTGCCTGCCCTTCGAATGGCAAGAGAAACATTACGACACTAACGTGGTGTGCTGCAAATTAGTCTAACTCACTTCTTATCGTCAATCCAAGAAGGCAACGCCAAATGGTCTCAAGGCTCTGACCTAGAGGCAGCCTTTCGGACTTTCGGTGGCGACGTGGTCCAAGCTGTACAGGCTCTGAAGGAAGCCAAACCCGATAAAACAAAAGGTCTGAAAAGGGAAATTCTCCGTCTTTTGGCTTCCTTCCGCGACTTGAAGGAATACTGCCAATCATCAAACCTAATAACCTAATGTATCTCTTCGCTCGCGCCGAAAGACAGGTTCAGGATGTCTTCACTTTCTTCTTTTCGGAAGTGCCGCCAGACACACTGCCAAACAGGCTTCTACAAATCAACGTCGCAGAAGCAACATCCCCAAATTCTATGATTGAAAAGTTCAAACTGGGGCCATATGAAGTGCCCCGTCTCTTTAATGGGTTCTGGCAATTATCTTCACCGGCTTGGGGGTCCGGTACTTCAGATACCCAGGAAGCAGCGCTTATTCAACTTGTAGAATCCGGCTTGAGCGCGGCAGACATGGCGGATCACTACGTACGGTTCCCCCCTAAATTTCATGGACCATTTGCTAATCGTTTGTGTCCTGAAGGGCGATGCAGAGTTGATCTATGGCGATTTCCGGCAGCGGCTACCTGTAGATATTAAGGATATGATTTATGCCGCGACGAAATGGTGTATATTCAGCGCTATCAAACAGACTATCAGTCGCGACTGGGTCCTCGATGCAGTTAAAGAGCGTAGCCGACGACTTAGTGGAAGGATTGAGCTTCTGCAGCTCCACTGGTACGATGTAAGTCTCACCGGCACCATCAGCAATTCATCATCTCTAACAAAATCGGTTCAAGTACTCCTCAAAAGAGTATTTGACCGTTCTGGAAGAGTTGATACTGATCAGCAAGGATCACCCTGAGCTCCTTTCTTCCGTTGGGCTTTGTAATTTCGATTCAGACCACGTAGAAGAAGTGTGTCAGCATCTTCTATACAAGACAGGATCTGTCGGCATAGTGTCGAATCAAGTGCAAGTAAGAAACCCAGACGAGGTATTATTGAGTATCCGTTGTTTACTATTTTAGTTCTCTCTTTGCGATTCTCGACCGCTTCAGAAAATGTCAGCCATTTGCTCCAAATATGACTTGAAACTTCTGACTTACGGTTCTTTTGTACGTAACCGTGTCTAATCCAAACGATGTGGTTGTATTGATGCTGACCTTTCTCAAGTCGGGTGGGTTCATAGCCGAGAAATGGCTTGGAGTGCCTGTCCCAGAGGTTTATTCAGAGGGTCAGCACTTGACTCCTTCTCAACGCAAGGTTGGTTTTGCTATACAAGCGTATGAGCGCTTTAATCCGCTTGTAAATTGACGCTTGAATAGTATCTCGACATCATAAACTTATGGGGGGGATGGGAGGAATTCCAATCGCTCCTTGGAACACTAAAGGCCATTGCTAGTAGCAGGAATGTGAGCTTGACCAATGTGGCAACTCGTTGGGTCTTACAACAGCCCGCTGTTGGCGCAGTCATCGTTGGGACTAGGCTCGGCGTGACTGCGCACAGTGGCGATAATGCCAACGTGTTCACTTTCCGGCTGAGTGAGGATGAGATGAGAGAAATCAACCACGTTGCACTTGGTCTTGGCAATAGTAAATGTTTGGCAATGTTCCAAAAGCTTGGAGATTGCGGGAATGAATATAGAGCTATGCATTAAACCCTAATAATCAACTTATAATGAGCTCTGGCCTTGTGTTGATAGAAACCCGGACACAAACAGATGTTTTCAATCTTGAACACATCAGACGTACTCTCTGGTGATAGACCAAGGCAACCTTAACTTAGTGAAACGATGTTATATCAAAGGCTAGGGTATTGATTGTGTTAAGATGTCGAGTCTGGCATCTTCTATTGTCGTTTTAAGTTTATACCCAAACTCTCACCAAGATCAGAGGTTAGGGTTCTCGGTCAAAGGGCAAATCTCTTGATCGAGTTAAGAGGAGAATTCTGTTGTGTATTCTTTGTGATACATTCTTTCCAAGCATGAGCAACGAGGATGCGGATGGAAACCCGATCGAAATTTTAAAAATAAGTAGGAACAAAAAAAGCGTATGCAAGTATGAAATCTCAGACGAAGGTGAAACAGCCTCTTGATCAACATAGAGCATGTTTTCGATAATGCCCCCGATCGCTGTAAACGTACAGAGATTGACTCCAGAACGGCCGCTCAGATATCCATCCTCGGCCTGTGTACTACATTCTGCGGGGTTCTCAACCTCTTGTTCGCAAGGTGGCAGATTAGAAGATGGGAGCCAAGGAGAACACTAGTCTTGCAAACAGCTTTTCCCGCCCTGAGAGCCGCTGTCCAGGTTGTGGGAGTAACAGTTGGTGCGAGAGAAGGCATCGCCATCGTTCAATCGAGTCAAATAATCAGTCTCATTGGTGGCATGTCTAGATATCTACTTGTGCCGAACATTGCAACTGGTGAGGTCGTCGAGCCCTTAGAACGTACTGTAATGTTCCGAATGCTACACGGCAGTGTCCTGCTTGGAACGGCTGCCGGGTATCTCCTGGGGGGGATAACTAGAGATGCCTACGGAATTCGCCGGCCCTTCGAGATTGCAACCCCTGTATTCTCCCTCTCAAGCCTATACTCGATGTTTTTCATCCCATATATTGACTCCAAGAGCCTTCATGATGATGCAAAGGAAACGAAGCAACCTCGATGGAGCAAGTCCTTCGGCGGTCCCAGAGTACTCTCCCCACAGAGGCTACGCCTAAGTAACGGCAGAGCCATCGCCCATTACGGGATTAAATTCCTTGCTCTGGGTGTTTCTATGAGCGTATTAGCTATTGGCTACGCGCCAATGCTTATTCAAATATATGACACTGCCACCTTCAATTTCCTCCCAACCGAAAACGGATATTTGATGGCTACCAACTCTCTCATCCGGGACTTTTTCCTGTCGATCGTTTTCCCGAAGACTACCAATGCAGGCAGGGCCTAGTTCTCGTCTAAGCAAGACAGCCACACAGAGGTGGTGGATTCAGTCCGGGAGAGCAGCGATGATATAGATGGGCCCCAGGAACAAGCATGCGCTTCTCTGGATCCCTGCAGTCAAAGAGGCCGAGACTTTGATATATTGTTCCTTCGATGGAGTCTTGCATTTGATGGGCCGGTCACAGCTTCCACAGCGTTGGCGACCAAAGGGTAGCACATTTATCTCGGTAAGTATTGTGACCCATTGATTGCACATATCGCTAATCATGGCCATCAGCCGGCTTCCTGCTCCCTTTGGCATCTGGCTCAGCACCTCCAAGTAAAGGTGTTATCACGTAAATGTGCCTGCCTTCTGAGCGCGCAGAGGCGCTGCAAGCAATGACACTTGATGAGAATGTAGCCATGTTGTCAACTTTGGGGCTGTTCGGCTTCATCTTTTCATCATTCTCTGCCATCGGTAGAGCATACCTGACATTCTATTGCAACGTGGTACGTCTTGATCAATAAAAGGGCAAAAATCGAGATGAGCAAAACGACTAACGTGAGATACAGGCTGTTGCTCTTGCTGCTGTCGCCATATTGCTATTTGCACACTTTCCTCCTTCCGGAAGCAGGTTGGAGGTTAAAGACGATGGCGAGGAGTAGGTAGTGATCATCAAAACATACACGAATCAACGGATCAATACTAGGTTTGGAATGAGAACAGGTCATCGTTCAAGAAAGTTGTAGACATTCAAGAGAAAGATGCTATTGTGGGTGAAGAAGGATGCCCCAGGTGTCATTCTCTATGGAGTAGAAACGAAAGAAGGAAGAAAAATCAAACCAACTAGACTCCAACCCCTGACTCCTCAATACCGAGATAGCCTTAGCATCGAGTTCATCCTCGGGCATACACCCAAGCAACCTAAGCTTGCTGGCTTTATAAAGGCTATCAAAACTGATAAGATTAATAAGCTGGATTAACCTATACTTAATAGCCTCTATAAAGCTAGTAAGCTTGGGTTGCTTGGGCGTATGCCCGAGGATGAACTCGATGCTAAGGCTATCTCGGCGTTGAGGAGTCAGGGGTGGGAGTCTCGTCTTTTGCTATGACCGAAGGCTGTGGGTGTGTCAGTGTCAGTACTCTGGCCAGGGGGCTACTGGTACTCACTGAGTTGGTTGCTGAAAAGATCCGCGCTTGGTTGAAGTATTTGGATTGGCGTGATAAAAGACAAGAAGCTGGGTGAAGAGGGCAGCTTTAGTAGTCATTCGATGCGCAGCTCGTCCTGACGGCAAGTGAGTCATCGGTAAGAAGGTTTAAAGAATTTTCTGCCGTATGACTGCAGCCTTGGGCTAGCGAAGCTTTTTTTATTAACCTTTTCGTATTCATTGTATTGAGTTGTTGGGTCTGACATCTTCCTTCTTTGGTTTTAACTTTCTATCAAACTCTCTCCGGTATGGCACCAACTAGTCATTCCGCGCCTAGGACCCTCTGACCCTTGAAGCTTTTTTCTATTGATGCTCGCTGTTTTGATACCAAGATAGGATATCCAAAGGCTCAACTAGTTGTATTAAAGTCTACAGTCGACAGATATCATGGTTTGGTGACTTTCTAGCTTGGTCAGCTACGGTTTGGGTATCATCGGGCATTTTACCAGGTGCCTATCACCCGAGTATGCGTTCCAGTGTAGCATGGCCATGCCGGAGAGGAGATCGGAGTTGTGGCCGAATTTTTATTAGCTTGGAAAGAGGGGTATAAATCCGTTGGTTTGATATGGACTCAATCACTAGCAGACATAAGAGGATACATATGCTTTGATAGCCTGAGCGACCTAGTCCATGCCATAAAACAGTCAAGTGCAATCATCTCTCATCACCATGGCTTCTACCGACGATACAAACGACAACTTCACGCTCTACGACCTACGAGTCGAAGTTGTGTGCCCTGAAGGAGAGAGAATTCTTTGCGGCGCAAAGGCAGGCGACCATTTCACGTTAGAGGGAGAAATGTTGCATTTACCCCCGGGGCAAGGGATAAGCATATATAGTCTTGGTATTTACAGGTCCTTGTTACATTCCAATGTGAAATACGGTCTGATGTGCTGACATGGAGGAAGCGGCTACGCTCCCACTGCTGGCGGCAAAGCAGAGAATGACACACGCTCACGACTGGATGAGCACCGATGCCTTGATCGCTTGTCCGGATCCTAATTGCAAATCGCAATTGAAGATTACTAGGACAGGCACGCGGGAATTCAGCCACGCAAGCACTACAGTTGTGGGTTTGGAAGGAAACCACTGAGCTGCGGAAAAGAGATACCGAGGGACGATTGTACCGATAGTCAATCTTCAAGATATAATCCATGACTCCTAGTTTCCGAATCGTGTTATTCTCTGAACTCGCTTATCTCTTCCCCGCTTTCTTCAACAAGACCTGATATGATAACCCCCTTGCTCTAGACCCATTGCTACTGGGTGGTGGGATTGTCTACACATACACCCTACGGCTCTTATCAGCTTCGGGTGCTTGTACCCGAAACCTTCGTGTGAAGCAGGACACTTGCGGCAATTGCACCTTGCCACCAAGCCTCATGATCCAGCTGCCTGCACGGGACGCTTAAGGCTTTGACAAACCCCATGTTTGCCCAGAAAGTTGCCACCAAAAGACAGATCTTGGACTTGTGAATCCATGTCACCCCCCACTGCTCGCCGGGTATCCGAAGTGACTAGTCCTGGGTCCAAACCAGCCCGAGAACTGTCAGGTCGTCACAAACGGCCTGGGGTACCCGATGAGCAGAGGAAACGAGTGAGGATCGCGTGAGTTGGTTCTATTCTAGGTGATGGGTGAACTCAGATGCGGAGAGACGCCACCCTGCCCTGGCGAAAAGTCCACGCTGACACATGGTTGTATCGCTACAGATGCAGGGACTGTCGAAAGCATAGCTCCGTTGCAGTGGGCGAGAGCCATGCGAGCGCTGTATGAGACCGAGAGGTAATGCGAGTACGGCCTCGACGCACCTGCAGGGGAAGCAAAGCGACGCGCGAATTCAGAACGTTCTGGAGTCGCGACTATCCCCTCGCATGAGGAGCAGTTGCAGCTGTTTCAACGCATCTTCTCCAAGCTCCATGCGAATGTCCCGACAGATCCGGAGAGCTTGCGCCGCTTCTATATGCATTCAAAAACTACAACACCAGAGTCTGGGGGAGAACAGCCAACTGCGTCTGCCGGGCGGACGGTCGAAAATAATAGTGTTCAGGAGCATCATCAACACCGTCAGCATGGCAGTGATGGCCTTTGCGACTGCAGCTCTCCCAACAGAACAGCATCTGTGACTAAGGTAAGCCAAGGGAAGAAATATATCTCCCAAGTACAACGAGTCGGGATGCCGGGTACAACTTGCTAAGGTTAGCCTTCAGAATGGCCATCAACATGGGTCTCCCGGCATTTCGTTTCTGAATCGCTACACCTAGATATTCGCGAACTACGCAACCGTCTCTGGTGGAGTATATACGTCACGGGCAGGCTTTACAGCATCGAAATGGGTCGGCCCCTGGCCATCAACGACGCCGAAATCAGCGCACCGTACCCAGTGGACGTTTCAAGCTGGACTGATATCCACGGACGGCCAAGAAAGGTAGACGGGCTGGTCTCTCTGGCCGAATTTGCCGTATTCTTGGCAAGATTGTAGACGCAGTCTATTGCAAGCCTACCTCCGAGAAGGGCGCCACCATCCGACCTCACGATCTGCAGTTGTTGAAGGATGAGCTGGGAGACTGGAGGAAAAGCCTGCCCGCAAATATCAATTTTCGAAACTTCACGGCCCGATACGAGGCGCCCCTGGCTTTAACATATGGGCAGTCCATCATCCTACTGACCCGCTCTTGCTTGCACTACGCCATCGCGACGTATCGTCCTGTGAACAGTCTGGAGGCTAATGAGACAAAACTTTTACGTCAACAGGCTCAAGAGTGTGTCAATGCCGCAGTTTCTTCTATCCGGGTATTGGGTGCCCTAAAAGGTTTATCTTTGTTATGTCGCTTCTCCTTTCATGATTCATTATACTGCAGTTCGGCTCTATACGTCCTAATTTATGCAAGTCGTAAGTTGGCGGGTTCTGTATCTGTCCCTCAGAAATCCATCGTGCAGGGCATTTGCATTCTCCTAGAACTCGCAAAGGGAAGTGAAGCAGCAGGATTAAGTTTGAGTGGCATCACGCAGGCCCTTGCGAGAAGTCCTAGGAATCCAAGTGCCGGCAATACCAACAGCAGTACCCTCCGAAACACAGAAAATGGCATTTCTGGGGAACGGGAGCGGTCCGCTTGGAAGGCTTGGAAGAGGGCAGTGACAGATCCCCAATCTCATGGCTGGGGTTCATCTACGAAGAATCCAATGCCTTGGAACGGACCTATGGCAGGTTCCTGTGTTCCAGCAGTAAGTTTTCGACCTTTGACGCTTTGTTATCGGGCGATATTGGCAACGATCTTTTAGTTTGGCCTTACCCCGGTATCAGACCAGCCAATACAAGCAAAAGTTTCAAGGTATCCTTACAACCCACACCATGAACCGAATGAAGATTTTAATGGTGAGGATATGGGACCTCTACCTCTACAAGTTGATGACGATGTGGATACAATGATCGATATCTCAAATCTAGCACCTTACTGGGTACCGGAACACCCAGACTTTGACAATGTAGGTCGAGGGCTTGGGTCAGCATTAGAGCTAGACTTTTAAGACGGTGAAGGAGGTACGGTGAACGAAACCCACAGTAGTTCCGGTTTCACGAGCATTAAAATCCTGGGGCAGCACATGTGAAATAAAGCACCAGAAGCCGGGCATCCACCTGATCAAGCTGAGTGGCCACGCTAAATGAGCGGTGTGTTACGGATACAATAAATGATAAATCTAAGTTTCGCTTCCTCGGGCCTAGCATGGACTTAATGTTGTCCATCGCGCCCTACACATGCATACTCGGTGAACCAACCTCCTTAGGCAGACCTACCACAGCATCGATCCCCGTGACCGGATTCAGGCAAGAAGATTCACATGTGCAAGGGACAACTCTCTTGCGTCCCATTTGATATCTACATGGCTGCAGCTTGGCCACAGGCACACACCGGAGTCTCGCAGGTTTACCCGGCCTGCGATCTCCGGACCGACACCCGCTTCACGGAAGCCGGACAAGGTTAGGGGCCCGCATCATGAACATTACTGGGACCACCGACCGGGTTTCACCCCGAAGTCGGAGATGGTATTTCGACAAAAACTCTGATCCGAAGAGCTATCACTGGAGTGGTCCCCCGGCAGCTTTCTCGGTTGCTTCCTCATATTCTCCGTACTAGACTGTGTAATGTGCCAAGAGCTCCTTTGCCCACCATACCGTCATGGCACTCCCACCCGAGAATGAGAAACAACCAGCCTCAGGCTCTGGCCATGAGATCCGCCAACTGTCCGTCTCTTCATCGTCTTCCGATGAAACTGCGGCAGAGGGCCAAGGGTCCAAATTCAGCACGGCAGGTGGAAGGTATCATTCACGACCTTCCCGTCTAGATGACATCGAGGATGTAGACGACACAGCCCTTGGCCGCCTCGCTTCCAATCCAACCCGGGTGAGGACTCGCTCCCGCTCCCGATCAAACCTCCCACCACCACCGGACGGAGGTCTCCAGGCCTGGCTCCAAGTCGTCGCGGGGTGGCTTGTGATCTTCGCCACATGGGGCTATCTCAATTCCTTCGGGGCGTTCCAGTCCTACTACACCTCCGGCGGTCTGCCATCCGCCTCTCCGTCCACTATCTCCTGGATCGGCTCTCTCCAGGGCTTCCTCACCACTGCCCTGGGAACCTTCAGCGGTCGTCTCCTCGATGCTGGTTTCTTCCGCCCCACCTTCGCCGTGGGCGCCGCTCTGCAACTGGCCGGGATCTTCGCCATGAGCGCCTCTGATAACCCTCAGTACTGGCAACTAGTCATAACGCAAGGGATCCTCACAGGCATCGGCGGAGGGATCCTCTTCACCCCTACCCTCGGGCTGGTGGCTACGTGGTTCGGACGCCGCCGCGGCTTCGCCATCGGCCTGGCTACCTTGGGCAACTCCACCGGCGGCATCCTGTATCCCGTCATCGTGAGACAGTTGCTCCCCAAGATTGGCTTCGCGTGGACCGCCAGGGTGCTTGGTTTGGTGAATTTGATATGTTATGCGGTTGCCCTTTTATTGATGAAATCACGCCTCCCTCCCCGCCGATCTGGAGCTCTTGTCGATTGGAGCGCCTTCAAAGAGCCAGTCTACGTTCTCTACATTGTCGGGATGTTCCTTTTCGTTTGGGCGAGCTACTATCTTTTCTACTATGTGAGTTTCCACCGTGATTTTCTTTTCAGAACTATGATGAAACCTAGGGCTTTCAGTATCATCTCCTGAATTACTGGTCATGGTAACAAACAATTCATCCCTGCATCCCAACCACACAATCTCTCTCAAGCAATTGCTAACTTCCTCACGGGTTGCATCATTCGGCATCCAAGTCCTCGGACTCTCCTACAGCGAAGCCTCGTTCCTCATCATGGTCATCAACGGCGCCGGCCTGCCCGCCCGCGTCCTCATGCCCATGCTCGCCGACAAGATCGGCGCGCTCAACGTCATCACCATGTGCACCCTCTCCATATCCGTCATCGTGTTCTGCTGGTTCGCCGTGAGCAACGTGCCCGGCTTCTACGTCTTCACGGCCTTTTGCGGTCTCGTGTCCGGGGCCACGCAGAGTCTCATGCCCACCACCATCGCCAGCATCACGAAGCGGCTGGACATGGTGGGCACGAGGATGGGCATGTGCTTTAGTATCATCTCGTTTGCGTCTCTGACCGGCCCACCGATCGGTGGCGCGCTCCAGTCCGCGATGAAGGGGTCGTTCACGGGCGCGCAGGTGTGGGCGGCCGTGTCGACTTTGGGTGCTGGATTGTGTCTCTTGGGGGCTAGGTTCTACCAGGCTCAGGGGAAGATCAAGGTCAAGTGTTAAGAGGACAGAATGCGGTGTTCCATGAAAGGGAAAACGGCACGGAAAGGGGTACTCTCTTTGCCAGTTTTCAATGAAGGTACGATTTTCTAATTCCGTTTTGCATGCTAACTCTCTTTTTTCGATTGCAGCTTTATATAGCCATATTAGTAATATTAATAATCAAAAAGTTGTCACTTTGAAACCCTGTTCTTATGATGCGTTGAAATGTACTTGGGATGATTGTCCTGAGAATTCAGGTGGTTCTGGCTCCGGCGTAATATGTAGGATAGAAGCCGAGGAATGACAACATGAACCTAGAAATAAGAACACAATAAAATATTGATGATTGGAGCTTATGCGTCCTCACAATTTGTGAGTTCTCAATTTGAGAGTATTGATCAATCTTCATTATATTATTGAACTGGAGAGGAGCTGTAGGTAGAAGAATCGGTAACGGAAGCCTCTTGCCACTCTTCGAGGATTTCCCGGCGATACTCGTCGGCAACACCAAAACCCCTCTGCTTTACTGTATCCAGGAAACCGATCAATCTCGTACGGTCATCCTGTACTTCCATAACCGGCGCCACCGCCTCCGCTAGAGGGAGGAAGAACGCCACATCCAACAAAGACTGAGCGGTGAGAGATTCGATTCCTTCCATCAGAGAGATGACCTGTTCGTGAAGACATTCTTGCGTCATTACGGGAAGCTCACATTCGAGTGAGGCCAGAGCACTCGTTTGGAGCTGTTGCGATAGGCAGATCAGAGCCCAGCGCATGTACTGGCTGTATGAGTCGTCGTGTGTGGTGGGAGGAACGGAGTTGGAGAGGAGTGCCTGAAGCATGCTTGCTTGGAGACTAGAGGCCTCGCAAATGATTTCGATACCTTCCACCCCGTGATTGGGGTCCCTGTTGTCGGGATCAGCAGATAGCAAGTCCCATTGGTGTAAACTGGAGACGGGTTAGCGAAGATATGGGATCGGGCCGGCTCTCAATCTTACCGTTCTTGTAAGACGGCCCATCTCCACATGAGGGACAGAACGTGGTTGGGCCTCCCCGATGCTGGATCGCTAGGCTTATCACTTGTGGCAGCTTCTTTCTGTAACCTAGCAGCAAAGTCCTGCCCGACGGGCTTCTGTAGAAATGGGATGGATCCAAGAAGATCGTTGAGTTGGAAGAATCTCATGAGCTCTCCATCCAGTTGTGAAAAGTCTCTGCCTTCCTCGACTAGGTATTTTGCCAAGTTTCGCACGTGTATTATCCATAACCGCCAGCTCTCGGCAGTCGGATTTAGGAGAAGCTTGGAAAAGGATCAAAGTTAGAAGATGGAGAGCCGAGAGGATGGCTATGGAACTCACATCAGGTATGGCAAGTAGTAAACTGCATAACAATAAAACGGTTGTGTTCTGTGAGTACGGCCGAGACATCCGCTGCGTGAGGACTCTCTTTTGCGCAGCAACAAGCCTTCTCAACTGATTGCGCTCCTTAGTCTCCAATGTGTGCGTAGCACTCTTGGATGAAAACACCTGTCCGACGACACTGACTGTCTTGTTGACTAGTTCGTCTGATTGGCTCAGCATAATCACATCGGGGCTGCGGAGGACCTGGCTCTGAGGCAGTTTCCCCGTAGCCTCGAAGAAGCGGTTTATGAAAGACCAGGATTCGTTGGTGAGCGCTGCTGCTGGCTTTGATGGCGTGCTGGCATACGGGGACTGGAAGACGCGCACAATCTGGACGTCTCTCGAGCGCTTGGGAAAGCTACACTCAAGGCCATTCCGGCGGCAGAAGGAGCATGGACTATTTCCATCACACTTTTAATTGCCCGGTCAGTCAGTCCTCGAGGCAAGGGCTGGAGTCACACATTCAACAGACCTTCATGTGGCTCCTCCGGCACGAGGAGCAGCGGTGGCCGCCTCGCCGCTTGTCCAGCTGGCCGCACGGCATGGCGCAAGACGCTGGGAGGAGATCTAGATGCTGTTCTTGGGAAGTATAACCGAAGCAGGGGATCGAGGCGGGTGTGGAGGAGTGGCGATCGATAAGATCAGAGTTGGATGAAATGCATGTGAGAGAAGTGCGTAATTAACGACGTGGTCTGACGCACTGTGAATTAATTGGCTGCTGCCACTGCCAGCGGATTACTCCCGGCGCTAAGCTATTCGCAGCCGGTGTCGGCCATCTCCCAGTTTGTCTTCGCTGAGTAACAATGCTCGTCTGAAGTATGGCAAGAGGCCCTTGGATTTCGGACAAATTAATTTCATGAGGCACTGGGAGTTATATTCACTTTGGCAGAGATGTTCTCCGTGATGTCCATGCGGCTGGAAGCGGGTATTTGTCCCGATGGGCCTGGCCTAAAAATACCAGCTACTTGCTGTATGCTTCAGGCTACTTGTGACATCTTGTGGGGAGATTTAGCGGGGTTGAAGCTGCTGAATAGCGCCTGTGAATTATCGTTGCATCAAAGCCTCATTTCTACTGTCTCGGAAGACATCATCCAGCCAATAGTGCTCCCTCATTTCACCTACCCTAACCCGCTCCGAAAAATGAACAATTAATTAGCCTCTCGCTACAGTAACGTGTGACCAAATTCGGCGAGAGGATACGAGGAGGTAGCCTGCGTGCGTGTATTTTTCATTGATAATAGTGAGGCAGTGCCACCTGTAACATCAAATGCCAAGAAAGACTCGTCAGCCATCAACGTAGTCAGTTGCTATCACTAACTGCACTAGGCCTCGGGGACGGGAAATTGGTCGGATACCGCGTGGTAGCAGACTGACTAATAATTCTCGGACAAATTATTTACCAGGGTTTGTTTCAGAATTCTCATGACAAAGAACTATGTGTTAGGTGCAAGACCATCAAGAGATTTGTTTAGACCTTCACATGCCGATTTATATTATCAATCAGCTGGAGACGGCTTTGGGGGGATTAGTGATGGCCTCTTTAGCCTATTATCTAGACTAAGAGTCTTTATTACTCTTCACTCCATGCATTTGAGAAATAAGAATAAGACTGGTTCGCGAACATTATCCTTCACAAAACAAAGACACCAAGCAGGAACAGCCTGGAAGAAAAACGGCCTTGCAGTTTGCTGTTGTGAGCATAATTGGACGCTTTGGTTATCTTATGTTACCAAAGGGACCATGCTTGAGATAAAATAAGGAAGGCGAGAACAGTTCGAGAAAACGAACAAATCCAGCCAAAGCCCATCTCGGTCTAGAGTTCTGTACGCGCGCATTTGTCATGGCTCATGCCATGGAAGAGACCAAAAGCTAAGGCTGTCAGTAACGGCTTCGCTGCGCCGCACCAATGAAACGGTCTGCCCATAATGACATCGCATTTCCCCCGAGTGAGTTTGTTCAGTGCAAGCACCACGAACCCAAAAATATTATCGGTGATGCCATCGCCCATAATGGCGCATCCTCGAGCGATTCTGACAACTTTTCCATCCAAGCTACGTCGTTATCGATGTACGATGATGCATGCAGTGCTTCAATCAGCCCAAAGCCGGTTTGCAGGCGGGTCATCATGTGCATGACGTAGCCCCAGATCGGGATCGTGACGATGATCGCCGCCGTTTCAACCAATGAGAGCAACCCATCCATGAACTGTCAGCAAAGCCAGAATCAAGGAATACACCATGCCGAAGTACGTGATGAGCAGAAAAGGGGAGAGTAACCAGGAATAAAAGAGACTCTTGGGAAGCTCACTACTTCTCGCGCAATCCATCCGCCCAGCCTCTGCTACCCTGAACCACAGCCAAGAGTACAGAGCGTACTCTCTGAACAAAATCGACATGTCCGAACTCCTAGGCCAGAAGAAGAAGAAGAAGAGCAGAAAGGGCGGCGGCGGCGAAAACGCACTAGATACCCTCCCCGCACTCGGTGGCCTCGACTCCCTACCGACAAAGGACGTGACCAACACTGCGCAAAATGCCGTGAGCGGAGTAACTGGCGCGCTCGGAGGTCTTGGGGGAGGAGGCGGCAAAAGCGAGTCGCTCAAGCTAAGGCTGGACTTGAACCTCGAGATCGAAATTCAGCTGAAAGCCAGAATTCATGGTGATTTGGAACTATCATTACTGTATGCCGACTTCCCCCACCCTTGCCAATGAAGCAGACCGTAACACTAATTAAGCGGGTAGGAACTGATTTAAACTTGGATGAGCGATGTTTGCACTTTTCTTTGGGCTGACACGGGTAATTGATTGACGGCGTGTCTGTATGTTATTTTGGTCAATAAGGCGTCTTCAACTTGAATAATAATTCTCTGGGTCACTTACTCTCAACGCAATATCGAGTTACAGCACATCGGGCGCCATGGGAATGATCGGAATAATTATTTGCTTGGAACTAGAAGCGGTATGTCGGTGCTCTAGACTTCAATTTTTGAATGATGGATACTCTTTCACGGCGATGGCGCCCGATGCATCAACACAACAGTAATTCAGTCATGGGCTTCTATTGAACTTCAATTTATCGACTCGGAAAAATCACAGAGAACGTGATTAGAGATGTAGAGAGTGAGCATGTGTTGGTGTATGTATTGAGATGTGTCCGAGACTAGAAGCAGACAGGTCCAGGGTTTTTCATAAAGTTGATCACATTATTAGGGCGAGACCAATCACAATTTTTTTCTTTTGACCCCAGGCATGCAAGCCATCAATTGATTTCAACTGGTGACATATTTAAACTACGTACGTTCATTGAGGTCATGCCTACCATATTGTATCGGACAAGGAGTTCTCCCAACACGCCAAACAAACAGCTCGATGTTTCCAAGTCTTACATCTCATATCATCGATAGCCATACTGGCGTCGGTCGAAAAGCTTTATAGTTCTTCGGGGACGGTGGTAACAATCTTCAGCAGGATACCCTCGGGGGTCTTGTGCTCCTTCTTGTACTCGTCGGTGTTGTAGAGGTGGTTCAAGGGATTGAAGATCACACCAGCAAAGCCGCCGTCGGCCAAGCATTGGATGATGGCGGGGCCGACCTCGTCTCGGGAAGCACCGCCGTCGATGGTGTTTGCGATGTCCTCATAGAGGACGGACGAGTTGGCTTTGGGGTTGATGTGCTTCGCAAGCAGCCTGGCCGACTTGTAGGTGTAGACCTCCCACTCCTGGCAATCGGCCTTGTCTTCGGCGGGCATGGACCAGAACTTGTTCTCGTGAAGGCCGTGGGCGCGGAGATAGTTTCCGATGTAGGTGACATCCTCGACCGAGACATCTTGGGGGGTGTCCCATGGACCGTTGTAGCAGTGTAGGGCAGGCTGGTCCCAGGCAAAGCACTCCGCGCTGGTGACCCTGGCGGCGACCAAGGCGAAGGCAGCGGTCTTGGTAAGGATATTGGCGTACATGATAGCTGTTGTATAAATATCGTAGTAGTAGAGCGTGAGAATAGGAGGAGTGACCTACGTCGAGGAAGCTAAAACCCCTTGATAGGAGGGGAGCTTCGGTGATCTTTATAACCTGAGAGACACCCGAGTATTTTCGCGGGACTACTCTCATTGGTCTCTCTTTTTGCGGGTGGAATGTGTGGCTGGCTGATAATGGGGAATGATTGTCTGTCCTCTCACAAGGTGATACGTCGGAGCATCTTCTATGGTCCCGCAGCGGTAAAGACATGTCTTACCTCTGGACAATGCCATTGACCGCATCTTGTGGAAGGTGGATGACCCAATTGACCGAATACGGGAGGCAGTTGGGAGCTTCTTCTTTCTCTGACTGCCTTCGACGTTCTTCAAACTCTGCTCATGTTCGTCCCACAAGCAGTTGAACCTTGCCTGTATGACTCTGGGAATGGGAACAGGTTCTCATTCCAAAGGATTTCCCGAAAGTTAGCTAGGCTAGGTCCACTAGTTGCTCGTATAGCCTGCAGTGTTCAGGTGGACCAATGGACCTTCTGAGACATTGCTGAGACGGAACGGGGGATTTTCAGGGTACTACCGTCATTCCGAGCTGAGAGAGAGGGATTTGCAGTGACGCTGACCAGATTGGGTCTGTGGAGGTGAGACAGAAGCACCCACCCATCGGGACTTGAGAAGTTATTGGTTTGTGAGATGATTGACTGCCTTAGACAATGTTGAATACGGCCTAGGCCATCAACTAAGACACCCTTCTTCTGCGACATGTTCTCTGTGTCTCCCGAGAGACGAGCCATGCCTGTCGGAAGGAACTCGATCAACTTGTCGATCGGAATTTTCATGTTAATTGGCCGCGTGGCCTAATGGCTAAGGCGCTAGATTTCGGCTTCCTCGCCTGCTCTAGAGATTCCAGGTTCGACTCCTGGCGTGGTCGGGTCAATTAGCTTTTTGCTCCTCGCCACCTTTTTGCCGTCAATTTATTGTTCTTTTCCATATTTGTTCATAACAATCATTGCCTTTCCGTTGCCGTCGTCACAATAGTGAGTGGGAGAGTGCTCCAAACGGTTAAAGTAGGCACTTGGAGTTTGGGGAATGGGACTTGTAGCAGACAGCGATAAACTCCATGCTATGGTATTTGCGTCCAAGACCAAAGGTGAGGTAAAGGTTGATTGGCTCTTTATCGCAACTAATAAAGTCAATTGCGGCAAGTAACATCGAAAGGATCACCGATATCGGCCGTGTTGGAAATCAGCGTCAAGCACTCATTATCAAGTTTTTCTATGATCGAATACGTTCAGCTGGAGGCTACAACCACATCATCCGTTACCATGTAATAGAGATGGCTTTCCCTTCCATATGCCGCACATCGGCTTCGTCCATCTTAAGCAGTCTGTTGTAAATCCACCAACCAACGGCCCCCCGAGAGATTGCATAGCCGACTGCTGAGCTTTCCAACACCGCTGACATGACATCCTCCACTCCCTCCTTGATTGTGGCGTTGCCCTTGTTGCCATCCATGAGAAGGCTAGGACGCACGAGGACAAATCGCTCTCCACTGCTTCCCAGGCGCTCCTCCATACTTTTCTTGTCTGCGTGTGGAACAGCCAGCATGTAGTGATACATTGGGTGTAGTACAATAGGGTAGTCTCGTTTCTGACAATACTGACCCGGCTCCAACTACCAAATTCTGGGCAGGTTGTTCGACATCAATCCTCATTTCGTGGGTACTCTGTGGAGCACTCAACGGAACTCACTCTTGGTCCAATTGCAGAGTAGCCTGTGCGTACCTTATGAAAAAGGTCGTTTCAGTCCCACATTCATGAAGGAAAGACGTGCATGACCTTTGGAGATGTACTGTCAAGTCAAATGCGCAAAGCCACTAACCACATTTTACTGGAAATCGTGGTGAAGAACTAAGTGTGTTAAAATGAACGCACATAAATCAAAGTTTTTTTTGTCATTTAAGTACATAGATCGCATCTAAGGGATGGGTTGTCAAATATTAATGATCGTGTGCTCAACCCCTACTCCGGAGTGTCACTTGTAAATTTTCCCCTTCATCTTCCCAGTGTCTCTATGTCAAATGAAAGCAAACACACTAAGTATTTAATCTTACAAACAGCGAAATAAATGCAAAGCAATGCTCCGGTTTTTGGCGGCCGCCGAGCTGTTCAAGTTTTGATGCGTGTTTGACTTGAAAGCTGCTTAACCGGCCGGATTTCCATGGTGGATCCTTTGCCCGATGATGAGGGTTTCCCACTGACCAGTCTGCTCGCTAACGCTCACGCGAGTCTCCCATACTTCTATACTAACATCTTGGTTGATTTTAAATAAGGATAATAAACGTGGTTTCCATTTGCGATTTGGGTAGTAGTAGAAGCGGGTGCTTTCTGCTCTACGCAGCTCCTGGCCGTGTGACTCACAATCACCAGTCTGTTTTTCTTTGCTACAGTTGTGTTCGACAAAGTTCTTCTTTGATGTAGGCTTTCTTCGATACTTAAGTTGGTAAAGTCGAAAAGATGTGGTTAAAGGAAGTTTAAAAACAAGCCAGAAAAAAACAACCAAGTTTCTCGAGCAAGACGCGCCACGATTCCATGGATCGGAAAGGTGAGTGAAAGGTGAGTCACGCGCCCGTTGTCTGCCACCCGACAACAGTTGTAAAGTTCCACTCTGATCGCCCTGGCATCTCTAGCACCTTCCCGCGATCAGCTTGCCTATTTTATTCCGAGATTTCTGAACCAGCGACTGTACAAAACATCACACTAAACATCAATCAGATGCCGTCGATGGCGTGATCGTTCCAGGCCCCCCCCCCCGCATGCGTTATTAGTTGTTTTGCCAAACGTCAACCATTTTTTCCCAACCACGATTCCAAACGCACCAACATGGGTATCGAAGACTTCAAAGACGGGCTACCCGAATCTGCCTACACCCATGACCAGATTTCGAGATGGCTGGAGCGCATTCAATTGCCTGCATTTTATCCTCAATCCCCGCAAGAGTTCCCAAAGACCGAGGAGTCTCTGCGCACCTTAATGAGATGCCAAATCACTACGTTTCCGTATGAAAATCTATCAGTTCACTACTCTGACACTCATTTGGTCGACATCAACCCGGAGTCTATCTATCGCAAGCTCCTGGGACCCGAGAATGGTGGCAGAGGCGGATATTGTATGGAATTGAGCATCTTTTTCTACCACATGCTCCGCGGCCTCGGCTTCCACGTGTATATGACCGGGATTAGAAATCGTACACGAACAAATGGCGTGCCTGGGGGGGAGTACCAAGGATGGTATGCTTCACATACGACCTGATTTGACAGGAGAATTCATTACTGACCTCTACCTATAGGACGCACATCAACAACATAGTACACCTTCCATCAGGTGACAAGCTCTCGGTTGATGTAGCTTTTGGAGGCGATGGGCCCATCAATCCGCTGCCGATGGTAGAGACTGGAAACCCTGTTCAGAATCTGGGTGCCCAGCAAGTCCGACTTGTGCATGAGACGATTCCGAAGCAGGGACTGAGATCCCCATTATGGATATACCAATATCGAAACAGTGCCCATCTTGATTGGAATTCTTTCTACAGCTTTGCCGAGATTGAGTTCTTCCAGGAGGATTTCGAAGTCATGAATTGGTTTGCAGGTGCCAAAACACTGCATAGATGGAATGTCCTTGTCGTCCGCTTTCTCAGAGAAGGAGAAGACGTGCTGTTTGATGACAAGTTTAAGCCAAGGCGTGATATCGACCAGGTCAAAGTTGTTGGAAAGGTTATGCTTGTCAGCGATGTAATCAAAGTGAATCTTGGGGGAAAGACAAACATTGTCCACACTATGCAGACAGAGACGGAGCGCGTCAAAGCACTACGCGATTATTTTGGCATTCAGCTAAGGAAGGACGAGGTGGAGAGTATTCGAGGTTGGGACATGGCGCTCAAGTAACGCGAATCCACTCCTTGACCGGAAACAAAATATTTGAATTAATCTATCTACCGAAATATTTGAAATTCATAAATTCAAATACCTCTATTACTATTTATGGCCGTCCCAAGGATTCTTGAACATTCTCTAGACTAGAGCACTCTCGTGCATTCTGCATTCCTCTGGAAGGGTGCTCGTAGAGAATGGAGACACCTGTGGAGGAAATCCTGCACATCACTCGGAGGTCATGTTTCGAGAGGGCCTCTCTACCTACATCTTTTGCAAATTTTGGCTACGACGGACGGCAGAACGTTTGGAAGTAAACTTGAACGAATGACCATGCAAAATGGAATAAATCAAGAATGAATTCTGTTGTTAACTAACTTCATATCCCCTACAACAAAGTCATGCATCGGAAGATCTCCTCCCTGGCCAAGCTCAAAAACCTAGGTCGTCATTCTATTAGACCCTTTGGTAAATAAAATACACCTAGTGCTGGGCTCCTATTGGAGAAATCCACTACATCCATATCCGGAGGCACTCCAGCATGCCGAGGTTCTTGTTCATCAAGCACATCTATTGGAAAGACCCAAAAGCCTGCAACCGATACCTCCTGCCCCTTTTCGATCCCCTCGAGGCTGCCAATCTGGCACGGCGCTTGGTGCTCCTCCCTTACAAGATAAGTTTTCAGGGAACTGATGCTGCGCACAACGTCCTCCCCGCACCGGTCGTGGCAATCTTGTGAACACACGGTGTGATCTTCCGTTGCGTCAACGGCTATCACATACGAGATCTCTCGCTGTGGCAGTGATTCATTCTCTGCTGTCATGCCAAATTTAGTCTCCATGGATTCCCACCAAAACAGCCCACCCATTGGGCCATATTCTTTCCAGAAGCGCACCCGCTCAAAGTCAGAGCGCTTAAGCAGGCGAGGGTCGGCGGGCATGATATAGAACTCAGAAGCTTCGGGAAAGAGAGGCATGGCGTGAGTGACTGGTCTTCGGTAATTAGTGAACGAGCCGAGGCGACTGGATCGCTGAGCCGGTGGTAGGCCCATGTACCTGTTGTCCTTATTGAGCAGGTGGATGAACCATAGATGCTCCAGGGTCATAAGACTTTGCTTGAATGATCTCACCTCCTCTGGCCGCAAGATTTCAGGGGTAGTTAAGTGCAGAAACTTGAGGTGCTCAACACATTGCATGTTGATTGCGAGGTTCCAAAGGCCGCTTCCTTGTTTATCGTATGCCCGAAGATCGTGAAAGAAGCCGACTAGAGTTGAAGGTGGGACGCCAAATGAGTCGAGGTACAGAGTATCGTTCTCTGGATCGAGGTAAAGATACTCGTTGTTGGGATTTCCAGGGTTCATTGGAAGGCGTATACGGTATCTTTGTAGGGCTATTTTTCTGGATTTCTGGCAAATTTGGAGCAAGATGCTACCTCGCGGGGGGTGAGGTAGTGTAACGCGATATCTAACCCCGCTTATGACATTTCCCAAATCATTTAATTCTGTATACAAACAGTTCTGCGGGCATGAGCTTTGAGATTCTTCTTCGACTCTTGGGTCTTTCATGAGGAGAATAGTGACCAGGCGCTTGGTCTTGGGCGACTGTGTGAGCTCCAAGATACGCAGCTGGATCTCAGTTGGGAAACGAGAGAATTGATGAAATTCTGTCAGGCGAGGCTGAGATTGATCTAGGCAATCGGTTTCCGTAGGGAATATTGCTGTGTTTAAAACATTGAACTGGGGGTCATTTGGGGTGTTCGCCTGCAGGGCCTCGAAACTTGGCTCATTGAATAGAGCCATCTTCTTCGACTTGTTCCGAATGACCTGATCACGGTGAATGATGAGAAAGAGAGCGGTGAAGTGGCCGTGTCTGGAGTCTTTCTCAGAACAGGCTGCCCTGCGTCAGCAAGGCGATCCGCCAATCGCAGGCTTTACACGTTGGTGCCCAACCGATAATACGACCTTTTGGGTTGCTTATGGCTTGAATTTGCATAATTATTCATTATTCCAAAAGACGGCTTGTGCTCCGAAAAGTGATGCACACTTGTCGCCCGTCGCTACCTGACGCCATGGGCACATAGACTTGGTGACCATAACCCAGCATCGGTCAATCGAATATACAAAGCCCACCCCCAAGTCTGTCAAAATTTCCTCAGCATCGATTTGATCTCAACGATCTTTACTTTAGTAGGAGGGAAGGTAAAGACACGAACCTCTGGCTCGTTCGACTAGCAATAGCTATGGACATAACCTGCGAAGTACACATGCTTCGAATCATTCGGTCTGGCGGTAGTAATAACCTTTCATGAGAGCCCTGCCTAATATTTACTAGTCCGATATTATAATAGGGGAGCCTAACAATGAATATTAATAATGAAAAAGGGCAATTACTGTAATTCGGGCGACTTCTACTGTCAAAGACACCATCCCTTCTCTATTCAACTTTTCTTTGAATGGTCTGTGAAAGTCATTTTCTAGTCTGAGATCCTGATATGATAGGTATGGCAACCCGAATCCTTGCTCTCCTAGAAGTGTGCAAATCGTTCATAAACACTCTTCTTTATATAATCACAGATTCAGTATCTACAAAAATGTTCTCTTCAAAGCACACGCCAAAGCCACCGTCTAGGTATTGGGTCGAGACTGTCTACATTGGCATCCTAATGTCACCCTCATCAATACTTCCGGTAGCCTGACAAACCATGAATTTAGCTAAACATGAAGTAGAGCTGGAGGGGGGGAGTTACTTTCATTGGCATTAGTTGTGCCTGCCTGACTGATCGCTATTTTAATTGAGGATAGGCACTCATTGCTACTTGGCCCCCAGTGTGGCAGAAGAGTACATTACGACGGCCGAATTTGCCGCCTCTTGCCATGTCAAGCAGACCGGTGAAAGCCTTGCCAGTATAAACTGGATCAACTAAGATCCCCTCCGTCCTCGCAAGTTCCTTTATACCTTCGGTTGTACTGGTATCCAATAACCCATAACCCCCTCCGAGATAACTATCGGTAATCTCGAAATCATCTGATGTGATGTCGTTTGCGTCAAGGCCGACATGGTTAGCAGCAGTTTTTGCGATGCGGAGAACGAGCTCAACAACCTCGCTCTGCTTGCGCAGAATGGAAAAGCCAATCAAACGTTTCCTCGACTTCAGTAGTCCCATTTTCTGGGCAAGCTTGAAGCCCACGACCAGTCCTCCAAGTGTAGAACCAGAGCCACTCGCAGTAATGACGACATCGAATGGCACACCAAGTTGCTTCTCCTGCTCAAGTATCTCAAATGCACATCGAGCATAACCCAGGCCTCCCAGAGGATGCAGGCTGGCGCCAGGAGGAATTGAATATGGCTTTTTGCCGCGACTCTTCAGTATTTCCAAGACCTTTTCCTCCGTGGTACCCACAGGGAATGTTTCCGCTCCCAGAATCTGAGCCACTTGGACATTTCCAGCATATGCATACTCGGGTTCAGTCGATGCGACGGCGTCGCGTGGGTATAGAGCGACCTGTTTGATAATCAGTGGGAAGTTCGTTTGCTGGCAGTCTTATGCTCCAATAATGGCACGCGATTTGGTATCCTTACACCCATCCCAAGGCGTGCAGCAGCAGCACTGGTCTGTCGCATGTGGTTGGATTGAACCCCACCCGTTGTCACGAGGGTGTCTGCACCTTGAGCAACGGCATCAGCCAAAACATATTCCAGTTTGCGAATCTTGTTGCCGCCGAAGGCCAGGCCGGAATTGCAGTCATCCCGCTTCATCCAGATCTCAGTACCGCATGCAAGCTTCTCTGTAAGCCTCTTGAGATATTCGATGTCTGAGGGACGATCATGCATCAACGGAATGCGGGGAATCTCGCCAAAGGGCGAGGGCAACACAACCATGATGAGATTTCTGCGGTGCTGTCAGGCTGATCGATGCAATTAAGTGCAATATTGGGAACTCGAGAGCGATGGAAAAGAAATCAAAGTCAGCTGAAGTTCATCCAGCTTGGAAGACCTGTAGATCAAAACCGGCTCGCCGTAAGTGCGGAAATACGACAATAATCCGACCAACCTCCGTCTCGTTGGATCCCATCCCCATCACGTCATCATGAATTAGCTGCGCTCAGAATAACTTTACTAGTCAGCTAATTCAACCTACCTAATAAGGCTAATTGGGCTCAAGACAGAAAACAGTAAACCGTCAGTATTTTGGCTATTCTTGACATCACCTTCTTGATGGGACGGTTTCCTATTAGGGTCATATACTTGGGGGAAGCAAAGGCGTTCTACCTCATCTATTTTCTCAGTGGCTATATGATCCATTGAATTATACTTGTAGACGAGGGCCGTGATTGGGGACCATACTATAAGCCAGGCTTCATGCATGTTGTCGTGAGTGCTAACACCGTCCGGGTCGGCTTGCGTGGAAGATTCCGTTCCAGGCGAAGGCTCGGGGGATTAACTATATTCGTGGCATTGTTTGATTGGCAACTTTACCCTTGGCAATCTAAACGTGTTTCGGATTCTTTTGAAGTCTCGGTGATCTTAGCCAGTAAACGCAACGTAAAAGTTTCATGCAGAAGAAGTCTAGCTATGAATAGGCTATGATCCGATGGTACGGTAATTCAGGTTCGGGAAGGGTTTGTCAATGAAAATTTGCACGCAAGCAATTGTCATATCTTCATCTAGAGTTAACATACTATGATCTAACTGTCCTTGGTTCTGGTCCTCCCTCGTAAACAACAGCAGCCTCTAGCGAGCGGAACTTGCCATGCTCAGCACCAAACAAAATGAATAAAATGAAATGATAGAAAACTTCTCAATGGCCGGCATGAGAAATGTTTAGGAAACATTTGAACAAATGGAATTAGGGACGTCGCCGGTCCGTAACCTGTTCTTGTACTAATTGTACGCCAAGTCTCTGTCTCCTCTGTTCTGGCTCTGGCTACTGCCCTTGCTGCTCAGCGCAGAGAGCAAACGATTAGCAGTGCCACTTATACTTAGTCGCGACCTGCGACCGTCACTTCGGTGGGATCGTCGATCATAATCGTCATAACCCGAGCTTGGGGAGTAGTAGTCGCGGTCGACATCGTACGAGTAGCTGCGGGGTCGGTCATTCATGCTACTGGCACGAGAGGCACTCCGAGGACGTCGGGGAGGGGAGCTGCCTGACAGTTCATAAATGTGATCCCGTTCATCATAGCTTTGGCTACGACTGGGGTGGGCTTTCTCTCGATCGTCTTGTACTGAACTTGGTTTGGATTTGATTTCTTCAGGGTTGGGGTCAAACCGAACTCTGTTCATGCTTCGCTTCTTTAGAACTGATTTGGGAGGCACGTCGCTGGTGGTTGAGCGCCTCTTCCTACGAGGATCAACAGTCGCACGCGATGCGATAGATTCAGCTTTACTGCTGTTGCTGCTATCGGATGTCCTTCTTTGTGTCTTGGGCACTCTTCCTTTGCCACTAGCGAGCTGCCAGTCTTCAGGGTGAATGGGTCTCCCTGCTCGGTAATTGGCAGTTTGCCTAGCAAACGCAGAGATTTGATCCTTTGAAAGTCGCCCGAGCACCGCGACGTATGAGGGCCTTGCTTCGTATCTAACCCCAGCAAGTTCAAGAACACCGGGGCTGACAATATCGCGGTCAATTTTGGTCCATTCAGCGTCCAAAGGGATTGCTTGGCCATGGCTATCAGGTGCCAGGCCAGACTCAATCGCTGGAACTCTTTGTGAAGGAGAAGAGGTAAATGGAATTGGTTGGGTCCTGAAACTTGAATTGCCGGGAAGCTCAGAGACATGCGTTGAAGCATAAGAGTCCCGAGGGATGAACGGAGTATCCATTCGCCCGATTGGGAGAGAGTTGCCTCTTCTATGATGGTACTGGGAACGCGATGGCGATCTGACAAAGCGAGGATCTGTATTGTCTTTGGCAGTTGTATCATTTGTTGAAATCGATGTCGTGAGAATGTATGAATAGCCCGAGTTATCATACTCTGACGATGGTTGATCCCCAACTTGATTGTATGGCTTGTCGAGAGGGATCTTGGGTGGGATGGGGGGAGGAACTGTTTTCGGTTTGGAAGTTGGAGTTGGATAATACGAATAATCGTTTCGAGAACTGGACCGTGGGATTGAATCTTTTGAATCCCGACGCCCTCCTCTCCCACGCCCACCGGGTGGTCTGGGAGTTGCCTGCATACCCCTTAGGTGCTGCATCTGAACGGCGTCGATCAGCCTATTGATGTTTGAGATCCTGCTCCATAGCTGAGATCTGATGACACCTAGTGCTCGGCCTTGGTTGTCGAGTGTATATTGGAGATGTCTGAGAGTGCCGTCACAGTCGTCGATGACTGTGACGAGTTGGCCAGAATAAGCACTCCGCGGGTCTCGTAGAAGGGAGTGGAAATCGCCAGCCTCAACATTTAGCCGTCGAAGGCTACCATGCAGCTCTCCAATGATATCAGCGATGTCGTTCTGGGTAGGGTGTTGTTTAACGCGGTGGTAAAGGGTGCAGGCAAATGCATCAACAATGTGAATGCGCTGCTCAGGCGTAAAGGTACCACTCATCGTAAGTCAGTAAAGCACAGAATGCTTGGGAAGTGGCTTTCAAGATGAGAAATCCCATGTAATCGAGCCTAGTAAATGCGGTCTTATCAGATTGATCTCTGCCAGGGTAAGGGGAAAGCATCGATATATAGGGGAATGTGTTTATGGCGAGCCAAACACAATGCCGAGGATGAAACCAAGGATACCAACCACCGTGGATCCCGATGAGAGACTTTCCTGAGGAGGCGGGCAACGCGGAAACAGGTTAATGCTGTTTCGCTATGCCATCCATTCTTTCACAAGCAAATCAATCCCACCTTGTGCCTCCCGAAGTTGGGAGCTGAATTACAATAATAGAACTTACTGACAAATGGATCCCTCTGGTCACTGAACTGCCTTACGATTCGTGGATGCTAGTAACAATGAACTTGTACTAACCAAAGTCTCTGAAATTGAGCCTTCGCGACCCGAGACGAGATCATTGCTAGCCGCGGGAAAGCGAGTTGTTCCCTCTTCACTTCACTCCACACCGGGAAGACAGGGGAACCACGTTTGGGGGCGGGAATGCTTCCATTGCCCCTTTACTATCTAGCTAGATTTCTTCTAGTGTAAACATTTGGAAGGTTTGTATTCCTGGCATACCATGTGCCCCGGGCGGTGGTTGTCATCCTTTAATTAATGATCACCAGCATCCACTCTGATGATACTAATCTGAGACGAGGACGATCATAACAAATCAATGATCTCGTGCCAATTCGGCCGAATTATCATTCTTCTCGGGCATTTTCACCTTGCTAGATTCGAACAATAACCGTAATGAAACCTACCGCGAGTCGTGTCCATCGCCATTGACAATCCAGCCTCGGGCGAAAACGGGGGCAATTGAGTATATATTTATTATGGTAGCCTTGAAATCTAACATCACAGCTGGGGTGGCCAGCTTTTTTTTTACCATACATATTGGTCTCCAATATAATTCACCGTTTATGCTAAACTATGGGCTGTCGTACCCTCGATTGGGGATCTTGCATGCGTGAGCAAGCGGTTCGCATGCCGCATTGATCACCACGAGGGTTTTATTTTGGACGCTGCCCCCTCTTTCACCCGTAATAACGAGGCTTGATCTAGCCAAAACTACCAAAGGCATGGCCCGACCCGCTCAAACATGGCTCTAGAATTGATCCAGCACGTATTCTTCGGCATTTCCAGGCTCCACAGACCATGAGACAGGCACACCGAATGCAACGTTGGCGCGATACATCGGAAATGCCCCAGGGGTTCCGGTCACGGCTTTCCCTCGGTAAGAGCTTGGGGCGGTGCATGACGACAGAGAGGGGTGTTTTCATGCACCAGCCCTCAGGATCGTGAAACGTAGATCTCATGCTGGCCCGAGCACATGGCTGTGCCAGATTCCAGCCATCCCACCTTCTTGACACTCGGCGGGGCAACGGAAACGTGTACGCGGTTCATTTTGACGCTAGATTTGAAGAATTCCAAGATGTCGGGCTGTTCCTGCATATTCAAAACGCCCGACAAACTCCCAGAGGCTGGATATTCTTCCGCGGTCTCCCGAAGTGGGTTCAAGAAACTCCGAGTGAACGCCTTGGCTGATACAGCATGCAAACCTATCAGAGATCAGAGATATATGTCAATCACCAGCGGGTCCTTGACTTATCGCATAACAGTGCTGGAGGTTCCAAGGACCGGTCATGCAGAGCGTTTGGTGCTCTCGTGGTAGACACGTCCCCTAAACCATTTGTTTGATCACAAAGCGGAGCTTCAGGTAACAGAGTCCCATTCGTGCAGAAGAATATGGCACATTAAGACCTCTGCCGAACATATCAGGGGACTCCTTGCTTATAGTTTCGAAAAACTCCGAGAACACCAGGCAGAAGTAGAGAAAAAAACAGTAAGAGTTGGTAAAGGATGACAAGAGAATGATTAATAGCCGCGGTGGCCTTCTTGATTGATTGGCTTGCGAATGTGCCGTCCACAGCGATACGGCTGGAATTAAATACCCTGAGTTATTGTAGTTTTAAGGCCTGAACAAGCCAACTACTTGCCACTAAACCAGGGCTACGAAATGGATAAAAGGTCGGCTCGCCGTTCGACTCCTCATTAGCCTAAATTTCATGTTCAAGACAATCCAAGATGTGACCTGAATCACATTATTATCCTATCTTGGAACAAATCCCGACCTCTCGACCTTTGTGGCCTCGACGAGTCACTATCACCACCTACCCCTCACTTTAATACTACAGTGAGCGCGCGCTGAACAGTTTCTGAAACAACATAACACAGCCGTCATTCGAAAACGGCGGGGAGCCCGACACAATGGGGCATGTACTGCTGATTTTGGGATGACGGAGGCTGTTCACGCCGCCGCTACATTCCAATTTTGGGTGCAGAATCTGGTGCTGACAGGACTTTGGCACAGAGCATAGGTTGGCCTGGTGATATAATAGGTTCGTATTCGCACCTGCGGTGGGTGAATGGTGAAACGTATATCTTATGACGGTCGCTCTGGCATAACTTTTTTAATCGCAAGAGAACCTTACATTTTCGGGGACACATTTCTCTGTTGCATCTTGCTTGTTCAGCTCGCCCAATACTCTCATATACGGCTGAATCCGAGACATTGTCCGCCACAGTACATTAAGTGACAAGTCAATTAACTTGTGGTCCCATGACTGGAAATATTAGTGAATGTTGCATAATGGCGGGCTGAAAATGCAAGTAAATAGGTAAGACTGATAGTGTCGGGCTGAGGACGGATGACTCATGGGCTTGACCAACAGGAAGAAAGGCTGCAAAAGAAGCAAAGTGAGGTGGGGGTTAATAACTCCTTTTCCCCTCTTCTGCCTTAGGCCCTCCACTCCATCCCCATATCATCCCACTTCGTAAGCTTCAAGGTCTGAATATCATTCTAGCATCCCGATTTTGAAATTCCGTTCAACACTGCAGAGATGCACACATAAAAACATCAGCACTTCTCAAGTGATTGAAAAACCATTACGTGCCAGACCTGAGGGTAAATCCCCCGATGGCAGCTTATCTTTCAAGTGCAGCGTATTTATTGTTTTGGCTCTAACACTCCCTTCAAAAGGTATCATCGAATCATGTCTCTTACCTACTACGTGCCTACGACGCCGGATCCAAGGGCTTCAAATCTCTCCCACACGGCCAAACGCGTCGTGGACCTACTATTCTTTTTCAATCCCGACTCCATCCCAAGGTCATTGCTTGCTCCACCCGCTGCTGTGGTGGAGAATCAGTCATATAATTTCCTCAAAAACCAAGAAGAGTAACTTTCCCTCCCCTTTGGCTGTGGTATCATCCATGCTGATTCGATCGCGTTTAGGCTCGACCAGGCCATTGCCGAGCTTATCGAACGATCCATTGTTCGCATAAACGATAATGGTAACCTCGTACTATCTGTCAGCAATCCATTCGACGGAATCGAGGACGACCAAGTCAACTCTGCATTTAGTCATGCCGTTCGAATCTTCGACAGAGCGCTGCCCGACCTTTCCCGACCAGGCCTCGATTCGTTCAGGACAAGCCAGGTTGTGCTCCCGCACATTATTCGAACTATTGAAGTGACGAGAAACATTGAGATTCGGATGAGAAGGAAAACGGGATGGATGGAGCTTGTTTTGCGGGCAGGCCGGTTAGTGTTCAACGTTCTAGGTCCTGCTCTTGACTAATTTTGTTCACTTCAGGTATGCTCAAGAGAACCAACAGCCAGACCTTACTACGTACTTCATCGATTACATTATGATGGAAATCCAAGTCCCTATGTTCGGAGCACGCATGACTCACGACTTCCTCTCGAGGACGTATACTCTGCAGGGCCACGCCCTTCTGGATCTTGCCCGCCCACGTGCTGCCCTAGTTTCGTTCAAGGGCGTTCTTCAGATAGAGGAGGATCGATATGGGCCCAATTCAATGGCTGTGGCAAAAGTGTGTGACTCGATTGCCTACGCTTACACTGAGATTGGAGATGCCGATCAAGCATCAGTATTTTTACACAGAGCGGATGCCATCTACGCGGATAAAGCCCCATACTTCGACACAGAGGATGCTGACAAAAAGCCTTACATGACCCCTCGAGCTCGACCTATCCAGTCACTTGTACATCTCAGAGCGGGACAAGTCGATGAAGCTATCAGCTCTCTCCGGCGGTTCTGGGGGGAACGGCAAATGACACTTGAGACCATTGAGCCATCACCAGATTCAAATTACGGCGGGGATATTATCCTTTTTGCTCGTATATGCTTGGCACAAGGCAAGGCTGTAGAAGCCCAGGAGCTGGCCTCGTATTCCATTACCATGAGGCGCACCTTTTACGGGCCACATGGAGGTCCCAGGGTGGCTGACTCGCTCTTCCTAGTTGCTCTCATACAGGCCGATCGCGGGTTGACCGACGTATCTTCGACTGTGTTGAGACAAATCATCGATATGTGCGAAGGAAACAGCGCTGCGTTGAATGCTCACGTAGCTAGAGCCTGTTGGTTTCTTGCTCGGAACGAGGAGCGCGATGGCTCGGACGCTGCCCAAGTGGCAGAACTCAGAGCTAGGGCGCGGCAGATCCGGGCGTCGATCCGAAGACACGAGTGGCCCGCTGAGGACACAGATGACGCTTTCATGAAATTGGTCAGTTGGATGCTTTGGTAAATGAGAGGAATAAGGTACAGGTATTGTTTCGGCTGTTGAATTGTTCTATCACACCTTCGTTTTCAGTATTTCTTCTTATGTTGCCTCCTTTTCTATCGTTTCCTTCCTCTGTCGCTCTCTTTGAAACTTTTACCCAGTATTCTTAATTTAATATCCTTAAATGTATCTCAGTTATGGAGACTTTAATCAGCACCTCCCAGCTTCATCCTCCAGCCACTTGGCAAGAGAGTGACGGGAGGTTGCATCAAGACATGTACTGAAAGAATTATACTGCTATTCATAATCCTAAGAAGAGATGCAATTTCCCTGCAATTACTAACTGCGGGAGCCTGATTGCAGCACCGTCAGCCCCATTGTGCAGGACGGGAGACTTGGTACCCACGGCCATGACCCCTTGAACAAACAGAGGGGTCTGGTCTTGCCGTGATGTACGCGTCACTGGTTATGTCGCATTACCGCCGCAAAACTAACATTCAGAAGGGCATTTGTGCATATTTGGTGTATCTCGAGGTACTTCTACCTCGTACTTGAGTAAGTGATCAGGCTGGAGCCTGTCAGCATGAATCACCTAATGCAAGCCACTTGAAAGCTGAAAACAATTGATGCCCAACACTGGATCCCACAAATGCTTGGAGGCTGAGCTCCCATGTACGTGGAATGTCTTAGAACTTGATTTCTCGTCACATCTCAGTGTCAGAAAACGACAAGCGTCGGCCTAGTGATGCCCAGCTATATCCTGGTTGTCAGCTGTCCACGCACGAGCCTTGCAAGGTTGATGTGTGTGACTTGTCGGGGCTCACCCCTCATGAGCTGAGCCAGTACAATTTTCTGGTGAAAAAAGGAATAAGGAAAGGTAATGAAATGGTCGGAGAAAATTTGCTGACCGCATGGCCGGAATGTTAGCTCGCATCCCGGCTACCCTTAACGCTCCAAGAGAAAGATAGAGAGAGGTGGCAGAATTATGTTTTCGGTTTCTTGGGTCAGGGATCGAATTTTCCATGTTGCACAATGAGTTGTACAATACCAATCCGCTAATGTTATTCCTCTTTATTTTTGCCATTTAAAATAATCAATCCTTACTTTCATCTTCCTTTCCATTACCTTTGAGCTCATACACATCATTCAAAGTTTTGCGTGCCTGTACAAGCTCATGTCTCATGACGGCTATCTCGCTGCGAATCCGACCGAGGCTCAATCTATCGTCACCCTCATGAGACGATCCGTCCTCAGTTCTTCTGAACCCAAAGCAATGAATTTTTCTTCCACTTTCACTGACCTTTTCCAAGCCCAAAGTCGCTGCGGATCCCCTGACACGTTCGCCCAAGCAGGCTAGGGTTGGAAAGTTTGCTTGCTCCCTACAACAACGACTAATTAGCGGCTGTATATGAACGTAAGACCTTATTCCTGATTTTGTTAGCGACTCTTTATTTTGTATCTGGAAAAGCCTACACTTCTTCTTCCATAGATGCCAAAACCTTTTGCGTTTCCTCAAAGAACGACAAGACAATCTCCGAGCTGAATTCCCGCTGAACCGGGTCCTCGTCCATTTCCAGGATCTGATCAAAGACCTGAATGTTCAAGACCTGCTTGGCACATTTTTCAGAGGCTTTTGTTGCCATTTTTGCCTTGATAGCTTTGTCCTAGAACTCGCTGGAGACTTTTGTGGATGATTGCAAATAACTCGTGCTTGGATTCTGTCGTGATATGACGTCACAAGAACCCCTCCAACGAATGACTGAACAATGCATTGTATTTGGCAACAAAGTCTTCCCAACTATAGACCGAATTCCTTCAAAGACAAATTGATGTGGGACATGAACTGGTGCGGACTCAGATCTCGACAGTCTTCCTCATAGTAGCAAGGATGCTGATCTTGCTCCGTAAGGCGCTCTGCCACTTACAATTTTTAGATACACGTTTTAGGCTCAAATCCTCCATCCCCAGTGGCTTTCATCTTTGAAAGGATTTCTGTCGCTATCAATTAGTTCCTTTCTTCTTTCTCTCGCTGAGCTATATATATGCAGGTTTTTTTTTTCCTTTTTTTTTTTTTTTTTGGATTCTTTGCTTGGCCATATTTCATTTCTGTTCAATCAGGATGACAGAGTCTAGGGTAGGCAAGCTCTCTACCTCTTGGGGGGCGAATAGAGTGAGCCACCACGTGACAGCGTGCCCTAGACGCGCCTCGAATAAAACACCACACTCCATTAGAACTTTCATCTCGCGAAATACACAGTGACTGATTTCAGGTGCCTTGAAATCTATCACGGCCTATGCACTATTTCTAAGCAGAGGACAGAGGAAAACTGCGCCTTCTTGCCCGATTGGCCTCGGTCTTGTTCCAATTTTCATTCTCATTTCTCCATGTCTGGCTATTCCCCGCTATTGCCATGTCTAGACTCATCTGGTGCAGGATGACTGGCGCTACTGCATCTAGCTCAGGGGCATGGATGCGTCGATCCCAACTATCAAGCCGCTAGTCGCAATAGTTGGCAAGGGAAGTATGGGTCTGAGAAGCCAATATATCTATCAACGCCAGTCTCGCCGTGGTTTCTGCAGCTGATTTCTGGTGGCATTTGCCAAACTCAAGACCTTCCGAATCGATTCGTCGCTTTTTGCCAATTTGAACAAAGCCAACCATGCGCTCCACAGTGGGATTGGCGGCCCTCGCGCTCGCGGGAGCCTTCCAGGCTGTAGCAGCGAAAAAGTGTGTACATCGGCCCAGCTCCGCGACTGGCAATACACCCTCCAATGCAAGCACCGATACACCAAGTGTATCCTCGACAGCGACACCAAGTACGTCGGCGGGCAACTCCGGTTCGACCACGCCTTCAAGCCTCAGCTTTGAGACACCCTCCTCGTCGTCGAGCATCATAGTGGAGATGAGCTCTGCATCCAACACCCCAAGTACTGGTAGTGGTACTGGCACGCCCGTTGAGACCACGCCCAGCTCTTCTTCAGCCGCAACTCCCAGCGAGAGCTCTACGAATACCGGCATTGTTACGAGCACAACGCCGGCAGTCACACCCACTTCTGCAAGTGGCTCTACTGGAACACCTACAACACCATTGACTACTGCGTCGGACGCCGTTGTAACAAACGCTGTCCAGAACGGCAATCTCGCTCGTAATACCGACGGATTCACAACCGATGGCGACGTATCGCACGATTCGACCGACGGTTACACTGGCGAAAGCACGAGCGAAACGGGCTGCGCGAAGCTCAAGGTTACCGGAAGCGGCACCAGCTCCCAAGCCCCCTCTCGCCGCAACTTCAAGCGTCAAGCAGCTGCCAGTAACTTGGTGTCTATCTCCCAGGGCCTGACGGGGCTCAACGTCAACACCGATTACACCTTGCGCTTCTACTACAGCATTGTAACCGGCTCGACAACCCAGAATGACTGCCGCCTCTTGGCCTTCTTCGACGACCAGGCTCTCTGGTCCGAGTTCATCATGGAGCCCGCCACCTCGCCCACAGCTTATATTCAGGTGACCAAGCAAGGACGGCCCTCTCAGGCAAACCCCGTGCTGCGTTTCTCCCTGCGTTGTGATATCGGTGGCTCGGCCTCGGTGCTGATTGACTCCATCTTCCTGTCGAACCAAGTTACTCCTGCCACCATCGACCAGTACATTATCGACTACGGCTCGGGCAGCGGATCTGTCCCGGCCAGTTCCTTCACTGCTTCAACAACTACGTCCAGCCTGGCTCCTCTGCGTACCCAAGAGTGCGTCCAACTCGGCACAGCGGGCAACGGCCTCTCTGCCTCCGAACAGGCGTCTTACGTCCGGCCTCGATCGCAATACGACTCGCCATGGCCGACACCCGTCACTTTCCGCTCCTGCATCGAGCACTGCAAGAACGCCTACCAGTACTGTGGTGCCGCCTCCTGGAACACGAACACCAAAGAATGCGTATTGTACAAGGGATCCCTTGTCCAAATTGGCTTTGCGTCAGATACCACCAGCCCAATCAACTTCTACGACGGCGGCTGCCTCAGGGCCCCTGACAAGTACGCCGACTGTGGCCTCATGGGCAGCGCGGTTTCCGACAGCACCAATCCCGCCTACATCAGATCCAGTGGCCCCGTGCCCCAGGCCGCAGCTTGCTACCAGACTTGTGTTGGTATCAACATGGGCTGCGTCTCCTTCAGTTGGGATGCCCTCAGCGGAATATGCTACATGTTTAGGGCAACCCGCGAGTTGAGTGGCTTCACGCCGGCCGCACGCTCGAGCACGACGTTTTACAACCGTGACTGTATTGCGTCTTGATAGATGGAAGCCCGGTGTTAGAACAGAACCATAATACTAATGTGGTCTTTAGGTATTGATGATAGCTTAATATGTAATGTAATATATTATAACGTCAAACCGAAATATTATCATCCAACATGCGATGCGATTCTCCTCTACCCATTTACGACTGGTTCCTTCGAGTCGTCTTTTCATTCATAGACATAACCTCCAGCTGTAGCGATGAGTGGCAGTGATATTTACATACTCTCTTCAGAGATCTTCAAGGGCTATGGAGGGGCTATGATGAGGCAGTGCAGCAATATTGATGCAGATGCGGCAGTGGTCTTACCTAATATGCCTTCGGGCTGACAACAGACAACCCCTCACTGGCTGCCCAACGTCAATATTTTGAACCAGCAGTCAAAATCCTGTCTCATCCATTTTATTTCTCGTCTTCATCATCGCCTTCACCATCGCCAAAATGGAGGCGGTCGGCGCCGCTGCCAACATCATCGCGGTCGTCGATCTCGCGGCCAAAATCACCTCGATATTGTTCCAGTACTCCAAAGACGTCAAGGATGCTCGCGGTGATGTGGAACGCCTCAGTCAGGCGGTAGCGCACTTGCGAAAGGCAGCCCAAGGCGTGAGACACCTGTTGGAGAATCAGAATGGGGAGAGGTTGAAAACGTCTCAAGACTTGGTTGTCGTCATTAGACAAGCCGAAGAGCAATTACAGAAGCTGGACAGCCGACTCGAGCCAAGTCCGGGACGTCAGGCAATGAAACGGTTCGGCTTCCGCGCCTTGAAATGGCCATTTCAAAGCAGCGAGGCACAAAAGCTCGTATCGGATATCGAAAGATGCACGCAGACTATGAACTTTGCGTTGCAAATTGACCAAACGTCAGTGCTGGCACACTCCGCTCACTTGTAGGCGCTTACTTATTAAGAATTACACAATAGTGACATTATCCTGAATGTCGAACATAGAGTGCTGCTTGACAAGCTGCCGGTGGCATCCGGCGCCGCATTCGATTCCTACGAGGAAGGGCGGAATCCGACATGTCTGCCAAATACCAGAGTAGACCTACTCCAGCAACTATCAACGTGGGCAGATGACCCGGAGTCAGAGGCGATATTCTGGCTTAATGGCATGGCAGGAACGGGAAAATCCACAATATCTCGTACCATAGCTAGGGACCTGGCCAGAAAGGGCCGGCTAGGAGCCAGCTTCTTTTTTAAAAGAGGTGAAGGTGACCGAGGGAATATGGCTCGTTTCGTGACATCAATCGCTGCGGATGTTGTAGCCAGAGAAACAGGAATATCTCAGCATGTGAAAAAGACGCTGGATGAATATCCTGGAATAGTGAAGAAGACACTCAAGGAACAATTCGACAAACTTATCTTCCAACCATTCTCAAAGCTTCCGAATCGGACTGGCGAGCCCATTGTTCTGGTCGTGGATGCCTTGGACGAGTGTGAGAACGACGATGATATTCGCACCATGATCGAGTTATTTTCTACAGCAAAAAAGTTGCGAAATTTACAACTAAAAACATTTCTCACAAGCCGACCAGAGCTACCGATCCGACTAGGCTTCCATGCGATCAAGGGCAAATACCAAGATCTAATTCTGCATGACATACCGCTGTCCATTATCGAGCATGACTTGCAGGTTTTTCTTGAGTACAAAACCTCAGAAATTCGCGATGAATATAATGCCACAGTGTCGAAAGACAGACAACTTACCCCAGATTGGCCGGGCGAACTGAAAATCAGGTCGCTGGTCCATATGGCAGTACCACTTTTCATTTTTGCCGCCACTACTTGTCGGTTCCTTGCCGACAGAAGATGTGGCAGTCCCAGTAACCAGCTAGAGACCGTTCTTCAATATCAGACGAAAAGCCAGGAATCAAAGCTTGATGCAACATACTTGCCTGTTTTAGAACAACAGTTGGTTGGTCTTTCAAACAGAGAAAAAACTCAAGTTCTGAGCCAATTTCGATTGGTCATAGGGTCCATCATCATCCTGGCAAGACCGCTTTCTACTTCAGCACTGGCAGGCATTCTTTTCGTCGAGCAGGAGACTGTCGATGCTCGGTTGGATTTGCTTCATTCAGTCCTCAGCGTACCAACCTCGAGCGAGGAGCCGGTGAGACTGTTCCATTTATCCTTTCGAGACTTCTTGCTGGATCAAGACAAGCGTGATAATCATGCGTTTTGGATTGATGAAAGAGACTCTCATAGGACCTTGGGAAGAAACTGCCTTACTTTAATGGATAAACTTAAGGAAGACATTTGAGATCTGAGATTTCCAGGCACGAGAGCCAAAAATGTCAGCCCAGACAGGCTTGTCGCTTGTCTACCCCCTCACTTGCAATATGCGTGCCTATATTGGGTTTATCATATTAGTGAAGCAGAATTACGTGAAGAGGATATGCGACATGTTCACGATTTCCTGATATCTCACTTTCTGCATTGGATTGAAGCGCTCAGCTTGATGGGACAGGGCTTGGAGAGCATCAAACTCATGAACATTTTGATCTCAGTTGTTAGCGTGAGTTGTTTTGAGATTCCCCCATAGAAGACACTGACTCACCTTTTGATAGAACCAAGATTCCCCAGAGTTGCTGGCATTCCTCCACGACGCCCGCCGATATGTGCGGACGTATTCATTTGCCTTTGATTCCTTCCCCCTACAACTCTATTCCTCTCTCTTATTATTCGCACCGAAGAATAGTCCAATTCGAGACATATTTCAACAATATATCCCAGAATGGATCACTGCACGACCACAAATTGATAATGAATGGGGTCGATGTTTGCAGACACTTGAGGGCCACAGGGGGACTGTCAACTCCGTTACTTTCTCACCCGACTCAACCTTGATCGCTTCGGCATCATCGGATAAATCTGTGAGATTCTGGAATTCAGCAACAGGAGAATGCCCATTGATCATATCGCATGAAGAACCTGTTCGGGAAGCCCTCTTTATGCCAGACCCTGGGTCAATAGCAACGGTGTCCGGTAGCAAGGTCCAGCAATGGCATGTGAAGACAGGGGCACGTTTACAACACCGCCAGGACTGTGGGATTGACGCTAAGCTCACTTTCATGGACGGCTTAATAACCACTTGGGAAACGCACGATTGGGGAATTTTCGGGATCAAAAAGATGGACGAACCCGAGGTTCTAACAGACTCTGGGAGCCAAATTAAGGCTGCATGTCTGTCTCATGATGCCAAGTGGCTCGCCGTGGCTGACCATGAAAAAATCCGAATCGTTCATACAAAAAGTGGTCAGCGCGCTTGGGAGTTGCACCACGACGAAGATTATGGCATTGATTCAATGGCTCTTTCTCATGATTCTAAAATGCTAGCAATAATCCCAGTACTTGGATCCATTACACTTTGGGACGTTGATACGGGGGATAGACTACAGAAGATGAGCAACTACTCTGTGGTCGACGTGGTGAGGTTCTCTCACAATTCAGCACTATTAGCCACAGGATCAAACAATGGGACAGTCGAGCTTTGGCATACCGACACGGGAAAACGTTTTCTGATTTTGAAAGGGCATAGCAACGGGGTCAAGTCTATCGCATTTTCTCACGACTCCACCCTCCTCGCCTCGGCATCTGTTGATATGACCATTCGGGTATGGGATGTTGATACTCGAGAAGTTTCTGCTCCAACTGGTGATTATATTGAAAGAACTGAAACGCTTGTTTTCTCTAATGACTTCAAGGTAATTGCATCGGGTTCGTCAAAAGGCACGAGACGACTGTGGGATACGGCCACGGGCAAGTGTCTCCGTGAATTCGACAAAAATTCAGAGAGCACTCTTGCGGTGGCTTTCTCACCCGATTCACAGCTCCTTGCCTCGATCCCATCTGATGGAACTATTCACGTGTTGAGGGTTCAGACTGGGGAACGTATTCATGCCTTGACCGCGGAGGGCTACGGCAGAGTGACCGTAGTGGCGTTCTCACCTGACTCAAATCTCATCGCGGGAGGTACTTTTGAGGGAAATGTGTGCTTGTGGGATGTTTCCACGGGCCAGTGTTCCAGCACACGAATCCACCACCCTGACATGATTACCTCAGTGGCATTCTCCGCAGACTCGACCATCCTGGTGTCGTTATCTCTTGATGCGTCTATTCAGATCGTGGGTCTTGAATCTGGACACTATTACGAAATAATTACGCACTACAATGACAGAATTTGTTCCTTCGCATTGTCGAATGACTCTTCACGACTGGTTACAGCGTTAACTGATAAAACAGCGAAACTGTGGGACGTGGAATCCGGAAACTGCATCCAGACCTTTCAGGGTCACAAGGATGATATCCGTGCAGTCACCCTGTCCGAAGACTCCAAATCTATCATATCGGCCTCTTTAGATGGGACATGCCGGGTTTGGGATTCGTCGACCGGTGAATGCCGTCAAGTTGTTCCGATTCCAAAAACCTGCACCTCGATCTCATTTCGGCAAGGAGTCAACCGAAACTGGAATTTGGTCACAAATGCTGGTATAATTCCCACTAACCGTCCCTTATCAGACGTGAATATTGAGCCGTTGTCGGCTGAATTCTCTGGGCTTGGGATCTCAAGTGACTATAGCTGGATCACGTTCAACGACGAGAACCTTCTCTGGCTGCCTGGCGAATTTAGGCCGAATGAGAAGTCTCCTATCGTAATATCCAATTCAACAGTGGTTATTGGCCTTCATTCAGGGAGAGTCACAATTATTGGGTTCAGATCGGGTCTGTTGGGTTCCTCATTTCAGTCGTATTCTCAGTATCCCTGCTGTTTTCAGGTACTTTGTACTGCCTCCAACTATCGACGGTAACACCTGTATCTCATGGCTTTGCTAGCAGGCGTCAGATTCCTGTATTCCGGCATCTATGAATAAGCTATCTACAAAATGAACCTATCATTTAGTCTTTGCGGATAATCCGCATCTGCAACTGCTCAATGTTACTAGTTGTAGCTATAGCTCGTTTAAGCCTTCTCTTCTTATACTCACTAAGAAGTACCCATGGGAGGCAAGAGGATTTATCTAGATAAATCAACATAGTCACATGAAACCTGGGCATTTTTTTTTTCGCGCCTCGCTTTGGCCATCTTGCTAGCATACAGGCTGTTTAACCATTGCGCGAGCCTTACCCACCCTTAGCGATCTAGAGCTGATCGTAGATGTCACGGCATTTTAGTAGTCCGGGTACAGATCGCCCTTCTGTAGTGCATCTATGCCATCGGGAATGACAGCGGTATAGACAAAGGCATTAAAATAATCGGTGGCCTATGCCATAGCAGTATCAACGGGCTCACTGCCGTCATCGCCGTTTGCCTAGCTGGCATGGCTATGATATATGCTGAGTAGTCTCACATTACAGAACAAATCGTTTCGAAGCAGTATACGGATTGAAATCGAAATACTGGAAATAACTGACCTAATTAGAAGCATATACCTACATGTATCTTAAATGCACATTGCCATGTAACTAATTAATTCACAGCCCCATAACCACCACCACCAGGAGTCATAATAACAACCCTATCACCAGCACCCATCTTCACACTGCCCTTCCCGCCCATGTTGACAACTCTGTCTTGCTTTGTCCACTTGTCAGTTGTCAGCCACAGATTCAGACCAGTGGCTCCAGCCTCGCCGCCCTCCATCCCGTACGGGCGATGGACACGACGCTCCGAGAGGATTGAGCACTGCACCGGCGTGAGGAACTCGATCTCTCGGGCCACGCCGTCACCACCCCGATATTGACCCTCGCCTCCCGTGTTCAGTCTCATCTCAAAGCGACGCAATATGCACGGGTATCTCTTCTCCAAGATCTCCGGATCAGTGATGCGCGTGTTGGTCATGTGAACGTGCACGCCACTCTCGCCATACCAGTCCGGTCCCGCGCCACTGCCACCGGCGATGGTCTCGTAATAGCCAAACCCAGGTACTACCTTTCCAGTTGACTCGTCAGGCTGGGCGTCGATGCCGAATGTCAGGTTATTCAGGCAGCCCTGGGAAGCCGCACAGGCCCGGAGAGCCCTGAGCACGACGTCCGTCACTCGCTGGCTCGTCGTCACATTGCCACCAACCACGGCGGCAGCTCGTGTTGGGCTGAGTATGCTTGGTCTGGGGATGCGGATGTCGATTGCCCCGAGACAACCCTGGTTCAGGGGGATGTCTGAATTGATCATGCATCTCAACGAGTAAATGATGGCCGAATGTGTGATCGCTTCAGGAGCGTTAATATTCCCGTGGACCTCGGGACCAGTGCCCTCAAAGTCGAAGACGGCAGAACCGTCTGGCTGGATTGTGATCTTGAGCTTGATGGGCGTCCCGTCATCCATGTAGTCGATGGCTTCAAGCGGCTTGCCTCCATACCGCTCATACATGCCCTTGAGGAGGTTTCTCACGGCAAGTTCAGCAGCTTTCTGGATGGCATACATGTATTTCTGGACCGTCCCGAGCCCATACTCGGTGATGAGGTTGCCGATCAAAGAAATCCCCCTTGCGTTGGCGGCAATCTGAGCCTTCAGGTCTGAGATGTTATCGCTAATATTGCGGCTTCCAGAGCAGCCTGGATAGCGAGCAGGAATATCAAGGAAGAGTTCTCTCATGCGTTCCTCGTTAAAGATACCACCAGATACGAGCTTCTCGGACTCGATTGCTGTGCCCTCTTGCCACAACTCAGTAGAGTTGGGCGGCATCGAGCCGGGTAAAATACCACCAATGTCGGCATGGTGACCTCTTGACGCCACATAGAAGATGATATCGTCAGTGTCCGGCGCAAAAACAGGTGTAATGACGGTGACATCTGGCAAGTGAGTTCCACCGCTGGCTGGGTGATTTGCGACCAACACATCGCCGTTCTTCAGCTTTCCGAGCCATCTTTCGTGTTGGAATCGGACCGCAAACTGCATCGATCCAAGATGGACAGGGACATGGGGCGCGTTGGCAACAAGCCCGCCATCGGGAGAGAAGAGTGCGCAGGAAAAGTCAAGCCGCTCCTTGATGTTTGTTGAAACGGCTGTTTTCTGGAGAGTATTTCCCATTTGTTCTGCGACGGACATGAATCGGTGGCCGAAGATGGTCAGGCGAACGGGATCAATCTGCTCCTCGACAGTGCCGTTGACCGGGAGCTTCGGTGCGCTCTGCTCAAGGTCCATGATAATGCAGGTGTCAAGAACGTGCACAGTAGCGCCCGGAACGGCGACAAGGGTCTGTGTCTCATCAATGACGATAGCTGGGCCTTGGAGCTTGACATTGTTGCCTACGTCGCGCAATAGGTACACGGGGGTGTCAACAAACCCAACCTTCGAGTCGAAGAAGACCCTTGTAGTTTTGGCCGGACTCCCAGCTTCCTTGATTTCGGCACCCTTCAGTTGCTGAAGGGGACTTTTCTCTGGCTCTCCCTTCGACATGGCAATGGTGCGCACGCGCACGTCATCGACAAGAATGGGCCGCTGCATGGTGAAGTTGAATTCTCTCTGATGTCGCTCGATGAATGAAGACATAAAATCGCCATCTTCCGGCTTCAAAACCATCAAGCTTGTATCAGACCCCTCATACCTCATATTGAGGAATAGATCATGTTTCAGCTGGTTATCTCTGAAGCCTTGAGCCAGTAACTTGCTCGATGAGTCACCAATCAAACGACTGAACCTCTCCTGGATTACCGATCGTGAGCTCTGATACTCACCAGCCATGGGCTCCTGTGCCTCATGTACAATGTCGGCAAGAGCCAGTCCATATGCTGACAGAATGGAAGAGTATTTATGGATGATGATGCGAGAGATTCCCAACGAAGCGGCAATGTTACAGGCATGTTGACCTCCGGCGCCGCCGAAGCAGGCAAGGTGATGGGAGGATGTTTCGTAGCCACGAGCTTCAGTCAGGTTTCGAATAGGTCGCGTCATTGACTCATCTGCCACTTTTAGGAAGCCGAGTGCAACCTCCTCGGGCGTAAGTTTGGCGTCACCCGGATGCTCTGCGTTCATTCCCTCGGTCAATTCCGCGAAGAGAGTTGCTGTGATTTCACGGTCAAGAGGTTGGTCCTCGTTAGGTCCAAAGATCTTCGGAAAGTACTCTGGAAGAAGGCGGCCAAGGAACAGGTTGGCGTCGGTGACAGTGAGGGGGCCACCTTTGCGATAACATGCCGGGCCAGGGTGAGCGGATGCCGACTCAGGACCGACCATGAACAGCCCGTTCTGCCATGAAAGGATAGATCCACCTCCGGCTGCGACGGTGTTGATGTCGAGCTGGGGTGCTTGGATGGTGACACCGGAAATAGTTGATGAGAAGGTGTGATCGAAGTGGCCGTCGAAGCGAGACACGTCTGTTGAGGTTCCTCCCATATCAAAACCGATGATGGGGATCTTGGCCTCGGAATCCCAGCTCGTTGCGGAATAACCGACGACTCCGGCAGCGGGACCAGACAAGATCGCCCTCAGTCCACTGAATTGGCGGAAGTCTGCGAGACCGCCGTCCGATTGCATGAACTCGACGCGGCAACCGTGGTCACCTGCGAGCCCGCTTTCGAAGTTGGCCGAGATGGAGTCCATATAAGATTTGATGACAGGTGTTAGGTAGGCATCAGCAGTGGCAGACATGCCTCGAGGAACCACCTTGATCATGGGCTGCAGTTTAGAAGACAGCGCGACCGAAAACCCCATGCCGGCAGCAATGTCCCCAACTCTGATTTCATGGTCGGGGTACGCGAAGGAGTTGACCAATGCAACAGCCACCGACGTGAAGCCCCTTTCTTTGAGAATTTGAAGCTCCTTGGTAACTTTCTCAATGTTGAGCTCTTCAAGGACGTGAAATCGTTCTCCAGTTGTCCCCATGACTGCTTTGTATGTCGAAATGGCATCCTCATCGGCTCGAGGGTGAGACGGGATGACCCGTTCGTCCACTTCGACCACAGCTTCAAACAAGACCCCTGGCCGTCTAGCAGATAGGTCAAAGATGTCAGGTCTGGCCTGGTTACCAATCTTGAGAAGGTCCCCGAAACCTTTGGTGGTCAGGAGGGCCGAGCGGGCACCCTTTCGCTCCAGCAAAGCGTTGGTTGCGACTGTGGTGCCCATACGCAGGCATTCTATGCCATCCAGTCGCAAGGGCTGACCACGGGGTAAGAAAGCACCGGTGGCTTGTTCGAGCACCCGACGAATTCCCTCCGTTGGGGCATCCTTGTAATTGTCGGGGTCGACTGATAGGAGCTTCAACACGATATCAGGCTTCCCTGGCACGAGAGCGTGGACATCGGTGAAGGTCCCACCCCGGTCGATTGAGATCTTGATCTTTTCTGACATTGCCGCACGAATGATTATTGTTTTGCATCAAAACTAAGATGCTGAATTTTATTTTGACCACCTCCTGTGTGAAGGTCTCCTGTCGTTTTATACGGCGAGCTGAGTACTAACTGGAGAAGAACAACTCTGTCATCAACCCACCATTTTGCGTTGAGAGTCCAGAGGAACGGAGGACGAAGTCCGTCCTTGTCAAACCGCCCGACTCAGTCATTTCAATAACGAAACATGCTTACGAGAGCCCTTGCATCCTCTCCGCGGTTCTGATTGTCTTGACGATGGGACCGGCCCGAGTGAACACAGCTGAGTCAAGACTCAAAACTGCCAAGCCGGGGCCCACAACCCGATCCATGGGTTGCGATAAGAGAGGGACCAGCAACACTCCTGGCTCATCGGATTCCCCCTCTACGTTCCTATCTCCGGAAGACGCGCGCTGGATGATCGGGTCATGTGCAATTATTGACCCCGATCCAGCTTAGGGCAGGCCTGATCCAGACAGCAATGTCTTGTCATTGTCTTGGAGATGATAGCCGAGGGGCTCTACACGATCTATCTAAGTCTTTCCATTTAAGATTCAACTCCCTTACCAACGATGATGTCGTTGTTTTTGGAAATCTCTAGCGTCAACACATTTGATTTTTATTGATTCATATTTTACAGCAACTTGTTCAGGATGGATACTAAAGAAGTCAAACCAAACCCAGTTGGAACCGAGGCCGACCCTTCGGATGCAAGCATCGCGGTTGCGAGTGTCAATGATGGCGACTGGACTGTGGAGGAAGAAGCAGCAGTCCGACGCAAGTTTGACTTCACGATCGTTCCTCTGGTAACTCTGTTATACATGCTATGCGCTATTGATAGGTACTACCCCGATTCCTGCAATGGAAGCAATGATAGCCTCTAACTAACGTGTTGACCAGGGCCAATATCGGGTAACGAACAGCAGCTTTACCAACAATTGACAACAGCATGACTGACAAGAGACAGGAACGCTCGAATTGAAGGGTTAACTGATGATCTGAAACTCGTCGGCTATCGATACAATATCATTCTCACGGTCTTCTTCATTTTCTACCTATCGTAAGTCGCATGCGGATCGACTTTCGGCGCGACACAAGTTAACTTACATGATTGAAGCGTCGAGATTCCAAGCAATGTGCTCCTGAAACGCGTTGGCCCTCGTTGGTATCGTATGTGAATCCTCAGCCTGTTTGATACAAGGACCAAAGACTGATAAGGCAGTGCCTGCTTTGGTATTCTGCTTCGGGCTTGTGTCCCTCTGCACCGCCTTTGTTAAGTCGTATCCGAGTATGATTGTTGTACGAGCGATTCTTGGAATCTTCGAGGGCGGCGCAATGCCCGGCACGGCATTCTTCCTCAGCTGCTTCTATAAGAAATCCGAGCTCTTCTTCCGCATGAGCATCTTCATCGCCTCAAGTTCCCTGGCGAGCTCATTTGGCGGTCTTTTAGCAGCTGGACTTAGCCAGATCCCTGCATTTGGTGCCGAAAGCATGATGATATCGAGGTATGGGCAGAGCTCTTGAGCTGATGAATATGATCTAATCCTGTTACATAGATGGCGCAACATCTTTTTCTTCGAAGGCCTCGTGAGTATTTGCGACCTCGTTCGCAGATCAAGACTAACTTATTCCGTAGTTCACTCTCTTGGTGGCCTCATTAGCTCCTTTGGCTATGCCGCAGAGCCCGGGCACCTACAAATATCTTACGGAGAGGCAGAGATACATCGCCGCTGAGAGACTTCGTCGGGAGAGCCTTAATGTTAGAGTGTCGCTCGCTGTTCCCGAAGTTACGAAACTGACATTCCAATAGGATCCGAAGGAACAGGTTACCTGGGCTCATGTTCGACTCGCCATTCTAAACATCCACACAAATGTCTGCGCCTGGTGCTTCTTCAGCACCAATTCAGCCGTTCAGGGAATGGGTGCGTTTATCCCGACCATTCTGCGGGAGTTTGGGTGGACTTCAACCCGAGCTCAACTGCTCTCGGTCCCCCCATATCTGGTAGCGTGCGTCGTCACCATCACCCTTGGTTACCTCAGTGATCGGTTTAATAAAAGGGGAATCTTTATGGTCGGGGTACTTCCTTTATCTATTATTGGCTTCTCAATTCTCAGGTTCTCATCAAATGTCTCTGCCAAATACGCGGCAGTCTTCCTCAACGCCATTGCCTGCTTCGGTGCCAGTAGCGGGTTTCTTAGCTGGGGCATCAACAACGCCGGGAGCCCAGCAGTCGCAGCAGTAGCTGGAGGATACATGGTTATGGTGGGAAGTGTGGGAGGAGTCGTGTCGACGTACGTATTGATTGAAATGCGTCTCTTGACTCTCAGAATGCTGACTTGTTTGCCGCTAGATGGACATACTTGTCCAATGACTCGCCACTATTCCTCAATGGTCACACTATCAACCTGTCCCTTCAGCTGTTTTGCTTTGTCCTAGCGTCTCTTGGTCTTGCACACTGTATTATTGATAACAAGCTTCGGGCAGCTGGAAAGCACGACCACCGCATTCAAGGGCTGTCGGAGCATGAGAAGCTCGCCCTTGGGCATCGGAACCCCGAATTTAGATACATGGAGTGAAGGAGGGTCCATTTGCCATACTATTTTTGTACCTCCAACTATTTGATAGGGGGAACAATCGTAGTGTTTACAAAGACAACTGCTGGCAAAATCCTGTAGCTCAAGGGAGGTTATAATAGCTTTCTCCAAACTTTAAACCTAATATGATTACTTGCACAGTCTCTTAGTAGTAGCAATAATAATCACATGTTCATCTCTATCCTCAAAACTCTTGATTTCACAAAAAGTATGAACAGAAGTAGAAGTAGACCCAAATTCTAGTCTTGCCACACCTTGTGTGCCTAATCCAATTTTCGTAAAAGATCACCGTACCGGACAGTTCTTCATTGGTCATATACAATCTCCTTCACAAACTCATCCCTGTAGCTATGGGTAAATGAAACTTTGCGACCTTGGTTTTGTCGGGGATGCGGCAGCTTGAAGTCCCAGGCTACAAAAGTCCCTCACGAACAAAGGAGGACACTGTTCTTGAGTGCTACTAAATCTGACATGCTTATTAACCGTCTCTCTCGTCTATTTGTTGGCGAAAGAACGTAGCTATGAGGTCGCTTGAAGCACATTATAAAAGAACAAAGGAGGGAGGATGAACAAACAGCATGTAAATACTTAAAACTACTTAAATATAGGCATACACGTCTACAAGTGAGCTATTTCCCATGAGAACGATTAGTGATTGGTGTATAATCCAGTGGCAGGGCCACATAATTGTTAACTCAGAGCTTATCAGTGTCTTTGATCTTCTACCACGCCGTTTTCACCTAAGAGCGCAGCCTCGACCCAGTGTCTATCCATGTCAATCGCAATGGAGTCCAAAACTCCGGCCCATAACCTCGGATCCTCGCTCGAGTCCATCATAACGGGCTCGCCTTCCTGCTCGATATTCGCTTGAGATCTTCCAGTCCAGTTTTCCGTGATTGTCACTGCCTGCGAGAGCCTTTCATCTCCATTTAGCGCTTCCAGAGTGGCGGTTTGCGGACGACACTGTACTCCTTCGTCTTGGGTGGTATCGCTTCCTCCCTGTGAGTTCCCAATACTGCCAGATAGGGGGTTACTGGGCCTTCCTATCGTATTTATCTTGGAGAGGAGCGAATGGCAGGCTTGGATATACTTATTTCCCCTCTCCGCCATGCCCTGGAGGACCAGAAGCGCCGTCTCCATTGATTTAGCATCTGGCTCGTTGTAGGGAAACGCAATGTTTACCATCACTAAAAGAAGAGCCGCAGAAAATGCTTGCTCCCCGTCGATAAAGCCATAGGTCGCTGGCAAGATGAGTTAGTCTACTGCACCTACAAGTACACTCTTCCCCCCAGATGATATGATAATGCAATACTCACCTACGAGATTAAATTTAGCAGCTGTGTGGAATATCATGGCACTCGAGCGGGCTGCAGATATTGCACTGTCAATCACACCCACTATTTCTGGCGAAAGTCCATCTTCCCATCGTGCCCCTGCGTGTCTTTGTGCATTGACTGCCATTTGTTTCTGGACCGCGTAGAGTAATAGCGGCCGTGCAGTCATATTGATGCAGTGGTAGTAGTGAAGAGATAGTGAAACCGACTCTCTGCTGAGAGTCGCGTTCATATCAGATATGTCGAGACGAACATCCTCCGGTAGTTTTCTATACCAGTCCGAGAGACTCTTCATAATGTCGAGGACAGATGCGGACAAGCTGGTCCCTGAGCTTCGCTTCTTCCGATATATCTGCTCGCCTATGATGCCCTGTATCCTCGACAGCTGACTATAGCTATTGAGCACGCAAGAAATCCGAGGGCTTTCGCTACCAATTGGACTAGGGGGTTGTAAGTCGACATCTTCATCTTGAATAGAGACTGGGTGGCCAGAGGTCACGGAGAGTATTCTCTCTATGCTGTACACTGACCACCAAACCCGCCTCCGGTGCTCCCTTGCAGGACGGTCAATCTCCTGGTCGGAGACTTCCTGATGCAGGCCTAAGGATAGCGACATGCGTAGCGCAATCCCAATATATAGGTACGCAGCGTCTCTCCTGTTCAGCGTTTGCACGTAGTAGGCGACGTAACTGAGGACTTCAACGAACAAAATAGACCCATCCTCGTGCATGTTTGGCAGGAATTTCAAGGCATGTTTGAAAAACGTGAACCCAGGAGGGCCATCATCCCCGACCCATTGGTTGATCGAATACATCTGCCCGAATGCCAACACGAGTAATATCTGGCAGTATACTAGGCATTCCTCCTTATCCGCTGGGTTTGGCCTTGGTCTTGCATAGACGCGGCTCAAGCGTTGGAAGAAGTCGTCCTCTCGCAGAAAGGAGAAGATGGTACCGATGTACCCGTGCTGAGCGCGATATAACCTCTTCGCGAGTTCATACGGCGGAAGCGGGGGCATCTCATCAGCACCAACATCAAGTGGTCTTCTGAGCCAGCTCGTGTCTTCATAATGAGGGTATAGGTGCCATGCGACAGTTTCTGTTGTAGGATTGAGTCTATTCGCGATATATGCTGAAGAAGAATTTCCCATGTAATCTGCGTAGGTATCCATAAGCTTTAGTGATCCTTGTTAGATGTACTGTTATTGCACACTTACGATATTGTCCCGACTGCCCGACCACCCAGTTCTCCGCTCTTGTGTTCCCCCATTGGACATCTGCCAGGGAGGTATCCGATGGTTCTGGAGCATCATCCTGAACAGGGCGTCCGCTCCTCCTTCGTCGAACTTGAGCTTGCAGATCGAGGATGTAGCTAAAACCGTTAGTGATGTGTCCATGTAGACCAACAACTGCTCTTTTCTGTGACACAACTAAAGTGGGAAATACCTTTCGGGAACTGTCACTCTCTTCTCAGATTCTGAGTAGACACATTGACTACCAGCGGCCTGGCACGCCACGCATGGGTAGGGATGGCGACCAGCGCATTTCGTCTTCCTGCTGCGACAACGATTGCACGCAATTACAGACCTTCTCAGGACATTGCGGGGGTCGAGAGGGTATCCTGGGGCACCGGTGGGTTGAGGACCATACTCGCCCGCGTGATTTCTCTCTTCGCCCATAATGCTTCCACATGGCCAGCGAGGATTCGGGCATAGTCAGGAAACGAGAGCAGCGTTCAATCGGCGAGTGGAACCCGGCCACTAGATAATATAGATAAAGGTAGCTTCTTATCACGTGCCAGGGTGATGGCTTGGTCTGGAATCCTCTTGATAAGCTGTTTGAGTGATCGGGGAGTGGGGTCCGATCAAGCTTTATGCTATGCTCTTTGGGGATTTACCCCAGAGCCCCTCGTGGATCCTCTGCCAGGGAGACCGGGGCCCGTAAAGCACTAGATCGGATAGCTAAACGCGAGCCGTGGTCGAAAGTTGACTCCGGGCGGATCGACCGACATCATGCCATGACGGTCAGCATGTGGGTGATGGGCCGCCCCTTGTGTTGGCATAACCAAGCTATGAAAGAGCATAAACGTATCTTGGGAAGTACGTTCAGGCTCTACCTAAGTAACCAGCATCAACCTTTATCCAGTCGAAACTCATACTGAAGAGGAGCTCAATCATGCAACTAGTTGTGCTTCTCGTGCTGGCCATCGTTGCGGCTCTTGGAGTTGTGAAGCTCGCCCGTTCATACATCCGACTAGCTGGTATACCAGGTCCTTGGCTTGCCGCCCACACAGACCTCTGGCGCTTCAGGGCCCAGAACTCTCAAGGATACGCAGGGCGACTTGTCCAGCTTCACAGACAATATGGAAAGCTCCTCCGCATAGGGCCAAACCATGTCACGGTCAGCGACCCAAACGCGGTCTCCATCGTGTACAGCATGAATCCAGTATGGCGAAAAGGTCCCTCCTATTATGGTGCTACCACAGTCAGCCAGGGTCGCGTGCTGCCCAGCATCATTGCGATGGAGGAAGCCCAGCATACCGCTGTACGCAGGACCGTTGGCCGCGCCTTCGCAACCACCTCTCTGCTCGACTACGAATCTTATATTGACCATTCGGCTGCGGAGTTTGTCCGTGTCGTTGGAAAGCTTGAGTCTGCTGATATCGGATTGTGGCTACAGTTCTTTGCCATGGACGTGCTGATGCGCATCGGGTTCAGCGAGACTCCCGGGTTCATGCAAAAAGGGGGCGACGTCGACGGCATTCTCGGCGCAGTCATCGATCGATTCGATCACTGGGGCCGCTGGGGAGCAATGCCTACGATGGATTATGTCTTCAACAAAGGTCCGCTGGCATCTATGCTCAAAGGCAAAACTGACAGCCCACTCGCACGAGTTGGCGCGGCCAAATTTCACGCTCGCAAGACTGCTCTAAACCCGCCGGATCTGGCTGATCTTTGTCAAAAGTTCCTTGAAGGCAGAGCCAAGCACCCAGATGCCTTGAATCATGACGAAATCTTGGGCATTATCCTGTCGACAATTGGCGCGGGTGCTGACACTACCGCCGGAACTCTCACTTACACGCTCTTCTTCCTCGCCAAACATCCGCATTGTCGAAAGAAGCTCCAAGCAGAGATAGATGCCGGGTTGCAGAATGGTACTCTATCCAACCCACCAAAGTGGGGAGAAGTCTACAAGCTGCCATATCTTGAGGCTGTTCTGAAAGAATCCATGCGAATATTCCCCATAGCTTCTTGGGGCCTGGATCGCATTGTCCCAGAGGGAGGTGTTACCCTTGCCGGAACATTCATTCCACCAGGAACTGTGGTCGCGTGCCAGATCGATGCCATCCACCGGGACACGGAGGTCTATGGTCTTGATTCAGAAGACTTTCGACCTGAGCGGTGGATTGAAGCTGATGAAGAGCAAAAACGTCGCATGGACCGGTCTTTCCTAGCCTTTAGCTCGGGCAAACGAGTCTGCACGGGTGTTCATATTGCGTGGCTAGAGATGAAGAAGACACTTCCTTTGATCATGATGAACTTCAACGTTGGTACTACCCCAATCTCCACACTCACAGGAATTGCGCTAACAAGGCTCCTCTCTTAGTTGGAACTAGTTGACCCGAACCAGGATTTGAGTAAAGGCATCAGGGTCAGTGCAGTCAAGTATCCCCCGCCGGTTTGGGTAAAGGTAGTGAAGAGACAAGATGGGCCTGTGTCCTCTTAGGATAACTCGGTCTTCTCGTGGTTTGGGTCGAGCTTAAACCTTTAGAGAATGTCAATCTCTAGAAGCAAATTTGCCTTTTGTCTTTGTCTTGATGTATTGTACATAGTTAGTAAACTTTCGAAAATTCAATGAAAATGTGTCAATTTATCACCCAGTTACGTGCGCTGATGATGTCAGATCCATTTAGTCCAGCAACCTCGGGAGATTCTAACGTGACTAAACCTGCACACCATCCTAAGTGTTGTAAGAAAATTGATCCCTCTAAGTGGTCTATTTTTTATGTCAAATCTGCCCTAAGATCCACACCTTCCGAGACAGCTAGGTAGGAGCGAAAGTCTTCTGAAAGCCCCCTAGTTGTCTTCTATAAGAGCTGTTGCCTTGAGTTCAACCAAGAGATTTGGACTCGGCAACTCCTTAACACCCACGCAGGTCCTTGCCGGAGCACCCTCACGGTTAGGCCAGGCCTTGACCCAGATTTTATTCATCCCGGCGTAATCCGCACCCAAGTTGGTGAGAAAGACAGTGACATCAATGACATTGTCGAGCCCGCCCTTTCCATTCGTTGCTTCTTTGATAATGGCGTCGATATTTTCAAGAGCGGCGGAGGTCTGTTCCTCGATGCTCAAAGTTACAGTGCCATCATTTGCGATCTGTACTCCACCAAGGGAGCCATCAGCACGTCTCGATGTAACACCAGAGATGAAGAACGTGTGTGTCTTGGCGGTGCTGATTGCGAGGCGACCTTGCGGGTAGGGGGCACTTGAGGCCCCGGCGAGGATAACAGCGCTGCCGTTTCTTGACATGGTGTAATAATTTTATTTTCCATACTCTGGAAGAGCAACAAGGGTTAAAGCAAAAGTTTATAGCCAACCTTTAACGCTTTCTCATCTATGGATTAAAAACTCCGTTCTATACGCCGATGTCGCATTGAAAGCCACACTAGCCGTGGGCCAAGGGTCCCCAAGAGCCTGGATTGTTTCACCCGCATCTTCGACGATGCCCTCCCCGGCCCATCTGACAGACAAAGCCCGGCCCCGCAACCCGATGGGGCCTGTCAAAGAGCCATCATCAAACCCCAACGCAGCAATCTAACCTTAGTTATGTTATCTTCAGTCGGGTAACAAATTCCGGGATCGCTACAGTTATCGTGGAATAATGGGGTCCATGCCTTTGTGTAGGTACGCATCTACAGCATACTCCTCAGAGCACCAAGTGTGCCAGGACCTTGTCGATGGCAACGCTATCTTCTTGTGCGGGCTGAGCTGAGACAACTGCATTCTTTGTATTGAAAAAGATGTAATCTTCGTAAAAACTAAGAAAAATATTGAATGAATTAAGCTTGAATTTTCTCTTCATAATCGATACCTCTCATGTAGACCGTGGCACAAAGCCCAAGTCCATTGTTGTCAACTGAACAATGCTTGCTGAGTGAAAAGTCCTATGTAAACACTCCGTGATTCCAACAGGGGCCATGGTCTATAAACCGCTATTTGATAGATCACAAGCCTTGACCATGTTCTCTGCATCTTGGTAAGAACCGCCAAGAACTAGACACAGTGAAAAGAGTTGATATTCTCGGCGCTGCCACCAATGTATGAGATCTTCTTGGGGTAGAGGCAAATTGGCCGTTCTATTCCGCCACTGGTTCTTCCATAGAGCGTCTCTGGTGCAATGCCCTTTTCCACCCAGTCCATCAAGGACTGGAATGACGTTCCAGGATAGGCCCCGAATCCTCCTGAGCAGTGTCCCACTCCAGGCACTTGGAAAAATCGAAAGTAGTCGGCAGCCTTGGAGTCCACCGCCAGGACGCGCTTGTAATACTCCTCAGTGCCCCCAGCCTGAATCTGAATATCATCAAGCCCATGCCACGTCATGAGTTTCCCACCAGCATCTCTAAATGCGGCAAGGTTGGGATCATCCGTGCTCATGAATGACGACCACTCTTGTACAGAGAGCTGCCAGAGACGATCGAACTGGCTATGCGTGAGCGACATAGGGTCAGCCTGAAGGTCTTTCATCAAGAAGTTCTTGGCCCAGTTCGCCGCAATAGGGAAGGGTGAAAAGGTGCAATTTCCAGTATTGTCGCATTTCGTGTCCAGCAAAGCACCACCTGTTGTAATGTTGGTAGTACGGCTGACCCCGTAGTATCGCCAAACGCCATCTACTGTGTGATAGCCTGCCCATGCGACCTCGGCCGCTTTAACAGCAGCTTCAGAAATTGTCGTATTTCCACTTGGTAGTTCGGGACAAGCGATTTGCTTGCCTAGGACCGTGGCAGCCTTAAATTCGCACTTTGAAGGATCCATGACATAGCTGTCCTTCACTCCATCCAGGCTGTCGCACGCCTCAAGGGCCGCGGCTGTGATGGCACGGAACTCACACGGAGCGGGTACTCGTCCCCCATTGGTGATGTTCTTCATGATAATCTGAGGGAAAATATCGGCAGAGAGGAAACGAGCCCAGTTTATCGCCGGACAGCTGCCCAACAAGCCGTGATACGCCTTCGGATACCGCTGGGCGAGCATAAGTGCCTGCCTGCCTCCGGTTGAGCAGCCATTCCAGTAACGGTATTTGGCTGACTTCTTGTAAAAGTTTTCGATGACAGACTTGCCGATCTCAGCAGCATCTCCTAATGCTCGGTATCCAAAATCCGACAGAGCCTCAACATTCACGTTTCCAGTGCTGCGAAGAGCCCAAAGGTCTGAGTTGGCAATTTCAGCGCTATCTTGCATTGTGTTTCTGGAAACTCCGGCCGAGGTGGACACAGTGGCAAAGCCTTGGGATAACGGCGTCAGAACCCGGTCCAACTGGTTCCCTGCGCTGAAGCCACTGCCACCGATACCCATCATGCGTTCGTTCCAGTTGTTCAGGGGCAGATAGACTGATGTCTTAATACCAGCTTCCTGATAGCCTGGATGCCGCGAGGTAACTGTAACGTTGCAGTAGTCTATTCCAGTGAGGTTCGCAGAGGCTGGAAAGGAGTTCGGAAAATTGGGGGTGGTAGTGGCATTGAAGAAGGCGGTGGCTTCAATAGACATTATCTCCAGCCCAAATATGGGGTTGATCTTGATGTACTCGGGATAACATGTCGAGGCGTTCCCCTGAGCTTCAGACTGCGAACAAGATCTTGCTCCCAAATCAGAGAAATCTTGTGTAGTAGATAGCGCCCTGGCAGCCGGGCTCGTCACAAGGAGCAGAGGTGCAAGAAAAGAAAACATATCTCCGAAATGCTTCATATCTGATGAAAGGTGTGCAGGCCAGTTTAGACAGACTTGATCTCTTCATCTAGAGCATCGATAACATTCTCTATGATTAGCACCATTGCCGGTATTTAAGGATATAGTGCTCAAAGCTTCCAGTCCAGGGAGAAGATCTAGGCGAAATTCCATGATGATCCCTGTTCTAATCGGTGACATCTCACCTTCGGGGACCAGAACCGATCGTGGGGGACCCTATCTCGACATACGAAATCTAAGGTCTACCCCTCTTTTGCTCTCGCAAACACCACATCCTAGATTACTTACTTACCTATTCTGTGATTTCTTCGCAAATCAAGGCCAGAGTCCATTGCAACCCACGAGTGAGAGGCCACAAGATTGAAAAGTTATTTCAATTTTGGCGACGCCAATCTTGTTCCTAGATTCGAGGGGTCGGCACATTTGAAACGATGATGTGCAGTTAGCCTATCAGTGCCTGCTCATTACTACGGGCTTAGAATTAACATACTTGAGAAGTTGTCGCACTGGCCGCAGGCGTCACTTCGAGGCCGTTCCATCGCGACTCTTCAAACCCAAATTACTCCCATGAGTATCACTAAGCTAGTTACTTGAGCCGGCTAAGCTTTGCCGGTTGAGAACTCATCAGACAAGAAACCAACATCTTGGCTTTGATTGGTGACTATGTTAGAAAGGACTTCCGATCGGGCCGAGCGTAGTGTAACCAAGTCAGCTGGACAAGTGTCTATCTACGGTATCAGTAAGTTTACAGTGCGAACTGTTCTAGAGATTACAGGTGGCATCGTAGCATCAAGGCCGACAGGTAGTTTCGGTCCATCTCTGCCTCGGCCCGCAGGAGGTTCCCTCGCACAGCGGGTTGATGATGTAGCAGATCGGGTTGGGTGGACCTTATTTTGAGTACGATAAGAGATCGGCATGGTCCTACCGATCATCTGAGAATTGCAGTGGACAAGACTCCCAAGTGTTAAGTATCACTCGACTCACCGTCAAAACTAGCGGATATTGAATCAAGTTCAGCAGACTGTGATAAGTGATGGCTCCGTAAGCTTTGCGACAGTCTTGTTTGCGCAACAGAAACATCATCAAAATCCCAGTCAGATGGCAGCTGGTCTACAGCTGAACAAATCCTCTTGAAATGGTCCAGCATCCAACTTCTGTATATGCTCTTTGTGAAACGATATGCTGTCCATCTCTCTTTACCATCCAATGTTGTGAATGAGAATTCATGAATAAGGTGGCGATGATACTTGGTATTGGTAGTCTTCTCATCAAGCACTGGGTAATGCCCATAGATCCGAACTGACCGGTGATCATGAGAGATAGAAAAGCCGAGGATCTGTCGATGCAGCTCTTTCTCCCGCTTTACGGCTCGAAAGAGCTCGACGACAGCCCGTACCGCAAGAGTCATGCTACGGGCATTCTGCCGGTCTGCTACATCAAGCCCTGTAGCACCATATTTGACCTCACATATAAGAAATGGAAAGTATATGTAGTACGTTGCTATAAAATAGGAGATGTCGCCAGCAATAAAATCGCCTATGAAAGGTGAGAGTTTTGAAAGCTGGTCCTCAGTAAAGGACTCCCGCCGAAAGCTAACAGAAAAGTCAGGCTGTGGGCGAGTCCCGGTCAAAGGTATCGAATTATTCCAGCCTTCGTTGGTGCTTTCTATCAGGATGTTGAGCGACTTATCCCCATAGATGCATAAGATTTCTGCTGAAGGGACAATCAATGGCGTTATATCCCGGATGACTCTTGCTTCATTTCTGTCCTCAACCCTTTGACACGTTTGCTTGAATACGTTATCATGAAAGAAAGTCATCAGGAATTGTCTGGTCTGAGCTTAGGAAGGATAGATAAGTATCCTTGCTGTCCTTCGAGATGCCCAGGTCTGACTCTTCCATGAAACTATTTTTTGTGGCAAGTAGTGTCTTGTACCGCGGATCTCGGTAGGGCGTACTCTTCTCTTCCCTTGGCCTCTGGTCGCTGGGTGTTGTGGATGTAGGTGCACCGGAGTTTGATCGCTTGCGGCTGAGAGACCGCTGTGATCTCTTCCGAGCAACTATATGCGCCATGCCTGGGTTGAAGTATTCTTGTGGCCACACCCTTTCCTTTGCCCAAAACTCGGTCGGATCTATCGGGCGGTCGGCGGTACCGGCGGTGGCAGGTTGGATAGGCGATCGCCGCGACTGCTTCAGGGGGGTATCAGAGTCGGGAGTCTCGACGTTTCGCTTCGCACCACGTTTGGTGGGTGTTGTAGGATTGAGTCGAAGGGATCGGCGTGGTCGCTTTTGGGGAGGTTCTGAATCGTGATCAAGGCCAATGCCTCTTTTGGTGCTTTTGTCAGAAGGTCTAAAATCCTTGAGGGTATTAGTTTGGGGGACCATATTGCGTTGTGGGTGACATACTGGCAGAGGAGTGACCTTGGTAGAGAGCGACAGCTGTGGATGCAAATTGGAGGGCTCATGGGATACCCTTTTCTGGGGATGGGCGCGACGAGTGTTTACCGATTTCTGAACGCCCTGCGGCTTCTTTCCTATTATATTGTTAGCGAAGACTTCACTCGGCACTTGATGAAACAGTACCTTGTGCCCGAGTGCGAGCCATGATGATGGAGATGCCGGTGTTTGGCCTGTGGTCTATTCATCTTTCATGGGGCCCTGTTCTTAGGCGCTTGGAGTTCTCGTGTTTCATCAGGTGGAGAAGCGCTGCCCTATTGCAGGGCAGGCAGCGAAAACGGAGGAGTTGGCGGTTAGATAAGAGGAAGTGGTTGGTTGTGGGAATTATGGAAGAGTCGCGATCTAAGCAGCCGAGGCGCGCTTCTGCAGAAAATCAATGGTGGGTGCCAGCAACAGTCAGGTGACCTGGCGGAGCAAGGACAATGACGTACCTAATAACAACACCTATATTTTGTAGAATAATTAGGTTGTTATTGTCTTTATTATTGTATTTAGTATTATGGATAAGAATAATAAGAACCCTTTACTTAGTGAGCCGTGTTTTATTTCAACCACTTGCCAGTCCATCGAATTTAGTTTATAGTACTCCAGAGTCCGCAGGTCCTACGTGCGTGTATTGTATCATAATTTGCCAGAAGCTTTTATCGGACGTGAGTGGTGCTTCAGGGTAGCACTGCGGCAGGTGCTATTATGCACACTCTTGTTTCTCGCAACTAATCGCATCCTGGATTTCGATGCTGCAATCACTGCAGAATATGCCAAAACGGCCGCAGGCCCGGCAGTTTGCTCATATAAAGTCGCGGGTGAATTAGCGGGAAAGAAATTGTATGGGCGTGGCACCCAAGAGCAAACTCCAACATTGGGGATACGGTATCTGAGAATATCCGTCGCGATAGAAGTAGCTACATGAGGATTTTAGAATATTTAGTCATGTCTCTAATAGTATTTAATTTTGAAACAATTATTATTTTACCAGCTGGCTATTCAATTACACGAATCCACGTAGGCTGGTCAATCATCCTCTCCATTTCGTTCTATTGTGATCTGCCATAAATCCCTTCAGCATATCCTGCTGCTGTTTGCCCAACTCTTGGAAGGTAAGTGGGCGACAAGAGAAATAAGACACCTAACCGAAGAGAGATTATCAATAGACTACTTTCTAAGATGGATTGAGAGACAATATGTGCCGTATTATCTCTGAAGTATGTATTATTAGCAACTCAATAATCTGATAATACCGGTCGCAGACTCGAGAATGAGCAGCTTAATGTTTAGAGAGACTCTCAATAGTGTCATCGAAAGCAGCCACAATAGGTCCGTAGAGCTGATCCGGATCACCCACAGGGGTTCCAAAGCTCATTTCCTCATCCTTATCCAAGGGAAAGAGGATCTTCCTGATCGTTAAACATAGAGGTTTTAGAATATCCAGTATCGCAGCAAATTCACCCATAATTCTTTTGAGGCTGTTTACAGTCATATGACCCTCCTTGGCATCTGCAATATCGTTGAAGGACCCGATCTCCCATTTTCGAAGCAGGCTTTCCTTGGGTGGCTTTGATCCACAATCGAATCCATTATTCCACGAATGACGCGCACAAAGCCAGACAAGGACATAGAAAAACGACTCCAAATCGTGGCGATATGTGTGATCAGTCTTGCGGAGCACCTCTACTGCCATGAACTGCATTGTACCAGTCTGGTGACGCGCTCCACTCGGACCACTGCCTCTTTCCTTCGCTAGGTCAAGGTCAATAAGCATGCCCTTGAAGCCACCTGATGCCTCGGCCTTTGTGATGATGATATTGTTTGTGGAAATATCGCGGTGAAGAATATTGCCTTTAGTGTAGAGAGACTGGTGCGCCTTGATAGCATCTCGCAACGATTCCAAGAGTTCTCTGACGGTGGTGAACTCGCTCACAACACGACCAGCTGGGGAAATAACCAGGCAGGAATAAATTCTATTCTCCCACAGGTCTTCGCTTGGCGTGTATAGACTCGGTCCATTGCCGGTTAATAGTTGACCACTCAACTTCTGATTCCCAGACCGCAATCTCTTAGATCCGGACACGCTATCAGAGGTGTGATTGGATGATGACTTGCGCTTGCTGGCTGATGTACCTGATAGTATTGTCGGGCTGTCGAGGTGGGCGTCTTCATTGCGGAACCGGTGACGTTGTTGGAAATCTAAGCCCTTGCACAATTCCGCAATAGTGCCAATCCGGCGATGCGCCACAACCCTGGCTACTCCCTGAACACCCCTTTGTTCCGCTAGCATGAGCTGCTTAACCTCCAGCTGCCGCTTGTCGGATGCCCATGAGAATTTCGCAACATGATTGTTTCGGGTCTCGAAACACGTTGTGCCGCGGCATACAACAGCTTTCTGTCTCACCATCGGTCTTCCAAGCCTGATTCTTGTCTGGTTGCCATCTGCATCGTCTAGAGTGACATGGCGATGCCTGTCCTCTCGCTGGATAAATGTGTCTAGACCCATAGCATCATCATCCATCGTGGCATAGCCAATAATAGCACATGCGAATTTTTCCGGGTTGGCGTGAATATCAAACGGCCCTGAGCTGTACGGCCCCGACCGATCAAAGACCCAGAGCTCCATTGTGGAAGCGCAGAGTGTAAAGCCAAGAACGAAGCGGCAAGTAGGCTGGTCTGCGAAGACACCTCGTACATAGCGCGTGAGCTGGAGTAGATCAGCCTTGAAGCGGCCTTTATCGTATGATTTCTTTTGCTCTCCCACGACGAGGATGTGCTTATACTCGAAAGCACCTGCTTTTGCGGCGGGTACTTGAAAGAAAATATCCATCTGGCCTTTCCTTTGCTTGAACTGGTTTGCGGTCGTTGTGGTGTGAAGCTTATGTGGCGCATCGGGAAAAGCACGCTCTTCCAGTGAGCGAAGCCAGTCCCAGACCAATTTTCCATCCGGGGTGGATGGGAAGCCTTTCCATTTCGTTCCATTGTGCTCTGCCATTACCCCCTTTAGCATATCCTGCTGCTGTTTGCCCCAACTCTTGGAGTCGAAGAACCTATCGCAAAATCCTCCCACATTTCGAAAGGTACATGTCCGTATTTCCTCGAAAAGCTCCCTTTCGACAATCTCACGAGTTTCGCTATCAGCAAGCCTGCTTGAGCTAGATTTCACCGGTGTTCCTTTGAAAGTCGGATAGATGCTGGAATAAGCCGTAGTAAGTGGACCAAGGGTATTCCAAAGGCTGCCCAGATAGTGTTGTCGGGGGATTTATTGACGATACAACGGATCAAAGGACGGAATCGGTCGAGTTCTATGGTACTCTCTCGGACACGTTGTAACAGAGATAGCAACTTGAATGCAGCGTTGCCATTTCCGTCTGGTGAGGGAAGGCTGAAAGCAGCAGGAGAGGCGACTAAAGCCCCCAAAAGGCCTGCAACATCATCCTGCCGCGGAGTGTCGGACTCATGAAAGTCTCTCTCGCTCAACTTTATCCGAGCATGGAAGTAATCCAATGAGTTCTTGAAGGGGTGTTCAGAGATGATCCGAACCTGCTGCTCCGTCAAAGCGTAGTCAGCTTGATCTGCCACAATAACAGATGCCAGACCCGACATCTCAACACAATAAGCGCGATTTGCACATGTTGTTTGTTTGCGTGAAGGATAATTGTGGGTTTGATTTTGTCAGTACCTTATTTACGGAGAAACCCCTGATTCTTGCGCCACAACTCCACATGACCAGCCACGCTAAGCACCGCCTCATCGATCCAACTGGAGTGGCTGAAATAAAATATGCCACCCCAAACAAAGCTCTTTTGACATCAGACAGGACCTCATTGTTTGTTAAGCACATTAAACACAATGATAAAAGTTATTCTACGATATTTAGCTTGATATTGTACTTGTTGGTCATTTAATTGTTTTGCTATTGCATTGAAATTTTAACACTAGAATATTTAGGTGTGCCATATTTTGTCAGTCGCGTACCAACAAGCATTGACGGTGGCTGACCTGTGACAGCGCTTTCCGCCATCAATTGTCCCCTACAAGCCACAAGTACTTCACGCTAAACACCCGCCAGAGAACTAATGCGAAATGCGTCAACGCGAGAGCCACAAATGTGGGTGAGAGCCAGCTGAAATCGCGAGGCTCTGTAGCTCTTTGTCCATGTGACCACGTTAAGCCGCTAACGTCGTTTATATCGTGTTCGCTTCACCGAAGACATTCGCAAGTGGGTCAGTGGATGTGTTTTAAACTTTGGCATCGACAAACTTGCAGTCTGCTCTTCACAACAAATATTATTCATTTTTTCACGGCCATGTCGTTCATCAAATTGTCGCCATCTCGAAATGTATCCATTGCGCTCATCGCTGCTCCTCTAGTTATCCCCGTCATCTACATGGCGTTCCTCACTCATAATATCTCCCGAAGCACCAAGTCCTCCAATGGTACCCAGTATCAAAAAGGAGGTCCGCAGCGCCTCGTACAGCGCCATGGGGAGAATGAGAATATCATGCCTGGGAAGCCAGCAAGCCTTCCTGATGATGTGAGATCTGAAGACTCAGACTGGGTCTTGACATACGAACGAGTCACGTCTGCCCCTGTACCACTGCGAAGTCTTGCCCTCTCTCCAACAAGCACTCTCAGCGGCTCGCCGTCGCCTTTGCTTCGGACCTACACATCAGGTGCTCATGTCGCCTTCTCTTCGACACCACAAGCTATTCTCATTCGCTCCTTGGTCGACACAGAAACCAAGCGAACCTTTGAAGCCAGCTGGATTCAAAACCTACAATTTGAGCCCGGGGACGTCGTCAACGGTGCTTACAAGGTCTCATACTATGGTCAAGGAAATGAGACAGGGTCAGAACGTATTGAACTCATGATTCAAGCCCCTCCATCTTATAAAGGACCCGTCCCCAATGGCTTAATCATCTCCGAGATTGTGCTTATAGAAGGGGCTCCTTCAGGATCCTTCCCTGGTGATAGGGCCGGAGACGACCATGTTGTCTTTATCAACGAGACTTGGATGTGGAGAAAAGAATCTGAGAAGCCGACTTTGGTAGAGTTAAAAGTGAGCGGTTGGATGCACAGGCTGATGGCAGGATGGCTCATCAAGAAAGGAATCAATGCAGTCAGCCTATGATAGCTCCGGGTCTTTAGGTCGCTCAAGGTGGAGGTTTCCCGTTGGATGAATGTTGTAGAAACCATTGAGAAGCTTACCCTCTCTCCTCATGAATAAAATTTGCTGGCTCACCGGACTAGGCGATCCAATTCCAGTGATTGTCTGCTTATTTAGTAGTAGGCACAAGAGACTTATCCCCCAGTGGTTAGGGATATCATCAAGAAATGGCAGATTAACCTATGAAAGCTTAGACCTGCACTACGGATGAGGAAACTAAAGATTGAGCAAATAGCAGTCGAAAGTTCCCACCACCAATCATATGTAAACTTAGGCATTGAATTGGGCTTGATCCATCACGCCTTAGACGTACTCTCCATCAAGCTGACGGTTGATGGCCCAGAATAAGCCCGAGCCAAGCATTCTCGTGGAGTGGCGTCAATGCAAACAATGGTTCTTGTCTCCTTTGGTCCAATCTGACGTCCTCGATTCGACCTGCGGCCTTGATTGGACAGTTGTAAAAGCGTACTACCTTCCCCTCAATTCTGCAGACTATATGTATTCGATCTATATTGTAGATGGTAGACACTGGATCTAGTGATGTGGGAGTGTCTAATTCACGAACATTTATTGGGTTGCCACGCCGTACATGTGCTGTGCTATAACATCATGCCGTCCGATGGTCGCCAATGATCCAATTTCGCGCTTTGCCACTTATTTATAGGTCAGCCACTCTTGAGCTGATAGTGTTTAGGCATTTGGTGGAGTGCGGTGCGTACGTGGACGCGTGCTGCACGATGCATTATGCGGTTGTCACACAAATGTGCAGAGTGCAGTTCCGAATAATGCCGCCAATACATATGTGTTCATAATCACCCGAGGCAGCCTATCGAAGATATTTAAGGCACAAATAGAGTTCACCGTCATATTATACTTGTTTGTGCAAACCATAGTTGCCTGTCCTGTCGAATTTCCCCAGTTTTCACCCAGCTTTCACAATATCGCCGAGCCGCAGCCAGTCGCCTTTGTTTTGTTTTGGGATCATAAACTGCATAAAATGAGGATACACCTCTGACAAATCAAGAGAGACATTCAACTGGCATTGCGGAGGGGAAATTGAAGCATGCATGAAGCATTTAATGCATCCGCAACTACCCAAGACTCTCAGTGGCCAGATCCGGGCTTTCTGCCTCTCCTGCATATCAATATCACGCGCATCTCAGCTCAGGCGAGTAGGGAAACGAAAATTAATGGGCCCTTCCTTGCGTTTTGGAGCCGGTCCAAGGGCGCCAGAGTGCGGGAGCGAGATCAGGGTGGCAAGATCCCGACAAGGGTATCCCTTCGGAGCATTGATACAACTCATCATGCAGCAAATAACATTACTTTCTCATGCCGGAAAGCTCTTACCCCACAAATCCACCTGCAAGGGACTCTCCGGGCCGAGAGATGGAGCTGAATCAACTGGCGAGCCTGTCCAAAAACTTTCGATTCTCTCTTTTCTGTAGGATGCCGCTTCTCCTTGCTGATTTGTCCAACGTGATTCATCCCTTGCCAGAAACTTGTAAACAAGCGACGTGAAAATGGCGCCAGCAATGCTCAAGAGGCTGAAGTCGAAGCTTCGCAAGAAGCCAGACGAGTCTGCTGAAACCGATGAGGTGCCTCCATTGCCCTCGGTTAAACCAGAGTCCTCACTGGAGTCTGTTTCTACTGGCGGACCGCCTCCCGCGCAAGTTCCCGCGAGGCCATCCACTTCACGCTCTTCCTTCTCCTTCCAAAGGCGCTTCACTCTATCACGTTCATCAAGACAGCCTTCCCAAGAGTCGAATAAGCAAGCCCAACCCCCTTCATCACTGTCCCACAAGAGAAGCTCTCCAACACAGTCTGCCTTCACATCAGGGATGTCTTCGGCCGAGCTGCCCGTGAGGCCAACCACTTCCGCGGGACCTGGTACTGATTCACCATCTGCCTCGTCTCTCCGCTCCCCAATCCCCGATGTCCCTGATGTCCCTGCTATCCCCGACACTCCCTCAGTGAGAAAATCACCAACACATTCTCCTACTAGAATTCCTGTTGCGAGGGGGCCAGCTCTAAGTGAGCAGTCGACTCTACCATCACAGCCCACAGATGGCGAACCCTCAACACAGCCAGAGCGACGGCCGAGATCATCTCGAGCCTCCAAGGCATTTTCATGGCGATTCTCATCTTCTAAATTCCCCCCAAGCCAGATCCCCCCTCCGGCTGCAGCCTCCGGGAATCCACGATCTCCCCGTGATGCATCACCGTCAGAGCAACTCCCTAAAGAAACTCCCAAGTCTTCGACTAAAGCAGCATCGACGAAGAAGCCATCCACCGACAAGAACAATGTAGCTTCCTCGGGCACTCCTTCTCGGCGAGCGACTATTTCGTCTAGACCAGATCTGTCTCCTCCTCGCTCACCGAAACATACCAGACAGACGTCGGTTTCGTCGATTTCCAGAACAGGGTCAACCTCAGATGCTGCTGCAAAGAAGTCTCGCTATGCCCAGCTCGGTTCAGTGACAGCCTCAAGCAAGCTTCCCGCACCCGGCAGAGCATCTCCAGATCGTAGCCAGCCATCGACTCCGGCAAAGGCTTCTACTCCCCAACCTCTCCACGCCAATCCGCCCAGTCCGCAGACGCCATCCTCGCGAATACCCGCGCCGACCTTCTCGACTCCCAAGTCCATCGCTGCCAAGAAGCCGGAGCTTCAGTTGCCCCCTCCGACACAGGCCCCCGTTGGTACCAAGGGTACCTTCTTGCTCGACGATGCGCCCGTCATCTCTCCCTCGACCGATCGAAATACTCCCTCGAGTCCAAAAGCAGCTGCCTCACCTCAGTCCGGCCTCGGAGCATCTCCCGAGGAGCTCAAGCTGAAGCTCTGGAACACGGCTTTTGCCAGACTGAACGGCACCAACCCCGATATTGTCAAGGCATATGAGAAGATTCTATCCGCTGAGCTTTGGGGTGATGGTGCGGGTATCAAATTGGTGCTTGAAGGAAGTCGAGAGGAGAACCAAACACATATAGAGTCGATAATCAAATCTATCTCGGCCCGCCTTGAGAGTAGAAAGGGGGCTTTCGGAGAGCTGTTTTCCAACATTAAGCAGACTGCCTCCAAGCCTTCTATCGCATGGGCAACAAACTATCTGACATTGGAGGTATGTGGCATACAACTTGAAGCTCCGAGGATTGTAAATTGTTGACATCTAGCAGGCAATTTCTGATCCCGCTTCCGGGGTGCCCAAGACCCGTGCCGGCGCGACATACATCATCTCGAGAGCCAACTGGTACCAGAATCTCGTCAAGCTCCTCCTAGAGAGGAATCAGGCACACTACGTCTCGGTCGATTCGCTCGAGCGTATCGAGAAGCGCATCTCCCAGCTTTATACCGACGTCCTCGAGTTCCAGCTCAAGACTATCTGTTCGTCTCACCCAGGCGAGCTGGATCTCCCTGCCCTCACAGCCGCGGCGCTCGAGACCTGGGACTGCGACCTCGAGACGGTCAAGATAGGCGAAACTAGGGTTCAGGTGGATGTCGATCAGCACGGCACAGAGGAGATGCAGTCTTCTCTTACCCGCTACTGGCATACCGCAACCGTCTTGGAAAAGAAGGTTCAGGAAGAGACGTTAGCCCTGGAGAAACTCGCCCAAGAAAGGAAGCTTGTTGATGAAAGACCGACTGCAGGCGAGGAGCTGGCGGCCCAAGAGAAGTTTACCGACGAGCATGTGTCTATCCATGATAAAGCGCCTACCAATGAGAAGGCGCTGGCCGACGACAAGACACTAGTTGAAGAGGAGCAGACTGTTGACCAGAGCTTCGCACATGCTGCCCAGGCCGCTGAGGAGGCAAGAGTCGCCGAGGAAGAAATACTTCGTGTCGAAGAACAGCGAGTCTCAGAAGAGAGGCGCATCGCAGAAGAGACACGAGTTGTCGAAGAGCGTAGACTCACTGAGGAGAAGAGGCTTGCAGAGGAGAAGCGTATCGCCGATGAGACGCGAATCGCTCAAGAGATGAAGCTCGCTGAAGAAAAAAAGATTGCCGAGGAGCAAAGACGTGTTGAAGCACAGCAACTAGCCGAGAAGCGTGCTGCTGAAGAGTCAAGAGTTGCCGAAGAAAGACACCTCGTTGAAGAGAGGCGTCTCGCCGAGGAGCAGCGGCTTGCTGAGGAAAGCCGTCGCGCTGAACAACAGAGACTCGCGGAAGAAAGGCGTCTCATGGAAGAACAGAGGATTGCTGAAGAGACACGGCTCGCAGAGGAGAAGCGTCTAGCCGAAGAACAGCGGGTCGTCGAGGAGAAACGAAAGCTCGAGGAGAAGAGGTTAGCTGAAGAGAAACGCCTCGCGGAAGAAAAGCAGCTAGCTGAGGCGAAGAGACTCGCCGAACAATCGAGGCTCGCCGAGGAGAAGCGCATTGCGGAGGAAAAGCGTATCGCAGACCAAGAACGTCTCGCCGAAGAACAGCGAATTGCTGAAAAGCAGCGCATAGCCGAAGAACAGCGTATCGCTGAAGAGAAACGAGTTGGCGAAGAGCGTAGACTGGCTGAAGAGAAGAGGCTTGCAGAGGAGAAGCGCATAGCCGAAGAACAGCGCATCGCAGATGAAAAACGTCTCGCCGAAGAAAGGCGCGTCGCTGAGGAGAATCGTCTCGCTGAAGAGAAGCGTATTGCTCAAGAGCAACAACGGCTAGCTGAAGAGGCACGCATTTCTGAAGAGAAGCGTATCACGGAAGAGAAACAACGCATTGCTGAAGAACAACGCATTGCTGAAGAACAACGCATTGCTAAGGAGAAGCGTGTTGCTGAGGAAAAGAAGCTAGCCGAAGAAAAGCGATTAGCAGAAGAGAGACGTGTCGCAGAGGAACAGCGTGCCGCGAAAGAGAAAAGGGTGGCTGAGGAGAAGCTTGCTCAGGAGAAGAAGCTGGCAGAGGAAAAGGCCGCTGAAGAACAGAAACTTACTGCAGAGAAGCGCGCTGCTGAAGATAAGCTTGCCCAAGAGAAGAAGCTTGCTCAGGAAAAGAAGTTGGCCGATGAGAAACGAGCGCAAGAGAAGAAGAGAATTGCTGACGAGAAGAGGGCTCGAGACAAGAAGGTTGCTGAGGAAAAGCGGGCAAAGGAGAGAAAACTCGCGGAGGAGAGACGGGCAAAGGAAAAGAGGCTCGCAGAGGAAAGGAAGGCCAAGGAGCAGCTTGCACAGCAGTCAACCGCCCAACCACCACAACAACCTGCCCCTCAGCAACCCGTCCAACCTCAGCAGATTATCCAAGCAAAGCCACAGCCTGTTCCAGTCAACCCACAGCCCATCCAAGCAAGACCGCAACCCGTCCAAGTGAAGCCACAGCCCGTCCAAGTCAAACCGCAGCCCGTTCAAGCAAGACCTCAACCTGTTCAAGTCAGGCCGCAACCCGCTCAAGTCAACCCTCAGCCCGTTCCAGCAAAGCCGCAGCCCGCTCAGGCAACCCAGCCAGTCGAGGCCAAGCCATCAACAGACGCTCAGGTGAAACTTCTTCAAGGCCACAAGGGTCCAGTAAACGCGATCGCAAACGCCCCCGATTTCAAAACCTTTGCCACCGGCTCGGCTGATGCCACAATCAAGATCTGGGGTCCAGCGACCAGCGAGTGCCTGCAGACCCTGGCAGGACACAAAGGAAGCGTGCTCGCAGTGGCGTACTCTGTCGACGGCAAACGTCTCGCGTCCGGATCCGAGGACAAGTCCGTCAAAATATGGGAGTTGGCCACCGGCAAGTGCCTTCTGACTCTCACAGAGCACACCGAGAGGGTCAGCTCGGTGACGTGGCTCGTCGATGACATGGTCGCCTCGGCCTCGTCCGACACGACGATCCGCGTCTGGGAGGTCGCCACGGGCACGTGCTGGCAATCGATCGAGGGCGGGAAGGAGGTCATCCTGGCGCCCGTCCTGACGAGCGGGAAGAGGTTCGCCACGGGCTCCAAGGACTCCAAGCTCAAGATCTGGGACCTGGATCAGGGAGTCTGCCTTCGGACCCTGCGAGGCCACGGCGGTGAAGTCACGGCGGTGGCGGCAAGCGGCCGGCTGCTGGCGTCTTGCTCGCTTGATGGGACTACTCGGACCTGGAGTCTCGCTCAGGACCCCTCGCTGCGCACTTTCAAGGAGGGCTCGGGTTCTCCTCGGTGTGCTTCTATCTCGCGCGACTTGAAGAAGTTGGCAACAGGTTCTGAATCAGATTCTATCAGTATTTGGAATGTGGCCACTGGAGCTCGGTTGAAGGCTCTGAGTGGTCAGGGTGCAGGGGGGACTCTTGCTTTGGCTTTCCTAGGAGACAGTAACCAACTTGTTGCAGCAGGCGAGGATGGTTCTCTCAGAGTATGGAACGTGGATAAGTCTTAAGAGGTGTGCGATAAGTGTAAAATTGATTCGAGTGTAAATCAAGGATAATGGTTCATCAAATTTGTTGTGATAGTGGCAAGGGAAAGGGCCATTAGGTATGAATATAAAATATCTATATCGGAATCTCAAAATGAATGGCAATATTCAATGAATAGCATGGTTGTCGAGGCATAGTCTTCTTAAACAATTGACGTTCGACGGTTCAGCAATCTTCCAGGTTGATCATCTCCCTAAATCGTGGAAACATTTTTGGTATACACTCCCAACACCTTAATATCACTCTTGGGTGAATCCTTGAGGACATTCAGAGCGATATTCAGTTGGCCAGCTGTCATTGCAGCATACTTTTAGGCTCTAGAACAGTAAAAAAGCCGGATCCTACGTCAAGTTCATAATTGATGTAGGGGGCGACTCTTCGTCATTCTGGGCGCATATAACACCTTCTTTGCCAAGCCTACCACCTCCCTTCTACGGTAGGATCTCCAAATTAGCTCGTTAACCATGTAGATGCGGCAGCTTGCAAGCAGGGCGTTTAGGCAACATTCCAGCGGTTAATGATCGTTTTGCCCTCCGCCAAGCTGATTGATTGGTATCAATGCTGTTTTCCCTGCTCTGGTGGAAGTGATTGCCCCGCGTGATTCTTGAGAGCGATGACGATCGATTCAGCGCTGTACTGATGTAACCCAATTGTTTCAGCACCCGCTAGATTCAACGTAGACCATTCGGGCGGCCAAATCAGAGGAAATGAAAGACCAAGGGTAGATGTAAGAGCTCATGGGGTGTTACAAGCTCTGGGTATAAAATATCAAGCGTCACCACCCCTCACAAGCCTTCATATCTTCTCCAAGGGCCCATCTCATTCGATTTCTTCACTTCTGACCTCAATTGGCGTTGGATAACATCAATTCGCTTTCGTCGTGCTTGTCATCGCCTCGCAATGAAGCTTCCATTTATTCTACTAGGGGCTGGCGTTGCCGCGACACAAGCGTGCCTGCTCCCTCACGAGCTTGAGACCAGGGACCATCAGCGAGAGGCCCCAACAAGGAGAGCCTCTCCCAGCCGTCGCGAGGCCCATGTGGATTATCCAATCGGTACAGGCGACCGTTTCAAAGATGGCATAGTTCCTGTTGGCCTTGGTGTAGAGGATCGTTCGCTGGAGAGCATTCTCAACATTGACGAGGTTCATTCAGCACTCAAGAGCCTGGCCAGTACCTACGACGACGTCCAAGTCTTCTCGGCACCCTTCCAGACCTTTGAGAACCGGACCGTCTACGGAGCTACGATTGGGAAGGGAAGCCCTCGCGTCTTCATCCAAGGTGGTCTCCACGCCCGAGAGCGCGGAAGTCCCGACAACGTCATCTACGCCATCTCGGATCTGCTCCATGCAAGCAAGACCGGGTCCGACCTGACCTACGGCAGCAAGACCTTCTCCAACGAGCAGGTCAAGCAGGCTCTGTCGGCCGGCGCGGTCATCCTGCCGCTCAATAACCCCGACGGCGTGCTCTACGATGCCCAGACCAACACGTGCTGGAGGAAGAACCGCAACACTACCAGCAGCACCCCCGGCAGTCCTCGTACCGTCGGTATCGACATCAACCGGAACTTTGACTTCATATGGGACTACCTGAGATACTTCAGCCCCAAGGCCAATCTGGGTTCCGCGGCCTCTGACAACCCGGCCTCTGACAACCCGGCCTCTGAGATCTTCCACGGTCTCAGTCCGGCCTCGGAAGCCGAGACACGAAACACAGTCTGGGTGGAGGACTCGAACCCAGATCTGTCATGGTACATCGACGTCCATTCGTACGGCGGAGACGCTCTCTACGGCTGGGGCATCGACGACATGCAGACGGTAGACCCCTCGATGAACTTTGGCAACGCGTCGTACGACGGCAAGCGAGGCGTGCTCGGCGAGGACCCGGCCGACGCCGTCTACAAGGAGTACATCGACCCTGATAACCTGGCCGCGGGCATCGCGACCACGGCGCGCCTCGCCGAGACCATCACCAGCGCGGGCAGCATCGAGTACGTGTCCCGGCAGAGCGTCTCGCTGTACCCGACGTCGGGCGGGTCCGGCGACTACACGCAGTCGCGGTATTTGAAGATCGATCCCGGGACTCGCATCAAGAGCATCACGCTCGAGTTCGGGAAGGCGACGGACAGCGACGCGTGCCCGTTCTACCCAAACGATGAGGAGTTTCACAACAATGTTCGGCAGGTCTCGGCAGGGCTGGTCGAGCTGCTGCTTGCGGAGGCGGAGGCCGGTTCGTCGTCGAAACGGAGAGGAGTCGATGGATAAGAAGGTAGACTGCAGTCAAAGAATGTCAACCGAGAAGCATGTTGTCAATGAAACAGACACGACGATAGACACCACGCGTAGAAGCGTTTAGGTATATGTGATGCGAATTGAATGCGCAAGGAGATTCCAGTTGCTCGATACGATGCCTTGACAGTGATGTGCCATGTATCTGAGAGGAGAATATCCTCAGCACAAGATGAAGATGTGAGCGTGAATCTCACCGCCAAATGGTACAATGGATGCACTTCAGTGATTCTGCCGGCTCAAGATGTTGCCTCGTGGTAATTGGTATCATAAAGTCCCATAGTAGAGCCGAGCGGTACAAGTTCCCTGCTCATGGGAACAATTTCGTTATGCCAGTAATCAATCTCACCTGCCAAGGAGTGACGATACAGTCTCCAGAACGGGATGGATGTCCTTGGCTGCATGGCTTTCCGTCAAAGGAAAGAGAGTTGTCGGGATGAAACTCAGGAAATCACGATAGAACCGGGAGGAGGCGATTGGGATTATTCCTCGTGGCACAGATACGACATAGATGATATTTACAGAAGACTCGTTGATGGAATGTTTCATCTAAATGCGTGTTCTTAGAAGCACCAAAGAACTAACACTCCTCCCTAACATACAAAGTTGATAGCGTTAGACCTTTGAAGAGAGAGCCGATGAGCAGGGTAAGTGCATATAAATATGGGTATATGGAGCAATTCCGAGCCGACAGCCTACCCTGCCAGTTATATTTGGAGGTATGTACATAGTTTTGAAGCACACGCACACAACCCCCGTCTTTCCATGACCAGCAATAGGCACAGAAGTGGAACTGAATAGTCTGACTGAATTGACTACCTACCTTAACAATATGAGAGAACTGACTACCCACATCTTTCCACAGCATTGCGTTCCTTCCCAGCAACTCAGCTGGTGCTGGTTGTATGTACTGGACCTGGCTATCATCTCACATCCGTGACCCGTCCTGCCGTGGCCCGCCTTTTTTACAATTTCACCAGAGACAGAGAGGGGAGCAAGGATATTGCCCGAGTCTGCAATCCAGTTAGAGCAACCCGCGTATCTAGCCCAGTTCATACTTTGCAAATAGTGGGTAGATACACCTTGAAGTTGAAATATAGTGGCACTCGCCGTGGTGCTAGTGGATTGGCAACCGTCTTGGCCATCGTTACATCGATCACTCCTATAGGTAGGTTTTTACCTCTGGAAGGCAAGATGCCTCTGTGGGCTCTGGTTCCTCCATAGAGGACGTTTTCCCAGGGCCTTTTTCTGCCTCCTACGATCGCCTGACCTCCATGGCCTCGGACAGGATGCTTAGCATCGCGGAGATAGGAGCGGATACGAGTAGTCTAGCCAGGCAGAAAGGGGAGGTATCCGGGGTTTCTTCATCCTCTTATACAGCGTTCACGCTTGCAGTGGAATCATCTACCGAATCCTCTCCTAGCCGTCTATGTATATGTTTTGATTAGTTAGAAGTGGATTGGCGTCCTTTGCGGCATCTCCCGACGTTAAACAACACACACTCATACATCTATCACTATGCGAGTTGCCCTTATGCCACAGGACTATTCAGGCTGCGGGATCTAAGCGGAGGCTGGGGGTTGAGGTAAACTTGAAAAGTCCAAAAAAAAAAAGTTTTAAAAGATGCTAAGATAGACGAGTCCTAGACAGCAAGTAGTTACTCAACCATGCTTTGATTAACCAATAATTAGATAATATAGGAGCCTGAGGTATTCCTATCCTATCCTGTATACTGATTCCTGCCTCGAACACTAGCTTCTAGATCTAAGAATTTTGATGCCGACTACATTAGCTAAATTCGCAATATAGTAAGTGAGAGAGCTATGCAGTTATGTGGCAACTGCTGAAAAAAATAAAGGGGGGGGATTCCCAAACACCAAGAAATTAACTTGACACCATACCCAATATCACAACACATTAATCCAAAATTCGCAATCTAAACTCTGTTCAATCTAGGTCTTTGACTTGGCATTCTCAAAGGTGATCTTATTATAATACACTAAGCCTCTCACTGCCCTGTTTCGAATACATGTGGTAAATACAACTTGTCGACCATCGCCCTGTATCAGCAGGGTGGTGTGGTGTGGGCGAGTTAAGTAGTCTATACTACCCTCTAGGATTGATTAGCTAGAAAGCTACTTAGAGCACTCGCATTTCTTCCCAAATCCAGTCGAGGATTTGCATGGACCGCAATTTCGTGATTTGCCATTAATCAGTTTCTCCATGCATGTGTAGGGCCGAGCACTACCCGCACAGACGCCTTGAGCCGCCCCCTGAACATAAGTTAGTAAAAATTTGTATGCGTTGATGTCAAACCAGAGAGAATACGAACACTGGGCTTGGAAATAAAACCACCACGCTTCTCTATCAGGTAGTTGTCGCGAGCCTGGATGTAATCGTCGCGCGCTTGCAGGAACTCGGCTTCTCGGGCGGCCAAGGCGCTAACTTCCTCATCCGCCTCGTAGGAGAAGGCAGAGGTGAAGGAGGCAAGGGCAAAGATAGAGACGAGGGTCTTCGTGAAATGCATTTTGAAGTAGCAGTTGAAGATAAACCAAGGCTGGCTTGAAAGTTAGGGTGATTGAGGAAGAATATTTTGAAAGAGGCAAGTAAAGGCTTGAAACAGGAGAGATGATAGTTCTTCTGCCAATCCGATACTCTTAATCGGCGGATAGGCCAGGACTTTATAGAAACGTTCAGCAGAATATAAACATGTCCCAATCCGGCGATTTCCCAATCATCATTGCCGAGCAGACCAAGCCATGGATTTAGTTTAGCTAGGATATACCCTGGTGGATATACCCTGGTGGATATACCATAGCTTGTTCCAGGTAAATTCAACATTATGTTCAGAAGAAACAATTTACCATCAATATTAACATCAGATAATTGTCAATTTTTTACTAGTAACGCCTTTCCTAAGGGTTTATAACGGCTTGCGTAAGAAACACCAGCGAGGGCCTAACGCTGGCCGAATGCGCGTGTTCACAAAGGGCTTCAACACAGATCTGCGCCTTGTGCGAATACGAAGCATGACTCGACTAGCCACCTCGGCACTTACCAGAAGGGGGATCTACCGATCGCATGATCCTCCCATAGGTATAATGATATGTTCTCTACCCGTAAAGCCACCTAGCATGGATGGTAGAAGATATAAATTACTTAGCCAATTGTAAACCACTCTTCTGACACCTTGTAAGCACTGTCGCCAAGAGCCGAGGCAAATCGTGAGATTATGGCTTATTATATTTATGCATTATATATGTGAATGTACAGAAAAATGGTATGTTATCTCAACGCCGTATGTGCCTTTCTCGAAATGTTTTTCGAGAGCTATAAACAGTTGTCGTGCTAAGATCAGTTTGTTGGCTTATTGGGTCACAACGCGGCTGGCCATCGCGCTTGCCCTTCGAGGACATTGTAAGGATGAATAGTATCTAGAGTTGACCACTGTAATATTCCGGGTGTACCGATATGGTTACTCCCAATGCCGAGCTCTCTTTTGTGCCCAGAAAAGACCCTAGACCATCATTACAATGGGGAATGTCACCACCCGAACGATCCTAATCTAAGGCCCGCAAGTAGCATCTATACGGCCAACACCGCAGCCTCGCTCCTCAGCTAGATCGGGTTCAGGCCGTGACAAGGTTACTTGGGTGGACCGCCTCAATTTTTAGAAACACCGGCGGTGATCGCCGTAGTGTTGCCTGGTTGATGGAAAAGGGGGGCTACCTTGTGAGAGTGTGCCTGAGATACTTGCTCTAGCCATTACTAGAGGTGATTCACTTGCAGGCTGCAGGATATACGGGTAGAATATCTTGATTGCGATTGCTACTCAGCTCTCACGACGAGAATAGGACCCAGTCTGGAAGGCCTGGCTGTTTGGTAGAACTGCTAGCTAAACGCTGGCTTTCAGGATATGACGACGCGCATCCCTAATGAGCAATTATTGAACATATAGGGAACACAATCAAAAAAAGATCAGTAGGCAAAGATCCGATTTGACGGGGAAGATCCAGGACGTGAGAGACTTGAGTCCCTGTGATATTCACAAGCATCAATGCTATTGAAGGCTTGCCGCGGTTGTGTATAATCGTGGTTAGGCAACCACAAGACAAATCTAGGATTAAAGAAAATACAGAAGAAGATGGATAGCCCACTTGGATAGCCCATTTCATTCCCTCTAGCTATTGAATGCTCACTCTTTTCCACCAGCCTTCTCCTTCTTGTCTTCGAGACCAAAACTCTGTCTCGAGCGTCTTCCGCAGCTTCACCTCCCGCTCCACAAACGACAGGATCAAGGCGAGCACCGGGAATGCAATACCAACCACAAAGACCTTGCTGAGTGCTCTTGTGGACACGTCAATAATCCGGCATTGGTCGGCTCGGCAAAAGCAAGCACGAAGTTGCGCGTGGCGCTTGCGTAAGCGTCGCCGTTCTGCAAAACCGATCGAGGCGCCACGTCGATAATGACCTCGTTGGCGTACTGTCCACTACATGTTCAGGATGGCACCCGGGATTGCAACACCTCATATGTTGCCGAAGCTGTGCACAGAGAACCAACTCGCGGCGGCGGCGGCCGACTCCTTCTCCTCCACGCCTGCCTGGAAGGGCTCTCGGCACCGACCCAAGTCAGAGCGATCAGTACCGATACGGTGGATGCCACAAGCAAGGCGTTGCCCGCCACGTCGATCCGCTTGAGTTTGTCCCATGACTTGGTCTCCTTGTCCCATTTGACACGCAGGAATAGCCAGAGGAGGGCCATGGAGACACCGCCAAAAGGAAGGTTGATATAGAAGTCCTGGGGTGATTGTCAGCCCAATGCTCTACTTGTGTGGAGTTGCCAGCCAAGTCAGGGAGCCACAAACCCATCTCCAATCCGTGTTCTGAACAATGGCGCCGCCCACAACGGGTCCAATTGCCATACCAATCGCGTAGGTCATGGCGAGGATGGCCTGGTGGGCGCTTCTGAGCCGGAGAGAACGAGATCCGAAATGACGATGCCCATGATGGCCGTCATGCCGCCGCTCCCAGAGCCTTGCACGGCACAGCCAGCAATCAGCATTGCACCCCCGTTTGCGCCGCTGCCGAGATACACATACATGGATGATCCAATCGCCCAATGGTTGAGTAGGCAGGCCGTGGAAACAGCAACCTCAAGCTACTCGGGCGGATGGTTCTGTTGGACACATGTTGGCCACGGCGCTTCTCTTACAACCTTTGCAGGGAGGTACAAATTGCTGTGCACGAAATGTTACATTCAGCTACGCAAACATGGCGTTTCTCTGACAACCCTTGCGGGGAGGTAAAAATTGCTGTGCTGGTGTGCTGGTCCGCATATCCTCCTCCTCCAATCAGGTACCTTGCCGGTCAAGCCGCTCTCCAGTGTGTATATCACGACGACGACCAGGGCGATATGGCGACGGCCCAGTTGGTGGACAATGGTGGGCAACGAGTCACCACGACCGTGTTCTCTAACGGGCGCAGGATCTGCATCGTACACATGGCCAAAATGACGCACCAGAAGCGGCAGTCTCGATTGTACGCATCCTCAGCCTGCTCCTGCGTCTTGTTGTTGCTCTTGCCCCTCTCTCGTGATCCAGCATTTGCACCATCTTCAGCTTCATGATGAGACCGACCATGAGGTTTGAAGTTGACTGCACGCAGATCGGGTGTCGCAACGCCGGGAGAACGCGCGCGCATAGGGGCATGACTCGTTAGCTAAGACGGCATGATCTCATTCTCGGTCTTCTGAGAATGAGTAACACCAGCGTGCTGACCTGCGTCTGGGCTCATCATCAGGTTGAACCTCGGGTCGATCGGTCTTGCCAATATGATGCCTACCTAGGCGGAAACCACAGCTCGCCTCTTCAAGCGATGCTTAAAATTAGACATGTGCTATTAATCCTGAGCCGATTTTTCCGGCTGGCGGAATGCACAGAAAGCAGAGGACCGACGCTGATCTGGGGGATCTGGCTGCATCTGGGGGAAATCGCCGAGCTGTTGATGGGCTAAGAAAATGCCAAAAATGGCCTCAGCCAGCACATCATCCGTAGGCTCTAGGGGCAGGGACAGGCCCAAGCCTTCTAAGCCTGGCCACTAACTAAGCCTTAAAGCGATGTAGCTGGGTGGAGGCGAGTCAGAAAATAATAATACTCGATCCCGTAATACCGCGTCCAAACTCTAGACACGACATACACGCATTATACGGTGAGCCTACCCTACACCCACAACATTTGATGCAAACAATTCTCAACAATCACTCGTAGTTCGGAATTCTCATAATTTGACTGTAATCAAAAGCCTGGCTTGGATTTGACGTAATAAAAGTACTAGATTTATGTTGCTTTGTAGGAGTATTGGTCGATATCATAAGTGGTGGCTTGTATCTTGATAAATTGGGCGTCAAACGACAGGATCTCCCAAAGACTCGTCCAGCCAACAACCGCCCGCGTAACAAAACCGGTAATACAACATCCACGCGACTACGGCACCATTACTACGAGTGCCGTTAAAGTTAGGGACTTGTGGTACTATTTGCCAACCAAAGTTGCGATGATCGGGACTACAGGTCAGCACTGGGATTCAATTGACACATCAGCAGCAGGAATGTCGCACCAGCACCAGCATCACCAGAGGGGTAGATGCCGAGCAGCACCCAAAGTACGACAATACGCCGTTTAGAGTAAGTGCCGATGCCAACATCCTCATCCAGACTGAAGCGGGCGTTGTGGGTGACCCAAGTCAAATCTCGCCGAGTCGCAGGTTTTAATTAACCAGATCCCGGGTGCATCTCCCAAAGTTCTTCCCTCCTGTCGATGTAGTAATTTAGCGGAGACACGACACTGATGGGGCCAAGCCAGAAACCGATAAAATCCGAGCAATCGCTGTGCTCTGCCCTGTGGCCAGGCTGCGAGGATCGTGCATGGGCTGGACGTTAGTGTGCTGACTGCGCTGCTGTGTCCTCCCAGCTGAGCTTCTCGTGAGTTCTCTGTTGAGAGAGCAGATTGGGTAAATGAGCGGAGAGCCTGTCAGCGGGCTCCCATTGGCCAAGACCAGGTCAAGCTTTATTAATAATACACAGTGGATCTGTCCGGTCTGCGCACCAGGATGTTCGCTTACTCTGCCGAGGCCTGGGCTGAGCTGAAGCATCTACCTGGAACAAGCACTGCATGACATCCTCCTTCAGCGCCGTGCAGAGACGCACAGGATTGCCAGCTCCAAACACACCTGACCCAAGATCGGAACGGACAAGTCTCCAGGCAAAAATTGGCCATTAGCCAGCGGCCGGTGCGTGTTGAATGGCCTTAGCGATGATCCGCTGATTATGCATGCCCTCAGCCTGCTGGAGACTGATTTGAACAGGGCTATATTAAGCACACTAGAGCCAATCACGACCAGGGACGGAGCTTAGCTCTGGGCATCTTTTTAGGAGAGTGGCCGATGGACAAATCCTTCCCCCACCTGTCCCTGTAGTTTCGCCCTGTAGGTCCTGGCCTGTCCCCTACCGACCGACTGCCCTGCGCCCAGCCTCAGCTCTTTCGCCAAGTATTGTTAATATACGTTCCCGCGCAAAGCAGGGTTGGTGAACGGCCGATTGATTGATAATGGGTAATTTACAGAGGGCTGGTGATGGAGTGGGCGGAATGTCGTGCATCGCTTGAAACATGGGCCTCAGTGCCCAGAAACCACCCAAGTCCAGCGAGCGTCGGGAAAGACAGCAGCATCCAGTATCATCCAGAGCATTGCTGTGAGGTCAGATCACTGGAGAATTATGCCATGCCATACCCCAGCAGGCAGCTGCCCTGGGCAGGGCTTGTCTTTGCGAGCTGCGCCGTGGGAGTAAGCCGGTCCACACCAGACGGAACCTTTGGGCTGCGCATAAATCCAGAAATACATTCATGCGAGTGCCGACCTGGCTCCCCGCCCCGATGGAAGCAGGGATCACTGGACACTCAACAGAGCTTGGCCGGACCCCTGATCCGTTCTAACCCCTAAACATACACAACCCGCAGATTCGAGCCTGCTCAGGACGGAGAGACGACATCCTGGTCCGCGACCAGACTCCGTCAGCAGAGCTGGGCCTCCCCCATCCGGACATGTTCTCGTAATGGAGCCGTGTGTGTAATTTTAGAATCCCGGCTCTCATCGCCGTGGCCAATGCCTGCCTAGGACGGCCCGCGAAGATGAGATGTTTTCTCTCCAGAGTCCGGCCTGACCAGACTGGTATATAAGACGGCTCTTCCCTCGTCCAAAGATCCAACTTCTTCTCCCATCCACAACAAAAACAACAAAAAATCCATTTTCTTCAAGAGCCGGTCTCTTTTTTTTTCCCTTTTTTCCTTTTCTCTTTTTTCTTCTTCTCCTTTGTTCTGTTTTACAGGACAATTTCAACCCCCCCTTTCCTAATAATCTTTCATATAATATTTTTTTCCTTGTCTCCCCTTGAAAAAAATAATTCAAAATGGTTTCCCTCAAGCAGTTGACCCTCATGGCACCTCTCCTCCTCGGAGTCGTCGCCGCCGCCCCCGCCGCCTCCGACTCCGACATCGCCGTCCGCGGTGAGTTCGACGCCGCCGAGCTCATGATGGAGACCCGCGACGAGGAGGACTTTGAGCTCGAGACCCGCGCCGACAAGAAGGCCGCCGCCAAGGCTCCTGCCCCCAAGAAGACCGAGGCCAAGAAGGAGGCCACCAAGGCCACCTCCAAGAAGACCGAGGGCAAGAAGGAGAAGACCGCCACCAAGGAGAAGTCCGTCTCCGGCAAGAAGGAGAGCACCAAGAGCTCCAAGAAGGAGAAGACCGGAACCGAGTCCTCCAAGAAGGAGAAGAACTCCAAGGGCTCCAAGTCCGCCTCCAAGGAGGTTGACGGCAAGAAGGCCAAGAACTCCAAGACCTCCAGCAAGGAGAAGTCCGTCTCCCACAAGGAGAAGAACTCCAAGACCTCCAAGAAGGAGGGCTCCAAGACCAAGTCTGCCTCCAAGACCGAGGGCAAGAAGGGCTCCAAGTCCGTCAAGGCCTCTGGCAAGAACGCCGCCTCCAAGAACAAGCACTCCAAGACTGCCAACGGCAAGAAGGCTGTGAAGGCTGGCAAGAACTCCAAGACCGCCCACGGCAAGAAGACTGGCAAGGGCGTCAAGGCTGGCAAGAAGACCGCTCACGGTAAGAAGGCCAGCAAGGGCGTCAAGGCCGGTAAGAAGTCTGCTCACGGCAAGAAGACTGCTCATGGCAAGAAGTCCGGCAAGGGCGTCAAGGCTGGCAAGAAGTCTGCTCACGGCAAGAAGACTGCTGGCAAGCACTCCAAGACCGCCCACGGCAAGAAGAACGGCAAGGGTGTCAAGGCTGGCAAGAAGACTGCTCACGGCAAGAAGACCGCCCACGGTAAGAAGACTGCTGGCAAGCACGCCTCCAAGACCGCTCACGGCAAGAAGACTGCCCACGGCAAGAAGACCGCCGGCAAGCACGCTTCCAAGAACTCCAAGACCGCTCACGGAAAGAAGACTGCTCACGGCAAGAAGACCGCCGGCAAGCACGCTTCCAAGCACTCCAAGACCGCCCACGGCGAGAAGACTGCTCACGGCAAGAAGACTGCCGGCAAGCACGCCTCCAAGAACCACGGCTCCAAGGCCTCCAAGCACTCCGAGGAGTCCGAGTCCACCCACCGCCAGTCTCACTCCGAGTCCTCCCACTCTGAGGAGTCTGAGGAGTAAGCGGCTCCTTTGTCGCTTCTCCCGCGACGGCTCCGGCCGCCAGGCGAGTTTTCTTGTATAAAATATGTTTCGGGGGGATCGGCGACGGACCCCTAGAACACCCGGTTTTCGAGTTCGCTGTTTGGAGGTGTTGGATAGGACTGGATCATAGACAATTTCCTTTGAGTGTAGCGATTTGAATTGAAAGATTATTATGTTCATAAAGTTCCCTGAGTGCCTACTGTGATGATATGCTGAACCCAGTAAAAGCTCAACATCAAGTTAACCTACCTGCTTGTGCCTGGCTTAGCCTCATTGCACTTAATAGCCCTCAATAACAACACTTTTGGCCGACTTATTGCACCATCTGGATGCTTATATCTTCGAGAGTTGGGTGCATTATATCAACTCGAACCGTGGAAGGCAGCAGGGCTGTATTCTAGTTCAGCATCTCTCAAAAGTAAACGTTCAGATAGCTCAAACCGTGATTATGACGAACAATCCCGCCGACTTTGCGTGTTTCTTCTACCGAGACGCCTCTTTACAGGCATAATCATGACAACTCTAGAGCTAAGCTTCATGCAAGAATGATATAAGTATGTATTTTCTCGTGTGTGTATTATCTCGATTGCTTCAAGCTGGGCTGAAGGCAGCCTCGGCGACAGGCAGCGCCATATCCAAACATATTCTGTTAATTCATTATCCACCCCAAGAACATCACGCACATGCCTAGTATCATAATTGAATTCTCCTCAATGCAGATAGTGGTTGCGTAAATCATCTCATTATTCATGCCTCTTTAGTGGGCTCTACGTCATATTCAACCTCAGTGCGTATCACGTATTTTGCTCCCTTCGTTACTCCCGTGCCTTCGTGCAGCGGCGCCAACCTCGTGTCTCCATGCGGGAAGAGCGCGACGGAGCCCATCACAGGCTGGACGGGGTACGCATTCAGCGTTCCTTCACGCGCTGCTGGCAAGAAGTACGTCGTCTGCCCGCCTTCGAACTCGTCATTGAGGTATATGAGGAATGTAAAGAGCGAGCTCTGCTTCTTGTCTGCCGGTGATGCGTCGTAAACGTACGTATCGTCTGGGAGGATGCCTGAAGGCGGCCAAGCGCCTGCATGAAAATCAGCGTTAGCAATCATGAACAACGACTATGATAGGGAATGGCTTGAGCAGTTACCATCGATATGAGACCTGTACTCAGCACCGGGGACATAGCGGTAGACGCGGAACCGGCGGTTGATGCCGCGGACAAGACGACCGTCCACCGATTGAGGGACGAACGGAGACACGCGTGACCAGAGGCGGTCATGGAACTCGGTGTCGACGACCCAGTAGAAGTTATGCGCCAGGATGCTGGTGTCGCCGTCTTCGCGCAGGGGCGCATCGGGGAGGAACTTGACATGCTCTCCGGCGGCGATGATGCCCTTGCACTCCTCGACCGAGAGAACATTTTTTATGAGACCAAGCCCCGGAACGTGGGGGTGCTTGACCCATTCGACCTCCGGGCCCTTGTCTGCGAGCGGGATGGAGTTGGGTTTGGATGTGTATAGGATCGCGGGGTAGTGGTTGGGAGGCTTTCGTTCGGGGCCTGGGGTCGTTTCGATCGTCCGTAGTGCGGTGGACAGTTCAGGTGGCGCTGATTCGAAGATGGTCTTGTCTAGTACTGATGCATAAACTTCGAGCGGTGTGGTGGACGGTCTTAGATCCCAAGTGGGTTGGAGGGTGATGCTCGGGTAGAAGGTCGAGGGCAGGTCGCGCACGACGGGCCTGGTGTTGGTATCGATCTGGCCGCACACGCGCAGAATGGAGTCGAGGACAGCAAGGAGATCCTGCTCCCTTGGCGTTCGCTCAACATTGCCGCCATTGGCGACACTGTCGGGTTGCGACAGGCCACTGATGACATCGAGATCGCGGACCCAGCGACACAGAGTCCCTAGCTTCGGCTCTTGACTTCGGATCTTCATCTCTGCCAGCAGGATCCTCGCTTCCATATATTTTTCGTCCGCTAACGCTGCCGAAACTCGTGCCGATAGATTTGCGCCCTCTAATAATCAGGCAAAGTATGTGTCAGTTGGTTGAACCGACGTCATCCACAGGGACCAGGAGGGCATTTGGTCGGGACATACCTGCGGCAATCGAGCCAGTCGTGCACGCTTGGCGGAAGTCATAGGAGGCCACGCGGAGATCCTTGCATGCCTTCGTCTTGATCAGGCCGGGGAATTGGGCGAGGGTCTTGAGGGTATCGACGGTGATCTCGAGCTCCTCTTCCGAGATGACTGTGTGTATGCTCTTCGGATCGTCTGGGGGTGGAGTAACGAGCGTCGCGCCAGTCGCCGCCTGAGTCTTGGGGTTTTTTCGAGGGTCTTCAAGCTGCGCGTTTCGCTTCCTCTTCGCTGATTTTGATTTCGACATTGTGAATATCTGGCAACAAGGAGGAATCCGCCTCAATGGCCGTGGCTGAGAGGATGAATCGGATGGGAAGATTGTGGGATCATTGTTGGCAAATGGGAATATTCTTAAGCGAGCTGGCGGGGGTTGATTACCTATCTTATCGTATCGGAAGTACTTTGTCATTGCCCGTGCTCACGTATTAGTGTTTGTACATTCGTTAGTCAGATAAGATTTTGGATGACCCACAACTGGTTTGAATGTGGCGAGAAATCCGGGGTCCTCATGATCTCAACCTCGAACGGACACCAGAGCCAAGATGCAGTGACTACGCATCGCCATGGTAAAAATAAGCCAATGACTTGTTGGAGACTGAAGGGCATTGGTATCTTAAAATTGGAAGACTTGTGAGGTGTACTGCGATGCTTGGGCAATCGGCCGATTTTGCGCCACATGCCGTAAGCCACACGGTAACGGTATGTGGTTTCGTACGCCACAATATGATGGGCCTTCTGTTTAGAGAGTTTCACAACCTTGGAAGTAATTTCGCATCGGACACTTAAATAAGAGGGCCGAGTAGATTATGATGATATAAACCGAGACTATTCCAAGGCTTCTTTGTATAAATTGATGTCAAACATCTAGAGGGCCCTCAAAGCCGCGACTGGAGCCGAAGCTTGTTCCAAATCTGTTTCATCCCAATCCGAGAAGACCACAGGGCAACTCATTTTCGCATGTCGTGATGATCGAGGAGCTAGATTGTATATCTAAACCCTGGGCTCTCATTGATGACACATTCACCTCGATCTGCCTTTCTATTCCTGTGCCTGAAAAGCAGAGACAGTGCCGCTGTCACAATAGCAATGAGCGCAGTACAGCTGAGAGAAAGTGTCAGCTGAAAATATGAATAACATCGGATGAATAGGCATGGGATGGTTATGAACTTGGGGCAACAGGACTTACACCAAGCAAGCAATCATACCAGGTCGGTAATGTGGAGAGTCTTGGCTTCTGAAAACGAGGCTGCCAGCAATGCCACCGATGCCGCCAAATATGGTGAGTAGAGCAGAGCAGAATGCTCGTTTCCATTGACCACGGATGTTGTTGGCCTATGGTGACCAGGTCAAGGGTTAGCATGACTACCTTATTGGCATCCTCCCAGATGGCTGGGTTTCCCTCACGAACCTGGTATGACATAATGGCAGGAATGTTCGCATTTACGCCTGCGACAGCAATAAAAATGCCAAAATACTTGACCTTGGGATCGGGGTGAAAAGCCATAATTGGCAGGCCAGTTATTCCGATCGCACAGTTGATGAAGAGTATGAGTGCTCGTTTCTTGTACCGATCACTGGCCCAAGACCCGATGAACATGACAATTGCGGCGAAAACGTATGGTGGTGATCCAAGGCATTGGGCTTCTGCTACACTAAAACCGAGGCTTTGCCTCAAGACGACAGTGCCAAAGAACCCAAATGAGTATGTGACGGTCGTGCAGAGACTACAGCAACCCGTGGACCGGCCATTAGCTTGAATGCGATAAGAGGAAGACATGAGGACAGAGAACGAGTGGATCTCTTGGAGACTGAGAAGGCAAATATTCTCACTCACAAGAATAGAAATGCAAAAGCCCAGATCTCAATCTCCTTGGCTGGCTTCAAGAATGCAGCAAGCGAGAACGGTTCCAGTTTGGTGTCCCCACGGTCAGCGTCGAGACGTTGAAGCACGACCTTGGCTTCATCTACTTGTAGGAATAGAGGCGAAGAACTTTCGGCTTCTTGATCTGGGAACTTGACCAGTGCAATATAATCAAAGAGGGCCACGGCACATGTTATGATTCCCTCGAGGATAAAAATCCTTGCCACCCCAGCCTGAGTTAGCTTGGGCGGTGGTGAACCTCAGAGAGCCATATTGACTTACCAACGCCAGCCACGCAGGCCACCATGCCCCTCTAGTTGCATCAAACCATATGCTAGAATCCCCGATAATGCAGACAGGATTGTTCCCGTCATATAGAAGACCGAGTACCGTTTGCCAATTTCATCTAGCAGACAGAAGCTGAATTAGCTACCGTCGCGAACTGGCGCAGAGAGATAATCTTACATCTAGTATACCATGTAGACAAAAGATAAACCGCACCAAGGAAAAATCCTGCCTCAAATACTCCCACAACAACCCGGAGTCCGACCATTGCTTTCCAGTCATGAACAAAGCCGAATCCAATAAGGACGACACCCCAGGCGAGACAGGCAGCCGAAAGGAAGATCTTTGGGCCGATTTTGCGGCAGAGTATAGTCATCGTAGGCTGAAAGACGATATAAGACACAAAGAAAATTAAGGTGATTGTACTGTATCCATATCCGGTATTGAGATCGAGGTCATCAAACATGCCGGCGATGGCGGCATGAGAGACGTTGGTTCTGTCCATCAATGAAATTCCATACATCAGACCTAAAGCAGGGAGGAGCCGTAGGTCTATTCACCTACGGATCCTTTTGATCTCCTCTTCTGTAAAGTTTGACCCGATTTGGCCAGGTTCCGGGTCTTCATTATGAGCAACGCTTGGCTTGTCCTGATGAGCGCTCATGTTGATACAATCGTGAAGGCGAATTATTGGACGGAGAGCTTTAATGTCTTGAATAAGTGTATAACTAAGTATTTCTTTATAGCCTAGAGGAGGTCTCTAAATTTGGTTTTCTAATTGGGATATGAGGAGTGTCCATCTTGTGAGTTGTGACGTATGTTGCTGGTCGGGTGAATAACTCCGAGCTTGATGAACCATCTCATCTGCCCATCAACAATAACATTCCTTGGAATATATGGAGAATATTGGATCCTTTCATTGGACAGACTGCATAATTGTACCCTGTTATAGTATCAGACGACCTCAGACTGTTGCATTCGGCCCCGGCATGGCGAACTACATCCAGACCCCTCTTCAGATTCCTGAGAGAATGCGGGGTTGGAATCTGTTTATGAGCTCAGGCTGCATAATGTGCAGAACAAACCGTGCGCAGGCCAGTTGTGAACAACACATGGAGCAGTGAGTGGTATATTACTCGCAGTCACTCATTCATTGCCAAAAACCTCTCCTGCGGTCATTCTGGCTATTTGCAAGATGAAGCTAGGTCCAATACAAATAATGACAGCAACTTGAGATCAAGGTTTCTGGAATTCTATTTAGAAATACCAGGCTTAAAATCTGATTGACAGAGTTTTATTCTTTGAAATTAGATGGTATCAGGACTTGTATGCTGGACTTGCTTGCTTATACCGTTAAGCATGTCTCGGCGCTTGGTACAAACGTACTTGGATGAGAGCCCTTGTCCCCGATTCTCCACGGAAAACCCTTTGAGAAGATGATAAGTCCAGGGCGACCGGTTGGAGAGACAACAATACTCCCTTTGAGCAGTATCATTCGACATTTGAAACCAGAGCCGCTCTGTACTTTGTGTGTGTCAATCGCACCTCAGTGTTTTTATCATTTCACCGCCGTTTCAAGCCAAGCTTCAGATTTTGTTGAGACTGCTTTGAAAAGGTTATTAATGTCCTCTTCGACTCTTCAGAAGACAAGCTCTGCTGATGCGTCCTCTATCTCCGCCAGCACTCGCTAATCTGATGGGAATCAACCAGAAGTAGGCATTCGTAAGTAAATCAATAAAACGTGAGTCTCCTAACCAAAAAAAAAACCCAAGCATACGAACTTACTAGCGGCTGGCTATCCTAATCACCTATACAAAAGCCTGGAAAAGTCAGGCATTCTCACACTACATATCCACTGCATACGAGGTCATAGGTATATAAAAGATGGGGATTCTCGTAAATCAGCCAATAAAGAAGAGAGACGACTTCCTAATTACCCCTAGGCCTCTCAAATTAGGTTGACCTCCAAGGCGTTCATTCCTCCAGTGCTCCACTCCCCTCATTCTGCCTTACCACTGGGAGCATCCATGAGACCAATTTCGACCTGAGAACTTTTCTGGTAAACACCGCCTCTCCTTGACTTCTAAGGCGGTACCTTGGCACGTGGAGTTTGCTGTTCTTGCAGAAGTACTGTATAAAAGTATGGGTTCAATAACAGAAGATTTTCGCTGGTGGCCGCTAGCCACGATTGTTTCTCAATCCATATGAGATCGTATCCCATGAGAGTTTATCGGTGTTACAGGAAGCTGGATAAACTAATGGATGGGATGATCACGCCCCTTTAGTATGGGTGTGAACACCGATTTTGATGTTGGAGCTCACCGTACTGCAAAGAAGAAACTTCTTAAGCGGTGAAGACCATATCTCAGGGTTTCAAAGTCACATAGCCTCCCGCAAACGAACGAGGGGCGCAGGTAGTCTAGATGCGGATTGCCAAATGCCGAATTTGCCGGGTCTTGGCCTGTTGCATGACACATCTGACATTTCAGGGGTCTCCTAGTGCCGCAAGTATGCCTCGATGCAACATCATGAGCCATAGTTTTGCCACTATGTCCAGGAACCCATTGAGCATCGATCCTATTTCGAAAGCTGAGTATATTATAGACAGGCGTTCAATACCTCAATCACTGCCCAAAGGATCTGGCTCACGCCAAGTTTCCTGGTTCGCTAGTTGCGATCCATGTAATGACCCCATTAGGCAGGTAGTTATAGCCTTTGCCCGATGACTGCGGCCCCAGTGCCAGGCTGTCAATGCACCGACTACGGTCTGATCGTAATTTGTTGACATGAACTGTTGGGTGAGGATGACTTGGAACATAAATAGGGCTGACGTCCCCAGATTGTTTGACCCTGATCTACAGACCAAACTTTCTTCACAAGCACCGGCCACCTTAAAACCGAATCCTAAAGTAAGTCGCTTCTCCTCCCCAACTGTCTCGACTAGGAAGACTGACCTGTATTGTTCAGATATTAAAATGCGTCCCACCGCAGCAATCGTTACCTTAGCCATTGCGGCTGCTCCCGCCTTCGCCCAGAGCTCCGGCAACGGCACTTGCGCACTGAACCCATACAAGCCCGAGGACACCTCCTTGAAGTGCATCTGGGGCCAGCTGGCCAACATCCAGGAGTGCGCTGGCGGCACTTCTTGCTCTGAGAAGGGCAACCCCTGCTGGTACACCCAGAGCTGCGAGGGCTGCGCTTGGTGGGTCAAGTGCACCTAAGGGCGGACGGGTTATCACGTTGAGCATCACGAAAAACATGAAGTGAATGGCATAATGATGGGCTATGGGGAAATGTTGTGAATTAGTTGTTACAAAATAAAGGGCTCCTTTAACCCATGTCCGTTTGACCTTCAGTCCGACTTTGAATGTGAGGGAGTGATGGCACATGAACTACATGTGGTGTTGTCTCACTGCCTCCCTACTTAATGGCGTACTCCTCTTCGACAGTACGCTAGCCACTAAGTTACGTGAAGGGAAAGCTATTTTAATTGTTTTTAATCCCTAGAGTAAAACTCAAGGACTGTCCATTCAGCTTTTGGGACGATCCTTGAGTTTTTTTGGGTTTCTCGCTCAATCGTGTCAACGTGGTGACATGATTTTGATACCAAATTTTGCCCACGGCTGTTTGAGTTGCCCCAGCCTCTTCCATTCTTACCTGAAATTCAGTAAACAATCTATTGTTGGTTGAATTGGTTGCAGTGTTTGTTCGGGAGCTTTCTGCCTCTAATCGAAGTGCTTAAGCCCAAGTTTTGAATCAGACCCTCCCAATATCGAGTATATTGGTGTTGCCTACAAGACAAAACAGAATTACCAACAGGACAGACTTTCTTAGATTGAGGGGTTGACGCTTGACTGTCAATGCTATCGAGTGAGGTACCAAAATCAAACAAGAATTGAGAGAGAATGAATACTCGGCTATTAGGCACATTATGAGCTAGCTGTAAGTTCCGTGCCATCTCCATGAAACCTGAAGGATTATTTGATGCCTAATTGCGTGGCTATATGGCATGGATTCGGCAATTATCAGATAACAACGACCGTTCTGCTTTCGCACATCACCAGATTAGAAAGGGGGAGCCAATATCTGCTAAAAAAGTAAATGTTAAATTCTATTTTCGACATAATTGGACATAAGCTGGCCAAATTTCAAGCCATCATCTACTCCCACAGGCTAATTGGGGTCTGCTACTGTTATCTAATTTGTGAATTGGAGTTCCAGATAGCGCGAAAGATGAGAATATGGTAACTCGCGAGCCGCTTCAAAGAATGAGATGATTCAAGAATGGCCAATAAATCGCTATTATTTGATGCATGAGGGGAGTGATCTCAATCATGGTGACCGCAATCCCGACAAATTTCCATCAAACTGAAGTGAGATAGCTGATAGAGTGTTGAAGAATCCAATGAAATTGACTGTACAGGTTTAACGGATAAGCAATACGTTGAATCTTCGTGATGGAGATGCTGGGCTGACTCAAGGTAACATGGCGGTGAGGCGCACAATGCTGGTAACTCTCCATCTAGTTGAGCCCTACCAAATATGCATGCATACTGAGGACCCAGAGGGGTCTCTCTGCATTAATTGTCCGAAAGGGAACTGCAAACAGGCCGTATCGTATGCCACGAGTTATTGGGGGGAAGTTCTTGTTGAGTGCCGACTGCGACAGCGCTGACACCATGTCCACAAAGCAGGTACTTCTACTTACCATCACAGAACCAGGCAAAAGCTTAGCTTGGATGACGTTCCCGGAGTGCCAGAAAAGTCTATATTTGTGGTTATAGATATGAAGAATTCTCGCTACTTGGCCCAACCAAAGTATGACCCCTCATTGAATTCAATCAATACCTTAAATGACAGCTACAACTAAGCGTGGAGTGTCAACAACGCCGGGGAATCTTAGTCGGGATATCTGCACACCGTTGGGCAGAATTTTTTTTTTTTTTTTGATGCGAAAAGTTGTAAAAAATCCCTTCCCAATGTCTCAAAACCATTAGGTTACATGCAATACCAAATATCGAGGAGTGGTATGAAAGGGCCAAGATGTAGGGTAGCTCCTACCACTACAGGGATGATTCAGCTTCTCCTCAATCCTCAATTGGGATCCAGCAATTCCATTTTATTGACGGCGCGGATAGTCTCTCTGCTTTGGTGATCAATGCGCATACTAAGTCGGGCTGGGCCGCACAATTAAGGTCTGGCGGATCAATGGTTTCATTGGTGCTGTGGGATTTATTGGGAGGGCTGAGTCTCGGCTCGGGGCGGATCGTCGAGCGCCATTTCGAAGCGCCCAGGCACATGGCGTGCTTGGGCGAGACCAGAGACTGCAGCGAAACAATGGCGCCCAAAAAGCAAGCGGTCAATACGCCGGTGGCGCGCTCAGCTGAATGCGAAGTTATTGAGACTACTATCCGAGCTGAGAGCGGTCGATGGAAAACGCCTGTCATAGCGCGTTTCGCATCGACGCCTCACCGAGGGAGATTGCACAGACCGCACAATGTGTGGCAATTGACCGGAATCTGCCATTAGGGACTTTGACCTGCGCGGAGATCCCCAGATCCAGACTTGGGGAGGGGATGCTGATCCTGCTCGCAGCCGACCAGACCAACGACCTCCCGCAGTGACTAATGGACCCGGCATGAGGGATGGATTTAGACACAATGACCAACAAGAGTAACCATTTTTACCATTCTGACTGTCTTACAAAGACCAACAGGCAGATGGATGCCCTCAAGCTCACGGAACTCCACAGGCTCGTTCGCATGTCATTCGCGCAAGACCCAAAAAACACCCGAGAGAGTGCTGACTGTTATGTATGCAGAGGCCTCAAAATAGCACTTGGGCCCATTGCTGGTGACCGAATCAGGACTGCCAAGTACGTTGGCGTGAAGCCCTCCACATAGTAAGCGGGTGCTGGGAGCTGCAAGGCACTGCGGTCTTGTCAGACTCAGCCTCCTGCTGGGTCCCTGCAGCGTGTTGGCGCATTGCCAACTGATTGGGTGATTATTATCCCCTCACCGGATGTACCGTGTCTGCACGTTGGCGCTGGGTGGCTTTTCAGAGCTGTTACTCCTCATCTTTCTAGTCATGCAAGCCTCTCGTATTGGGGGCGCCAACGTGCTGAGCTGTTTCTCCTGCCTGCTTTTGCCAATTATTGTGACCGTGCCCTGTAGCCTAATATTCAGCTGAGTCTGGGCTCTCGTGTATAGCTGGAAGAGCTCTGGGCCCAGCTCAGCTTAGCTCCAGGCCCATTGTGCGTGGAGAAGGCCCTGCATAGCTTCAAAAATTGCATCCAGGAACGCGCCTGTTAGGAGATCTGCAGTCTAGACATGATGGTGGGCGGTTCCCGAATCCAACTGGCCACATCGGCTTGCCGAAAGGGAGAGCTTCCCATTGGGGAGCCAACAGCTTTCAAGTTGGCAAGGCGCACCAACTGACAGTGCCAAGGATGCCGTTTTTAGGAGCCACTAAGACCGTCTGGTATAGGTCAAGTCTGGCCCAGCGTAAGCCTGCCTTAGCTCGCCATGGCGTGTAAGCCAACAACAGCCATCTGGGTCCCAGGGGGCTATTCGCATCGCATCAGCACGTTGAGACCCATGCAGCATGTTGCGAGCCTTGCGATGGGGGAGAAAATAGACTCGCAGGCTGGACCGGCCTCACCGCTGAGATCCTCTTCATCGTGGACTGGTTGGTATTTAAACCCGTCCGAGTTCCCCTCTCAACATCATGCCTTTGCTTCATCATCAGTCCAATCTGGTTCACCTTCCTTCAACTCTACAGCTTTGAAATCATTCTTTCTTTCCCTGTTCGTTTCCAGCTCTTTTCTGAAACAACACGCCTCTCTTTGGTTCTCTACCGACCCTTTCAAAGCCCACAGTTCAGTTATATCCAGTTTCTTGAATTCAATTTTTCAAGCCTACCATCAAAATGGTTTCCGTACGCCAAATTCTTTTCACCCTCGCGGCTAGCACCGCCGTCTTCGCCCTTCCCACTCCCTCGGAGGTGGACGTCAAGTTCAGCAAGTTCCAATCCATTGGCCTCACAGTGCCCGGCGATGTCAAGTCGACATCCAAGCAGGCCGGCGCCATGACCTACTACCTTCCAGGTCAGGTAAGTTAACAAATTCCCTTTCAGTCAACTCATCCAAAGCACATAGTTCTAACATGCGATTTCTCATTCAGGGTGTCGGTAACGGATTCGGCGCCTGTGGCAAGAAGGTCGACTTCACCCAGCCCATCGTCGCCATCTCTGGCTTCGACTACGGCCACCCCGCAAGCGGCAACCCCAACGACGCCGACATCTGCGGCCACTGGATCAAGATCACAGGCCGGGAATCCCAGAAGGTTACCTGGGCCCAGGTTGTTGACAAGTGCCCCGAGCTCGAGTGCCCACCTGGATTCATCGACGTGTCCGAGGTGGTTTTCAAGAACGTCGCTGCCGATGGCACCACCACTGCTGGGCGCATCCAGGTCGACTGGGAGTTTGTGGCTGGCAACGGTCTGTTGGAATGATTGCATAATGGCTAGCGAGCATTTGGAGTTTTCTCTTCTTCTTCTTCTTCTTCTTCTTCTTCTCTGCTTTCTTCTTCTTTCTTCTTCTTTTTGGGCGGTTTTTTTTTTTTTTTTAGATTTATGATGTAAATGAATGAATAGATTTTTATGGCTATGCTTTCCTTTTCCTCTATTTCAATTATTTCACTCTAAAGTTTTCAAGACAGATGTTCTAAATCTACTCGCGGACGGCACCCGGGTAGTTTGGAAACACACTGCTCTGTTGAACGGTATGACAAATTAAACTTGATGGAGTACGTTCAGCAAGGGGTTGAATGCGGCCCATAAGCTGCGGTCAGCTTGTGGCGTTGTTCCCTGAACGTATCAACGTGACATCAATTGATAACTAGCAAGTTGTCTGGGTATTTGCCACAAAGTCAAGCTACAAGCCTGCTGCTGATGCTTATACCTGACCCCCTGGCGAGTTTGGTCTTATAATTACGCCACATGATTCTGAAACTGAGGCAAAAGTCTAAGCCTCAGCGAAATAGGAACGCGATCTTCCATGTCGGGTTTTTCTCACCTCAACGGCCTGACCTCCTTGCGCCTTTTGGCCCGTCACAGGCGATAACCGAATTGCCCATGCCAATTCAAAGTCTATGCCTCCTGTGCCCGGTCCTTTTCTACAACTAGCCCTCCTTTGCTAGTTTCCTCACGGAGCACTTCCTCCTCTTCGCGTTGGGCGTATTTCAGTGGTCTCTGCGCCATCGTTGCATCTTTGTCGCCGCTGACGATGAGTGGTGGGTTTTCTCGGTAATACGCATCCATGTCTTCGAGTCGTCGGTAGCTGGTCTCTGGGTACAGGAAGTAGATTACTGGTAGGAAAAGGGCGTTCGTGACTGTCCAGACAATCCAGAATTTCCATGAGAGATTCTGGACTCCGATTGGAGTGATTTCCACGATGATGAAATTTGTGATCCTGTGATAGTACGTGTTAGAAGTCCAGCTTCATCAGCCCGCGATTATCCCACCCGCTCTCACATACCAGTTGGTTCCTGTAGCAAACGCAGCTCCCTTGGTTCTCATGGGAAGGGAATTGATTTCAGTGGGGTAAAGCCAAGGCACACCAAGCATTCCGAGGCCAAATGAGATGAAGAAAATGAAGAAGAAGGCGATAGAGGCTGAGGCGTAGGGCTCGCCATTCGCCTGACTCTCTGCAAGGCTAAGCAGAATGGTGATGATGAGGAAGGATAAGAACTGTCCCAGCGTTGAGAGGAGCATCAGTCCCCTGCGACCCCATCTTTCAACTAGTGTGACAGCAATGCATGAGAATATCAGATAGGTGACTGCATTGACGGCGGACAGCAGCCGGGCCATCCGCTCCGTGACTCCGACAGACTGGATGAGGACGGTGGGGAAGTAATATGACATGATGTTGATGCCTCCAAATTGCTGCATCAGCTGTGTGTTGGCGCCAAGCAGGAGTCGGCGCAGAGTCTTTGTGTCCCCGTTTCCCTTGTTGCGACGAAGAAATATGTCCTTCCATTTCATGGAATGCTCACGCTCATAGTTGACACTGAATTGGATCTCGTGGACTTGTGCTTTTACGTATGCATCGCTGACTTCCTTGGCCTCTATGCAGCCGATGATCTCGGTGGCTTCGTCAGCACGGTCGTGTGCAATAAGCCAACTTGAAGACCAACTATCAGCCGAGGAATCTTTCACGATATTGAACATCAGGGCGACTTACCGTGGTGATTCAGGGAGCCATGGGACAGTGGCGAAAAGAATAAAGATGAAGATGAACTGAAAAGCAAGGGGGAAGCGCCAGGACACGGAACTGTCCACGAACGACAAGCCGTAGTTGAGCCAGTTCACAAGGCAGAACCCAGCAATGTTCATAGCCATTTCAAGAATGACAAGCTTGCCTCTCCACTTGGCCTGCGCCGTCTCCGTCTGCCAGATGGGTGCAGTGGCTGTGTTGATGCCATTTCCGATCCTGTGTACAAAGTAAGCATTTGGTCTTTGGTTCATAGTCCACGGCCTGGCACTAACCCGAGAATAATTCGACCGGCAATCATCTGCGGAAGACTGTATGATGAGGCTTTAATTACGGTACCGACGGCCATGATGGCAGTTCCCGTGAGGACCGCCTTCTTTCTCCCCAAGCGCTCGCCTATAGTGAAGGCGATGATTGCCCCGATGAAGCATCCGATGTCGTAGATTGCAGTGACAGTAGCGAGAGTATTAGTTTTCGAAGGGCCAACTAGGTCGTGTGTTTCTAGAAAATCTTGGGTCACGACAACCCCGCCTATTGTCACATTGTCAATGATCTGTCTACCGTATCTCACTGGGAGTTTCATAAATGATCCAGGGCTGCTTACTGAAAACACCTTGATCGTAGCCAAAGAGCATCATGTCCGTTGCACAAGCTACCTGGAGAAGCCGGAAAATCAGGACTTGTCCTTGGATCAGATGAAGGTGAACGTACGGTGAGCCAAAAAGTGAGCCAGCCGCCTGTGAAGCCAAAATATGGCTTTTTGGTGGACTTGGCCATGGTGACTCGGGTTGATGATCACACAACTGATTTTTGAAGTAAATTGAGCGTTTGCCAGGGGATTGAATTAAATGTTTATTTCCAGAATGGCGGCGGCATCCTCATCGTTAATATATGATCTCTCGACAGGTTACATTCACCCGGTTAATGCTCCAGATCCACACAACGCACAAAAATCATGTTACATGGCCGCTCTTGGCAAGTAAAGAGGAGAATCATGAGCTCATCACAAGAAGGAAAACTCGGCATCCCGCCAATATCAACGACAGCTGAGTGTAGACATCAGCAGTGAGTGGAGAAGAGGCGAGCGGGGTTTTCTGACGAAAAGGATATCTCCTGATGCAAGACGTCGCGTGTGCTTTCAACCGGTCCAATGACAGTGGTTGCAGGCTGGGATTCCCCGGCTATTCTCCCATGATGTTGACCCCACCGCCTCCACACCGAAGTTAAGAAATGGTTGATGCAGATAAGCCCCGGATTCATTCTGTGGGCCAGTGAGGTGAGGGAAATAACAGCCTAAGTCTGAGCTGGGATTGGAATCAGCAGACATATGAACGGTTAGGAAATGTCGTCTTATGTGAGCTCTTTCTGAATGGTCTGCAGACAAGGAGATTCCGACTTTGGCTCGTCTTGGCTTTGGAAGAGATTGATTTTGCAATTTGCTTCCCCACTAAGATGAGGAGAGGTCAAATGACAGTAGGAAAAGTGCGAGCTGAAGTGAAGAGCTCATCTGGTATGGAGACTCACGATATGGTATAGCGTGTTAACAGGGCGAATACTAGAATGGGATGGGCTGAGATATACCAATGCTTAAATCTGTCTTCACTTGTGGCCACGATTGGATAGGAATCATATTGACATTTACCGAAAAAGGAAATTTTTGTGTATTGGGCAAGCAAGTCAGAGCCGGGATCGGTTAGAATTGCCCTCCCTCTGCCCGAAATAAACCCACCCTCCACCTTGACCAAGGATAGCTATTCGCCCACCCACCGACCACCCCTGGAATGTTCAGCTTGAGCTTGATCCGAGTTTTGTGCTCTCAAATTCAGAATTTCTTCAACCTCACCTAACTTTGATCTTAAAATATCTAGCTATTTCAATGTCATCCTCCGGATCGCCATCCACTTTCTCTGCAGATCCGACGTGATAGCCCTCATGTACTACGCAGAACCGGTATCCGTTCTGGGGCCCATAACGTTCTCGCTGGTAGACGCAAAAGAAGATTGATTGTGTAGCTTTGCCTGGTTTGGTGTTCTGGTGAGCAGTTACGGCGTGGTTGGCAATGTACTGGCGAACAGCGCCTGGGTAATTCGGTATCTCATCGAACTCGTGGGTGTTGATGAAAGACCAAAACATTTGCCGGGGCAGAGGCGAGGAGTCCGAGAGCGTATGAGCCTGCATATTGGCGGACTTTTGCAGTGAAAAAATAAAACATAGACGCAAAAGAGTGCCCGGAGGATGTGAAGAGAAGTGAAAAAAAGGAAATCTTTCAACAGGGAAGCAAGGAGAGGTTGTCCTCTCCCTTTATTTACCCACGAAGCACTCCCCGCTTTCGAAATTCTGCTTCACAGCAGGGTAGGCGTCCCTTTTATTACCACTTCCACCATTTCTTCCCGCCGTAGGTGATGCCCAATATTCGATGCTAATACCTCGGTTAACATATCGGATATTTCCAACTTTATGTAGAGCTCCCTTAGTCGTCCAGCTAGGTTCTCGGCCGATGGTCTTATATCCTTACCGATTTCCAGGCATGCCTTAATATAAGAGAGGAAATCCATCAGGGGCCTGTCCATCGGCGGGTCAAGGCGGGACGCTCTCAAACCCAATTCTCGGAACTATAGCAACACTGAATGATTGACATCGAAGGTTCCACCGTCATTAACGAAGAATGCCTCATCTAGTGCATGCACACTCCTGTCATCTGTGTTAGCTTTGATGTTACTCTCGCACGTTATAGGCTCAGGGACTGACCTCGCTTGGCGGAATGCCTCCAGCGCCTCCGATCCGAGAAGATACCAGGAGATAAATTCGAGATACACACAACCAGCGACCATACGTCGTATTAGGCTGTCACTCTCCGGCCCAAGTCAATCTCAGGTGCTCTATAAGTCCGACTGTACTGCTTGGCCTCGTTCATCAGCGCCTTCGATAGGTGGTTACGATAAAATTTAGCAGACCCAAAGTAACAAGTCCGTAGAGTATCTGGCATATGATTTATATGGTAGGATTCGAGGGCTCCGAGACTCTGCTGTGGGTGGGCCCGACGTTAACTGCTCTCTGATTCGAGGCTGATGAAAGCTACGATCAGCACCATGATATAATTCATACGGGAAACGCCAAACGGAGGGCAACGGTTATGCTAATGTGCCCGTGGGAGAAATGGGGAGGCTAAAAAAAGGAAAGGTTTGCAAAGGACTGGGGGTGAGGCTCACTTTTGAAATTCAACCCGGCTTCCCTTGGTCCCAATCGTTGTAGTTTAATCTGAATTGTCTCCTCAAGCTTCAATGAAAATCCAGCAGCGGTTGATGCTCGGTAAATACACATATAGGTAGAGAAATTGTCCTGAGTCTCGCTAGAACATATGTATTCTACTCGGCAGCACCCCACGCTCGCAGCAACTCGACTGTCTCCGTGTGTCCCTCCTTCATCGCCCACGACAGCGCAGTCAAGCCAAACCTTTCAGTCCTCGCATTGACATCGACCTCGCCAGTCTCGAGCAGCAGCGCCACCACCGCTGTATGCCCCTTTCTTGCCGTGTTTACCAGTACCGTCCATCCGCCGTAGCCTGGCAGCCCAGCAACGTCGGCCTTGCCCGTGTCCAGCAGCATCTTCACAACGGACGCGTGTCCGTGCTCAGCGGCGTAGCTCAGCGGCGAGTTTCCTCCGTTTGACAGCGCGTTGATGCTTGCTTTTCCGGTATCGAGAAGGGCCTTGACGGCGGCTGAGTGGCCGCCCTTAGCTGCCCAGGATAGAGCCGTCTCTCTGTTGAAGGAGTCTTGCTTGTCGATGACGACATCGTCACAGGCCAGCAGCAGCTCCAGAATCGCCAGGTGACCTTCCCCCGCGGCCCACGAGAGCGGCGTGCGGCCGTAGTAGTAGTCTGTGGCGTTGATGCTCGCGTGGCCCGTGTCGAGGAGGAGCTTGACCACGGCCGTGTGGCCCTTGATCGTGGCCCATAGGAGCGGAGTCCGTCCACTGCCTGTGGCGCAGTCTTTCGAGTTTACGCGCACTTTACCAGTCTTGAGCAGCATCTCGACAATCTTCTCATGCCCAAACTCGCAGGCGCGCGACAGCGGCGTCCGCCCGTTGATGGAGTCCATGGAGTCCACGTCGACCTTGCCCATGTCGAGCAGCAGCTTGACTAAGCCCTCGTCGCCGTACTGGGCCGCCGCCGACAGCGCTACGTGGTCGTATTCGTGGTCTTCTATGTCGCGAGAGGGCGAGGATGATGACGACTCGAGCGAGTCTGTGGGCTCATACGGTCCACGGTACAAGTGGTAAAAGTACCGGGAGGAACCTTCGCTGAGACCCTTGACGAAGAAGATCATGTCGTTGAGCGACTGGTAGCCGCCCGTGATGATCTCCTGGTAGATCTCGCTGGCCTTTTGCGCAAATTCGTCGGATCGGAGATGGCCCGTGTCCCACTCGGCGAGGAAGCTGTCCATGGTCGACTTCGCGATGCTCCCACTCTGGTCTTTACTGCCGCTGATGCTTTCAAGTGGTGTGACGGTGGACAAGGCCCTGAGGACGCTCTTAGTGTGGGGATAATAGTCCAAGCTCTTCCTCAGTGTCGAATACTTCAGCTCAGAGTCTCCCACCCATTCATTGGAGTTGAGGCCCGCAAAGACATTGCAGAGGAAGCGCAGCGCGTCTTGGACGGCAGCCTGCCACATCTCGGGGCCTATCCAGGCCCGCGTCGCCACTTGCACCAGACGGTGCATGGAATTGCCCCTTCGCGAGATGAAGGAGAAGCTCCTCAGGATGGCAATGGCTTTGATGATTTGGAAGCGGGCGATGCCGGGGAGGTATGGAAGCATCCAATCTGGCACGCCGTGGCTGTCGAGGGCGCTGAACACTGAAAGCACCTGCACGGCGACTTTGTTCTTGCTCTTGATTTGCTCAAAGGAGAGCTTCCACGTCATGAGGACGGCGTTGGGCGTGTCTGAGTCGCGGCGCCAGTCGATGAATTCTTCTTCCAGGAATTCAGCGTGATCCATCTCTGCGTCGCTATAAAGCGCTGCGTATTCATTCGGTGCGAGGCCATTTTCCCTCATAAACGACGCTGCCTGCGTGATTGCCAGCGGTAGACAACCCAATAATTCCACAAGGCTCTTCACCGACGCGTCATCTTCACTTGTCGTCTCTGTTGACAATTCTGTTTGATCCGGGTCCTCCTGGCTTCCATAGAGCTCAAGTCGTAGCATCCGTACAGAATCGTCCACGCTCAGCGTAGGAATCTCCATTATCTTAGTGCTGCGCGTCCGCTGAAGCAGCTTCTGCACGCAAATCATGTGTCGAGACGTGTACAGCACCGCGCAGTTTGCCTTGGTGGGGAGAAACTCGCTCAGCCTTGACACCGGCGTGGTCCGGGGCGCGTGAAGAGTCAGCACTGCTGGCGGTTGTGGTTTGGATTTGATCGGCTGGAAGAAGACGTCCTCCTCGTCGGCGTTGTCTATGATCAGTAGCCATCTGCCACTGGCCTCGGCCTCGAGCCACTCCTTGACCATGGTGAAGATTTCCGTCTGGCTGCCGTACTCGGTCCTGGGGTTGAGCTGGCGGGCTAATACGTTGAAGTCGTGCTCGAGACGCGCCTGGCTGCTTGCGTGGAGCCATATGATGGGTCGCCCGCTGTCCTTTTCGCGGAGGCGGTGGGCAAACTCATTTGCGATCTGAGTTTTTCTAGATTTATAAGTGGTTAGAAGATACTCTGCGGGGGAAACCAGGGGATGAAATGCTGTGCTCACATACCCAATACCACCAAGGCCGACGATTGCCCCTTCTACGAAGCTATGAGCGTCTGCGTCTGTCTCAAGCATGTCCCCAAGTTGCTTGAGCTCGCTCTCTCGCCCGACAAAACAAGGATCCCTGCCGAATGGCAGCAGAACTATAGTTTCAGCTGCAGCAGCCGTCGTGAGTTTCATCTCATCCAATTGCTTCGCTGCGGCTTCTGCATCTTGAGCATGCCTGGGCCTGATCTCGGCCAAGACGGCTTTGGCATAGGCACCCGCCATGGCCGCAGCATACGGCTGCCAGTATTTGTTCTTGAACGCATCTCCGTAGTCGCAGACACCTCGAATGACACCCACAGGGATGCGATTCATTGTCCCGGCAGCCTCCATCTCGAGCCCGATGATGTTGTACTTGTCCCTCAGCTCGTTCCTCTTGCGAGCATCTTTTAACAGTTTGTCTCCTGATCCGATGGGCCCGTACCAAACTCGCGTTCGCTTAGATTCTGGACGCGGCCAGCGGCTTACAGGTCTCATGCCATACTCGTCGAACTCGTACAAATTGTCCCGCTGCTGGCCCGGGTCTTCAAACGTGCCTCTTGTATGCTCTCTGTCCTTGATGCTCTCGTAATACGGCTTAAGGATCTCGGCATCATTTGGAGCATTCATCTTGATGCTGCCAATGGCGGAGCGAATCACGGGCTCTGTCGCAGCTAGAACGTGTCCGCCTTGCAGCAGCTTCATGCCCTCGCTCGTCTCCTTGCCGAGATCGTATGCCACCAGCCCAGCACTATCGCCATCACCCAGAGCAACAAGGACGTCTCCTAGACGAATATCAATTGCTGGAGTCCGCTTGAGGTTGGGAAGTCCAGCGGCGACGCCAACTAGCAGGCCGAACCAGAGATTAGGGAAGAAGGCCTTGACTTGGCTGGCGAGGGCCGCTGCAGATCCTACGCCATATTCCTGGCCAGCGGGGAGAGTGGCAACGACAACATTGTGCCCACAGACCTCGCCAGCCTGGAAAATGTAGTCGTCACCTCTGCGGAGAGGAAATCGGCCCTGGTGGCGCTTATCCAAGAGATGGAGGGCCACTTGGGCCTCAATCTCCAACGGCGCAATCCACGCAACCGTGTAGTCGAGAGGGTTTAATTCCGCCATGGGTTTAAAGTTATCATGCCATGAAATCGCAATGATTTAGCAGCCTGAGTGTCGTATACAGCGTAGTCTTCCTAGCGTGGCCTATCCTTTGGGTGTGTCCCTGTTAAGATGCCTCGAGAGGGGTTCTTGCGGCTGAAATCGCCACGGCTGATCCTGTTCAGGCCGAAAGTCTTACAGCTAAAATTCTCACAGGGCTTACTGTGTTCCTTTAGACGACTTGTCGCCTTATTTATCGTCCATGCTACTTCACGTGATTTTCGATCAAGTAATATCAGCGACTATTAGTTTAATACCCCCTCAAGCTAGACGCCTAACATGCGATAAAATGATCAGAGTTGATAGCCCTAGCTACTTTATTTGATACGCTTCTGCTTTTCATCAAAAGCATTTACGAGAAATTCTTCGAGCAATACATACTATGGATATACCAGATTGTGGCTACACAACAGCTATAGACTGCGCTGTGGAGCACATTCAATGATAGTAGGGCTGATAGTAGGGCTGTTAATAGAGCTTATCCACCGCGACTCGAGAACGCCAGTATGCTGAAATAGTCAATTTTCTGCCCAAATTAGTATCTAAGCGACATAATGTGATCTGGACCTATTACCAAATAGAGCCGTAGCAAAGGGAAGATGACTATCGCCTCGTGCTAGGATGTAGTACTGATTGGCAGCCTGTCCTTCGCTCATACCTTCCCATTTCTCACCAACGTTCCACGGCACATAACTGCGGGCATCGCAATAGTGACCAGCAAAAGCGCGGCGCGGGCGCGTGCTGCGATTAGCGTGGGACCGATGCAAGATGTTACCGTGAAAGAATATAACATCACCGGGGTTCGCAGGACAGGCCACCTCTAGGTATCGGTCGGCGACGGCGGTGAGTTGGTTGACAGCCGTGTCCTCGTTCGAAGCGGTGTCATTGTCAAATACCCCTTCGAGCCCTCGCGAGTGATGAGTGAACTCATTCTGATTCCGCGGGTAGAGCGGCTCAAACTGTGAGCCGACGCGGAACCAGAGGCAGCCATTCTCCTCGGTGGCTTCGGAGATGGCTACCCATACCGCAATCAGTGTATTGGGGAGTGTCGGTATATAATACGAGTCTTGGTGATAACTTCAGCGCAGACATGCCAGTCATATCGTCAATGATATCCACGTTACGTTGCAAAATGAGTATGGTTGGGGCTAAAACAGAAGAGGATGTGGCAAGTACCCTTAGCCGTGCTGTCCCGGCTGATTGAAGAAAGCCATGCTCCCCGAGAGGCTGTGTGATAGAGTATGGCTAGGGTCCAAAACTATGACCAAAGCGCACATGCCAACACGGAGGTCCCAAATCTGGGTACCAGGCGCAGTGGCCATAAAGGGTGGGTTATTTACAACCTGTGGACTGCACACTCGGGCTTCGGAACAAGAAATTGTAAGAAATCGGTGGTTGTAGTCCACCTCTTAGCCCTGGAAAAGGTTGCCAGGCCCCTTGTACTTACTGCTACCGGCATCAAAGAGTGCCTCGAGTCCAGTGCCAACGTGAGCAGTGAGCACGGCACTTGAGTATGGCTTCATCATACGAGGATAAGCACGGGTGTCAAAAGTGATAATAAACCCATGTACTGATGATCTTGTCTTACTTTTAGATGAATACCCTTGCTCTTAAGCCCCTCTAAGGCTACGGCTCGTCCGGGTGTCTTTAGAGTGAACTTGATCCGATGTATATAAGGATAGCTCCCATTATCAGTTGCAATTAATTCAAAGTACATCGAACCAACTCCCTACTGTAAACCCAGACAGAATCCATTATGAAGCTTTTGAGTATCATTAACTTTGCCCTGCTGGGCTTGGCCTCGGCAAGCCCAACTCCTACTGCCGAGGAGGAAATGAGCCCTGCTCACCTCGAGAAGCGCGCGTCAATCACTGACAGCTGTGATATTGGATACGCCACTACCAATGGCGGGACCACTGGCGGTAAAGGCGGTTCAACCACGACTGTTTCTACTCTCGCCCATTCACCGCTGCTGCTGAATCAAGTAGCACCCTTGTCATCTATGTCAAGGGCACTATTTCTGGCAGCTACCAGACCCGTGTTAAGTCCAATAAGAGCATTATTGGCGCCTCTGGGTCTAAGTTGGTTGGAGTTGGCCTGTATATCAAGAGCGTTTCTAACGTGATTGTACGCACCTGGCCATCTCCAAAGTCATTGCTGACAATGGTGATGCTATTGGCATCCAGGCCTCTACCAATGTCTGGGTTGATCACTGTGACCTCTCTTCAGACCTCAACAATGGCAAGAATTATTATGACGACCTGTTGGATATTACACACGCTGCCGACTATAACACTGTGTCAAACACCTTCTTTCATGACCACTACAAGGCATCTCTGGTTGGCCATAGTGACAGTAACTCTGCCGAGGATACTGGTCACCTCCGTGTCACTTATGCCAATAATTACTGGTATAATGTTAATTCGCGTGCTCCATCAATCCGGATTGGCACCGGCCATATCTACGACCAGTATCACCTTGGGATTTTGAGCTCTGCTATTAACACCCGCATGGGAGCCCAAATCCGTGTCGAGTCGACAGTGTTTGATAACTGCGCTACAAAGGCTATCGTCTCAGAGGATTCTGATTCAGTTGGCTACGCTACTACTGGCGATATTTCTTATGGAAGTAGCACCAATACCCCCCCCTTGGGCACTCTCGGCTCTAGCGGAATTCCATACTCTTACACTTTGTACGGCAAAGATAATGTGAAGAGCAAAGTGTACGGCACGGCCGGCCAGACTCTATTGTTCTAAGAGATCCAGTCCAAGCCAATCGCTGCGTGAATTGCTGCGGTCATTTCCGCGATTACCAGAGCCTGAATCTCCTTCTGCGAATTCTACCGAGTCAACAACTTGAATAAGCAGTCTACCTTTCCCAGAAACATGGGTGGTACTATCAAAGATAGCTTTAGCTTAGGATAAATATGGCATACTGCCCCATTAAGCGCCTTTTTTACCTCACGTCAGCTGCATCATCTTGAACTACACGTAGAATCATCTCGCTTGTTAAATGTGATCGGCTCTCGCGTTGATCTATTGAGTTTACTGACAGGCCCAATACTAATTTTCTTTCCATGAATATGGCAAGACACTGTAAATAGTTTATGAGCGTCTTTGAACTCAGATTGTTTAAACCCGAGATAGTTTCCCCTCCATATTCAACTCATTCTTATCAGTGAATGACTGACAGTTTTGCTCAGCCCGATGGCATTTCAGTACCATTCACCACGGTTTAAAAAAAATGCCAATATCATTTGGTTTCTCATTTTCTCGCGTGTGTGCATCTAACAAGTCACTGTGTAGTAGCCATTAAATTCCAAGAGACTGCAGAATGGCCTTTCCAACACCAGCAGCGGATGCAGGGTTCTGTCCGGTAATCACAAGCCCATCAGTGACGACTTTCTCACCCCAGGGCTCAGCCTTGACAAACTTGGCACCGGCCTTCACGAGCGCATCTTCCAGCAGGAACGGCATATCGCTTGTCATCTGCATGGCATCCTCCTCCGCATTCGTGAAACCAGTTACGGTCTTGCCTTTGACGAGGTATTCGCCGTTAGGGAGCTTGACGTTGGCAAAAGCTGCAGGGCCATGGCAGACGGCGGCGACAGGCTTCCCAGCGGCGACGAACTCCTGCACGAGCTTGATGGAGTCGGCGTCTGTGGCTAAATCAAACATGGGCCCATGACCACCCGGATAGAATAGGGCGGCGTATTCATCTGTCTTGCCAAGAAAGTCCTTGACTGGAGTGGTGTTCTCCCAGACAGCAGATTTGTTCTTGTAGAAAGACATCGCAGCCTCGTCATCCTTGGAGAAGTCGAGGGAGGCAGGGTCGAGTGGAGCTACGCCGCCCTTTGGCGAGGCGACCACAATGTCGGCCTTAGCAACGAGGATATCATAGGGGTGAGAGAACTCGGGCTGAATCATGGAAAGATTAACGAACGTGTTCAAGACATGGAGAGAGTTGGTAGAAGAGAAGCAATAGTTGGCTAGAGTGGACATACCAGAAACCACCCACAGGGCTTGTTGATAGACTCAATCTTATCGACGCTGGTGAGAACGACTAGGATCTTGGGAGCCATTGCTGCGGTTTGGACAGAAACTTTTGAATGAGAATAGTTTCGGAAGTGCGTTGGAGTGATTGCAGTGTGTTTGAAAGTTGCTGGAAGTGGTTGGCATTCAATTGAGTTGGGAGAGAAAGCTAATATATATACACAGTGAAAGGTCTCGAGAGTCTTTCCAGTTCTCATCTTGTAGACATAGCCAATCGTAGTACACCAATCGTGACGTCGTAACGGAGTTTTTGTCTCGCATGGCAGCGGAATAGCGGAGAAGGACCCGGAAAACTGGAGAGCGAGAGTATTACCACGGAACTGCCCGTAATTACGCGAGCAACAGGGGCCAGGTCGTAAGACAGTGCTGTATTAGGAAGGCCTTCGGATTTAAGTTTTGTTTATAAGAAAAGGTGGCCCATATATCCTTAACTGGGGAAACTATTCGTGTTGAAGTATGCTTAAAACCTTTCATTTCATTTGCCTTGCCGTGGTGAGATGATGCCTCTCTGTAATCCTGGCGTCTTTATGAACGTAACAGATTAATTTAAAACTTCCCTTTGATGAATGTAGTATAGTTGTTGAAAGAGCTTCCTTAGCTTTTCATGAGAATACCGGCCGAAATGGACATACTGGTCAATGATGGGCTACGTCTTATCAGTCTTTCGCTAGTGGCTTTGTGTTAATCGAAAACTTCCTACACGAGATTCAAAATAGAGCGACTGGAATATTGATGAACTCTCCATCGACTTGCCACTTCTACCACACAATGTCCAATAAGTCACACTGCTGCGTATTCCTACGAATCGCTCACCATGAAAGTTTGCCTAATATACCGCCTTCATTTCCCTTTTTTCTTTATTATTTTGATAGAGAGTTGGGTATTGTCTTCAAGTCTGGCTAAACCAGCGATTCTTTTGGTTCCGAGGTAGAGATTACTAGTAACCCATTACTCGGCGAGTCCTGTGTAGCTGTGATAGAAGAGCCACGGCCCAATGTCTATCGGAACACGGGCTCGATTTCTCTTCGAGGCTGCCGTTTAGAGAGGGCCAAACAGCTAAGCCGTAGAGGATCTATTTCGCTGTTAATATACGTGCTTCAATAACATCATTGGCAGAAGTGAGCCGGGCCTAGATGCCCACTCCCGTCGAATTTAGATTAAGCCACGTATATGCATGAGCCTAGGTTTGTGTATTCGTAGCAGAAAGCGCTGGAAAGAACCACTCGCCTTCAAGGCTCAGGTGACTTGGACTTGGTTACCTTGGCCGCTGGCGGGGTGCCCGCAGCTGTTGTGAGAACCTACCTAGGTACTCACCTCTCTCTCAGCGCGAGACCAACAGTAACAGTAACCAACAGCCACAGTAACCACCACAACAACACTAAGGTACTTGCACCCCTCCGTCCTTTCACCTCTTCCAACTTCTCACCCCTTCCATCTTCTCACCTCTTCCAACTTCTCACCTCTTCCATCTTCTCACCTCTTCCATCTTCTCACCTCTTCCATCTTCTCACCTCTTCCATCTTCTCACCTCTTCCATCTTCTCGGCTCTGCCACATTCTTCCCAATAATCCTCACTTTCGCCTCCCTCTAGCCTGCGCTCTTCGCTGTCCTTCGTATTGCGCTTCATCATGGAGGAAGCACGGGGCAGCCTCTCCAGCGTTCCTCGAGAGATACTCGACCACATAGTCTCCTACCTACCCAACGGAGACAAGAAAAGCCTCCGCCAGGCTTCTTCCTTCTTTGCCGAGACCGTGAAGATCCGCATTTCACGCGTTTTTCTCTCCGCCAACCCACGAAATATCGAAGTCCTTAAGGCCATCGCCGATCACGAGACCCGGCGACATCATGTTGAGCAACTCATTTGGGACGACAGTCTTCTGGCGACTCCAGCCAACCTTGGGCAAATGCGGGTTAAAAGTGAATACCGCAACTCTTATGGGGGTTTTTGGATACCCCCAAAACCTGAGATTATCGAGAATCGACAGCGTCTGCTTCGACAGACTCTGGGCAAGCGAGATGTGCGAGATCAGTTTATGTTTCACGAACTGTACACCGAAGCATGTGAGGTAAACATTTGTGACATCCGCGCCAGGCGAGGTAATGACTGCGATACGCCAGCTCACCTGGAGCGAGAGGAAAGAGTGAAGAACGAGATGCCCATCATACACTCAGTTCGTTACTATAGAGAGCTATGTGATCAACAAGGGGAAGTTATCCGCACCGACGGAGCCATTTGCGCCTTTCGAATTGCTCTCGACCGGTTCCCAAATCTGAGGAGAGTCACCATCACGCCTGCTTGTCACGGGTTTCTCTTCACTCCATTGTATGAGACCCCGATGATCCGTGATTTCCCCAAGGGCTTCAACTATCCGATCCCACGGTCATGGCCATCGGACCTAGGTAAAACCGACAGTCGCCCCGTACACCGTTGGCCTCGCTTTCATCAGACTTCAAAGATGATATGGTATGGCATCCGGGTCGTTCTAAAGGACCTGGCCCTGCAGCAAAACCGAGTAACCGAGCTTGAAATCAACGTTCACGGCCTAGACTATGGCGTGCCCGTCGACATGTTCCACTCCAGGAACGATGAGTCTAGGTACTTCAACACGCTCGCCACTAAACTAAGACGCCTAGATTTATCCATCGAAGTCCCACCCTCAAGAACTGGCAATCCTCTCGAGGAAATCAGCCAGTCCATCCGCCAGGCTCTTGATCACAGTCCGTATCTGCATCACTTCAGTTTGCACTGCAACCGCCAAGGCTATGACGGGCGTTTCCCGCCTCTCCGCACCTTTTTCCCCATCGACAACTGGAATCGGCTTCAGCACTTCGGACTAACAGGCTTCAAGGTGGATATCGACGACTTGGTCGACTTCCTGTCTTCCATGCCGGCCACCTTGAGCTCTCTGGAGCTTAGCTTTCTCCGTTTCCAGACGGGAGCGGGAGGGGATAACTATTACGATCTGATGCAGGCCATGCGAAACAGGCTCGGATGGAGCATTAGATCCGAGGATGACAGACCCAAGATTATCATCCGGGTAGAGGTGGGGGAGCCAGTGCCTGGTCGGTACGTTACGGCCGACAAGGAGGTCGAGGAATTCATGTACGGTGATGGGCCTAACCCCTTCTCTTGCGAAACGGGGCCAGACGAGTTCGGTTGTTATTTTAACGAGCTATGCGAGAAGGGGATAACGCATGACGAGTTTGACCCGGCATATGAGCGGCCTAATCTGGTCAATGAGGAACTTGTCGCCTTGGGCATCATCAAGGATGCTCGCTGTCTCGAAGATTTGACCTACGATGTCGATGACGAGTCTCAGGACACTGAGCTGGATGATGAGGGCGGCTATGACTATGACAGCCAGGACGGCTCCAGTGAGGAAGACGATGATTACGAATGGTCTGGTTCTGCTGCCTCTGAGTAATGAACTACGATGGTCATGTAAAGGATTGGTAATGTCAGGCGCTGGGGAATCAGTAAAATCGAAATGCTAGGGTTGTTCTTTTATGTGTGAGTGCGAGAGTTGGCAATGTATTTTCATTTTCACACTAGTCTCCAGCTCAACAAGTGGTTACTGGCTATCCGTTTACTTCTCTTACAATCAAAATCGATTCGCACCTGACTGTATTGTGTAAATTCCCACTCACCCCCTTCCCATCAGTGCTGTACCTTGACAACAATCTTCCCTTAATATGGCCCTTGCGTAAGTACCATAGATGAATACTTTGGCAACGGTTTGCTGCCCGGGGTCAGCGACTGGTAAGCGGACATACAGCAGCTCCATAATCAGGGCTGACTTCCTCACCCAGACTCTCTCTCCCAAGGGACGAAGGAATACCCCCGCTGGGTGGAAATGCCACTACATATCTCGTCTTTCAGTAAGGCGGGCAATACTAGGTACCTATAGAGACAACGAATTAACGCTTATCGATACAATCGATAAGCGGATAATCGTCTACCAAGACGAACTTCCTTCCGACTACACAATAGATAGCTATTTCCTTCAATCATCATCATAATCATTTGTTTCGATCGCTTGCTTTGCTTCCAACACAGCCCTATTCTGCTCGTCAAACCACAAATACATCGGCGCAACATTTAGCCCGACGGTCTCCGTTTTAAGCGAACGGGTGCCTGGAAGTTCCAACGGTAGCCTAGAATCCGGTTCCAGTGCCCCCTTGTTCCATGTCCAAGCAGCTGAAGGCGAAAGTGAACACAGCTTCTTCACCACGCCGCGAATTTCAGAACTCGTACACCCTTCTGCGAAAAGACTCGCAATATCGCCTGCAGCCGGAAACTCGCTATCCAACATGCGCAAAGAGCTCGAGACGAAGCTCCGCACCGACTTTCCCGAGCTTTACGCAAACCTTCAATACAAGCAATTCGAGTCTCTCGACGGCTGGTATGACATTATATACCGCCTCTCCGCCAACATTGCCGACATTATATCCAATCACGACGATATGAAACAAAATGTCTACACCGCATTTCAGGTAAAGGAAAAATTTGGGGCTCTTGTATTCTACATCAACCGTTTTACCGATGAGATTTACGAGGCAATTGCAAAGGCTAGCGAGGAGAGTCTGCGTACATGTGAGACTTGCGGAGGTGAGGGGAAACTGCTAAAAGATTCGTGGTCGTGGCGGACGATATGTGATGGATGCGAGGTGGAAAGAGAGAGACAATGGCAGAGGATCAAGGCCGGGGATTCTGCCGCTGTCCCGCCCGTGGACGACATGAATTAAAAGACCGGAGTAGTGAGAGACGCGGGAGCTTTAACACTGAATACAAAAACACAACAGTTTCAATGCGCATAGTTACGCAGCTGCTGCGACATGAAGGTCAAACGAGGACACATGACACATTTACAGTAGCTCTCGGTATTAATTTATTTCATCTGCCTCGTTAATGCAGTACAAGGTAGACCACATTCATGATTCAAATTTGCGTGTTGTCATGGCTCTGTCGTCCAACTGCTTCCCGAATCGCGCCTGCAACCTCCTTGGGCGCCTCCAACTGCGGGAAATGACCGACGCCCTCCAGCTCCACGATAGAGGCACCAGGAAGACCTTTCTTGGCCTGCTCAAGGACGTGTTTCCCCGAGACAGGATCATCGAGACCCCAAATGAGTTGCAACGGGCCGTTCCATCCGGAGAGGGCAGCCTCCCACCGCATGTGGTGCACCGCTCTCTCGTTGTTATACCCAATGAGCAAGTGCGCCAACGTGTGCCCATCCTTCAACGACATACCGTGCCACAGATTAGCAAACTCTTCGTCGTTGAGCTTTTCCCTCCCCATTATCCCATCGAGACGAGCGCGCACTTGCGCCGCAGTGATGCGCCCTGCCACAAACTTACCCACCACAGGCATGTTGAGCACCCTCTGCAACAGCGTCGGACGGTAGGCACTGTAGACTATCCCGCAGTTCAATACTGTTGTCCCTGAGATCCCGAAGGGCAGCTTGTCTTTCTGGTGGCGGTCGATGAGTTCCTGGCCGACAATGCCGCCATAATCGTGCATTACGAGGTACACCGATGGTCGGGACAAATGGCCAAGAAGGTCTTCAACGCTGTCGGCAGACTCATCGACGGAGTATTGGTAAGGGTTGGGCTTGTCGGAAGCACCGTAGCCGAGGAAATCCAGCGTTATTACTTCATGGTCACGGGCCAGGTCTGTCGCGACGGAAGCGTAGTCGTATGACCAGGTCGGAAAGCCATGGAGTAGAAGGACGGTTGGCCCGTCTCCCCGTCGGCGGTATGCTAGGCGGTGGTTGCGTCGGCTCACGAGCGTCTCGCACTCGGCTATCCAGTCTTTGGCTGACATCATAGTGTTTACTTTCCCAGCCGTGATTCGGACCGGGTTGGGGGGCTACTCTGGGCTGTCCGATAACTTGGAAAGTATTGCAGATAAAATAAGATAAACATAGCACGTACCTTCAATGATGTTTAAGTATGGCAGGGCCCAGTTGCGAACCCTGTCGCGAACTCAGTTGCCGACTCGTCAAGTGAGAGGGGGCCGATTGCTTTGGGGGAGTTCTCGAACGGGGCCGGAGGAACAGCACGCCGAGCACGGCGTTGCCCACTCCGAGCACCGACGCTGCCCTCGCACAGGGACAATAAGTACTGTAGCCACTTAGCCAGGTCCCTCGCCTCTGAATGGAGCATTATCATCTGATTGAATTGGTCCAAGAACCGTCCTAAGATTGCCCGACGTATCTCCTTAGTTTTCTCAAGATTCTTTCTCAGTTTTAGCTTACGGATGTATGTAAGGTACTAAAGGTACACGCCGTATCTATATGTATGTTTCTAAATGATGCATGATAATTATCCATGGACATGCCCAATATGCAATCAGAACCATTTTCTTTTGAATAAGGTCACATGGAACGAGCCGAATCCAATTCCCTTTCTCCTGAAAATCTCCCTACTCCAGGGGTATCTAAGTCAGTCATCACCACGGCATGTTAACCGAACCAAGTTGCGATCATATAGAGATATGAGAGAGTTTGAGTGTTAGGTAATAAGAAAAACAGCCATGCAAGACCGGACATCTCAACACAATGACTAAAAAAGGCAAAAACAAGCTCTACAAGCCCAAGGGTGCAGCCATGCAGAACCAAAACTTGGTAAACCTTGATACCAATGACTCACTTGCCGTCGTTGCGACCACATGAAATTCCACGCAGGACAGTATGGAGTCAGTCCCCTCTTATTTTGCAACGAGAATAACAGAATGAGCTGATGTATGATGTATCAGAGATGAAGCTCGATGATGGACCTGATACAAGCGATGATGGGTCAGAGGCAAACAATGGTTTCCAGAGTATGCACGAGCTAAGATTTTGGTACTTCGCCTCCAAAGTTAGTTGTAGACAGAGCTCAGGCCCAACATTGATGTTGGGAGCGCCACAGTTTGGCGAAGCCTGAAAGATAAGCAGAAATCAATGCTTTAGGGGCGCTTAAATAAGGTTTTTTTTTTTAAGCTCATTATCCAAAACTTACTAGAGAGTCGGGATGCAAGGCGAGCGGAAGCTTTGTTTGCTCCGTCATGTGGCATCTGCCTTTTTATCTTTCACTGCTGCACGAGATTTATTATATAAGGCCACATCAAGACTCGACTTTCGGTTCTTCTCTCTCCACACAGTATCTTAGATACAATAGTTGCCCGGGTACAATTTTTTTTTGTCAGAGCAATGATGAAGTTGGCAGTCTTGCTAGGCAGGGCTATGGTCATCCTGAGCTCCAAGATCCCTTGCGTCTTATACACGGTAACAAGAATGATGAAGTCGACGGTTCCGCGAGGCGGACACACGCACCAAGTTCTTTGTCCACGGATATCCCTGTGTGCTCTTTCAAACTTCCGATACCCTGCTAGTAGCGGTGAAGTTGCTGCTATGGCGATCTATTGTCTCAATCCCAAGGCACTGAAGGAAGCACGAAGCGGTGCCACCCACTAGCACCAAAGCCACAGCCATCTGTCCTCTTGCGCTATGTTGACATTTTCCAACTGTTAGTACCGCCAGCTTCAGCGATATCGTTCTGAGACCCCCGGATATCTTCATGTTCTTCATATCCATTATACTCCCAAGATAAAAATACCGTGTACGGAGTCAGCAGTACTAGATTCTTCCAGAGCCTTCCTAGCCGTAATGTCTTTCCTTCATCAGCTACTAGGACTGTTTAAACATCCATCATATGTATAAATTTTCTGCGGTGTGTTGCGCGCAAAACTCAATTACTGCCGCCATCAAAGGAGTTAAATCCTATTTTCTTTAATGAAAAGACCTAATCAGGCGAGTACAATAGAAGGTTTCAGCTTATTTGCATGTTGAGTATCTCATTTTTGGTGGTACAGACCATCAAAGCTCAGTCTTTCTTCGATTCATGTGCAGGGGAACCGATCCCTTGTCAGTGGCTGTCACCTCGATCCGAGTTTCCTGGATGAATATCTTGATATTTCTTCATGTATAGAGCAGAGATAGCAGCAAGCATACAACAAAGCCATAACGTATGAGCGGAAACGCAGCAGTACAAACATCTATAAATGTTGACAATGTTGCATGTTCGCTTAAAGATATCTTGTTTATGGCACTTTTGGTTCTAAGTGGCATTTTATTTGCCTATAAGCATATTGAATATTCAAAACTAGTAGCTGCTTCTCTGCCTGTTGTTTACGTCGTAGTTCCCGTTAGTGAGCCATTGTATGATTGAGTGCCTCTTATTACAAGACTCCTGCCAGTGTTGGGAAAACTTATATCCTTGTTTCATCGTTTGTCTTTTAACACTTATTCAGAAATGCTTTCAATTTCCCTCGCAACATGATTCCAAAGAATCCTATAAAAGCAGTTGCCCATCCCTCTCCCGCTATACTGGAGCTTTTGAATCGCAGATCACCACGACTATCTAAGCTGTGAGGACTAATCCACCTTCAAAATACAACTATCTTCCGCGAACAAAAAAAAATAATGTCTCAGTCCCAGGGCCCGGCTTTTTCAGGCCCAGAGTGGCCTCACATGAGAGAGTGGCTCGACCAGGTGCTCACAACTCTCTGGGGTGGAGAGGAATACCTGCCCCAAATGCTTCAAGAGCAGAAAGATAGTATTCCCGCCCTTACCCTCGGGCATCTCGCAGATGTCTATATACTCGCTTTAACTAACGATATCGATCGTAATACGCTGTGGGAAGAAGGTGGAATCCTTCAGAAAAGATGGAAGGAAAACGGGGAGGTGCTATCAGCAGTAATGTGCAGAGCAGCGCTCAGAGAACTTCTAGAGGTTCTTAATATCAATGCCCGCAGCGAAGAGAAACCGGCTCCGTGCGATATCTCTATGATCCAAGAGCTTGGTGGCCAAAGAAGACACTTCATGACGAAGTTACTCTCGAAGTTCCTTGCCACGCTCGGCCGAAACTGGGACGAGGAAATGGCAAGCGTCGCGAATCTCCGCGAGGCTGGACTGGATGCGACAAGAGAGCTAGAGAACCGATACATCATCAGCAGAACGCTCCGGGCACCAATTGCCGGGTTCATCTTGGTCTATCAGAATACGCAAGGCCAGTGCGCCTGGGGCGCTCAGTGCGTTCATCTCCTCAGGGAGCACTAGTGTGACAAGGAGGACTTCTACGTAGAGCAGGCTTAGTTTACATTTTTGTTTTGTTTTTCTAAATATATATTAAGGCCCAGGCTAACCTTGCCTTTGTACAGAGCGCTCTTCTGTAAAAGTAACCTTTGTATAAATATTATACTAATAAATCTCAAAGTTATAGCGAAGTAAGCACTCTAGCTATCGAGGTACTTCTACTGAGATTCTGAAATCCACCAAATAAAGGATGGATACTTCGCAGGTAAGGTAATCAGCAATCGTGGGTAGACAACGTTGAAACCGGGTCTCGTGTGCAGAATCTACAGTAGATTATTCACCATAACCTAACGAAGGTTATTTATACGCCCCCGAAGCTAAAGCTCGGCGGCGCTCGAAAGTCCAAAGTCAGTCCTTCATAAAGTTTCTAACTCGTCTGTCGCCATTGCGTAAGAATGAGCTTGGTCATCGTTGCTTAAATATGTGCTAACATTAAATCTTGCATGAATATCTACCTCCACGTCCAACTGTCATCATGGCCCCATATTTGTGAACCCATTAAGCCGACAGTATGCCGCTGTCGGCTTCTGCACATCTTCTCGCCCTCTTCCCCCTCCTTAGCACAAACGCAACGGCTAAGTGCAAGCTGGCCTGTAATACTCTATTGCCTTTATAACCAGGTAAAAGCCTGAGCGTATAATATTTGGGTTCCCACTCTAAATTGGATAATATCGACTCCAATGGACGTCATAATACCTTGTTTATGACTGTAAACCCTCAACTCATCTTGCTCTAAAGCATTACCTACCCAAAGGTGTCGCATTCCGGAAGACAATCATTAAAATCCGGCAATGTTTGTAGCCATTCTTCCGCCCGTTGTCGGTCCTGTCCCTGCTCCGTCGAATCACTCTTCTTCATCGACGATTCCGCGAGGCGGACACACGCACCGAGTTCTCTGTCCACGGATATCCCTGTGTGCTCTTTCAGAGTTCCAATCCGCTAAGAGTAGCGGTGCAGTGCGGTTATTATGATTCTTGTCTCAGTTTCAGAGCACTGAAGGAAGATGTGAAGTAACGCCACCCACCAGGGCGAAGACATAGCCACCTGCTGTCCCTCGTCAAAAACCCAGACACCTCCAGCACTATGGCCAAGATGAACAAAGAAGAGTTCTGACGCAAAGGCTGAGATTTCCTCCGCTGTCGTGATTAGTTCCCCCCTTGAAGAAAATAATTCAAGCCATCAATGGTTGGTGTAGAATGGAAAAGTGGCATTGATCTGCACTACCGGTTTCATTCATTCGATCTCCAAGGAGACGTGGCGATTCATATTGTTGGAGCTGTATCGGTCAAAACTGGCCTTCTTCAGACATTAAGCTATGAAGACGAAAATAGGTTTAACTCACTGCTTTCTACGACCTTCAGTACTTGCGCCCCGTTAGCGTTGTCGTATTGTAACCAACACCTTATTTAGCCATGTTGTTATGAACTCCCTTAATATCTTTACTAGTTTCATATTTGTCATATTCACACATGAGAATACCTTGTACGGGGTTACTACTCTTAGATAATCCTAGAACTTTTATAGTCGTAATACTATTCCTTCATCAATCACTAGAACTAATTTCACAGTCATCATCGCGTATTACTTCAACAGGCCCAATCAGACGAGTATGCGAGAGACCGCAAATTATTTGCAATTTCAGTACCTCGTTTTCGTTGGTGTAATTATCACAGTTTGGCTATGCATAGATTGGAATTGATTCCTTGTCGGTGGCTGTCACCTCCTTACTAATTTCTTGGATGAAAATCTTGCTAGTTCTTTCACATATATCTCAGACATAGCAGCGAGCATACAGCAAGCTCCCAACATATGGGCAGCAATTCACGGGTGCATACCAGTATTGGCAATGAAGCATGTTCGTCCAAAGACGCAATTGTTCACGACGCGTTTGGTTCTAAGCAATTATCAGAGTATCTGAAACTAGTCTCCTACTTCTCCACCTATTGTGTGCCTCTTTGTTCCCCATTACAAGACTCTTAATCACTGTTGGGAAATTTACATCCTTGTTTCTTCGTCTGTACTCGAACACTTATTCACAGACCCTTTCAACTTTACTCATACAATAGCTTCAATACAAATCTTATTTAAGTAGCTCCTCATGACTAGTCAACTTTGCCAAATCTTTCGAATCCCAGACTACCACAACCATCTGCGGTGAGAAATCTGACCAAATTTCTGACTGCAATTATTTCTTGTAAAGAAGAAAAAATCAACAATGGCCCCGATTTGGGATATTCCTGACCCGGCATCGGCATGCCCTCGCTTGAGAAAGTGGGTCCATGCTGTGCTCGAAAAATTCTGGGGTGGACAGGGTTACCTACCCGAAAAGCTACTCGAGGAAGAGCCCAGCATTCCGGCCACTACCCTCGGGGCTCTCGCCAACGTATTCATCCTTGCTTCATCCCGCAATATGCAATGCCAGTCTCTATGGGAGGAAGGCGGAGTTCTCCATGAATGTTGGGTGGAAAACGAGGAGGTGCTGTCATGGGCGATGTGCCTCAATGCGCAAATCAAACTCCAGTCTGCTCTGGGGATCGATTGCAGCGGGGACGAGAAACAGCCTCGGTGCGACATGGGCGAGTTCAGAGAGCTCGGCGGCCCAGAAAACGAATACGCCGATATGGCAACGAAACTCTCAAACTTCATTGCAGAACTCGAAAGAAAATTCGAGTCGGCGAAAGAACCCCTTCCTGCACCGGGACAAGATGCGGAGTTGCTACAAGCGCAGCGGGAGGACAAAACAAACATCAACAGCGCGATCCGGCTTCCAATAGCCGATTTCATCCTCGAGCACCAGCTTCACTGCTGTGGGGGTGGTCACTGATTAGGTAGTGCATCTTCAATGGCCTCTGGTCGGACTAGGAGGACTTCTACACAAGGTACCTAACTTTAGTTCACATATTCCCTTTGTTTTTTTATATAGGTATTGAAGGCCCAGGCCAACCTTGCCTTTGTGCAGAGCACTCTCCTGTGAAAGTGGCCTTTGTGTGAAGATCATGCCAGCAAATCCCAATGCCAGCCATGGCCAAGTATTACTCTATCCTTCGTAGTGCTTTCACCGAGGTTCCTGAAACCACCAAATGAAGGAGGGACAGCTTGTAGGTAATGAATCGTGGGTATACAAACCGGGTACTTGTTCCGGATTCTTCGTGCCCAATCAATGGTGGCGCAGCACATGGGCTGACGTACCAAGATCGAATCACAGTGGTGCCATTTAAATTCCCACCACCCATCCAAAACATCACCAAACCCAACTCTAGCAGAGAAACGCGGATAACGAGGCAGCGAGAACAAGTCAAGCGAAGTCCCAACCCAGAACCAAATACACCGAAATCAACTTCTCGATGCAGCACAAATCCGGCGACAAGGGCTATGCCCACTGCGGCTCGGTCGCTGTGTCCATTGTCGGCATCGTATTCGGCAGCGCCATTGTCATCGTCGTCTGCTCCTTCATCTACTGCCTGATCAGGAGGCAGCTCAACCTGCGCGACAAGTATGCCCGCTGCAACGGAAACTGCGAATGCGAAGGCGCTTCTCGACCGCCCCCCACCCGAGTTCCTCGCCGCTCTCCTCCTGCGCCTGAACAAAACGATGCTGTTGCCGGCCCGAGCGTTGATCCTCCACCCTACCTGGGCGATCAGAACGAGGAACGGCATGGTTTGATGAGCCATAACGATTATAATAAGTCGACCTAGTGTCTGGGAGTGCGGGGAGGGTTGTCTTGAGATGCCATGACTGCAAGTGGCTGTTTGTATTCGTACACACGCACATTTGAACTGGCCTTGTGTTGAGCGGCGCGCGTTATTCAGCAGAGAGTTTCTCGAAGATTTAAAGTGTGGATATGGAGTTTAAAGCTACAAAATGATTACGAGCTACAATTGTTTTGTTTTCGCCATTTTGATACACCATTCCGTGGCAGGATTTTTGCCAGAGCTTTGTCCGGGGAAAAGGGAGTCTCCATTGGGACTCTATATGCTTCAGAGTGAGGGAACTTTTGATATGGTACTAAGCTAGAAGACGGTAGTCTTGTGAGCTACCTTTCCCCCGAAAGTACAAAATGAAGAACCGTTGTCAACTGCTAAATAGTTCTTCTAACCTGGGACTTTCCTACCACGTCTAAAACTCATACTATACCGTCCACAGTAAGAGTGCCAGACTTGGTGATCATGTACTCATTAATTGCGACGTCCTTCCCTGCCTCCTTTCCATAGCCAGAGTACTTGATGCCACCAAACGGAGTCTCTGCTGCAGAGGAGTTCCCTGAATAGCGCAACCAAAAATGTGTCAATATTTCTGGCATATGAGAAGAGTTTTGGTAGAGTTGCAATACATACCGGTATTGAGTCCGATCATGCCAGCCTCGAGGTTTTCATACAAACGCCAGATACGATCAACGTTCTTCGTGAAAGCATAGCTAGCAAGCCCCATAGGGGTGTCGTTAGCCATCTTCACTGCCTCTTCCTCGGTCTCGAATTTGTAAAAAGCAGAGATGGGTGCAAAGCATTCCTCGCACGAGATGAACGTGTTGGTAGACATATCAGCCAGGATGGTTGGCTCGAAAAAGTAACCCTCTTCAAAGCCCTTCGGAGCCACGCGCTTCCCACCGGCGACGAGACGTGCCCCGTTGGAAATGGCGTCTTGAACCAAGCGTTCAGCCCGATCTATGCTTTCGAGCTTGGTGACGGGGCCGAGGGTCGTTCCCCTAGCAGCACCGTGGCCAACAACATACTTGGCCGTTTCCTCATGGAAGCGTCGGAGGAATCTGCGATATATCCCGCTCTGGACGAGAAATCGATTGACCGTGATGCACGCTTGGCCAGCGTGGCGGAATTTCAGGCCGACCAGCTCACGCAGTGCGGCCTCAATGTCGGCATCGTCAAAGATGAGGCAAGGACAGTTTCCTCCAAGCTCAAGCACGACCTTTTTCAAGCCGCTGCTGCAATGGTTCGCAATGAGCTTTCCAACGCGGGTAGAGCCAGTAAACGTAACCTTCTTCACCACCTCGTGTTTGCACAAGGCCTCGCTCAGCGGCGGAGTGTTCTCAAGGCTCGTGGTGATCACGTTCAGGACCCCGTCGGGGAATCCCGCCTCGCTCGCCAGCTTGGCAAGGGCTCCCGCCGTCACCGGCGTCTCAGGCGATGGCTTGACGATCATCGTGCAGCCAGCGGCCAATGCAGCAGCTGCCTTGCGAAGGACCATTGCGACGGGGAAGTTCCATGGGACCAGCGCGACAGCAACACCGATGGGCTGCTTGATGGTGAAAATGCGCCGGTTTGGGGCTGAAGGAACAAAGCACGTTCCCTGGATGCGCTCTGCCTCGCCGGCAAACCAGGCCACGAATGAGACCGCGTAGTCTAATTCGCCAATAGCTTCGGCGTAGGGCTTGCCTGTCTCGTGGACGAGGATCTTGGCCAAGTCTTCCTTGTTCTCTTTGATGAGGGCATCCCATTTGAGGAGCCACTGGGCCCTGACGCGAGGCGACGACTTCTTGAACGTTTGGAATGCGGTATGAGCTGCCTCAACTACAGCGTCGACATCGGCTGCTGAATTGTCGGTTACTTTGGCCCATGGCTTATTGGAGCCCGGGTCTGCGGATTGAGAGTTAGCCGCTATGCACGCATGCGATGAAAAATTATATCCAGAGGCCGTACCTAGAACATCAAAGGCTGCGCCTGACTGTGCGGACACTTGCTTGCCACCGACGTACGAGTCGGTGATGAGCAGATCAGAGCGGTTGAGCTAGCATTAGGCTGCTTGTTAGTGTGCTATTCGAGCTGTAAATCACAATCACGTTTCTTACCTTGAATGGCAATGCATAACCCATGGCGAGGGTGCGCTGTAGTCGAGGCTGGAAATACTCTTGTCTTGTCTCCATGGTCAGATGAATCCAAGTGAAAACGTGTCACAGAAGACGCCCAGAATCCGAGAAAGTCAATAACATGTGCTTTGTATAAGGTTATCCACGGGCGGGGTTTGGTGGTGATCGGCATCAAGCTTCCCCGCTTATGACGCTAAACGAGGGACTGAGGCGGGGAGAGTCACTCAATAAAGTGGACGATTTGTGCGGTTTGTAACCTTTTCAAGCCTTAGCAAACCAAGAGAGACGACTCCTCGATTCGATCGTTTTTTTCCGAACGAAGTTTGTGTGGTCACAACAACTTATCGCTTATCGGTGAATCGATAAGCAGATAGACGTCCCCCCCAAGCGAACATTCCGTCGGATCATAGATTGATTTCCCTTCCTCAATTGTCATAATTGCTTTCAATCGGTTGCTTTTGTCGCTTCAACCCATAGTTTGTTGGCCTCCGAAGTGGATAACGACCAGGATGGGACGCCTCGACAGCAAGATAGCCATCGTGACAGGTATGATACTCGCCTTCCTTGCCTTCCTTGCAGCCCACAGATCGCTCTGCTAACCCATGCCCACGGACGACAGGAGCTGCTTCGGGTTTCGGCCAGGGAATTGCTGAGCACTATGCCGAAGAGGGTGCGAAGGTCCTGCTTTGTGACATCAACCGCGAGGCTGGTGAGAAGCTTGCTGAGACTTCAGATGCATTCGCATTCCAGGAAATGAACGTCACTAAGGCCGATGACTGGAAAGCAGCAATCGATAAAGCTGTCCAGCTCTGGGGCAAGGTCGACATCTTGGTAAACAATGCGGGGACCAGCTACACGAACAAGGTAAATCATCCCAGTGCTTATCCCGCTCGAGGGTACTCAGTAACAGCCGCACGCAGAGCACCCATGAAGTGACCGAAGACGAGTTTGAGAAGGTCATGGCTGTCAACGTGAAGAGCGTCTTCCTGGGCAGCAACGCCTTTATCATCCAGGCTAAAAGGCAAGGAACCGGTGGCTGCATTGTCAACATCGCGTCTGTGGGTGCCCATCGTCCACGACCAGGTTTGGTCTGGTACAATGCATCCAAAGGCGCCATTGCCAATGTAAGTGCAGTTATAATGCTTTTCCAAAGACCTTCCCAACGATATAATGATAATCTAACAGGAGATTACTTAGGCGACGATGGGTCTGGCTGCAGAATATGGACCAGATGGCATCAGAGTGAATTCCATCTGCCCTTTAGCCACCATGACGGGTTTACTTTCCACATTCATTGGCAAGGAGATCACACCAGATGTGGTAAAGGCACTTGGCGCCGTACCACTTGGAAGAATGGGCCAGATCCGCGACGTGACCAACGCAGCAGTCTTTTTAGCTAGCCAGGAAGCTTCCTTTATCACCGGCGTCAACCTTGACGTGGATGGCGGCCGTGCTATTTGATCAGCGAAATCAATACACTGGTGCAGTACTCCTTGAACTGGGACAATCACGGGCTCGGCACAGATGCGTGGGAAGGAGGTAACGAGAGAATCAAGGTGGCATGATGAAGTCTCAGGCTCCCCACACAACAAGGCAAACCCTAGTCAGATTTGAAGCCTAGGCAAGTTATCTTAGGTGGAAAAGCCTCTAAATGAAAGTGAAGTCATTTATGTCAAAAAGAGTAATCGTTCAGCTTAAACTAGATGTCGAGACATGCACAAGGGTGGCAGCGTAGTGCTTCTAGTGATTTTATTACAAAGGCTAATTGCCTTTCTACCCTTTTCGTTGTCTTCCAATATTTTCTCCTCGCAAGCATAGAATATCACGTCATAACGAATAAGACTTCATATCAGCCAAGTTCACGGAGACCATTCCAATCAGGGGTCCCTGCACTCACATCATCTGGGCTCAGAGGTCGAGGGGTGTTTTTTTGCTTGGTTTAGCTGGAACTGAATAATATTAAGGAGAGTGTTGATTGAAGCTTGTGAAAATTCTGTGCCGAATAGCCGATTATGGTGTGCTAAATACTACTCTGCGTGGCACTACTCTCTCTCGTTTGCTCCCGTATTCAACACCCTCACTTGTTTATTTCGCTGCCTAAATTTCGGTGTGCCACCCTTGATTACCTGATTCATGCAAACCTGGGGAAGATTGTAACGATATAATTGGTTCCGCAGCTGACCTGATTCCTTTGTTCAAGAGAAGACGTCAATAGCAAGGGCCGCTGCACATCCCCCGCTCCAATGGCATAATCTGGGGTTACAAATACATCCTTCAGGGCATCAATTCTTTTTAGCCATCGACACTTTGGGCCCTAGTTCTACGGATGAAAGCCAATTAGGATCGTTGGCCAGTCCATGCCGCAAGCTAAGATGTGACACATGGACACTGTTCTAGCAGAGTGACATGCCCCTCTTACAAACAAGCTATGAGGAGGTCTTCCCAACACCAATAGGTGTCGCCGTGGCGTAGCTCAGATGGCCTTGGGCTACTGCATCGAGACAATTACCCTAGCTTCACATCACGCGACCCCTCCTTCTCTCATGTGTTCTGGACAGCTCATGGCAAGAATGGTCAGATATTGGTGCTGCATGAGAGGTGTCATATTGTTGACAATGCCGTCGTAATGCGTCTAGACAAGACAGCCAATGGCGATTCGTGGTACATCTTGTGTTGCAAACAAAATAAAGATATATTTAGCTTGCTTCCCCCCAAGCGAGCGCTTCACTTGCTCTGCGAATTGGGAACAGCCACAACATCAATTGAGCATAATTTCAACCGCGATAGCTTTTCAGGCTGCTAGTTGTGCATAACTGCCCCCTTGCACCATGTCTGACGACAAAATTGCTGCCAAGGACAGGCAAGTTCTTAAAGCCATTCCTCGATGACCGTATTTTTGTAGGCTAACATTTTCCATCCATCCATGACAGTCATGTCCCGGATCAGCCGAGTACACTTGAGGCTCGACGTGAAAGCGTCGCGACCTTGACACGCAACTTGGAGGGCGAAATTCGAAATCCCCTTCGCGACATTCCCAAGGAGGAGTTACTCAACAATGTCGCCACTTTTCACCAGAACAAAAATCTTCCCGAGGAAATACTGCCCCTATTGAAGAAGGGAGCACTCGTCGCGCAAAACCCCACTGAGTTTGAAACCATCGAAGAACTTGAGGAGAGCGACAAGCAGCCTCTGAGGGAGGAGATCACCAAAAGATGGAAGCATCCTTGGGCCCTGTACTACACCATCATTCTCAACTCGATTGCAGCAGCCATTCAGGGATGGGACCAGGTATGCCGCTTGCTCTGTAGCTATTCAGCACTCTTGCTTTGGGCCCTAACAACTTCTCGCAGACCGGTTCCAATGGGGCCAACTTGACATTCCACGCCGCGCTCGGCATCCCCGATTCTGCTGGATCTGCCTGCGGTCCAGTGGCTAATGAAGGCGATTGTGCAAAGAACAGCTGGATCATTGGGTTTGTGAACGCGATGCCATATATCACTATATTCCTCTTGTAAGTGTGGAATTCCTGATACTTCTATGATTTCCTATCGTTGACTTCATTGATCACATCAGTGCTGGCTGGATATCTGATCCCCTCAACGAGTGGCTCGGCCGTCGTGGGGTCATTTTCGTCGCTGCGATCTTTTCTCTGCTAGCACCTTTTGGCATGGGCGTCTCACAGACTTGGGGGCAACTTGCAGCATGTCGGTACGTATCCATCACCCGTTGATTGCAAACGAGGGTGTGTCTAATGAGATATGAAACACAGCATGCTCCTGGGTATTGGCATGGGGTTGAAAGAGGTTACTGTCCCAGTGTTCTCAGCAGAGAACGCACCCACAATCATTCGGGGAGGTTTGGTTATGTCTTGGCAGGTCTGGACAGCCTTTGGTGAGTTGCGAGTGTCACAGCTTAAGTGGTTGTCTGGACTCTAACTCTGTCTGCAGGCATCTTTCTCGGGACTTGCGCCAACCTTGCGGTCGGAAAGACGGGCGAAATTTCCTGGCGCTTGCAGTTCGCATCCGCCTTTATTCCAGCTGTCCCTCTTGTCCTTGGAACCTGGTTCGCACCCGAGAGCCCTCGATGGTACCTTAAAAAGGGACGACACACTGACGCCTGGAAATCTCTGCTTCGCCTTCGGAACACACCACTTCAGGCTGCCAGAGACTTGTACTACATAAACGCGCTATTGGAGCAGGAAGAGGTACTTGTCAGCGAAGCCGGGCTGAAAGTGACCAGCAACGTGTTTACTCGCTTTGTTGAGCTTTTCACCATTCCGCGGATTCGCCGTGCAACATGGGCTTCAGGTATCGTCATGATTGCCCAGCAGATGTGCGGTACGTTTTATGAGGCTTAGTTAACATATTTCCGTCCTTTCTAATCTCTTCTTCGGTCATTGGATGGGTATTTGTACAGAGAAAGCTAACAAGCGTCAGGTATCAACATCATTTCCTTTTACAGTGCAACAATCTTCAAAGAGAGCGGCATTGACGATTATACCTCTCTCTTTGCTAGCTTCGGTTTTGGCTTGGTCAATTTCGTCTTTGCTTGGCCAGCTGTCTGGACGATTGATACTTTTGGGCGACGGACGTTGCTACTATTCACCTTCCCGAATATGTTTTGGAGTCTGCTTGGTCAGTGACAGCATCCTAGATAGAAAGCTCCATAAGGCTTTCATTTATCACAATTTGAGCTAATCTTTTTTACTCTAGCTGCCGGACTTTGCTATTTGATTCAGCCTGATGTCGAAAACAGCACCGCGCGCATTGCTGCGGTCGCAACCTTTGTCTACATCTTCGCCGCGTTTTACTCTCCAGGAGAAGGTCCTGTCCCCTTCATGTACTCTGCAGAAGTATTTCCTCTCTCACACAGAGAAGTAGGAATGGCCTGGGCTGTGGCAACCAATGTGAGTCCTCTTTGCATATCTTACTTGAAATAACGAAAGACTAACGTGTTGAACAGAACTTTTGGGCATCCGTCCTCTCCCTGACATTCCCTCGTATGTTGATTGCTATGACAGCAACAGGAGCATTCTGTTTCTATGCGGGACTCAACTTGGTCGCCTTGGCTCTCATCTTCCTGTTTGTGCCTGAAACGAAACAGAAGACCCTTGAAGAGCTTGACTATGTCTTTGCTGTCCCTGACCGAACGCATGCTCGCTACCAGCTGAGGACTGTGCTTCCGTGGTGGATTAGAAGATGGATTTTCTTCAGAAAGGGCGAAGTGTGTCCAGATCTGTACCGGGACGCAGCTGTGCAGTCACCGTGGGATGCTGCTGCTGGTCTTGGTGAGAAATCCGGATGAGTCTCGTGTGATTTTTCATGGGTTTCTTGACCGCGTTGGAAGCGTTGTGATTTGCGACTTGATTCCTTGAAGGGATTTAAAGGGGCGCGAGAGAGCAATATCCTGCAAGAAGCTGCAGCAAAATGAGAACTACAGGCGGCCTCTAGGTGATCTGGGATACCTTCTTTTGGCCTAACAATCAGTTTTGAGCATGTTTAGGACAGTATTTGAGTTATCATCTGAAAACTTTGTTTCCGGAGGTTCAATTTTGACAGCGGCCCCATAGATTACCTTTGCGTCTCTAACTAACCATTTGGACCTTTCGGTATCAAATCACTTGCCAATCAGTCTGAGAATACACGATCACCCATAGAGAAATTATGGATCAAGGAGTTCGCAGACAAGGTACAATGCACGTCATAATATCCTCTTTCAAAGAGACAGGCGACATCCATTTGACAACGTAGTATAGGCTATCCACCTTAGCTCTTGTGAGAGCAGAGTAACTCAAGTAATAACCACTTCCATCTCTTTCCTGTCGCACTCGGAGAATTCAAAACGAAAATGTTCACTAAACACGCCGACACGAGAATGGGACACCCCGTTAGCATGTTTCTTCAGTACGAGGCCTCCTTGCGTTGATATCCAAGCCAGTAACCCCTCTCCATCATCTTGCACGTCCAGTGCATATTGATCGCCAAGGTCGAATTCTACAAATACCTCCAACTCCCGCTGCAAATCATGGCTCCACAATGTAGTAGAAGCATGTTTAAAACGACAAGGCACAGCCAATGTACGTATCGTCAATGTAGCGCTGACCACGGCGCTGAACTCGTCGCTCGGAATGCGAGTTTTGATTTCCACGTCCACAATCTTCAAGCCGTGTAACAGCGTAGTATTGGGAAACTCAACCGCGCGCCCAATAGAGGCCCATGACCAAGAAGGCGCCACGTAAGTTCCGGGTCTGATTTCCCCGTTGTTGTGGCTCTGTTTAGCGTCCGAAGGCTTCCACATCATGAGGGTCAAGTCTTCCTGCCACAGCCCGGCCATGTACTTCTTCTGCGCGATATGGCCCATCTTTCTCGCAATTGCCGAAACGGCCAGAAGTCTGTCTTCTTGGTAGCCTATCCCTCGACATGTGTAATGCATTATCAAGCTCTCCCACATGCTGGTGAATACATCTGGGTCTTCAAGGGCAGCCCAATCCATCCCTTGAACTAACCGACTAGACATGTGGTGTCGAGTGAAGATACGGGAATCCCCGATCCACCCGTCAGACTCTGGGCTTGAATCTTCGTTTCTGTTCTGGGCGCAATGCCGGACACAGTGCCATCGCGTGTTGCGCGCGCCGAACTCGAGAACACGGGGTGATAGGATCGACTCTTGAAGACACCATGCTCTTTGGTGGATTGGGTCCCAAAACCCTGGCTCCCTTCCCTTCCAAAATATAGCGCTGCCTATCTTCCCATTTTTGCATAAATAGGGTATTCGGAAGCCCCTTTCACCGGGGATATATCGAGTCTGGAGGAAGCCCTCATTCACGGCCTTTGCACGGGCCGCGGAGATTGTGAGGGCTGCTTGTTCGTATATTTCGCCCATTCTCGAAATTTCTTCCATCTTGTCTTGGCCGGAGTCCTGAATAATACACAAAGCGTCAACCCAGATGTGCTCGAATCCGAGCTCAGCGGAGACATTGACTGCATCACGTATTGTGCATGGAAGACTCGAGTAAGGAATATCTGTCGACAGAGAAACGATGTTTTGTTGGAGTAGCTTCAGTTTCTGATCCCCGCCCCAGCAATAGCTTAGCGCTGTGTAAGGCCGTTTCTGTGATGCGTTTGTTGCAATTAAGCGTAGCGTTGGAGTCGAGGTAAACTTTGTAATCTCTATCAGTCGTCGAGGTACTGTTGATGTTTTGGGAACGTTTTCGTTGGCCGGCAGAGTTTTTCGTAGGCTTCAGCATTCTGTATGAGATCTATTGCAAGCATCTAACCAATCTCGGTTCTTCCGCATTGAAGGTTTTGAAGCAGGGTCCCAGTTGGGTCGACGATGAGTTATTTCAGAAGCAGCAGCATCCCTACCCGGTTAGCAAGATATCAATCATCAATTTGATGGGCATGGAACATATATACCCTTCATCAGCGTATAAAACGACCTGCGCATTCGGAGTGGCTCCATCGATATGGTCCTCTAGCTCATTGACCCAGTCAAGCACAAGTTGTTCTTCTTCAGTGCCTAGAAGATATGCCCGCAAGAAACTCCCAAATCGTGTATCCGGACGGCGAAGAGTCACAAGCCACATGAAAAATTCGCATCCGCGTCGAGCTTGTGATATTGCTTGCTCGTAGCTAATGTTGAAGAGGTACGCTTAACCTGCAGTGTAATAGTTCTCGTTGATATATTCATACCATCCTTTTGTTGTGGATTCCACTGAATGATTTCCTAACGTGAAGATCAGTCTTGATTGACAAGCCACACACGAATGAGGCTCCATAGCTGTCATATTTTCCCACGGAGCTGCGGCACGATGAAGATTTCGCCGGGTTTTCAGGGTAGGAATGAGAGGGGTAAAGAGGGGTATGAGCAGATGATCCGGGGTGCGGTGAATGCTCGGAGGTGGTCAGCATGGCCAAGCCAATTCTGATCCGAAAGCTTATGATCTGATTGAGTATCAAAATATTGAGTCATTCGTTATTCTCAACTTCAATTCCCCCTATTAATTGGTTCACAACTTGATCATTAGCTTCGTTTTCACCATCCTATTTAATTCAAACTGAATCGGCAATTAAAAAGAACGAATATAGTAAAGAATTTCCTAATCAAGGGAGTAACTACCCGACTTCATCGTCGGCCTTGATCCTCTCAACTTAAATACCCTCTATATGGCAGTCTCATTCTAGACAGAATTCCTGCATCAGCTACTTGAGTGTGATCATTTTCTTGAACATTTAGCCCCGTGAGATTAGCAACATCATCTTAGTATGTACAATTCCATGTGCCGGACACATATTCTGGTGACATGAGGCTCGGAGGATTTCACGGACTCGCGATAGCGCATTGACGGGGACGTTCACATGTATTCGAATTTCATCGTTTGCCACTTCTGTTCTCACTCTCTCGACCCGTGTGAACCCGCTGAGTTTAACAAGGAGTTTAACAAATTGAAACCGACGATTCCCACTAGCTATAGTTAGAAGGCGACTGAGAGAGAGAGCTAAGAGTTATGTGACAGCTTCCATGACGAGTGGCATGGGAGTGTCACAAAGCCCGACATTTGCTACAAAGGCTTCAGTCGTTTTCCCTCAACATGCGCCTGTTCCCAAACCACCGTGCTTTCTCTTAAAGCTATTCCCCTCGGGTTTAGAAACGAAATATCTATTTGCAGTATAGTGATCTATGAACTCAAGAAGGACGATTGATAATTATCACAACCACAAGCAACTCATGATAATCCCCTCTCAAAGCGCTGTTACACGCAAAAGATCCATTCAACAAGCAGCAACTCAAGTTTGATCGGCTAGATAAGACTCTGTCCCCTGTGTGGCCTTGGCCGTGTTGCCATCTCCAAAATACCTCTGGAAAGGTAAAACGCCGATGGCCTTTTCAAAATGAAAACCATATCGCTAGAACTGATATGTAGATTGCCAATGAGCAGATGCTGCTGGCTCTATATTCGGCGAGGTTTAGCTAAGCTCTATCCCTTCCTCAACAAAGCTAAATTGAAACGCAGGTTGATTATGTACGATGCCAAAATTGAATTGACATCTGACCTCTGCAGGATGATGAAAGTCCCCCTTGTAGTAGGCCAGGAGTTAGAACTTGCTGTCGCAGCTACAGGGGCGATCGGCTTGATACATATCATACAGGGTCAGCCGAGAAGGTAGGCTTTGAGGAACAACAACACAACACACAACCATCAGAGAATGAGTAGATACATATTACTGACCCAAATAAGTATTTGTTATTAGCTGTATCCATTTTAATCCAACAGCAGGGTTAATGCTAGATCTGCCACTGATGTAAGCATCATTCTGACTTTGCATCGCTGTCTTTCTCAGGTGCACTGGCTTCATCCTCGCCCTCATATTCATCATCCCCAGGCCTCGAAGGCATCTCGTTCGTGCCATCTTTGCCCGTATCTGTCCCGCGTGCTTCCTGAAGTCTAGGCATATTGGCTGCCCTTTCATTTGCTACTTCGATAAATTCCTCACGATATTTGTGAGCAAGTTGTCTCAGGGCTCGGAAAGCATATATTCCGTCCGCAAAATTCGACTTATCGAATAGGTGGAAGCCTCTCAGAAGGGTGATGTGATATCCCGGGTGGCGATTTGTATGAATGGTCGGCGCCGCAACATGGTGTGCAAAGAGACAAAGGATTCCTTCGATGTAGGTAGCACTAAATGTGTACGCATTATCATCGAATTCCGGGGTCTCTTTACCAAAGTTCTGCACAGCATGCATCATCCGTGAGCCATAAGCCCCTTCGAGTGTCACCTGTTTCTGAGCAATACCGATTCTCCCATGCGGGCCCTTGGCTTGGAGGAAAAAATTGGTCACGAGCACGTTCCGAGAATCTCTGCTCGGCGCAATGATTGTCTCCAACTCGTCTCTCACCCTATCCTTGACTCTTTCGGGCTCGACACCATCGCACAAATGTGGTCGAGGAGCAGATATCTCGCCGTCGGTCATGGACTTCAAGTTGAGGAATCGGACATTCTCCATATTTTTGATATCACTTGAGCCCGTCAGTAGACCAACCACATATTGCATTACATAAGCATCTGATCCAGCTTCAGTGGCGACTTTCTCGAAATTTTCAAACTCCGCATCACCAACAAGGTGATCGCCTGGCTTCGGCCTTAGTATTTCTAATATCGATGCAATATTTTGAGGTCGAGGTGAATATTTTCTCGTTGGAGTCGTCCATGTTCGTGGGTAGATTTTGTATCTGATGCATTTGCGTAGAAAATCTGGTTTCGATGCACCGCTTGCGCGTCTCGGTGCTTTCTGTGGGATGGCCATTTCGCTAGTGGATTATTCGTAATTAGGATATTAAGAAGGTTCCCTGGTCTCTGTGTGATATTGGAAATGTTCGCTTATAGTCTAGAGAATCAAAAAGCGAAAAGAGAGAGGAGTGGCCAGGTATAAACTTCCTCGAAGACCTGTAGGATGGATCTGGCCGCTCTAGCAATAGTTTCGGCTTTTCTTGTTCAGTAAACACATACGCCAGTTTACAAATAAGTTTTCTGATTGCGTGGCTATTCTTGTACTGGGAAATCCAGAAATCAAGGATAGAGATGTGCTTTGTATTGTTCAAACTTTACAGTTCATGGTCGCTGAAGCAACTTTTTCAACATCCTGTTCGCTCGGCCAACAAATGAGGTGCTGTCCGGGTTCTAAGCTAGAGTTTGTCACGATGGATGGCACGGAGAATTGACAATCTATGCTTTTGAAACATCAAGGCTGTAAGGCCCAACGGCGTCAATTACAATTGGAATCGACTCAGCACGCTCTGCCCTACCATCTGTAGCTGTCTATGCATCGCATTTCAGTTTAGGCGTTACTTAGGGAAGTTACTAAGGTTGGTGATGCGAACAAAGGAGAAAATCCAGGATGTGTACATACACTCAACTAACCGCATGTTGTACAAGGTATTGCGGGGGTCATCTACATCAAGCCTTTGCGAGAATATAAGAAAGGCGCTTAAGTGTCCCTCCAAAAATCATTCTCGATTGCTCATGATATTCCATAAGCAATTGCGATTACCGAAATGCATGCGCGCCTACATATGTCACTGTCGCGATCAAAGAAAGAATGGGAGAGCCTGAACGTACGCTTTTTTCCCCCATGATCTAATCGACTTGGATCATCTTCAAGTTTGAGAGATTCCTTGTAACGTGCGACCATGTCGGCGCCGCTAACTTAGAGTGTGTTTGCACGTTCACATGCTGAAAATAGGAAAACGTTCAAGGTAGAAAAATACCCGGATAGCTGGGGACTCATCAGCTCAAGCCTGCACGGATTCTGATAAACTGAACATAACTTCGTTATCGGTGCGTGGAGGTTCGAGCTAGTGGGGCCGCCACCACAGATTGAAGCTTGGGACCTTTTGAAGAGAATCGATCACTTCATTTTTTTCTCATTTTTTTAGGGCCAAGGTAGCGCCTCATTCAATAGCCTATTGATCTAGACCTAATACGTTAGAGATATGCACAAACAAGAATTGAATCATTACTAGGTAGGTACAATGTCACTTTGGTTAAATGGCTGGGTGCCTACTTGTTGGGTCCAGGGTAGGATGGTACCTACTGAACACCTTGACCTCAAAATGTCGGTATGAGAAATATCAAGGCCGAACCCAGGCGATCACCTTGCTGATGATGCGGAGTTTGAAAAAATTGAGAGCGCCGCTGCTCACGCTGCGTGGCTGTTGACCGTCTCGGAGGCCCAGTAGCAGGATGGGGGCATACTCCAGGTTCGTGAGTGGTTGGGCAGGAAGATCGCGATATGGCATCGAGTAGTAGCTAATGCGAAAGCGATTAGAAAAGATCCATCAGATTGTTTTGAACCTGACCTACCTTCAGAGCATAAATGGGGCTATTGTTCTACTATTGAGTGCTCGAAATTGCGTAGCCCAATCGTAGCTCTGACGACGTCTTGGCTCGTGGCGGCCCGAGCCTTCAATGGACCTATAGAATCGAGGCAGCTTCGAAGGTACGTCAGTCTGCGCTATGCCAAATTCGCCTCCTTCTGACAGCCGTACTTTAACCACCATTACGTAATGGAAGTTGAGGGGAACTATTTATGGAGCTGCGATCGATCGATCGGGCTATAACTTAGGCTCATCCATCCATCCCTTGCTGTTGCTAGCAGCGGGTTCGCCGCAATCAAGTCGCCTGGATAGCTTCAATCGTCCGGCATTCCTCTCCAGCCATCATGCCTCCCCAGCCCTTTCGCTTCACGGATCTCCCGAGCGAGCTCCGTAACCGCGTCTACAAACTGCTGCTCTGCGACGTGGAAGAGCCCGAGGACTCCTCCCAGCTGGAGGTTGTGCCCGAGCTCATCGCCAGGGTCAAGCACAATGTGCAGACGTCGATCCTTGCCACGAACCGCCAAATCCACGCCGAGGCAAAAGATGTCCTCCATAGAGAAATCAAATTCGTCAAGTTTGGAGCCACCATGGAAATACCAAATATTCACGTGTTGAAGTCTCTCATCAAAAACAAATGCGCCCCGGTCTTTACTATGGACAGGACGGCGATTGACAGATTCAATGGCCACGTCGTGTCCTACACCCTCGTGCAGCATTTTACAGAGCTCCCCAATTCCACCTTCTGCTGTCTGATTTCTCACCGCGACCTTGATCTCTTTTGTCGCGCCATCGGCAATGCGGAGACCGCAATCCCGGGGTTCTGGTCGGAGGTCACCCACACCATCACCGTGTGCGCTCCGTACCAAGTCCCCCTATCTGCTGTTAAAAGCCAGCAAGAAATGCTTCTCGCGCCGCTCCGTAGGCACCTCCGTGGGCTTCAAACCGTTCTCGTCCAGGGCGAGGTCGACGAGGCTCTTGCCACAGCCGTCGCTGATCAGCTCACATCCTACGTAATCGAGGACCCTGAAATACTTCTCGATAGGCTGAGGGCTCTCAAGGCGGCTGGGACTGCATATTTCATGCAAGGAGATTCTCGATTGTGCAGCGAGTCCTGGTCCAGGGCATGCATTGAGATCAGGCGTGCCCGTGGTGGAGCCATGTGGGCGACCCTCGCTTCCGTTCCTGATTTTGCTAGGGACTTGACTGAGCTTTATTTCGTCTTGAACCTGAATCTGTCTCAGAACACCATCAAAGATATGGATGGGAGCCTGAACCACCCGGAACTTGCCCCGCGACAGGCAATTACATCGCTGCTCGCACTGCGCAACGCCTTTCACGGACTAGCTGGCTGTAAAATGTATTGGCAGCCCAGTGATGATCAAATGGCAAAGCTCTGGTTTAGGAAATCAAAGACCCACAGGCTTTCCAATGATTATGCCGACGCTTTTGAGGCTATCGAGCGTGCAGAAGACCTATTGCCTGATGATCCCGTTATTCAGGAAGAGAAGCAGATTATAGAGGCTATGATGTCCTAAGCGGCCATCATATAGATTAAGGTCGAGCTTAATGCCGTTTACCTTGCTTCTAATGAGCTTAATTGCTTAGCTCTATTTGAAACTTCCATGTCCGATCTTTATCTGGACCACTGGACCGTGTGAGTTGGAATTGGGTTGAGATGGGCCTTGAAATGTAACGACATGTAACGACAAAACACGCTGGGATTGAAAAACAAAAGCTTATCTGGATATGGCGTTGGATAAATTATATGGCAAAGCCATGATGACGACTTTATGAAACGGTGCAGACATTGAATGGGCAGCTCACTGGAGAAGGCCCACAGAGTATCACTGACACGATCTTTTGACATAGCACCTGATTTGATTGATATTTACACCAGGCATATGAATAAACGAAGAAGCCAAGTTCAACAATAATGACTAGCTATATACAAATCAAAAGCGAGTGTGAATGTTGGCTATGAAATAATTCTCAGTATTCATCCGTGCTCCAGGACCAGCTGGAGCCTGTTCAACGACAAGTTCTCCCTCCTTAGAACTGCTGTCGCCTACTGGCCGTTTACTCTAGGCCTTAAAGGCCCTAGCAAACGTAGTACCGCAGCTCCCAACAGGGCTAGCAGTCTTGCTAGATGCGTAGGTCACATCAGGACCAGGGTTGGGGAACACAACATCATATGTCTCAAGAGTGCTGCAGCCGTTGCCAACGTTGGCTACAAACATGTTGGGGCGGCTGGCAAAAGGGTCACTGGGTGCGCGTTTCTTGACTTGAGGGTCCTCTTCCCCTTCATCGGCACCGATTTCTCTGGTGTCGGCAGATTTGGCGCTGCTGATGGTAACATGAGCACAGTTCATATACATCTCACGGTTGCCGAGGTTGTTCCACCACGACCAGGCAAAGAGAGCGCTGCCGGCTGGTGTGTCGTTGGGCAGGGTGAATGACCAACTTGTCTTGAGGGGACAATTCCCGATGTAGGAATGAATGACTTTGAAGGTTTTGCCCTTGTCGTAAGAGAGTGACACCTGGCAGCTACCTCCGTTATGGGTAGCTGAGCCAGCAACGGTCATGGTCTGGGTTGAACCGGGCTTCCAGGTGGCAACGGACTGGCCCTGGGATGTGCCGAGAAGTGAGTGATAACCCTTGCAGGGGAAGTCGCTCCCAGAGCCGCTCAGCGGGTTTGTCATGGAGTAATCAATGTCTGTGGTGTAGGAGTTGTAGCGAGAGCGGAAAGGCGGTGGGCTCATCACTTCCATGTGGGCGTTGGCACCAAAAGCCAAGAGGCCGAGAAGAGAAGCCGTGATGGAGAGCTTCATGGTGATCCGGATGTGCAAATTTGTGGATATAGTTTAATTGATTGTGTTCAAGTCTTAAACTGAATGCTTGTTTAATATTGAAGTGAGACTTTGAGTTGGACAGAGCTTGAGGGTCCCTATTTATAATAAGTCCGCCGCCAACAGATGAGACAGCAACCTTCCTCACATATGTATTGAATTCCTGGCTCCGCAACTGAGCATGTGATGGTAGTATGAGAAACGGTCACATTATTGCTTCAACCACTCCATACTGCGGTAATTCTTATCATTTATTTCTAAGCAGTTTTCACCTCAATGGTGATGAAATCCAGTTTCTCCATCTGGACTAGACATACGACAATGCAACCACCTTGCGCCTTGTAGTCTGCTCCGTAGTTGACAGCGTCCCATTTTAATTTATTAAAAGATGGGTCAATGGCGCTAAGATATCGACAATGACTGGCTTGCGCGGCTTCGGCTGCTGTAGCGAGGAGACCTTGGGGAGAATAGGTGTAAGAGGAGGCAGGCATACGTTCCATCGTTGAACAGCTGAACAAAGTGTGTGCGGCATCGAATGCCGGTTGGTAAAAATGGTTATGGTGACTCCAGGCAAGCTACACCATATACAGTCTTCCCAACCACTGTGTTTCACTATTTGTGGTGACCCGCCTGGATGGGCTCTTGTGTCAAGAGGGCCTAGAACACGGCCAACCACCTTTCAAACTAGTTGAAGACCCTCAAATATGGTCAACTTTTCACATAGAAGGCTGATGCATATCCTCATGAGAAAAGAATAAAGTCTTCGTTCATGGTCTAATATATTTGGACTCCTTAGGATCTACATATTCTGACAGGTGAGATGGGACGAAGTGACGCAGATCGAAAGAATTAAGCTGCCAAGAGCTACCACTTAACGTGCCATACTGTCTTGAAATCCAGGGGAAGCAGGGATTTTGGGTTCGTCAGGCGACTAATACTCTATGCCGTAGAATGTGTGGCCAATCATTTGCCCTGCAGTAATCATCCTCTTCCAAGGAGTAATCAACCTTGAAACCCTTCCACGCTGATCCGCAACTAGGTATAGAGGTGCGGCTACGGATTATGCCCCCTGTTGGTCATCTGGACGAAAATAAAAGTCCGGCTTGCCCAGGGTGGACACCGCCATGGACGGGGGTAACGTAACGTTTGGTCCTCGAGGCCTTGTCTATGGATATAGTCTGTTCATCTATGAGTCTTTTTCTGATTCCTTTACGGTTCTTTCTGATCATTTGCAGGATTCAAACGGCTGTTGGGGAATCCAAAGATTCAATTAGTTGATCCGACCTCTTGGCTCTTCAGAAATGTTGTGGGATCTCTAGGGGAGTCCATCATGAGAATGGATGAATAGGGAAGGTGGTCCTCTACTTTTGCGGCATAATCGGTAGGAGACCACTGTATCAGTATATTGGAGTTTTACAGGCTACAGACTTTGTATGCTACGATTACCATGTGACTCACGTGTCAGGTCCATATAGCGATAACAATTTCAGAAGGTGACATTGACGCACCTTTAAGTCTAGGCATGTCTTAACGCCCACATCCTTTGGGTCCCTTGCATTAGCCTTTTTGGGTCTCAGCAGAATCTCAGGAAGGATTTTAGGTAGAGTATGGTATATTCAATCAGACTGAACAACAGGATTTGGCCATTGAAAAGAGAGATGGCCTGCTCTAACTGTACTGTCTAAAATTCCAAAGCTCATGAGACTACCTAAATCTGGTTCTTGAATGAGAGCAATGTATCAACTACGAAGCTCTATGCTACTCGGGCTCCTTGTGAAGAAGTTGAGTTGGTTCTTTTGGTTCCACGCCACACGACGCTTTCGATTCTATAGGAACGTTACATGCTCTGTCCAACATCTTGGCTCATATCTAATGTACTCGCCCACGACCTTGAAGGCACTTCCGTTGAGATATGGTCTGGAAACATTTGAAAGAATTGTCGGAAAATACGCATACATGTGATTCAGTTTCCTTTTCCAAGCCAAGTATGAAGTCATCGAAGGATCTAGTGATAAGAACGTCGGACTCAGTATAAGAGGAGTGGGTGGGTGGAAGGGAGATATGAAGCGTAACGTGTTGCCAATAATTATTGGCGCAACCAGAATCAGTTTCACCTGTCTATTCCAACTGCCAAGGACTGGGACGGGCTGCAGCCAACTCCAAGAGAGAATAAGCCAAGATTGCTTCGGAGGGAGTCTATCAGAATGCACGGTAGTATGTCTCTCCGAACACCAAGTTTTGGGCCAAATGATAGAGCCCCTTTAATCCCACCAGTTTCCCTGTTGCGTTTAGAAGTAGCCTCTGGATGCGACCGCTCGGACACGAAAATCTTCCAACAGACAAACCAAGAAGCTATATTCAACTCAGAAGCATCAGGCGAATATGATCACGAGAAAGCCATGAGGTCGTCCGCGCGAAGCTGCAAAGACAATGGGGAAGGTCTCATCGCTTCTTGGTCTCAAAGTCAAACCGCCTGTACAACAGCACCTGGTGAGAAATCTAAACAGTGTAACGTTTTCCCACGCCAGGACTTCCTCAGCACCTTCCAAGGAGAGCGCGGCTAGTGGTTGTGATAGCATGCACCCACTAGGCTCATCGCCACACGATCCCACCCTCAGAGTATATGGGTGTTCAAACATATGCAATGTATTTTTTTATACAATTTTAATTCTCTATTATGTCATAGTTTGGCGCAAATCCATTCTAGACTCTCCCTCTCTCGGCCTGTTTGTCCTGGACAAAGAGAACAAGAACGTAGTCACTCCCGACCTTCAGGTATAGAGGCCGCCCATGGGCACACAAGGTTTCATTTCACTTACTCCATATTCAATCAATAAGTTCCAAAGACAAGATTATTCTCTGTGCATCATCCCGTATAGAGCTAGGCCCAATATAACCCAGAATTCAATGGCCAGCAAGCCTTGTCAACTCGCTGAGGGGTCCACCGATTTTCGGAGAGATGTGTGTTACTACAGAAGTATTCCAGCATCAAACATTTATAAAATTACTCTTGTATTTAAATCAACAGACCGTCTCAGCTCATGAAGCAGCATGGCCGAGGTCAGTCATGGCCAGTGCCACTCTATAAAATTTACCATGGCAGTAAAGAAAACTGTGGGTTCCTAATACTTTGGAAGGTTTTGATGCATTATGCCTCTTGCCCTTCGAAGGCCCAGGCAAATTTCATGCTACATGAATAAGTCAAGGAACCGGTATTTGAAAACACTCGCCTTATGTTACATTTCATTGTGACTCCAAGAGCTAACAAGTCTGAACATTCTATTTTAGGGTGGGGTCTTCAAATTCAAGACAAAGCGAACGAAAACATCTTCTTCGCCGGCGAACACGATGCAGCATCCCATTAGTGGTCAAAGCATCTACCTTGCATTGAACACAAAGAGTTCGGGGCACATCCTAACATGGCAATTGAAAGAACTTCCTTCATGAAACGTTTTCTTCATTAGTTTTAACAACTTTATACATTCCCCAAAACTAGAACTTGATATTTTCTCATACTGTAAACTGCCGAATTCGTCAGCTCCTCAAGAACCCCCCGCATAGTTATGGAAAGTTATGTCTAAACTATTTCCGAGTTCTTTCCATCTTTCCAACTATCTATTGCAAACTTAGGCCATTGAGTAGAATATGAGATGTATTAAAGCCCTTAGTGCCATTGCAGCAACGAAAGAGTTGTCTTATTTGGATCAACGCGACAGCGAATGGACGATCATCGCCCTAGGGAGACGGCGCAAAATCTAGAAGCAGGTCCAAGGCTTATGGAGTTTCCCAAATAGGGGTAACGTAATCCACAAGTAAGCTGATTATATAAGTAAGCTGATTACTTCTACCTATCCCTTATATAATAAAGTTAATTAAAATAATAATAGCTAATTATCTATAATAATAATACTAGAAATTAATTTATTAGACTTCTCTCTAGTCTCCCTATAGATTTAGATATTATAATCAGGCTTTCTATAATTACTATATTATAGAGTCTTTATATAAATCTACTCTTCCTAATTATTATTTCTATAGTTTTTTTCTTTTAGCTATTTATCTATATCCTTCTAATCTAATAGATCTATTTTATTCTATATAGTTAGAAACTCTCTAAGCTATATATAGCTTTTTTTAGCTCTTTAGTATTTATTTAGTATTTTATTTACTATATAAAGATTATAGATCTTAATATATAAAAGAGCTATCTAATATATTATTATAATTACCCTCTTTATAAATTAATCTATTATAACTAGTATAAAGATTAGGAAGTTATTTTAATAAGCTAAAATTTAAAATTTAATATATTTAGACTATATATTTATCTTATATATAGTCTATAGTATCTTTAGAATCTAAAACTATTTTATTTTAAATAGGATCTCTAGTAATATTAGTATTTATAGTACTATATCTAGCTTTAAAAGAACTCTCTCTAGATTATATAGTATTAGATTAGATCTAATAAAGTTTATCTAGATATTTTTCTCTATAAAGAAATAGAAGAAGATTATATAAAAAATAAAGAGAAATTTAAGCTTATTAATATAGATAATATATATCTATATTAAACTCTTAATCTCTTATTTATATAACTACTTAAATAATCTAAAGTAGTTAATATCTAGTAGCTAAAGAAGATAGAAGAAATAAGAAGATATATAAATTATAATAATCTTTTACTCTTAATAATAGATCTTAAAATTAGCTAAATAATAGCTCTTATAACTAGTTATTAAGAATTAGTATCTAATATACCCTCTTTATATAAGAAGCTATATAGAAATTAAAGTATTTAATCTAATCTAGACTAATCTTATTAATAGTCTAGTTATTCTTAGTTATTATAAGCTATTAGTTATATAGTAGATTATATTTCTAATACTAGTTCTTAAGATAATATTAAGTAGTTAGAATAATAAAAGAAGAGATAGTCTAGCTAGCTATATTTACTTCTTAGATTATAATTACTTACTTCTAGTTATTAGATTAAACTAGTTTAATCTTTATATAACCCTCTGAGATTATAATTACTATCCTAGAGAAGATAATATTTATTATAAAGCTAGTTTTATTAAAGTTATATAGATTCTTATCTAGAATACTATATTTTATCTTTAGATTATATATAAAATTAAACTAAGATATAATAATCTTTAAATCTTTATATTTAGCTCTCTAATAGTTATATTTCTAAATCTAATATATATAAAGCTCTAATTACTACTTAATAAAGTTAGAAGCTTAATTAATACTAATAAGAAGTATATTATATATATATATATATAGTAGGATATTAACTATTTTCTTAATATTATATATTCTAAAAGGAAATATATATATAGATAGCTTAAGTATATATAAGATAATAACTTCTTCTTTAGATTTTAATAGATTTATTAATTTTAATTAAGTATTATATTTTATTATATAATTAGTATATTAGTTATAAAGAATTATATATAGAACTTAATAGATTTTTACTATTACTCTAATACTTAATTTTAGATTTTAATTAAGAGCTTAGATTATAAGGATAATATTTACTTTATATAAAGTTATATTTATTTTATAGTAGAAAATTATTTAATTATAAAGAGGAAGTTCTAATTTCTGGATAGAAGTAATCAGCTTACTTATATAATCGGCTTACTTGTAGATTACATTAGAGTGATATGGAATTATTCTACGCCGGGTTAATTGTTCGCGAGTACAACGCTACTAAAAGACCGAAAGGGGAATGATACTCGCTTCTCTTCCACGATCGGCTTTGATGGCTCCAAACACATTCATCACTTTATCCCGCCTTCCGTTTCGGGCCAGTTTTAGGGTTCTGATACTCTCGGAGCGCCGTCTTCCGAGAATCAGGGGTAGAACCGGTAGTTGTTCCACAGCCCAACATGATACGAAGATGAAACCTCGTAAAGAAAATTAGTGCCGGAGTCCTCCATCCGAACGTAACACTTCTATGAGAGCCAATGCGAATAAACATATAAACTGTTCGATGAGCCCGCAGAAAAGAATGCCTAAAAGCACCTCATCTTCTCTTATAGTTAAGCTTCCAGTTAAGGACACAAAGTTTATACAATTTAAGCTTATTTTCCCAACCATACATCTTTCTTTTTCTCCACCAACTACCTCTCAAAGATGCGTTTCACAACCGTAACCGCCGCTATCTTAGCCTGCTCAACGGCTGTGTCCGGAACACTTAACTGGTCACTCCAAAAGGCGTCCAACCCCACGGCAGACCAGCGTGACGCCTACGCCAAAATCGAAAGCGCCATGACCAAAGGCGTAGCCCGCTATCACCGCTTTACCAATGCCAACAAGCAAATTCGAGTCTACTACGAACCCAGCGTCCCCACGGCTGAGGCAAACTACAACGGAGATCTGAGGTTCGGATCTAACCGCGCCTACATGACGGAGCGCACCGCGATGCACGAGATCGCGCATACTCTTGGAGTCGGGCAGACAGCCGCTTTCAACACGAAGTGTGCTGCTAACAACTGGCCTTCGGCGACCAGGCTACTCCAGTCATGGGACGGATCCAGCGCAAAGATTAGCTGTGGAGGAGGTCACTTTTGGCCTTATGGGTTGAATTATGAGACGGAATGGAGTGAGACGAACGGCGATCGTCATGTTCAGATTGTTAATGCCATGTTGAACGACGGAATGTAAGCAATGAAGTTAAGAATATATGGTATAGTGCCTTGAAAGAATTTTATCAAATGATGTGACCAACAGAGTTCCGGAAATATTGCTTTATGAAGTCAAGTGATCTATGATTGATTTTAGGCAGATTAAACGTAAAGATCAACTGCCTCTTCAGACACCGCAGTAATGCCGTGGGCTACACTCATGTAATATCTCTTAATCCGACCATTTGACAAAGCTAGAGATGCAATAAATGGTCATATTTGAGCTCCTAATTTCAAAAGCTTATCTTAACTCCGCATTTATTTGTCATTGATATCAACAAGAATCTTCACATGATTATTCTTGTCGTTGATTAATGTCTTGATTCCATCTTCTACAATATTTTCAAGCTTGATCTTGCGAGTAATCATTTGTTCTGCCTCGATAGCGCCTGAAACTCTCGTCAACAAGATACGTAGGACGGTACGTCGGGAAATTAAACTCACCAGTTCGCATATTGTCGATTACAGCTTGGTAGTCCTTTTTGTCGTATCCTAGAACGGACTTGTATACACTCTCCTTGAATGTAATTAGGTTAGGGTTGAATGGGATCTCCTTCTCCCAAATGGCAACATTAACAATAGTGCCTTTCGTTTTGACGGCCTCGCATGCACTTTTGATGCTAAACATCAAAATGTCAACATGAAACTGAAAATTACACAAGGACTGTGGCTGGATATTACCTTGCAGGCACTCCGGCACAATCGAAAACAGCATCGGCGCCTTTGCCATTGGTCGCATCCAGGATAAGCTGCTTCACATCTTCCGTTGCAGGATTGACAATAGCAGAAGCACCAAACTGGCGTGCAAAGTTCTGGCGAGAGGTAGCGACCTCAGACACAATGATGTCCTTGACACCCTTGGCCTTGAGGCAGAGAATGGCCGCCAATCCGATCGGACCACCTCCGAGAACCAACGCAACAGTCTGTTCGCCAATTTCAGGAGCAGCGCTCACAGCATGCCACGAGACGGCAATGGGCTCGACCAACGCACCCATCTCGAGAGTCAGATTCTGAGGCAATGGGAAGACGTGAGTGGCGCTCACACATACGGCTTCACTGAGACCTCCGCCGCCACCGCTGAGACCGACGAAGCCTCCATCATGACAAACGTTTTCGGCATGGGCTGCGCAAGCAACGCAATGGCCACAGAATATGGTCGGCTGGACGGTGCAAGGCTGGCCTATCTCGAAACCTTTCACGTCGGCGCCGATCTCTGTGATGATGCCAGAAAACTCATGCCCGAGGGTAACGGGAATTGTCTCTCCTGTGACTCCATGTGGTGTAGTAGGGCAGAAATTGGGGCCTCCCATATACTCATGAAGGTCTGTTCCACAGATTCCAACAAATGCGGGAGCCAGCTATAGCCATGTGGTTGTGTCAGCCAGTTACTGACGAGCCAAATTACTCAAGGTCACTCGCCTTTATCTGGTTTGGGCGGACTGCCGGTATAGGGATCTGCTCGATTCGAATATCTTCTTTGCCCCAGTACTTAGCGGCTCGCATGGTACTGTAGTAGAGGCCTGTTCGTCGGAATGCCGCCGTGGTGATGCGTGGGCCACGGGTGACGAAGCCCCGGAGGGATGTAGCCGGAATTCTCGTCATTATTTCTCCAAAGTGTCTAAGGTGGAGTAGATGGAAGATGAGTAAATGTCAGAGTAAGTTGAAAGTTTTCAAATACAAGTTGTGCCGTTTAGCCTCCTCCATGTCTAAATCCCATCCGCATCTTGGTGGGCATATACTGTCAGCCCATGGCGAGAATCATGAGAGGCCCCATAATATGTTGCATGATTCCGGGCATGAACAACGCTAATCTACCCACAATTGAGATCGATGAGGCTCTGATTTTATCGTCATTCCAGGGAATAGCAACGGTGTGAGCTAATCCGACGCCTCTCTTTGGGCAATGCAAGATGGCGGAAATGAAACAATCCTGGCCCCCTGCTGATCCTGATTCACCAACCGCTGTGTCGTGGGGGTCACCTTACTCGCCATGCTGGACTTCTTAAAAAAAGATGTGCCTTGATATTGAACCAAGTCTTAATACCAAAGTTGCTGTTACCAGCATTTAATACTTTCCAGAGACGAGAGTTGCCGAGGAGCTGCTCACCGAGTCCAGCTAGAAAAGAACGTCACACTACGTCAACCACGAATGAAACCATTCCTACTTGCCTCATATCCCCGATGCTTATATTTACAAATTCGTCATCTCCGCAATGAGCCTGGCCTCTTAGACTTGAGTCAGTTCTCCATTAATCACGAAGATGCCATGTGAGATTGCGCCGAACCCTCCAACCAGACCAGGTTCCTTTATGAGTGAAGTCTTCGGAGCAATCATTTCACCGTCTTCCCACAAACTATTGCCAAAATTAGGTGCGTGGAATATACTGGCAAAGCTGCCTCTGTAATCGGCGGGAAAAGTCAATCAAGTGTTCTCAGCAGGTCCATGCTTCCCGAAAGAGGCGTCTTTCAGAGCCCAACGAATATTTCCGTCGGTATTCCCAGCAGACATCATCTAAGGGTTAGGATGGTTAGACTTCACTTAAAGTGTAGTTATTTTAAGAAGTACATAAAAACTCTTATATAACCAAGAATCTGTGCGCGCGGAGACAAGCACAAAGAATATGATCCTGCATCTTGAGAATACCACAAATTCCAGGAATGAAGGCAGCTGAACGCCGTACATCGATTCCCCGATGAATCTACTCGAGTAATTTTGTGCTTTTTGTGCAGTTGCATACCCTAATGGTGTCGAAAAGGGTTTGATGCATCACACTATTGCCTTAGCAGGCCGGTGAAAATAGCGGCCTCCAAAACACAAGCATAATTTATTACGACTAGTCATACACATTGAGTCAAATCATTCTTCAGGTCTCTATACGAACAATTTGGTCACTGTCTCAAACTCAACGGATGGGACGGCAGTGGTTTCTCTTGGCTTAGGATTGTGGCTTCGGAGCAAAAATGACGGCATTGCATAACGCGTACCCGGACCACGAATGAAAACACATGGAGCCATCTCAGCCATGCCTATCATTTGTTCAGCTGAGATGAGGTCCCCCGAATATGGGCGCTATTACCTTATCCCGCATAAGATCGAGCCCAATCGCTTCACCGTAATCGCGTTAAGGCTCTCGTGTATGCAAGGAGGCATGGACCGCCTTGAGGTCTAGACTTGTCGATCATTTTCTCAACGCAATTCCCAGATTTCACCTCAGCAACTACCTTTATATCAATATAAAGAGAAGATGTCCTCGCCCCTGGTGGTTCTCTGTTCGTCAACTCTGTCTTGCTCCTATCATCTACGCTACTGACAAAGTCTCCTTCCAACAAGATGCGTTTTGCTTCACTTTTCCTTTTCGGCTGTGCGCTTGTTGGCGCAGCCACGACGCCGACAGACAAGATCGTCAAGAAACTCCAAAAAATTGAGAAGCTCTCCCAAGATACCATCCCCAAGGTAAACAAGTTGACAGTAGAGGATGGAAACCGGCTCAACGAGACATCGGGTAGATTCCAGGTAAGAAAACATACACGTCTTTTCGCCACTCGCAACGTTCTCGCCGTGGAGGATATCCTAGCTCATCTAGTTGGCTTTTTAGAACATCTTCAAAGCCTTTGACAAGATTTATGACGTATCTGGAGAAGTGACAGCTATCGTTGTGGGCCTGTCATCCCCTTTTGACACCGACAGTTCTGCTTCCGTCAGAGACGCTTTTTCTCTTGTAAGTCAACGCTTACGCTCTCAACATCATGCATGAGATGTTCTAACACAATGTCTTCTAGCTTCAAATAGCGCATTCCGACTTACTGCGCGCTCTCATTGACAAGTCGGATCTTTACTCCGCAAACAACGCAGTTAAGGTAGCAGTTACCGAGCGGGTTGATAAAGTTAGTAGTGAGGCGATCAATATGGTACGTTCCTTCAATCGCCTAGGTTTTTGCTTGACTAACTTTCCTTTTCTTTTCAAATACAGAGTTTGGGGATCGCTATCTTAGACAAATCAACTGCCGGCGACAGACGGGTCATCACCAAATTGAGGGGCTCGCTGGGTAGGGACATCCAAGCGGTACGCCGTTATTATCGCATACCGGAGGAGTCGCAGTAACGGGTCTTTCTCTCGTAGCACTCAAGACGTGATGGCAATACGAGGGTGCTGTAATGTGAAATCATCAACACCAAAACCGGCAGCATCAACAGGATGTCATGATATCCTGTTCAACCAGATTTCGCTTATTTCTAGATTAGTCACATACTTGTATTTGTTCTCTCAATAGAAGCCCTCCCAGTGGTGGCTTCTGCATTTCCTGAGGTTATGCGCCGGGAACTTTACAAGAAAACCATCTCTGTATCTAAAAACAAGTCGCCAACTCATATGTTAATCAGATTCATTTGAATAAATAATAGCAATCCTACTAAGGCTGCTTCAAGAATGCCCCCTTTATTTCTTACCGGGGCATTTGAATCACTCCTAAAAGGCCGGTTCCACACCTACCCAACAATACAACACTGCCATCAAATATCTCGAAGTGAGCACCCATATTAGCCTTCCTCCTTTCGTTACTTCTATATAGATAGAAACTTAGAGCAGGGCATCAGGCCTTATCTTCAAAGGCCCTAGCTCCAGTCATCACGCGTGAGTGAAGACCAGGGGCGGCATCTAGAAAATCTTCCACGAGTTGCAACAGGGCAATATCCGAGCCTGCAGGATGGCCATTTTAGTGACTACAGAGTGCCTAGCCTAAGGTATTTTCTCACCTTTCGGGCCAACGAGACCAATGTTTCGTGGAATGACTTCAGATCTCTCAGTGACAGTAGAAATATACGGTATTTGGCCGACTATCTCGGTGCATTAGCGGCAATTCCCAAGCTTTTGGTGCTGAGACTATGCCTCTTACCTGGCACGTTGAAGAATGGTAAGCCTGCCAAAGTGGCAAGGAAGCTATTCTTAAAGCCATAGCCTTGTTTTAAACTTGCTTCTTCTTCCAGTGTTCGCCTACCGGAGTGACAGTCAGACGCAGGGAAGTTTCATCAAGTGATTAAGGAAAAAGAACAGGCTGGGAATGAAAACCCTGTGGCAAATCTTACCCGTCATAATGATAGCGATATAACTCCTCGGTCTTACCATTTGGCATGATCAGGATGCTCTGCATTTCATTGGGACTATTTCTGGGTATCAGCTTCTGCAAAACCCATTCTCTCAAAACGTCCCTCTGAGCAATTGCTTCCTCGTACTGCTCTTGGGTGATTTTCTCTCCGAGCTTCCTATATGCCATTTAGCCCGCGCAATTTGGTATAGATTGATCTCTGGAATCTCACCATTTGTATCTGATGTACGGATCCGCGAATGCCGTCTGGTTGAACTTATTTTTATACTCATCTAAGAAGGGGGCACAGCTTCTGTAGCAATCGACTAGTTGAATACGAGCCGTCGTCTGAATCACGTTAGCCAATTCCATCTCATAATCATCTGATTGTAAGCTTACTTGGCTTAGGAACTCGTCAATTGACTTCCCCCCTGCGATCTGCTCCTCTTTGAACTTTTCTCTTATGCTAATGTTGACTCTTTTTACACCAAGGAACTCTTCAAACTGTTGGATAAATGGCTCAGCAAAAGCAGAATACTCAGGTAAGCTGCCGAACACATCAACAGGGTACAGCAGTTGAACGTGTTCAAAATATTGCAGTGTAGTCATATCAGCGGCAGCCAAGACCTGCATGGCCTTTGTAGCCAAAGACGCAGTCCGAGTAAAGGGGCCGACAGTGTCTAATTCTCTGTTGGGAATCAGCTTGGGTGGTCATTTAAACAGCAAACTCACCAATGAACTCACTTAGAAAATGGGACAATCCCAGACATAGCAATACTTCCAAGCGAAGGCCGAAGACCAAACAGGCCGTGATGAGCAGCCGGACCTATGATACTCCCAATAGCTAGGTGGTATGTCAATCTCCCATCGCGGCCAACAATGACAAGCTTTGGCATTTCTTACTATCAGTCCCAAGGGCAATAGCAACCCAGTCATATGCTGAGCATGCCGTTGCGCTCCCGGCGCTGCTGCATTCAGGATCTTGGTAGCCATCACCCCTAGGGTTAAAGGGAGCTTGGTAGTCGATCCAGTCCCGTGCACCTTCTCCTGAAGCAAACTGGACCGTCTTGGCTTTACCAATAATCAAAGCCCCTGCATCGAGCAGCCTTTCGACGCAGAGAGCATTCTTATCCCTGGCACCGTAGAGTTCAGCGAAGGCCTTACTACCGACACTTGTGGGAACGCCAGCCACATCGATGTTGTCCTTGATGGCAACTCTCATTCCTGAAAGAGGCTTCTCCGGGGTTGGATCCGGGTAGTAGCATCGGCTTGGGACAGGAACACCTGCAGTTCCAGGATTTACAAATCTGCGATGCTATCAATGACTTGCTAGTGTCTGCAGCGCAGGAAATAGTACGCACGCTCTAGGGTCATGTTCAGAAGGAACTGTCGGGAACATGAAGGCCCCATTCGTATCTGGGAATAATCGCCAAACGGCATGAAAGACGGAGCCCGAGTTTACGTACGGACCGGGCATCCAAGGGTCGCTATCATCACTGCCATGGAGGAGATGGACAGTCGCCACTCCCCATTTCCTGAACAACAAGCCAAGCTCATCAGTGTCCTCTACAGTGAGAGCCAGAGGAGCGGACGTCACGATGTAGACGTGTTTGAGAAAGTCATTGGAGAACACGTCATCGCTAGCAAGCCAGAGCCTCGTTTTCTCCTGAAGGGAAGATGACAAGGAACTCAAATCCATCAGCGTTGCATGATCGCACAGGAAAATTGTGCAAGGCGCGAACTCGGGAGGGATCTCTTCTTTCGAAGCAGTCCAGACCTCTGCTAAAGACAAAGCGATCTTTCGCGATGGAGCTGGTACGTAATAAGGCACCTCTCCAATGGAAATGAGGGAGGCTCTTTGAAGCGCCATCACGAAGATTGTCTGTTCGACTGTGAGAATTGGCGCAGAAGCTCTCCTCGCTCAGGCTCACTTGTGCTTCTCGATCCCAGCGCCAAATTCAATAGCCATGAAGACTGGCGGGCATGGAAAATTCTACAATTCAATAGGCGCACATAGGATGCCCAGATTGCGTGAATTTCACCCACCAGATAACCAGATAACCCCTCAACGGCTGACATAAATTTGAGGCGCCAGTGTTGGTCCATGTCCGAGAGTCGCTTTGTGTTCCTTAAAATTCGTGTTTCTGCCAGAGTATTTTTTTTTCGTCCGCCTTTCTCAATCTTCATCTTTACTCCAGAGATATACTAAGGGGGTTTATTCATTTCATCATTCATCATTACTCTAATTGCAGAGGCATCTGCCACAATATTTTAACCCTCTAGCTTGGTGATCACTTTTCCCTTGGCCGAGCCGGTGTACATATCGATCCAAACCTGGGGCACACCCTCGATCGAGGCGGGAACCTCCTCTATGTTTAGGCTGATCCGGCCGTCCACAGCAGCAGCAACAAGCTGCTCCATCGCGGCCGGGATCTGGTCGAGGTAGTCAAACAAGAAGAACCCCTTGAGCGTGATCCTCTGCGAAACAACCTCAAACCAGTTGCGGAGGGTCATGGGCTCGCTCGAATTGTATCCGCTGACGGCACCGCACACGGCAACGAGACTATGGCGCTTCATACGTGCCAGAGTCTCGTCCAAAACCGCGCCACCGACGTTGTCGTAGAAGATGTCGACCTCATCGGGCGTGGCGGCTTTCAGGTCCTCTTTGAAGGTCGGGCTCTTGTAGTCTACGCACGCATGTGCCCCCAGGTGCTCCACGACCCAGGAACACTTCTCTGCACCTCCTGCAATCCCGACAACTCTCTTGGCCCCCAAGATCTTAGCAGCGATCTGGATAACCATGGATCCCGTGGCTCCGGCAGCCGCAGAAACGACGATTGTGTGCTCCCTCCTGGCCTGAGCGACATGGAGAAGCCCGACGTAGGCAGTCAGGCCGGTCCCTCCAAACGCGCCCATGTAGTGAATATTGGACAGACCGCCGGGCAGCGGAGCCAGAGCCTGGAGATCCGAGTCGTTGATAACCACCTTCTCAGCCCAGGGCGCGCGGTGAGTCTCGTGGACGATGTCGCCGACCTTGAACTTAGGGGACTTGGACTCGAGCACCTCGCCAATCATGCCGGCGCGCATGGGCTCGCCGAGCGGCACTGGGGGCACGTACATGCGGTCGTTGTCCACGGAGCAACCGATGTATGTGCGCAGGCCGGCATCGTTGGAGATGTATTGGATCTTGACGAGGACTTGGCCATCTTCGAGCTGGGGTAGCTCGATGGTCTCGAGCTTGAACGTTGGCTCGGGGCCGGAGAGGGTGGGAGTTCCGCTGGGGTGGGCGGCAAGACTCCATTGTCTGGTGGTGAGGGGAGTAGCCATGCTGCTTATAGGTCTGTCCAATCGACAGCTAAGAGAAGAGAACAAGGAACCGTGTGTTTTTGTACGACAGGACGGAGCAGGGACTGTTTCGGTCAAAGTGCCCTTTTTTAAGCACGCAACGTACGATTCAAGGAGCGGAGCAACTGTTTGGGTGACTGACTAACGAGTGGCAAGCATTTTCTCTCGACCCACGTCGAACGGTGAAGAAACATGGAGACATGGACCAGAAGTGGTCAATCGCGTCCTCGTTCGGTGGGTCAAACTGTCACCATTGGCTCACCAATCAGCTTCAAAAGAGGAGACCAAGGCCAATTCTAGATAGACTAAAATCAACTTCTTTGACTGTTTCCCCGCTTAGTTTCCCGGGTAAGCTGAGGCTCAAAGTGGATGGATAACGCCACTGCTTGTTGGTTGAGATATCTCGAGAAGTGAAACTTGGGTTGAGTAGCCCACAGCATGCGGGATATTGCCTCATTGGGTCCTCGAATGCGACGTGTGCATTGCATGAACTGGCACCAGCGGCCTGACAGCTCTGTCGATCCCGGCAATACCCAAGTTCACTTTTATTTCTCATTGGGTATCCAGACAAAGACCAGGAGCCCACAAGGGGATCGAGATGACAATACAAAAGATGCAGAGAGATTGTCTTTCATTCTTGTCAGAGTGATTGATATTTATCATCATCAGTGACCTCTGCTTAGTCATACGTTCGGACAGAAGGTCGGTCTGCAATCGAAGGTAAATACTTTCCACTCGTCAACACTTGTTCATCTTCATCTTACCTACCTGCATCAAGTCAGAAAATGGCTATCATATCCACCGCCACGCCTCCTGGCGAAACGGGGCTCGCTAGTAAGCCCTCGAAACCCTTTCGCAAACAGGCCTATTCTTTCAGGCTTCGCAGAGAGGCCGAAGCCATGAACTACGTACGAAGTCACACCTCGATCCCAGTACCGTCCATTCTCGACATGCATTTCGGCGTGAGCGACCACGAGCCGGGCTGGATTTTGATGGAACGAGTCCCCGGACGACAGTTAGATGAGGCATGGCCGATAATGTCTGAAACAGCAAGGGCACAAACGATCTCTGAGCTTCAATCATACGTATGCCAGTTGCGCCGCCTTCGCCCATCTGGACCTGGCTGGATTGGTTCCTGTTCCGGAGGGCCCGCGTATGACCATCGGCTGGATAACATGGCTACCTGTGGCCCATTTGCGTCTGTTGCCGAGTTTCACGACTTCCTTGTTGGCCCTGTTAAGAATTGTCCACGGCCTGAATGGGTGGCTAAATATCGCAATATGCTCCCCGATAACTATCGCATAACATTTGCGCATGCAGATCTTTCATGGGAAAATGTTCTTCTTGACCCTACAACAGGCTCCGTCACCGGAATCGTGGACTGGGAAATGGCGGGTTTCTGGCCCGAGTGGTGGGAATACAGAAAGGCTCTGTTTGGTTCACGGTCTCGACAATGGTGGATTGAAATCGTGAAGCAAATTATGAAGGAGTATCAGCACGAAACTGAAGCTGACATGGAACTCGAAATGTTCTAGATATACCTAATTATCGACACCGAATCGTCTTTCACGCGCTACCTTTCTGGTCACAAGTCATCCCAAAACACGCGAAGCAGCAAAGTAAGCAGAGGTTGCAAAGCCAAGTACGGGACTCAGAAAAGGTACGGTTGCTGGCAACCCTGCAACCCAATTCAGCTGTGCCATTCGCTGCACTATTCAAGCGAAGCACCATCTCTCCCCAGTGCCCATTCCGCCAACAAGCCAGGCTCCCGGTCAATCTTCTCCTCGCACGCTGCCAGCCAGAGCCACTCAGCCTTGAACTCCTCGAAGCAGAGGAACCACTCCTCAAAGCCAAGCACTTCTTCCAGCGATATCAAAGAGTTTATCTGCCGCCCAGTCACCTCATGGGTCACCACTTCATGTCTGAGATGCGTGTACTGTTCATGAAACTTGGTGAGCCGGTCAATCTTTTCACGAGTAAGGCGCCCCCTGCGCCCCAACTGAATCACACCGTCGATCACCCAAAGCAAACCCTCCCTCATTCTGAGAAGAGGCCACATGAAGTCCAGCATCCGCCCGTAAAGTGTAAGGTGGCGTTCCAGGGCTTCCATCTTCTCAACGATCAGGCCTTTCAAATGTGGCAGCAGGTCCTCGCCCAGAGCCTCTCGGCCAAACTCCTCATTGTAACAGGAGTTGCAGAGCGCGCCGGGCGACAAGGTCATCTCCAGCATTGGGGGTTCACGGAATTCCCTCAGCTCCTGCCACCGCTCGCACCCGGGGCACCGGGCCATACACAACTGCCATTGATACACCCTGTGCGGAGAAAACCTTCTCTCCTGGCAGTGGGAGCAGTCTTTTGCATGGGGTGACACGGGTTGCGTCCCCCCAAGTACCCGTTCAAGGCAGGGATAGAAGCGGTCCAGAGTCGATCTGAACAAGGCAGTGCGGCTGCATTGTACGGGCGCTGGCCGTTGTCCATCCCATGCAGAAGACGGCGGCGACAAGATTCCAGCCTGATACTGGCACTCGTTGCACAGGCGATCCCACACGGGGGAACACACGAGTTCCCACAAACGGGAATCCCGTTCCCCGCCAGACCGCTTTGGCGTCCACGACGTCTGGATATAGCCACACCGTCTCCATCTCGCCGTTGTTGACGCCGTGTGCAAGGACCTGTTATCAAAATGGATATGTGATAGCATCCGCAAGCAACCTGTACAGGCCCACTTATGCAGCTCCCAGCGTTTCTTGTACACCCGAGAACCCCGTGGGCGAGTCCGTTGCTCGCTATACTGCTGCACATGGGCCTCGTGCTCGCGACGGTCCTCTATATATGGTTAGCTACAAAAACAGATGAATCAACCAGGTGGTGAATGTTCTTACCTATGGCGAGAAGCCATTCGCCCATTTCTCTTTTGTTCGGTTTGATCAACGAGCGGAAATAATGGCTCGTCTGGCTGAGGCTGATGAGGCCGATCGCGTCGAGCTCGGCAACGATGTAGTTGTGCAGCTCCCCGGGGAGCGAGGTCAGCGTCACCCGCTGCGGTGTCTCGAGAATATCGCGTGTAGCCATGACTAATGGTTATCGATCAGGAAGCCTTCGACGAGGTGAAGGTTAGGGGAAGAGATGTTTGGGAGGATGGTGGACATTCTTGCTGTCCGAGTTGTATGCTCCATGATATATATATGTGTATGTCTTCACTCTTTTTTTTACTTATTTGCCTCCGCCCTGCCTGTTTAATTTTTTCCATACTTTTTCTCAATACGGGTTCTCTCATCAGCTGGGGAAGTGTTATTCAGCCACCAAGTGGCGAAGCTCTCTTGTTTTATGATCAAGTGCACATGAACAGCAACTTTAACATCCACTATCAAGGTTAGTGCGAATACAGGACCAACCTTAGCAAAGCCCTATCATCACATCTTGAATGTTTCGTGTGATGAAATACGGCACCTGGGGATAAAGAACAATATGTATTGGGAACAAAGGCTGAGATTAGCAGTATCACAGATAGCAGGAAGCCTTGGGAATCACATTAATCGCATTTATAATGAGAGAGGGGTAAGTGTAAATACCAAGGGGAGTGACAGCAGCCACATGCACCTACCTTATTGCTAACTAACCCTGATAATCTAGAACTTTAAAGCAATCGAAAGGAGTAAACACATGCCAAGATATCAGAGTCAGCTGTACGCGTTACCTCGGTTAGACTTTGAGGCTTGGGCCTACCGAACCCTTTTAGCACGGTACGTCATGGCAGCCGGGGAGCAATGAAAAGTTTTTGCCGTCCAGGGCGAGTACAGTCGAACTCTGCTATCTGCCCGGCGATGCTGCCAGGACTTCATGCTCGCGGCAACAGATTGGGCCACTGCTGTAGCCATATTGCGTTGATATCAGACCGCCCATATCGGGTGCCGGGGCCCAAGGGGGCTTGTGCCTCGTCCGCCATGGCGAGTTGCGAATTTCAAGCTTCTGCGCTCTGGGGGTCTGCGATCTGTGTATCCAAGAGCGATGTGAGACCAGGCTCAGGCAGCCCACGTTCGCGTGTTCGTAAGAATCCAGTTCAGAGCACGGGTGACCTTGTTGAGCTTAGCGGCAATCGTATCAAGCCACCGCCCAGAAACGCAGTCGACCCGATAGTATTCTTGTCCAGAGCCCTGTCGAGTACGGAAACAGAACTACTGGCCAACAGAAATGGGAATACGGCAATCGTTTGGACGGTGAGAAATGCGTGATACTATTGTGCTGTTGCAGTTCGTGGCATTCGACTTAAGCTAGCTAACGGTACGACTTCATGTTACCGAGAGAGTATATTGTTGTTCAATAGACATTCTAAAATTTGTATATCCGTACTTAGATATAAAACTGTTGGCCATAGATATCAAAAACTCCTCGCAAATATAATGCTCAGACATACACAATATATACCAAAGAGCAACGAGTATCAAACCCGCACAAGGGGCCAATATACAATGAAACGAATGCGAGCGTCCATCAAGAACACATCATAATTTGCCCTCTACTCACACCGGATTAGGCCAGATCTGCTGTTGCTGCCACTGCTTGATCTTGTACACCTCGCGCGCAATGCCCTTGACCTGCCCAACCAGATGCTCGGATGAGGGCCAAACAGTTGCATACTTGGACAATGCGCCGAGATTGAGGCGAATCCGCTGGCCGACATCGTCATCGTGCCGCACAAACGGGAGCCCCCACCAGCTGAGCTGGACGGTGGATGCGAGCGTGATCATGTACGCAAAGAAGGGCGTATGCTTCAGCAGGGAAACGCGCAGGGTGATGAGCTTCGTGATCTCATTGGCGGACTGGATGGCGTGTTTGGTGTGGGTGTTGAGGCCGGAGCTGGTGAGAGCAGGTGTGTTGGGCGCGCAGGCGTCAATTGCTAGGGTTGGGGTCGTGTCGAGCTGGGAATGGGGCTGGTGCAAGAGAATTGAAATGGCATGCAAGGTCATGTAGCCTTGGAACATCATCTCGTCCAGTTTCGTCCCATTGAAGAGCCCTTCCCGCTTGGATAGTGGCAGGTTCAAACGCCAGCCCGAGAGAAGAGTCTCGATCCTGGTGATGTTCTCATCATTGGGGCCCACGATGCGCGCGGTCATCATCTGCCCGATGTAGCGGGCGCATTGGATCAGGTATGAAAATGACGAAAACTCTTGTATATCGTCCAAGAAACCGCTGTTTTCCATTTGTTCCAACTCGCGTGGTGGAGGTATAGTCTGAAAAGAATATGTTAGTTGAGAATTTTTATCTCCAAAAAAATCATCACCCAAGGATGCATGGTGGCATGCTTACCCCTGCTTGATACTGATCCTCCTCGCAAGGAAGGGCCACAGTGGTCGGGACATGGTACAGGTTGAAGGCCGTAGTGCGATGAACCCCCGCAATCAGCGCGTCGATGATGTAGAGATTCCACCAAGTTCTCCTCCAGCTCTCCTCCAGCACCGGCAAGCCCTGCCCATGGAGCGAGGCAAATATGCGGGTGTTGATGCCGATTTCAACAGCGATCGTCTCCAAATCGTTCAAAATCTTGTGGACTCTGTCTCTCTGGCGCGTTCCGTCAAGGCCGAGGATGAGGACCATCATTGCCTGGATCAGGAACCCGTCCTTCGGAACATCCGGTTTGTGAATAAGTCCCCAGGCCTCGTTGAAGAGCGTGATGGCATTGACGCTGTTTGCTGTTTCGGTATAGACGGATCCAACCCAGCGCATGGCGGCCAGCAGATGCTTGATGGCGCTCTCCTCAACGAAACGAAGGAGAAAGTGCTTGGGGAGAACAAAGGCGTGGGCGCCGTGGATGTGGTGATAATATGAATCAAGGTAGACATCCCCAAGCGTGTCCAACTGGAGGCTGTAGTAAGGCGCGGAGAAGCTGAAGCCGTCATCGACAAATGAGTAGCCGTGAGGCAGGGTGGGGTTGAACTGGGCGAAAGGCACCTCGCTGGCCTGGAAGGCGAAGGGGGGCATAGGTCCAAAGTCGAACGAGTCCGAATCAAATACGCCGGCCATGGTTGGCGCGTAGAAAGGAACATAGTCTACGGCTTGAGTTGCGGGAGCCGACCCAAGGAGGGTGTATGGCGGCGGTGAAGGCCCGATGATGGCGACATCCTTGGAAACGTACTCGGGAGTGACGGATTGCAGCGTGCGAAGCTGCTGCTGCTTCTTGGACTTGGAAATGGCAGCGACGCGAGGGCCTCTGTAGCCGCGACGCGATGCGACATACGTGCACTCTGTCTCCTGGATGATGCAGCGGGAACACGGCCTCTTGCCGTCGCATTTCTGATGTCTGGTGCGCTGCACCATCAAACCACCACGACTAGGGTCAGCCACGGCCCATTTCAGTCCAATTCAACGGAAGATCGACTCACGCAGGTGATACAGGCAGTGGAGATGGGCGGCTGGTCCACACGGCCAGCTGGCTTGGCCGCCGAAGCGGTAGTCGACGGCATCGCGGAGGACGGCGCTGGAGGAAGGGGGAGCTGCTGCTGCGCGCTGCCGGAGAGAGGGGCCATCATGGGCTTGAGGTCGCCGTCCTCGTTAAACGACCCGTCGACATGTTGGTGGCCCGGAATGCGATTCGGCGCCGGGTACATGGGCAGCGGCACGATGCGATTGAGGGCTCGTGATGGATCGAGCAGAGGGAGGCGGCACAATGGCAGGGAGGTGCGAGAGACGACCAGAGATTGCCGCGATCCTGGACGCAGGGAGAGAGCCGAAAAATTAATTTGTGGCTGAAGTTATCTCGCGACGCTTTACGCATCTCGTACAACGGCAGGTAGCACCGGCGAGCGCCGAGGTTGTAAGAATAGCACCTACAATGGCATGAACCTCCCACTGCAGCAGACCTCCAGCGGTCGGTACGCTAAGGCAAGCCTAGAGCTCAGTGATTGCACCGGCCGAAAGGTTGCATCGGGGGTCCCGGGGTGTCCCCATTGCGCCTGCTGATTGGCCTGCTAGCGGAACCGGTAGTGCTGCCACCTGTCAGGCCCCTGCAAAGCCCCCCAAAGCCCTTCGTAGGGCCGGGGCAGTGCCCTTTGCCCTCCAACCCTCATTTGCTCGCGTGTGGCATTCGGTAGTAGAGGCAGCCCGTGCATCAATCAAGAATCGGGGCGCATGCATCAATCGTACGAGCTGCCTTTTTTTTAGCATCGTCTCTCCACGGAATGATGGCTGAACCGTTCATCCGCTCTGGTGGTACGCGACATCCGGATGCAGTTGAGGGCGGTCTGAATGCGGCGAGGGAATAATTACCTCCGCCAACTCCGCCCAGATATTGGGAGCACCATTTGCGTCCCCTGAAATCTTCCGTCCTTTGCCAGGTTGGCCTCTGGGGTCTGCTCCATTCGGCTGCCAATGCCACTCACCGCAACAAGCTTTCCGTCGTTTCAACTTGGAGTTGCAAAGCGGGGCAGAATGATGGCAGTCCTGGAAAAAGAGATTTGAGGAATTTGTTGGGTTCCATTAAATTCGAGGGCGCGACCTGCCCAGCGATGCCATCTCTCAACAGCGAGACGGACGACCGAAAAGAACGAGGGCGATAATGATGGAGTGCAGATAATTGCATAGGTGGAGAGACGGAGAAAAAATGAAATGTTACAGAGCCGTGTTATTTCGCCTATCTCGCTGAATAAGCCATCCCTGGATGTCTCCCCAACGAATTGATGCCGACCGCTGATTACCTACATAAAAGCATTACCGGCAATCCGGCTGTGATCGCAGGAACATCTCGTATCCGTCCACAAAGTGATTTCATGCTCACTTGCATCATCGAAAAACTCACCTTCGGGCCCTGATACCCGATAGTTTTCATGGTGATCTACATAGCGATCTACACGGCCGTTGTAAGTTTTAGGACACGAGCTGATGGCCGATCACCCGTCTGAAACTCCCGGTTAGCTACCCATCGATCACCCGCCAACGTGGGCTCGGGTTCAACGGACGGCGATTGGTTTCCTGGTGTGAAAGAGGACTATTTTCTCATCTCATACCGAACTTTGGTCCAAGAATTGACTGCGCCCATGGCAATGGCGAAGGATACCTTACTATTCGTAAATACTTAGTGATTGCTCTAGGTAGTCGAAGATCAGCGCATGTCATTGCGGGATGTCATTGAATACGAAGACTCCATGCAACACGACACGTCCCACTGCATTGATGAGGAGCCTGTCGCTCATACCCTACCTAGTACACATATATAAGGCCCATACTCGTCTGCTGCTCAGATAGACCAATATCATCATCGTCCATTACTTTGCTTCATCTCTTACATTGCACAAAATCTTCTCATCCTCAAGATATTCAACATGCGCTTCTCCGTCGCCGCCGTTGCCGCCACTCTTGCAGCCACCGCCCAGGCTCGCATCTATGGCATCTCTGTCCCGGAGACCATTAAACCCGGAGATAAAGTTGAACTCAAGATCATCAGCCAGGGCTACATCCAGAGAGTCGACGATATCGCCATTGCTTTCGGCTACAACTCCAAGGCAGCCGCCTACCCCGACACTCTCGGCAACCTTCTCGACTCTTTCTATCTTGGCCCTGGTAAGTACCCTGGTTCCGCCCATTCTATTTAATCCTAGGCTAATAATATACAACTATAGATGAGTCCAACCTGGGACAAGCAGTCATCGTGAAGAGTGTCACGTTCCCTGATAGCATTGCCGCTGGGGAGGGTGTTGTTTCTGCTGGCCTCTACAGCCTGTATGGCGTTAGCAAGGGCCCAACCTTGTCCAACTACAATGTCACCATCACCTTTGGCGACAGCACCTCCACTACGTACAAGAACAGCTTTTAATGGATTATCGGCATACTTGGCATCTCGAGAAGATTCATAGATTATAGATAATATTCAGCAATTAGTGCCATAATAGAAAGATATAACCAGATGTGAACAACCCGTGTCATGACAATGTTGTGCTGGTTTAGAATATTCTCGTTCCACTAACACAGGATTTCCACCTCATGAGGCAAGGTCTACACAATTTTTTAGAGCGTGCATAAAAAAAAAGACCGCTGTTTAGCAAGTTTCCTCACATGAAGGAGAACGAAGAAGATACTTGACAGATGAGTCTTAGCCGACTGCCATGGACAACAACACAATGCTTCCATTAGAACGGCTGTAGGGTAATCTGCTTATCCGGCACACAACAACACGCCATTAAGTTAGTCACTGCGTCCGATAATGGCCTAGCGACAGGGGACACGCACGGTCTGTGTTTGGAAACCTGTGGCTGGTGAGAGTGGGACTGCATGTGGCGCGCCACAGCTCGGTCTGCTGTCTTGGGCTTAGCGCAGGCACGTTCTTGGACCGCGATCGCAGAGCTTCTCACCAGCCACAAACAGAGGGGCAGGTCGGGAGATTTTGATGCCCCGCGGTCGGAGAGAAACAATCATGACCCAGTCACAGTCGTTCTATATCCCGCTTTCCTCTGTCGCCGTGTGGACTTGCGTCTCTCAAACCCTCCCTACCTCTACTGCCGCGAGCTAAGTACCGTCAATTGGTCATTTTCCTGTCCTCCAAGCTCTCTCTTTGTTCCCACTACACACACAGCCAGCACGCCAATCATGGATCTGGTAAACCAGTACGTGCCCAAAATGCAGCCTGACCTACCTTGACCGACCCCTCTACGACCAGACCTAACCCATCTCGACAGCCTCGAAGGCCGGCTACTATTCGCCGTACCGAAAAGTGAGTCCCTCTCCCCATGCCCGTAGACCCTTCTCCCACCCATTGTCGAATCTGAGCTAACCAGCCAATCTCGTCCAGAGGGTCGCCTGAACCAAGCCGCACTGAACCTGCTCGAGGGTGCCGACATCCAGTTCCGTCGCGAGAACCGCCTCGACCTCGCCCTCGTCAAGAACCTCCCCATCGCCCTCGTCTTCCTCCCCGCAGCCGACATCCCGACCTTCGTGGGCCAGGGCCGCGTCGACCTCGGCATCACGGGTTGGGACCAGATCCAGGAGCACGACGCCGGCGTGCGTGCGTCGGCCCTCCAGCGGGGCGTCGAGTTCACAACGGGAGGATGCGACATGGTCATGGACCTCGCCTTCGGCGGCTGCAAGCTCCAGGTCCAGGTGCCCGAGAAGGGCGAGTACAGGACGGGCAAGGACCTGATCGGCAAGACGATTGGCACCAGCTTCGTCGGCCTCGCCACCGACTACTTTGCCAAGCTGGAGGCCGAGCAGGCCGGCGACACGGGCAGCCCTGGAAAGCGAGTGCTCAAGACCCAGATCATCGAACTGAGTGGTAGTGTCGAGGCTGCGTGCGCTCTTGGTGTCGCCGAGGGCATTGTCGATCTTGTTGGTATGGATGGAGCCTGAACTTACCTCGTCTCCATTATGTTACAAAATAGACAGCTAACAGGGCTCAATAGAATCCGGCGAGACGATGCGAGCCGCAGGCCTCAAGGCCATCGACACGGTCGTCGAGTCGACCGCGGTGCTGATCAAGTCGCAGAACCCGTCCAACCCCGAGACCCTCGAGCTGATCGCCTCGCGCATCCGCGGCGTCATCACCGCGCAGAAGTACGTCCTCTGCCAGTACAACGTCCAGCGCGCCCAGCTTGCCGAGGCTACCAAGATCACCCCCGGCAAGCGCGCCGCGACCGTCACGGCGCTCGACGACGACGGCTGGGTGGCCGTGAGCTCCATGGTGGAGTCCAAGAAGATTGCGCTCGTCATGGACGACCTGTCGCGCGTCGGCGCCCAGGACATCCTCGTGTTGGACATTCACAATGCGCGGTAAGGGGGGCCTTTGTGCTTGCTTCTCGGTTTGGATTTCTTTCTTGGCAATGAAAAGGGAGCTTGGATTTGGATATTAAAACATGGGACTGCGCTGGGATTGGGCTTACAACCCTCGGAAGCTGGGGTTAAGGGGCCATCCGCACTGTCTGACCTGACAGATTGCGATGCCCCCAATGGAGGGCTTCGCGTATGCAGCAGCAGTAGTGGATGGCATCAAGGGAATTATTTTCGAAACGCAATGTATTCCTGGAGGATGGATAAAAGGAGCCCGGTTAATCACGAGGTAGCTTTATTTTTATTTCCAAATCATGGGTTAAACTTATTTAAAAAAAACATTTAAATTAAAACAAGGTGCTTCTGTTGTGCCGCCGGATCTTTCGGCGGTTCATGTTGGCAGAGCCAAGATATTATTTCCAGTTGCTCCTGTACGCTGGAAGCACGCAAGAGGGCCATTACAGGCAACACTGAGTAAGAAATGGGGGAAGAAGTCAGCAAAGACCGGGTCAGCCATGTCGCGCGTTGGTAAGCCTGCGTGAGCATCATATCATACTGTATACAAGCACAGTCCCATGGAGGCAGTGCAGGGGCCGAAGCCTCAGTGTTGGTGGACTTTCTGTTCTTGTTCACTATTCACCGAAATGATGCAGTGCCCAGAGTTTAGAGCTGCTTCGCCCTGGCCCAGGACGCGTCATGCCTTCTGGAGGGCTAATAAAACTGTTTTGTAATGACTTCCCACAGCCCAATCAGGCTACACACTGCGCTCGTCCGTGCGAGCGATGACTTCACTCCTGTGTAAGACAGGTCGGGGTCGCGGCATATGCATGGCCGATGTTCTTCTTTGGTTGGTCTTTCGGTGTCTGATGTCTTGAATTGATTTATGTCTGATTATGCTGAATTTGGCTTTTGATGGACCAATGTTCTCTCTGAAACTGTCACAACTGCGGTTCGCGCATACTGTCAGCATTCCAGCGCATACTGACAGCAAAGCACACGACAGCACTCTCCAGGCGACAGCAACTTAGGCCGTGGATTTGCGTCACAGAGCGACCGTGGGGTATTAGATCGATCCTTGTTTGGCCAACATTTCAGAATATACAGGGATCCGAGTAAGCTCATTCGGCGGGCACTGGTACTGCCACAGTGATCAGTGCCAACGGGGTCACGGCGGGAATGGCGGAAGGCCTTCGGTATTTTCTCCGGACCCCAACATCCACAAGTCTTGTTAATTTTAGAAACAGTCTGTATCCCACACTGTATGGCTTAGTGAATGGATACTCAGCCTTCTGGTTTTGTCGATCACCCACAATACTAGAGTGTTCCGGGGTCTGTGCCTACTATGTACCTTACTACATTACACGTCACAGCAGAAGGCACAGGGAGGCATGTTGGCGGCCTGTAGTTTGTGCTGTGCAAGTAAGATGAGGCAAGAAGTTATTAGCCATAGACTCAAGAGCGAGGACAGACACATAAAAGCCTGCCCTCCCGGCCGTGCTTCTGACCTGAGATCCGCTTCTTCCCATCCCACCTCAGTCCCTTGAGCACTTCATCCCGAGACCAGATCAAGCACATTTGTCACCTGTCTTTACAACCTTTACACAGCGTCAAATCAAACCCGTCTCTCAACCGCCAACATGAAGTCCACTCTCGTCCTCCTTGCTGTCGCTGGTGCCGTCTCTGCCCAGACCACCCGGGCCCCGACCTCGGCTGACATCGACATCCCCTTCCCCACAAACGACGCCCAGCTCTCAAGCTGGATCAACAGCGTTTTCCCTACCTCGGGCGTCGTCATCCCCACCAACAGCGCCGAGCTCTCAAGCTTGCTCAACAGCCTGAGCCTCCTCCCTACCTCGGAAGGTTCCTCGAGCGGCTCTGCCTCCTCCAGTGGCTCTGCCTCTAGGTCATCCAGCGGCTCTGCGTCATCCACCGGATCCGTCACCGTCACGAGCTCTGGTTCCTCCTCCAGCGCCACCGACACCACCCTCTCCAGGTCCACCTCCGCCGACGCCACTGGCACCACTACTTCCAACTCGGATTCTTCTTCTTCTACTGGTTCCTCCACTAGCTCCTCCGCTTCCGCCACCAGCACCGACGACGGCAACGGTGTCGCCCGGCCCATGATCGGGGCTGGTGTCGCCCTCCTCGCCGCCGCCCTGGCTCTGTAAGCGGTGCCCAGCGGAGTCTCTTAGACTTTTATTTTAACACACACGCAATGTCACGGCCGAAATACCTTTTGGGAACTTTTCTTTTCTAATAGCATTGGGTTTTCATGGTGTATACACATTGAGGTAATGCTTGCCATTGCCGCACATGCCATGGGGACGCGAAATGGAGCATTTTTCTGGTTATTTAGATGTTATTGCACGCTCGCTGTTCAATGTAATTGAAATAGACGTCAAGAACTTTATAGATTATTTTATATCAATAAGTCTTGAATATCCTATTAAGCTCTTATCTAATTTACTAGGATTCGCGAAGCCCGATGCATTTTTTCACTCACGTGCCTGGTATCTAATGGTTGATTACCTACCAGCAAGCAATATACTACGGATAGCGCTTAAGAAAGGGCCCTCCGTGTTTCATTACATAAGTGCGGTTGACAAATAGCTTACAAGGGGCACTCATAGACCACCAACTCTCGGTCCAGCACGAAATACTGACGAGGTGACGATATCAGCTATTGTGTCAACGTAAGCTCCTGCTCCACCAGGAACTAATTAGACGGCGGTCGAGTTTGACAAAACTCGGCAACATAGCTTCAATGCCGCAGCATCAACGACACCAGCCTCTCAACTGGTCTGGCATTACCTTTGTCAACCTATCACACCGAGATGACATTCGACAACGTGATATCCAGAACGGCATTCACCGCCATGTGATGGCGGGTGTTGGCCGATTGCGGCGGGAAAAGCCACGACATGTCGTCATTACTCTAGAGATCATGGCACCCGAAGCAAACAAAGGTGGTTTCCAGCCTCGAGAGCCTAGTACATGATCAGAGCCCTGACGCCGCTTATCCGCCCGAAACTCGATCCCCTCATCGCCTGCTCCAGCCAAATCGGTACGGAGTACTCGGGATCGAACTGAATGACCGTACTCTGCAAATTATCCACTTTAGTAAGCCTGCAAAAGAAGGGCATTCCGTTTAGTCACGATATAGATGCTAATATGACCTACCTACAGTCGCGTCGGAATCAGAGTATATAAATCATCCCTTCCATAGGATATGGGTCCGTATGGGCTTCTCTGACCCCACTGCCTTGTATCTTTCCATGGGCACTACGTTGCTGCTCTGGAATCGCAAGAACAGCATCCCTACACTCAAAATTACCGACGACATGGAACCTAAGAGATACTACACCAAGGCCCCTAAGGATATATCGGCACGCTTGAGCGACCCCTTCGACCACAAGAGTGCGGGAGTTATAGCAACCATTATCGGATGTCTCTGCCACGATGTCAGTAGTATCCGTTTCGCCTGCATTTCCTTGTTCTCACCACTTGAGATATAGGGAAGGCGGCGAAGAATAAGTAGAGGGTGCCATATACGACAGACAGGTAAATAGCCATGAGCAAGACGATGGGTTCACGAAAGAGAAGAACCCACGGCCTTAGACGAGCTCGTTTGAGCGTCTGACCGACCGAGTGTCTTATCTGGCTCGCGTCGAACGAGGACATGTAGACTTTCCCAGTCATCCTTGACAGCCTAGCTGCTCGCCGTCGCAGGAGGACTGGTGCATAAGTCTCTGGCACTAAGAGGCTACACACTATCTAGAAAACCGCGGTGAAGATGGCCATTAATCCTTGGATCCATCGCCACCCACCAGCAGCACCAAGGAAACCCCCAGCAATGGGACCTGAGTTATGGTCAGAGAACAATCTTGAGCTGGGAGATATATTTATCAACATACCGAGCGCAGGACCCAAGAATGGCGCGGCGCCAAAGAATGTCATGGCCACACCTCGCTGCGAGGCAGGGAATATACCGGCAAGGACAGCGTTTGAATTGGTGTAAGGTGCAGCTCCAAAGACTACAGCAAAGAACCGAAGAATGATCAGAGTCTCGATGTTCCGGGAAGCCGCCGCTCCTGCATTGAATGTAACGTGATGGGCCGCCATGGTGGTGATAAACAGGTACTGGCGGCCATACTCCTCGGATAGAGGCGCGCAGAACACGGGACCAACCGCCAAGCCCAGCACAAACAGCGACAGACCAATTATCGCGACCTCACTAGACACGTCTAATTGTTCCATAATATCCTCTATCCCGGTAGAGTACGCTGTACTTGCAAAAGCAACAGCCAAAGAGGCGACGGCGAGGACAAAGGTGATGCTCCATTTTATCCATGAGGGGAATTCCATTGGATTATAGGGGTCTTCCGGGAGAAACTCGATAAGAAATGGGGACTCGGCTGTTCCCTCTCCTCGGTATGGATGTCGTAGGACATTATGCGAGATGTCCATGTGGCCCAATACCAGACGGAAGTGTCCAGGGCTTTGGCTACGTAATTCGGGGCCGGGTGGCATATTCGACATCGTCGCCTCCTCGGGCAGAGGTGAATTGGAAGATGTCATGACGCGAGGGTTAGAAGGTTGCATGCGGAAGAGCGGCTTAAACGTGGAAGTTGAGTGCCAGAACATGGAGAGAACAGATGAAGAGGTTGATGAGCGAGGGTATTTGTACCTGGGAATGAAACCGTTCGCCTTGTAACTAATCATTCTGTGCCGTTGAAAAATTCTTTGGCCTCATCGTGGGGAGCAAATATCAAGCCCTCAACTGGTTACCCTCGTCACTAGTGATGGGTCTCTGGTTTCCTGATTTGGTCTCAATGGCCCCTGTAGCAACCACTTCTCCCATATCCAAAAGCTACCACGATGTTGTCTCAATTCGAGAATATGCATACATGGATCTGTCCTTTCTACTTTGGGTTTGCATCTCCTGTTGGGCTGCCGAGGCCGAGCAGAATTATCATTGGTTATGAATGAAAAATTTGCGAGCAGATGCTGTCGGAGAGATGCCACAGGTCCGATGCAACGTCCTTGTTAAGCTTTTGGCAAGAGGCTAAGCTAAGTTATCTAGACTATGACGGATGAGCGTAACTGCTCAATGCCTCAACAACGTTTATTCCCACTCATTATTAACCAAGCAGTCCAGTCGGCTCTAGCCTCAGATTCCATAAGGCTTTAGGCTATTCACACAATTCACAATGGTCGTCTCAAACATCCCCCGCTCAACCCCTAAGAATGTTTTGGTCCCCGATATGTCGAGCCCGAACATCTGGTTTTATAATCATAACCGGAGGAATACGAGACAGAAGATGCACCCAAGGTTACCTATTCTCCTACCCTTGTCTATAAGAAACTTTGTACCAGTGCTGCCGACGCCCAGACCTAGGACGATGTTGAGGAAAATAAGATTCAATCTATCCTTCCATCCTAGAAGCCCCTACGAGTCTCTCTCAGCGCATTGAAGGCAACAATCAACTCTCTTCCATTTTCGTTATACTCATCATTTGAATCCGTTCTCAAAGTGCGAGAGACATTGCGTTTGGGTGACCTTCTAGTTACATTGCCTCTGACTGTGGCTACCTACTCGACTAAACGTACTGAGCCTGCTCCTGTGCTCATACCCAAGATAGCGTCTTCTCGTCTAGTTGCCAATAAGTACATTGTAAAGCTCAGAGACAATGTCAGCATTGCTGCTGTAGGCGAATCATTCTCGAGCTTGCTGTCGAGCGCACCTGATCATCGGTACTCAGCCGTGCTCCGTGGATTCTCTGTTGTCCTCGACTCGGCGACTCTTATGGCTATCCGTTTCCACCGCGATGTCAAATTTACTGAGCAATATGCTGAGTAGCCGGTTAAGCCTATGTCGCTCAGTTAAGCGCCCCCTGGAGTCCCGGTCGCATCTCATAACACGCCAATGGCGCTACACATTATGTCTACGATGATGTAGCCGGGATCAGGATGTGTTCCTATGTACTCGACAGTGATATTGATACAAACCACACCTATGGTGATTTCCATCCATCCCTCCTATTTGGCACGCTTGTAAAGGTCTGTACTTACATGCTGGGCACAGGTTCGTTGAGGATCTCCAGCATACCAACTGTCCGGTACGCATTGTTGGTGTGGATGCGACTTGCCATCCACGATATCCATCTATGAGCTCGAAAGTTGTAGCTGTTGAAAAAGCCTGCGGCCTTGTTGAGTTGACCTGTGAACGCGTCTTGTTGCTGGTCACCGGGTGCGCGTAACATTCCTTCGTGACATCTGTTCTAGGCCTGTTCAGTTAATTCAAAACTGCGTGAATGTGCCTGCGACATATGCCCTGGAACCGTTGTAATGACACATTGGACAAAATCCCGACATCGGTACGAGTGTAATGAGCAACGACAGGGCCTGCTTCATACAATCTCATCGACTTGTGCTAACAATTATTGGACGTATCAATCTGGTGGCTCTACCTCTACCTTCGTCATTGATGAGGCGACTGGCTACCTGCGTCTCAACGGGGGCGCCTTTGTGTGCGCAAGCTTAAGGTACGCATACGACTAACAGACTGGGTTTGTTCTCTGCACTGCAACACCCCAAACCACAGCCAGCAACCGACGTTACGTCTTTATTATACAGTAGAAATCAGGTAGAATCGTTTTCTTTATAATATCTGACATAATCGGTGATATTTCAATCTACTTCAATTTACTCAGCAAAATATCTTTTATACCTAGACGACATGTAGTGATGAGCGGGCCTAACTGATGCATCCGTAACCCGAGGCTTGTCTTTGTTACTACTAAACCTCGACAACTGGTGGCTAATAAATCGTGATATTCTTTGACCGATGCTGCTAAATGCTAAGTCATTCAGCACCAATAGCTTCCAGCATGTCCGAGTTATAAAGCTGAGCGACACCGAACCATCTCTTTATCTTATAGTCGGCGTAGATAGATTGTCACGTTGTCAAGCGGTGCACACACCGCTCACGGCTATCCTGGATAGGATGACCGGATACGCGATGGTTCCCTCCGGATAGCCCGATGCGTGTTTCTTAAATTCAGGGTCGGAAAATGCTTTGCGAAATGCCTCGGTAGATTCCCAGACAGCGATATTAACAAAAATGTTGCCTTCTGGGCCCACAGATCGATGAAGCTGTCCTGATAACATGCCATACTGAGACTTCATGTGATTCCCGTCGCGCGCCCAGTTCGCGAGAAAGTCTTCTTCGTCCTTGTGAGACCTGAGGACAAAAGTGTTGATAAAGACGGCGGGACTCGCATCCGTTTCCAGTTGACTCAGGAAAGGAGTGGAAGTCCCGGGGACATCGAGGAGGGTCAAGTTTGAAGTCATTTTGAGTGTTGGATGTATATTTATCCGCCCGATGACCACAGTCCGAGATTTAAGTTCAATTTATAATGGAAACATGTTTCACAGCACAGCGGGTAAGAAATGTCTGTTTAAATGTCACTTGCGTATAGCGATACTGGTCCCCCTCAGCAACGGATATTCGGCGCTTCTTCCGTAGCCCACTAGTAACTACTATAAATTTGAGTTCCGAACAGACTCGCCTCGCTGAATTCGGATGATGATGTCCGTGTCGGATCCAAATCCGCGCCCGAGCTTGGTGCTATCAGGAAATATGGACATAGTTGCTACACCACGGCTGCCTCCTCCGCGTCCCGTAGGACATGCCGCAAGCGCCGGATGGCGTTGGGCTGCCCCGTGAGGTTGATACGGATTATTATCAAATTATGTTATCGCTAAGCCCTCGCCCACTGATGCCTAGTTACCCGAGATCCGGTAGTGCTTGTGTTTAAGAGGGCGAAATATCATGGAAGAGAGCAGGGGCAGAGGAGAACTCACTTCCCTGCCAACAACTGTGATTCTCGACTGGTTAATCTTTCCATCGCCCGCACCCTTTACAATGACGAAAGGCTATTACTTTCTGTGGCGCCGTACTGGTACAGATCGCAACGAGTTCATCAACTACTACGAAAAGCCTCATCTTGATCTCATCCTCGCGAACGTACCTAAGCACGACGATTTTCGGCGCAACTATCCAGCCTGGCACCGCTGCAATACAGCCAGCCTGGGGTTGCAGCCATTTGATGCGTTGACAGCCATCACCTACGCAAGTCCCGCAAAGTTTGACGAAGCAATTGGAATTTTCTACACCCAGCCATTCAACCAGGCTGTGACCGAGGACGAGCTCCGGTTCCTGGATCGCTCGCGCATGAAGTTCGTCATGGTTGACGAGATTATCGATCAACTGCCCGAGAATGAGTGGCGGCCTGCTCCAGCCGTTGGCGGCCATGCCAAGCTGATCCGTTTGATCAAGCGGCCCGCTACCCTCAATGCTACCGAGTTCCGCAAAGCCTACGAGGCTGCTCAGGCGCCTGCTATCCGATCAACAATCATCAACTGTATAGACTATCGCCGCAACTATGTCCGAGCGACGGACTCGCATAATTTCACCACTCCCGACCTTCAAGGCAGCCCCGGCGAGCCCGACATGACCGCCTGCGACCTCATCGAAGAGCTGTGTTTCGCAACTAGCGCTGATGCTGATGCCGCCGTCCAAGCACTGGCCGTTGTTGGTCACCACTCACCATTGTTGACAGATATGCAGCGCACGCCAGCCATCATCTGCGATCAGCGTCTCCGCAGCGCATGAAAAAAAGCCATATAGGCTGGTCGGCTCTTTTGGGTGCTATGGACACCTGTGCCAGACACAACAACACTGCCAGGTTGGGTATGACGTGCTGGACGATGGACATCTAGCTGCTGACCGTAAGAATTACCAAGGCTTTTGATTAATGTGCTTAATCATGTTCATGAAACGCCAAGCTAGATAGACCATTACGCGTTCAATTCGCTGATTGCCATGTCACCCTGTTCTAGAATGAGCGATACATCGTAATAACTCAAGTGCGATACCTCGACCCTGTAGGGTAGCGAATAATGTCATGGCATTTTACCCATGGCTGAGTTGAAGCGTGTTTGCTGATGTAGCACATGGATCCTCTAGCCATTCTTTAATTAACCATCGTGGCTTGCATGTCCCTCAGAATTCTCATCTCAAGCATCTTCATTATTGCTCTCACCATCTCCACCTTCGTCATCAATGATGGCAGTGAACAAAGTCAACGACTGCAGTTGGATAAGAGGTAACATGAGACCCAGACAATTTTGGTTATTTAACACTGATACCCTATCTCCTACGCCTCTCTCCTTTTGTAATTAACTTGAACCTTTTCATCCTATGAGCTACAGTATTCTCTAGACTTACGAATGCGCTATCTGCTTATGCAACAGCTAATGCTACGATTATTTATTTCTTTGTAATAGGTAAATATTTCATAAAAATGGAACTCAAAACCTCTGTGATAACTGTGTTGAACACATGAAGGATTTGCCCCACTGACAAGTTGCCCACTCCCCCCTGGCGTGTATGTGGGTTTACTCTGTAGCGTTACATTGACTCTGAAAGGTAGCATTCCTACTCGTGACGTTTTGCCGTTTCAGAAAGGTCCCCTACTCCACCCTGTTCTGTACTCACCTGAGCATCCAAAATACCGGGCTTTTCATGTCCTTCTTATTCCGTGGAGTTTGACAAGAGATATCCAGGCCACCTAAAGGATTATCCTCGCGATTACTTGTGGTCCGATTATATGCTTGGTCTTTTTCATGGTTGGAAGTGTCCTTCTCATTTCTGGCGGATTTTACCGGCCAAACGTAAGATTCTTGCTGGTGTTGGCCGTATAAAACAAGATCTCCCGAGTTTGGCCCTCATGCTTGACAGGTCGTGAATGCTATTATATTCGAGACTTCTCGCACTCAGTGAAATTCTTTCAGCACTGGAACCCAAAGGTGCATGGCCACTGCGCAACATAACAACGAAAGAAGTACCAAGATGTCGGCCTCAAAGACCAAGAAGCCTATCGCTATCAACCGATATATCGCAACAACTGATGGCAAGAAGATATGTGACTACAGCCAGAAAGGCTCTGAAGGTTACAACATTCCCGATGTGAACCTTAACGTATGTGAATTTGATGATCCCTGTGACTTCGTACGCCTTTCTTACGAATCTTAGGATCCCGCCAATCGTCGGGTCAAGGTGATCTCGATCGGGTGCGGTCTATCCACTATAATGAATTCATATTACATGCAGAAGGAACTTGAAAACATTGAACACGTTGCGTATGAGAAGAATTCAGATATTGGTGAGTTTACATGCTTTTCCATTTAGGCATCTTGGGCTTTGACATCTAACCAAACATTGTGATTTAGGTGGCACATGGTTCGAGAACACATACCCCGGATGTGCCTGTAAGTTGTAAGTGTAGGACATGAAAGCTTTTAGACTGATGTGATATTTCAGGTGACATTCCAGCGCATGCTTACTCCATGCTTTTCGCCCTCAATGTAAGTTCTTGCGGCGAAAGAAGGCTCATATACATTCTGGATTTGGCTAATCAAGAATTAATAGCCTAACTGGAGCAAGTTACTGGCCACCCGTGAAGAGATTTGGGAGTACCTGAACAAAGTCTGCGAAGTGTTTGACCTTAAAAAGAACATGGTCTTCTACACTGAAGTCATCGGGCTCTACTGGCAGGAAGGTAAGGCTCTAGATGATGGTGTTTGTTTCTGGTCGATTTGATTAACAATGATGCTAGATACAGGAAAGTGGCTGGTGAAGCTCAGACAGAACATCCCAGGGCAAGAGAGTTGGGAGTTCGAAGATAGCTGCGACATTATTCTCTACGCCAAAGGCTATCTGAACAGCTGGTCTTGGCCAAAGATCCCGGGACTAGACAAGTTCAAGGGCAAAGTCATCCATTCTGCCGGGTGGGACAAGGACTACACCGAGGAGAAGTGGGCTAATGACCGGGTTGCCGTCATTGGCACTGGGGCCTCCGCGATCCAGATCGTTCCGCAAATGCAACCTAAGGCCAAGCACGTGGACATCTTTGCCCGCACCGGTGTCTGGTTCTCACAGATTCGAGAAGAGTTTGCTGATAACTTCTCCTACACTGAAGAGGAGAAGGAGGGATTCCGGTCTGATCCCAACAAGCTGGTTGCTGTCTCCAAGGACCTTGATTCCACCATCAACCGTCTCTGGACCATTTTCTTCGAAGATAACCCCCACCAAGGAATTCTGCAGAAGGAATACGGTGATCGGATGAAGAGATTCTTTGGCGGCGACGAGCGTTTGTATCAAGGTTTCAAGCCTGATTTCCCGATCGGCTGTAAGAGAAGCACATCAAAAACACAAAGAAATATTTTTAGCTAACATCTATGTTCTAGGCCGACGTATCACACCCGGTGACGCATTCATGAAAGCATTGACAAAGGAAAATGTTGACGCCCATTTCACCGGCGTGGCTTCTGTTACTGAAGATGGCGTCGTCGGTGATGATGGCATTGAGAGAAAATGCGACACGATCATCTGCGCCACTGGATTCGACACGACTTGGAGACCTCAATTTCCCATCATAGGAAAGAAAGGTGTGAACCTCCAGGACAAATGGGCAAATGAGACGAATGGGTACCTTGGTCTGGCGGCTCCCGGTAAGTGCACGGATACAGCTACTTTGTCCCGATCTTTCCTAACCCACTAAACGTGCATAATAATGGAATTCTAACACGAAAGATGATCTCCTGTTAGAAATTCCTAACTTTGTTATTTTCGTCGGCCCTGCCTGGCCCGTTACCAATGGCAGTATCTCTGGACCTTTGACTCAGGTAACCAAATACGCAATCCAGTGCATCCGAAAGATGCAGACCGACAACATCAAGAGCTGGGCCCCCAAGCAAAGCGTGACGGACAAGTTCAACCAGCATGTTCAAGAATGGTATAAATATACCATATGGAAGAATGAATGCCGCTCATGGTTTAAGAACCAAGACACTGGCCGTATTCATGCGTGAGTTCTCAATTCTGTCTCCAACTTACAATGTCTGTGCTAATGCATGAGGATATTTAGTGTGTGGCCAGGGTCTGCCCTTCACTACCGCGAAGCAATCACTAATGTAAGATGGGAAGACATGGAAATTGACTACCATGAGGACAACATGTGGGGGCTCCTCGGCTTGGGATACACCTTGTCTGATCGATACACGGAGAAATATGATCTCTCTCCTTATGTGAATCTCGAGGCAATCGATCCCAAGTGGCTTGAAGCCATTGGCTCACCTGTCAAGGAACCCGAAGCCAATCTGACACCACCTAAGACACCATAGGGGAAGCTATCAATACCACCCGGGCGGATCTATTATCGCACCGAGTGTCATCGACTGTGTTCATTTTAGTTAAGCAACCACCGGGTACCGATCTAAATTTCTCAACTGAGTTAAATTAGAAGGGCATAACCGGCAATCAAACATCATTGTATACTTTAGAGATAGCGGTGTAAGCATGTACTTGGTGACTTGAAACCTCCTTAATAGCCTGTGCTGATGATGATGCTTGCGCCCTGGCGTGACGCTCGGCTCGGTAAAAAGTCCTTGCTCTTAGCTCGGCACCGATGACTTGATAAGCTACGTAGCACTGAGATATATCTCGATAATCAATAGGAATCACGACAACATCATGATGCTCCAAAGCAGCCGTTGTCTGATTGATAATCCTCATGCCTTTCCTTGTTGAGTGTATGCCACCCAGGCATGTGATGGATATCAGACCATTCTGCTAGATGTCTACAGGGCATCAGGGGTTAGGGTATCACTGCGTGCTGTCAGTCAAAGCTTGTAGGAAGGACATGATCCCAGCGCTGCCCCTTGGTGCTCTAAGCTTGATCAGAACCAAATAAACCCTTGTAGATAAGTTCACAATCTAGCCACCGTTGCATCCCTTGGCCACCCGAGTGGGATATCCTTATGAGAATTATTGGCTGGAAGCTGGACTTGTGCAGAGTCAGCATTTGTTTATCAGCTCATCTCTCATCCTCCTTGGTCTAGATTCTTGGATGATAAACGTCATTGATCTTTACGCGGTCAGCCGGAAAGCGGCAATTCAATTGGAACTTGTGGTATCAGGTGCCATGCAGGCTTATTGCTCTTCCATCGGTTTCAAGCAGGAACGAAAGTCCCCTGCTCTAGCTTCTACATTCACTCCATCTCGATCTCGGCCGGATAACGGGGAGAGGAAAGATCTCACCAACTCACCTTCTTTTTAAACCATGCTGGTTGTCCTGGTCTTGGAAACAAGAGCACCCCACTAAGCCCACAACCCCTGTCTCGACAGAAAGGGCAATGACGAGCAATGAAACTAGGTCTTCCTGGCAGGAGCCTTAATTCTTGCTCTGTATATGGTTTCGTAAGCAGCGGCCCCGAGTAATCCTACGTTACAGGTCGCTGCAGCTTGGCACTTTGGACAAGTGGCAACAGTTGTGATCTTTGGTTTCTGTATCATGAATGAGTTCTGGAGGATTAGCATGGGAGAGGCTATACCGTAGTCCATCAACAAGGTGCGATGCAATACTCGCCAAGGTACTTTCTCACCTTCGGCAAGCCATATATCACCCACGGTAATTTTCTCTACAGCCGTTCGATGTAGATTAGACCAATTTCTCCAACATTCAACATTAAATTTACCTTTCAGCGGGCAATAGAACATGGATGCTCAACCAGACACCAAAGTTCTGATCTTCGGTTCGCAAACACTATTCCCCAGAGAGGAGTCGTTCACGGAACTACGAGCAACGTTATTATCCAGCTCTGCATTCCAGTGGATCGTGGACGTCGTATGCGAACTTCAAGGTCCTCCCGCCAGTGCAGTAGCGGACGTGTTCTGCCACTTGGACCTTGTGCACGGGGCAAGGCTGCTGGACAGTTGGATTAAGACTGGGCATTTACCCAGCCCCCTCCCAAACAGCGTGGTTACTCCCCTGGTAGTAATTGGCCACTTGGTGCAGTTCATCCAATACAAGGAACTATCGAGGCTATCCAATTCTGAGAGTGTCGAAAGCCTCGGTTTCTGCACGGGTCTTCTCAGCGCCTTTGCCATCTCCAGCTCACGGGATGAGGCCCAGATCCAGAAGCATGGAGCTGCTGCCATACGATTAGCAGCTTTTGTCGGCACTATTGTCGACGCAGACAATTTCGCTGAGGGCACTGAGGAGGAGGCTGTCTCTCTATCGGCCGCCTGGAAGTCAACTGATGGAGAATCAACTCTTAAGTCTATTCTTAGCAGTTATCCTGAGGTGAGAAGGCTATCCAAGAGACCGGATGATGTGAACCACTGCGATTCTAACTTTCGTAGGCATATATTTCAGTCAACTACGACCTGAGGCGCGCAACCATTACCACTTCATCAAGAACCGTCGTCACCTTGATAGAACAACTCAACGACGCTCGAGTGGCCGCAAATGAAATTGGGCTATCGGGACGATTCCACAGCCAAGTGCACGAGGATGAGGTGGAAGATTACATCAAGTTTGTGGAATCACACATTTCTTTCCAGCTGCCAGACGCGTCTGAGCTCCACCTTTCTACTCGTTCCAACAACAACGGGGAGCACATAAAGCACGGCAAGCTCCACGAAATCGCCCTTCGTTCTATGCTTGTCGATACATCGAATTGGTACGAGTCGGTTTCAGCAATTTACTCGTCATCCTCTCGGAGTGAAAAATCCAAGGTCGTGGTTTTTGGTGCTGACAAGTGCGTTCCCTCATCACTGGCCTCCAAGCTTGGCGCTGGTCTCATCCATGTTGCCGATTACGATGATCGTATCCTACGACTTTCTGGCAATAAGGCCAACATTCCCGATAATCGGATTGCTGTGATTGGAATGGCATGCAACGTTCCAGGAGCCACGAATATTCAGGACTACTGGGATCTTCTCTGTGAGGGCAAGTCTCAGCACGTTGAGGTTCCCAGTGAACGAATAAAATTCAACTCTATCTGGCGCGAGACTGATAAGAACAAGAAGTGGTATGGAAATTTCATCCAAGACTATGATTGTTTTGACCACAAATTCTTCAAAAAGAGCCCCCGGGAGATGGCCTCTACGGATCCCCAGCAGCGACAGGTCTTGCAGGTTGTTTACCAGGCTGTAGAGCAGTCCGGATACTTCAGTTCCCTCAGCCGCCACCCCAAAGGCGAGGATTTGAATATTGCGTTCTACCTGGGTGTTGGCCTGGATGATTACGAGAAGAACATTGCGTGCCATCCAGCCAACGCATACTCAGCTACGGGCAATCTGAGGAGTTTTGGAGCGGGCAAGGTGAGCCACTACTTTGGTTGGACTGGGCCGAGTCTGACTCTTGACACTGCCTGCTCTTCATCCGCAGTCGCAGTCCACCACGCTTGCCGAACTATTCTGTCCGGAGAGAGTGTTGCAGCTGTTGCTGGAGGCGTGAACATCATGACCGGGCCTGATTGGTACCACAATCTTGGTGGAGCAGGATTTTTGAGTCCAACCGGACAGTGCAAACCATTTGACTTCAAGGGAGACGGTTATTGCAGGGGCGAGGCCGTGGGCGCCGTCTTCCTCAAGAGGTACACGGATGCCGTTGCAGATGGCAACCAGGTGCTGGGCGTCATCGCGGCAACTTCTGTGACGCAGAACAGGAACTGCACCGCCATCACCGTTCCGGATTCGCCCTCTCTAGCAGACATGTTCCGCTCCGTTACCCGCCAAGCAGGGTTGGAACCTAAGGAGGTTTCCGTTGTCGAGGCCCATGGCACTGGAACCCCAGTTGGCGACCCGGCTGAGTATGGGGGTGTTCATGCAGTATTTGGCGGCGCCCAACGATCCAACACTCTCGCCCTTGGTTCCGTCAAAGGTCTCGTTGGTCACACCGAATCTGCGTCAGGTTTGACATCACTTATCAAGTCTTTGCTCATGATTCATCACGGTTACATACCTCCCCAAGCCAGCCACGATACCATCAATCCCAGTTTAAAGATGACTCCAGAGGACAAGATCCAGATCCATACCAAGTTGACACCGTGGGACGTCAAGTTCCGGGCCATGCTCATCAACAACTACGGTGCTTCTGGTTCCAACGCATCTATGATAGTTACACAGGCTCCAACAAACAAGACAAATATCCCGTTGAAGGCTCCTATTCACAAGTTGTCCACAAGATATCCGTTCTGGATTAGCGGATTTGATGACCGAAGCTTGGTAGAATATTGTTCCAAGTTACTCGAGTTTATCCAAAGACGCAAGGACGTAGTGTTGGCTAATCTGGCCTTCCAAATATCTCTCCAAAGCAACCGTACACTCCCCAGGGCCTTTATTTTTGATGTTGGTTCTGTTGATGAACTGGAACAGATCTTGGCAAGCTTCATCAAGGGACAGCAATACGCTCCCGTTACGCCGCCTCCCCCTCGGCCGGTCATCTTATGCTTCGGTGGCCAAATCTCTACATTCGTTGGTCTTGATAAAGATGTCTATGAGAGTGTAGGAATCCTCCGCAAGTATCTGGACCAGGTTGACGCCATCAGTTCCGCGCTGAGGCAAAACGGCTCTATTTTACCTGGCATCTTCCAGAAGGAGGCTGTGGAAGATATTGTTGATCTTCAAACTCAACTGTTTGCTATTCAATACTCAGTTGCCAAGGCTTGGATAGAAGCCGGTGTGAACGTGGCCGCCGTTGTTGGCCACAGCTTTGGTGAACTCACCTCACTTGTGGTATCAGGCATTCTGTCTCTTGAAGATGGTCTTCGGCTCATCATTGGTCGTGCTCGCATCATCCAGGAATCATGGGGCGCTGATAATGGGGCAATGATGGCTGTAGAAGGCGATCTTCAAGTTATCAATGATCTTCTGAGTGTGGCCAACAAGGACAATGTAGACTCCCCTGCCACGATTGCTTGCTACAACGGCCCGACAAGCTTCACACTGGGCGGCTCAGTAGAAGCGATCGATCGAGTTGAGGCCACCCTAGCAAACGATGCTACTTTCCGAGGCACGAAGACCAAAAGGCTCAACGTCACCAATGCGTTTCACTCTACACTCGTCGAACCTCTGATCGATCAGCTTACGCAACTTGGGGAGACTCTTAACTTCAGAAACCCGATTATACCATTCGAGCGCTCCACTGAGAGTGATCACGTAGGAAAGCTAGGAGCTTCTTATGTTGCTGAGCACATGCGCCAGCCCGTCTTCTTCAATCACGCGCTTCGCCGTCTCTCTCAGAAGTACCCTAATGCCATTTATCTAGAGGCCAGCTCCAACTCTACGATCACGATAATGGCTAGCCGCGCTTTAGGCAAACCTGAAGGCTGCCACTTCCAAGCTCTTAGCATCAATGCCGGGAACGGTCTTCGGCCACTGACCGACGCCACCATCAATCTTTGGAGAGAAGGCATTAACTTGACGTTTTGGCCCCATCACCGCATCCAGACCGCTGAATACACACCCATCCTATTGCCTCCTTATCAGTTTGAGAAGTCTCGGCATTGGATGGAGCTCAAAGATGCCCCAAAGCTTGAAACGGCACCAACGCCCGCCGAGAGGCCCATCTCTAACGAAATGTGGGAGTTTATCAGATTCGAGGACAATGAGCAACGATCTGCTCTATTCCGCATCAACAGTGATTCCAAGGAATTCATCGAATACGTCTCTGGCCACAAAGTTGCTGGTAGCGTCGCGCTCTGTCCCAGCATTCTCCAGATCAGTATCATCACCGCGGCCCTGATCAGCATTCTGCCAGGTTTCAATGACTCCAAATTGCAACCACACCTCAAACACATGATCAACCATGCACCCATGACCATCAACACGAGCAAAACTGCGTGGCTAAGAGCCGAGGCCATCGACGTCCACAGGCTTGTGTGGGACTTTAGTGTCGTGAGCCAAGACACAGACAAACCATCAGGTCCCTTCCTTCTGCATTTCTCATTGAGACTCACGCTGCGATCCGTCGAGGACGAGGACTTCAAGAGCGAGTTTGCGCAGTTTGAGCGACTCATTACAGTCAAGCGACCCCGCAGCCTCCTCAACGGCAATATCGATGTCGACGAGGTCATCCAAGGCCGAAATGTCTATCGAGCCTTTGCTGATATTGTCGACTACAGCGACAAGTACCGAGGCGTTCAGAAAATTGCAGGGAGAGACTCCGAGTCGGCCGGGCGCGTGTCGTGGCCACACAACCCGAAGCACTTCTTCAACATTGGCCTGGCGGATTCGTTCCTCCAAGTCGCCGGCATTTATGTCAACTGCATGACAGATCGCTCGGAAAAGGAGATGTTCATATCGGACAGGATTGAGCAGTGGATCAGGTCTCCGAGACTGGTCCCTTCAGCTGCCCGCCCCAACCAGTGGGATGTGTATGCCTGCCACCATCAGCCTTCCCAGAAGGAGTATCTGTGTGATGTCTTTGCTTTTGATGCCAATACAGGAGAGCTCGCTGAAGTTATCATGGGTCTCCGGTTCCAGCGTGTCAGCAAAGCTGCTCTTGTGAAGATGCTCGGCGGCAGTCATCCTTCGCCGGCCGCTGCCCCTTCAAAGCCTGTGGCTGCAGTTTCTCACACCACTAACGTGGTCAATGGGCATTCCACTCCCTCAAAGGCGCCCGTAGCTGTGGCCTCATTACAGAAGAAGAAAGCGGTCAAGAAGCGTCCTTCTGTTGATGTTGTTAAGATTACCACTGAGATTCTGATGAACCTTTCTGGATTGGAAGCTGAAGATGTCAAAGATGACTCTGAGTTGGCAGAGTTGGGTATTGATTCCTTGATGGGCATGGAGCTTTGTCGTGAGATTGAAGCACACTTCAAGATCTCATATGATAGCTCTGAGCTCAATGACATTGATGACTTCAAGGGTCTGATCCAGTCTATTTCCAAGGCTATCGGCACCGATGTTACTGAGGAAGATGATGAAGAGGCTCCAGAGCTCGCTACCAACGGCCATATCGCAACGCATGTTCTCAACGGTGTCAATGGGAATAGCAATCACGGAACTAATGGCAACTATACAGATGGTGCTCATACTGAGTCTGATAGTTCGTCATCAATTGGCGATGCCGGTGACGCAGCTCAGGCCATTCTCGACGTCTTTTCGAAGGTAAACGCCCAAACCGACGACTATCTACTAAGGGGAGGCGTAGCCGGATACGTCGAAAACGTTCTTGACGACTCAAATGAGCTGGTCATTGTGCACATTCTGGATGCCTTTGAGCAGCTTGGCTGCTCAATTCGTCACGCAGACGCTGGTACAAAGCTGACACGAATCGAACATCTTCCCAGGCACAAGAAGCAGGTAGATAAGCTCTACCGGTTCCTCAAAGAGGCTGGCCTTGTTGAGGTGGATGGTGATACAATTATTAGGACTGCCAAGGCTGCTCCCATAGAATCTGCTCGATCCCTCCTTGAGAGCCTTGTTCAGAAGAACCTCAACCATGAGAGTGATCACCGATTGACTTCACACATTGGTTTCAACCTGGCGGATTGTTTGATTGGCAAAGAAGAAGGAATCCAGCTCATCTTCAGCTCGCCAGAAGGACGAAAATACGCGAATGAGATGTATGGCAAATCCCCCATCCAAACAGCATGGATGGATGAAATGAAGGACATCATTAAGCAAGTGTCCGAGAGACTTTTTAATGAAACCTCTGGTCCCATCAAGATCTTAGAATTGGGAGCCGGAACCGGTGGCACGACATCAAATCTGATCGAGGATTTATCAAAGATCGGAATCCCTTTCGAGTACACAGCAACTGACTTGTCCTCTTCGCTTGTCGCTGGTCTCCGAAAGAGATTCAAGGGGTATCCCTTCATGAAATTCAAAGTCATCGATGTTGAGAAGGAGCCTCCCGCAGATTTAGTTGGCAGCCAGCATCTCATTCTGTCCACGAACTGTGTCCACGCGACGCGAAATCTCAAGATCTCGACCAAAAATATCCACACCATGCTTAATCCCAGCGGTGTTCTCCTCCTGTTGGAGCTAACCAAGCCTCTTTATTGGTTTGACCTCATCTTCGGCATGGTCGAAGGTTGGTGGCTCTTTGAGGACGGCAGAGACCATGCCCTCGCCAGGCCTGAATACTGGCAGAAGGTCATGACATCTGTTGGATATGGTCATGTCGACTGGACTGACGGAAACCGCCCTGAAAATGAAATCCAGCGTTTGATACTGGCCACGGCCTCATCAGCATCGAGGTATGATGGACCATCACACCCCCTTTTGTCGCAAAAGTATTGGACTGACCTCCCGGCTCGCGAAGCAGCAATTGATTCCTACGTGGAGCAATTCACAGCGGACTTTTCGTTGGAGCCATCACCTCAGGTTTCCCCATTGAGGATGGCTACTTTGGATGGCTCATATGTCGTCTTGACTGGAGCAACCGGAAGTCTAGGAGGTCAGCTGGCTGCACACTTTGCACGCCTCGAGGAGGTCAAAGGAGTGTTTTGTCTGAATCGAGCAAGTAGGACGGACCCTATGCAGAGGCAGAAGCAATCTATGGAAGACAGGGGCGTCTCAATTGATCAGAGAGCTCTGGCGAAACTGAATGTATTCGAGACGGACACATCCAAGCCGTTGCTTGGTCTGTCACCAGCCAATTATGAGATTCTTGTTGGAAATGCAACATATATTGTGCACAATGCTTGGCCCATGAGCCTTACACGAGACATTCACACATTCAAGTCACAGTTCCGTGTGATGCAGAACCTCATTTACTTGGCACGAGACATCGCTGCTGTGAGGCAAGGGAATAAAAAACCCTCCCTTCTTCTTGTCTCGTCCATTGCAACCATAGGCTATAATTCGTTGCATAACCAACGCCCACTGGTGCCTGAGCAGCCCATGACAGTCGAGTCCGTTCTTCCTACGGGCTACGGCGATGCCAAGTTAGTTTGCGAAAGAATGATCGACAGAACACTAGGAAGACACCCAGATAGGTTCCGGGCTATGGCAGCGCGAATTGGCCAGATTGCAGGTTCTGCCGAGAGCGGGTACTGGAATCCTACCGAGCATTTTTCGTTCATGGTCAAATCATCTTTAACCCTCCAAGCGTTGCCTAATCTTTCTGGGGTACGCAAAACTTTTCTCCCCCAGATTTTCATAGCCAATCTGACTTAACCAAATATCACAGGAGCTGTCATGGTGCCCAGTCAACGACGTGGCTGCATCTGTCGGTGAGCTGGTGCTGGCCGAGAACTCGCCGTACCCGATTTACCATGTTGAAAATCCTTCTCGCCAACCGTGGAGCGAGATGATTGCAATCATGGCCGATGCTCTCGGGATTCCTCTAGCCAACGTTGTCCCTTTTGATGAATGGGTGGCCATGGTCAAAGCTTACCCAGGCTCCGCAGATTCAGAGAACCCAGCAGCCAAGCTGATTGACTTTCTAGATCTGCATTTCCACAGAATGTCATGTGGTGGGCTGGTCATGGACACAACACATGCAAGGGAGCATTCGGAAACCATGGCGAAGGAGCCGCCAGTGAGCGCAGCTCTCTTTCATAAATATGTGGAGGCCTGGAAGGATATGGGTTTCTTGTCGCGATAATTCTACCAACACAGATTGCCCCAGCAGGGGATCCAACAAGGGCCACCCATCTGGGAAGAGATCCGAATGTCAAAAAATAGCTCTAGCTTGTGAGAACTCTATAGTTGCCTCGGCACATGCCATATGACTTAACCTAAGAATTCTTTGTTCAACATGAAACTGAATGCATTGTCTAACTTCGTTGTTAAAGGAATGATCGTTCTATCGTTCATAAATCAGTTTTTCATTACCCAGATCTGCCTTTGAAAAGCCTCTAAGGCAATATAAGTTCTTTTCTGTCGCAGGTAGGGTTAAATACTAACGCAAACGCCCAAGGATCATGATTCAAGTAATCACAGGCCTTTCTAGTCGTGACTGGGTATAATACTTTATTTTGCCAGCATTCCCTGCTCCCTCACAAGAGACACCTGTCATTGCTATGTCTTGATACATGATGGATCCCTAGCCTGAGAGAACAGTTAGAAATGACGGTAGCTCCCTGTCCTCTACCGTTTCAGTCCTTGTCAGCGTATGGGGGGGGCAATGGTGCGGCACATGCTTCCTGGATGTCACTGGGCCGTGAACAAGGGATGAGATTATCTAAGTGACACCCCACGCGCAACTACGCCGCACTCAATGGAGGGGACAAGCCAATGTACGATTGGCTGAGAATCAAAGCACGGCCTCGCGCTTTCGGCATCTTCTGCATCCTAGAGTTACACTGCAGCCTGTGGCCTCCAACGAACAGGGGTTTTCTATGGCCCCGCGCGCGAGTCGCTGACCTGGATGCAGAGCTTCCTTCCTTCCGTGGAGAGGGGTGCGATTGGTGATCATCGCTGGCAGTGAGCAGGTAAACACAGGATGTTGAGAAACATCGAGCCCGGCAGAGAGACAGAAAAAATACCGGAGGCAGAGGCGGAACTTCACGTATAAAGCTCCATCTTACAAATCACTTACTATTACCCCAAGCCAAGAATAATACCCCGTGTGTGATCGATCGCTTCTCCGCAGGCAGACAATTTATGCCCGAACCAACACGCCTGCTCCATGACAATCTCCCACACCCACATGGCGGCTTCCCATCGGCACAGGAAATGGACCTTGGAGGAGGATATGGTGTTGCGGTATGAAGTAGAAGCCCAGCGGGGTAAGATACAACCGACAGCAGTCCCTTGATTTTTGGACAAGATCGTACTGCTAACTGCATGGTGATATTGTTACCCTTTTTAGACACCAATGAACCGACCAATTGGGCAGCAATTTCGGAAAAGTTACCCCATCGAAGCAATAAAGATTGTCGCAAACGTTGGCTCAAGACAGTGGAAGTGTACCGCAAAGGGCCGTGGACGGCGGATGAAGATCAACGGCTGCTGGCTGCAATGGAGACATACGGAACACGGTATGAAACCATCCCCCACAAGACATGCTTTCCTCCTTCGTTGTACACCGAATGAAACCAACGGGTGATCAACCAGCACGGAGTTTCTGACCGTGATCTCTACAGCAGATGGAATCGAGTTGCACAGCGTGTTGGAACTCGCAATGCCGACCGTAAGCCCCTTTTTTATTTGAAGCTCGTGCTTTAATTAAAAACTCTCTGACAAAATAGAATGCGCGAAACGATGGCAACATTCATTAGACCCTAAAATTGACCGTGGTCCGTGGACATCGCGAGAAGATGACGAGCTACTAAAGGCAGTGTCCGAGCTGGGACGATCATGGAGATTGATAGCTTCTACCAAGCTGCCGTCTCGGTCACCAACAGACCTGAAAAACAGGTATGTAAGGCGATAGACGTTGGTTCATGCACTGCCAAGCCTCAACTCTTTGCCGGCTGCAACTGTGATATGCACTGTTCTAAATTTGCATCCCCTCATTTTAGATACGAATTGATGTGCCGGCGACGACAGGACGATCCTCCCAAAGCCACGTTGTGTGACGATCCTGCTGGAACACTGGGTAGCAATACAGTTAGCCAAGGAGACATCTTAGCCCAGAGCTTCGCGCAAGCGCAATGCTTCGCGATCTGTCCCCCTCACGAGGCAAACGGCAACCTAGGTCTACTTACCCGTCACAGCTTCAACGAATGGGAGCATCTGCCGCCAGTGGTATCCCAATTGGGTCTTGATAGCGGCGATTCATCCTTCACAACGACGGGGATGGAGTCGTGGATGAATAGTCCCGGAATTTATTCAACCGAGTGCGACCAAATTGCTTCAATTGCATTGCCCGAGCAGGCGACACCACCGGAATCTTCTGGTGTGTTGCCCGACACGGCCTTTCCTCCGTCCTCGCGGAGTTCCGCAGGGTTGGAACCTAGGGGTCCTTTCACAAATTACACTCTGGTTTTGGAGAACATACATTCTACCGAAATTGGAGATGTTCTGAATTCATTGACTGACCGGGGGTTAATGATGAACATGAGGATTCTCAGGCAGACGACATGAGACTCGTGCCCCATTGCTTGTCCCACACTCCCCGAGACTCTTTGGCTCCGTCTCCTGTCCTCAAGTCCTTTCTGCATCTTATTCTTAGATATCACCATAAACGCGATTAGAATCATGATATATTTCCTTCTTACTAGGCTCATCGATCCCCAAGTGTGCGGAGAATATACGCCAAGCTCGACTAAGGAGCGCTGAAATGAGGAATTTGTCCGCCTAACCCCCCCGGGACGGCCCGTCACCTCCACGGTTGCAAGCCAATTGGCCTCTCATAAGGAGATGACAGGGATGCTCCAACTCCTTGAGGAGGAATTCGAGGATGTGTCAAAAAGTCCACTGTTGGGGTACTTGGATGCCGGCCTCCCCGAGCCTGGCTTCCGTGGCGCGCGGGAAACTAGCGCACAGGGGCCTCCTCCACGTCTTTTGGATTGATGTCTCCTGGCTCTGCGGTCTCTGACAAGAAAGAAGGAAGAAAACAAAACAAAAAAGTCCCAAAACGGCAAGAGAAGTCAAGTTGTTTTTCTGTGTATACCCTGCCTGTGAAAGCCAGATAACATCACCAACCTCCATGTGATCGATAGATAGTAGCTGGGCATACCTTGACCCTCCACTCGCCCGGCTATTGAATCTCCGCCATGCTGTTTGTGGCCTTTTCGGCCTGGGATCATGCCGGGACAAGAGGACAATCACATGGGCAGGGGAGGACAAGGGAGCCCGGAGGCAGTAGAAAGTGGACCTACACCGCTCAGATTATCTATGGGATCTTTCGCGGGATTGTCGGCGAGTTGCAGCGTCTGTCTGGGTCAGATTCCATATCGTATCGCCGAGCTTTTATGCAGGGTTGATAGGGGCGTTACATTACACGTATCCAGTTCTCGTTCCAGCCAGGTTACACAAACCGCGTCTGCCGCTGAGGTACCATCCTGGCAGATGGATGACTACCGACATGGTATATCATAAGTCATCAGTCTCAGTGACATTCTTCTTCTCTTGCCTCTAAACCTCCCATGCTCGAGAGACAATAAACGAACCTAATTCCCTGTGTCGGTACCGAAAGATCTCGAATCCCCGAGCAGATGCTTGCAGTAAACCGGCAATTTACACGGAACAGTCCCACTGCACGGACCAGACATAAAACGCCAAGTTGTCAATCACTTGCAAGGGAATAACGGCAACCTGGCGCTTACAAGGGTGGTCAATGGCGTACTGCGTATAATCAAGACATCTATGGGATATTTGTCATCTATTTTTAAGCCAATATTGACAAGCCACGGTAACTCCTTCTATGTAAGATAAGACCTTTTCCCTGATTGCCGGGAGCTGCCTGTTACAGAACTGCAGCCTCTCGCGCCACTTCCAGGATGGCTGTGGTGATCGCCCGCACGTCTCTTAGTCTGATTGGCAGGCGGTGATCTCCATCCCACTCAATAAGACGTGCGCCGCCTTGACCCTGACAGTAGTATTCCATCAGCTGCCAGTGCAGATTGATCCCTGGATCTCGCAGCCCATGAACGTGGACCGTGGGGGACCGCACCAGGTGAGCCTTCTCGGACGAGTCATCCCGGCAGCTGTCAAAGTTGAGGTGCAACGCGGTGCTCTGCGCCGAGGTTACCAGATACGGACTCGAGAGCACGTCAGAATCGAACGTTATCAGAGGAGCAGACCCTGCCATGACGACGGCGAACCGAAAAGAGCACGGGAGCCGGGGGGGAAGCTGGTTCTTCCGTTCGTTATCCTGCATGAGGAGAACGCTGGCGGCAACCTTTGCGCCCTGACTGAAGCCCAACAGTCCCACCCATTCCCCCGTGCCCCCCTGCCGGTTGTCAGATTCGATGGCCTCAGCGAGGGAATCGACGATTGCCTGCGCTCCATCGGCGCTGTCCACCTCTTGATGCTCTGGCTTGTGGCGGAGCCATCGTCGGTAGGGTCCGTAGTCTTTGTAAGTCGGGATCATACCCGGTCCAGGGCCGCATGTATAGGGTGCATCAGCGAAACACAATCGAAATGTCGACCTGAGCTCCTTGACGATGATACGGCACTGCATGCGGAAGATGGTGCTATTGACTCCGCCGCCATGCAGGCAGAGAATGCGGGGGAGGTCGAGGCTTTCCTCCTCAGGAGTGAGGATACGATGTGGACTCATGTTTAAGAGGAAAACTGGCTCAAGCAAGGACCGAGGGCAGGTTGAAGTTAGGGTTTCAATGCATAGGACTTTTTGGTGTGATCCGGCCACGCTGCCCGCGGTCAGGATGTTTCTGTCCTTTTATAATATCACATGAGAGATTTCAAGAGATAATCTCATCTGCCCCCACACTACTAAGGGGTGGTGTGGGTATATCTTGATTCAACTCTTCGGAGATGCATCTCATTCACACCCTGTGCTATCTAGCCCCCTGTTTTTACACCTTGTTCATAGACGTCTAGGGAGACCCCCACAGAAGCCTTCTCTCAAGATTGCCACCTCCATAATACCAATGTTCACTTCAATGCATACAGTCAGTTTCTTTGGATTGATCAAATATAAGCTGACGAATAGCTAAAATAATAAAACGTTTATGTAGGATATCTTCGAAACGCACTGCCAATGTGTGGTTAGCTTTGGACACTCGCGTGCTAATGCCACTTGGACGTCTTCCACTGCAAGAGGATGAATCTCCGCCTCCATGATCAGGAGCCCACGACTTCTGACAAGGCATGGGATATCATTTCAAATCAAGGGCGGATATAGTAGTGCTTCTCCCGACATAAACAATGAGAAAGAAAACACCCACTAGCATAGCGTAACGAGTTTTGTGGCTTTATTAGACTTGTGTCAGGCAATCATGTCAGAGGATTTGGGCTGAAACAGATGGCATGCTAACGAGACAACTTGCCTACTGCTGATATCCTCATCACCGTTATGTAAAATAAATGCCTTCTTTTCCTTGATTTGCAGTTATGAATCCCATTTTCCAAGCGTGGAAGTTGAACAAGCCCTTCTCAAAACACACCATTAGCTGCCATTGATTAGGAGCGCCCTTTTCGTAAACCTAGTGAATATAAATACATTGATTGATACCGAAGGCCCTAGACAGCCCGCAATGGTTCATTAAAGATCATTGTGCAAAGATGGAATGTCCACAGGTGTACTAGACCCGCGATCACGAGACTCGGGGGAAACCTTGGGACATGGACCTTTTCCGCTTGTATAATCGGAATCCATCACATACCTTTCCAATTCAGGCTCAAGTTGAGGATACAATCCGAGACTAATATGAAAGCCTTGTAGGCCAGATCCCAGACATCTCTTAACCCCCTTCACCATCCCAATGTAGGCATCATAATGGCTCCTGTAAAATGGTCCGTCGTAAGTAAAAGCATTGTCAAAATATGTGTCGATCTTGATCAAAAGCTTGGATATCTCAAAGCTTTTTGCGATGAATGACAATAGTGAGACCCAATCCTTGTCAAAATCTTCCCACGTCCATCTAGTTCTGTCTTGGCGAGCAAATCCGATCTTGCGGTAAATAATTCCCAGGTCAAATCTAATATGTCGGAAGTCCCGAAGCATCTCTGGCCGAAAGGATTCCAACAATTCCAAGATATCTGGCAAAGGGTCACCAAAAATGAATGTGTTTTTAGAGTACAACAACTCAGAAGCCTCCAGATGGACTTGGCGAGAAACCTGCAGTAGACTCAAGGGCAGCGGTCGGCATTGGCATGTAGCTGAATCTGACGCATAGTAAGTCTGGCAGGAGCAGTGTCTCCTATTGAAGGCGCAACGGCAACCGCATTTCCCGGAGGCATTAAAATAACTTAGACTGAGCCGAAAATCAATGTGATTCTTAGTGACAATAATATCATCATTCGCAATACTGCTTTCCGGGGCAAGATTTGCAAATTTCAAGATGAGAAGGCGGATTTCTGTCGGCAATGAGAGAAATGGGAACGGGGAACTACTGCTTTCCAAGTGTTGCACTCCTCCTGTCAGTCTGAGTATAGTTGAGCGGGCGAGCGAGGTCAGATCTGAATCGTGCTGTCTTCCAAGTTGTATTGTGCATTGTTTGAGGCGCGGGAGAGCATTCATCGGGCTCAGAAACCGTTCGGCTGTCGTCAAGTCTTTCGCATCGCAAATGAACTCGATAGTGAGGCATCCAGGGGGTATAGCTGCTAGGCGATTGCATACAGCCTCCCAACACTTAATGATGCTCTCCGAGCCGAGGTTTTGACACTCACGGCATTCGCCGGTCTCCTTATCATAGGACCAGCGGTGGTCACTGCGGCAGTAAGGCTGGCTGTTCAACCGGACTAAAAGGTAACGCATTTTCTGTACCCCCTCGTTTGACAGAGCTTGAAAGCTTTCAAAATCTTCAGCGTCGCGGCCTCTCACGACAAATTTATTCATGCTATATAGCATTTCATGGACCTCATTATGTATGAGTTTATTGACAAATAAAAGTTGTGACGGTATAGGTGGGCAAATGTCTGATCCCATGCCAGGTTCAGGAGCATAAGGATCCCGATGAAATGGACAGCCAATTCTTCTTGCTGCAAGCTGCGCCCGCCATGGCACCGATAGTGGGAGTCTTAACTTGCGACTCTCTCCATCCTCTCGACGGATCAAGTAAGTCGGACATTCGCGAACTAAATTCGCAAACAAATAAATGCGTTTTCGGATGCTTTTGGGGATGGTGAGAAAGGTTGGCGGCGTTGTGTCCATTTCGAAGGTTGGGTGCAGGTTTGAGAGAAGATCATACGGAGCGGCCCAGAAAGAATAGCATATTCTGAATGGCCTGGTTTTATATCCCTTCGTGTATTTATCAGTGCACTGCCACTATTTGACACCGTTACAAAGACGTGATGGGTACAAAGACGGGCCACAAAGACGCGATGTTTTTCCAAAAGCCGCAGTTCAGTTCCTTGTCCCCCTAAGGAGCCCCCCCCATCGGACGAGATTTACACACTGTCTATTTCCTGGTCGGATAAAAAGCCGAACCGCATCCCGCGTATTGCTTTTAAGCTTAGTGTGTTTGTTGTACATGAGGTCGAACAAATGGACAAATTATTTGCTTTTTGGAAGGACGAGTGACAACGAGACAACATGCCGACTGAAACTCGTTATGAGTTTGTAATATTTCACTTGTACCGCGAGGAAAGATGGTTTATTCTTGTTGAACCTCCGACCTCACAAAGACAGCTCATTAAGGCGTTTTTGGGCGTGGCTTTCTCATCATGATGTCCAGCCTCCATGACAAAGCTAGAGTTCACGTGGGACAAACGGTAGCACTTTAGCTCTAATTGAAGCTAAAAATACTTCTCAACATATCCAATAAAGGGCAAGTGAGCTAGCCTCCTAGAACTTTTCAAAAATAGCGATCCCGATATTTCATAAAATTCTCTCTTGCTTACCCTGAACTTCGCCCTGTTCTTAGACTCTCGATACGGTTCATGGTTAATATTCAAACGATTTGCATTCATAATCTTTAGCTAGCTGACTTTAAGAACCAATAACTATATTCTCATAACAAAACTAGAGTCAGATCTCCTGCACGGCAATGAGTATTGCTGTACTTCCACATGACAGCTTAAGAAAAAGCGGTCAAAAAGTAGCTGTTAGGTAAATGTAGCAAACACAAGATTTAGAATTAGATGATATTAGGCTCTCTTTTATTCTTTTTGAGTAAAAACCACTTAATCTACCTCTCGATTGATATGCTGCTGAGTACTGCACTTCCTACGGCAAAAGTTACGAAACATGCGTAGCATATAACCTGTCCACTTTCCATGCTACATGGCAGAAGGAAATTCGATCCGAACATGTGTCTAGACGTTTTGTCTTGGGGATTCCAGCTGTTCACAAAAGACCTTCCTTCTCAGAACGGCGGAGAACAGCAGCAGGCCTCTGCCCGCCTCTTTAACGGCATTATTTGTCAACCAACAGCATTGGCACATGTCAGCAGTGAAAGATGAATGGAACCAAAGTAACATAACGTCAATTATGAGTTGTTTCCTCGCATGTTACGTTGGTGGGTTGGTTCAGGTAACTAGAACCCACCACCTGACTGGTGAGGATCTTCTGCAATGCTACCGAGATACGGGAGATTTAATCGCAAGAATTTCCCAAACCCGCCTAGCGCTGCAGGGAAAGCAATAAAATACAAAGAGAAAGAACGCATGCGTCACCAGCTGCATGCTTAATGAACATATGGTGCGTAGTTGTGCAGAGAGATGTGCATGAGGCGAGTTGGTTATGAAAAAGGCATTCCACTTCTTTAGCGCACAAAGTGACGTACCTACTTGGCTTTTATTAGGGCCCCGGACCTTTCGTGTTCATCTTCTTCTTTGCAACCTCACCCTTCTGAAATTTTCAACTTTACCCTCTCCAAAACTTCGAACATCATCACTTGAACACTCACCACTTGAATACCCAACCCCCTTGAAAGCTTCGCTATCTTGAACAAGGATAGAAAGATGAAGCTGTCTACTTGCTTGACTTTCCTCGTTGGCCTAGTAGCCGCTGCTCCAAGTGAGCTCCGGACTACAGCCAACGATCTAGTCGATGGGCAGGGCTTCTACTGTCCTCACGCAATCTTGATCTTTGCTCGTGGATCAACTGAACAGGGAAACATGGTACGATGAAACGTCCCCATCCGGCTCTCTCTGTGATGTGATGGTTTGTCGACTAACGCGATACAATAGGGCACCCTCGTTGGGCCTTATCTTGCACACGGCCTCTCCACTCAAGTGAAGAGCCTTTGGATCCAGGGTATTGGCGGAGACTACACTGCCGACCTCGAAGATAACTTTCTCCCCAAGGGAACTAGCCCTGAGGCTATTGTTGAGGCATACAAGATGTTCAATCTTGCTTACGACAAGTGCCCCGGTTCGCTCGTGCTGGTTGGCGGCTACAGGTAAGAAGAAGTACCACAAAGACGACCAGGGCTCGGTTTCTTAACTATGTGCTAACCTTCTCGTGAACAGCCAGGGAGCCGCTCTCCTTGCCGCGACCATCCCCACTCTCGTCGGTCCAGCGCGCCAGCAGATCAAAGGCGCCGTTCTCTTCGGCTACACCCAGAACAAGAAGAACGATGGCCGAATCCCCGAATACCCCGCTGATCGAACCAAGGTCTTCTGCAACGACGGTGATGTGGTCTGCCAGGGTGTTCTCCAGATCAAGACTCCCCATCTCCTGTACAGCGCGGCCGCGCAGGGCGAGGGAGCCGACTTTCTGGCCAACAAGATCTCCTACTAAGAGGCGCAGAGAACAAGATATCCTACAGAACATGGATCAAAAAAGGTGATGAAACCACCAGCTTTCAGGGGCTAGGAGGTTCTATGGAGCATCGATGAAATGGGCGTGAAAAATCACTAGTCTTTAGGAACGGACTCTAGAAAGACGTAGCTTAGCTACTTAATGATAAGAAATAACCAGCCTCTTTCTACCTTAGTGTGATATTTCTCTTTCCATCCAAGAGACAGTTCCTGATGAGAAACTGACTTCTGTCTACTAACTCCTTGACAAAAATCCGGGAATGAACATATCGGCATCTGGGTTCTATTTCTATTTCGAAACGATTATAATTGACATGACAAGTGAGATGTAGGACTCCATACGAAGAAATAATTTGGTACATTGCTCGTCAACATGGACAGTGTGTAGGGGAAATAGACATCAACGGCCCGTGCTGTAGAGGCACTGGAGATGTAAATCTTTGCTGGAAACTACAAGCAGGTTAAGCGTATCATATGCTATCATTGCAATAAATAATCGATTTACAAATCATTTCCATCTATCTGGCCTGACATGGAAAGAAGGATGTTCAACAAGGAGATTTTTCAAGAAAACGTGACTGCATATGCAAAGTAAGATTTATTCTATTCTTTAGTGTGAAAGCTAGCTATTTATGTGAGTGTGTTTTGTATCAAAAGAACCCCGAATAAACGATGGGTTTTGTCTAGTTTTATTGCTAGAGCAAACGCCAGACCTCGTGGTTTGACGGACTCTTATCGTGGTAAAAATGCCGTAACTGCTCATAGACTATACGAGCATCTCTGAGGTACGGGTACAAAGGTTACAAAGGCGATAAGAACGCCTTTGTGAAATTGCCAGTGGCTTTGCCAGAGGAATACGTATCGCTTCGTACAGTCTCCGTTTCTATGTCAAACTTGCGCCCGCCAAGTTTTCCTAAGGATTATTCACTTAGAGACTCATTGAATTTTATGATTTGATCGAAAGTAGCCTGGTTCTGCTTGGCGGTGAGAAAGCTGATTGAGCGCAGAGGAGGTTTATGGAGCAAAGTGAGGGCTCCGTCTTCCATGCGCCGCCCTGGGAAGACCTGGAAACGCTGCTGGCAGCGATCGCACTGCTTCCAGCCCTTGCCCGCCTCCCTAAGTTCCTGGGCCTTCTTTATGGCTTCTTCTGGGTGAACTGTCGGGACATAACCATACTCCGTTAGGTCCGTGATCGGGGTGAGCAGGCGCTGTAGGAGCTCAACTTCTTGAGCAGGCGCTAGGCCGGTCTCAACGAACTTTCTAGCGCCTTGTCTCCGAGCGAGTGAAATGGAAGGGACATGTTTTGGATTTTCCAGTTCAACTAACAGGCAGACACCAGATTCGATGTGTGTGAAGATCTTCGGCACATGTTTGGTGGGAACGGGGAGGGGGGTTGTTCTGTCCGACTGCGCGCTTGCCGGAGAGAATAATGTCAATTTGTCGATCCAATTTGCCCATTGCACTCGTTCGTTGGTTTGATGTTGGTCTTTTGGTGGTTGGTTTGTTGTGGTGTCTGGCTGCAGCAGAAGCCATGGGAGAGGCTATGAAAAGATGGACCGATTTTGGGCATTTATCCATTGAACCACACTAAAGGCCACGGTTATGCTCTCCCTCTTCATCCTGCTACTGTCGTAAAACCCTCAGGTCTAATGTAGAAAGATGCCAAGCAGCTAATAATGTATCTTTAGTTTATAGCTTTATCGTCGAAGGATATTCGCAACTTGATGAGCTGTCAATGAACCGTCTGCGCAGTAGTGACGCTTTGTCGAGTTTTATAAGAGAAGACCGAGTAGGTCTGGATGTTGGTGGCGAGGATTGGTTTTGTTCCTCCAAGCGGTAAAAGAAGCTCCAGCGTCAGCGATCGATACTTGATAAGACGTTCCCCTCGAATGAGTCCCATAAAGAAACCATGGAGTTCGCCCGAACCATAGCTGCAGCATATATTTGCTTAGGGATATATCAGAAGCAGTCGACTAATGCTTCAGACCGGCTCGTCTCATAGCATCATTTTCTTTCTCCGTTTGAATGAGTGCTACAAAGAAGCCATCAGCGAGTTCGCTCGAACGATAGCTGCGGTATAAATTTGCTTAGCAGTATATCAGAAGCAGTTGATTTTATTTCAGCTGCAGTGGGCTGGTGCTTCAGGCCGGCTTGTCTTATAGTCCCGTTTTCATTTTGGGTTCGAATATTCGCTGAGCTTTGAAAATACCTGGACAGTTTGTCTAAGTCAGGACCATTAGGGGCAGACGTCCAGGTCGTCTCTTCCTTGGTATTGTAAGAAGCGCTGAAGGTCGAGTTTCTCCTTTGTTATAGTATCGCCTCAGGACTGTTATTCTTATGGATGATCAACCGAGCTTCGGTTCTCCCAGGAGTTCATAACCGCCGCAAGGGACCCCTGGATCAATTGCATATATCTCGACGACCACTCTTGATACAATCTTTCCACAAAGTGACGAATCACTCTGTCTCGTCAAAGTCTAGGGTTAACTCGGCGCTCGTGACGGGTGATGAGGCGGGGTGAGGTGCTGGAAGTACTCGAGCTGCCGACACTTCTGAGCTCATCCGACTCAACTAGTTCCATGTCGGATGGCGACAGGCCTACTTCGGTAGTGTTGCGGATAATATCATTATCATTATTGAGGGAGGAGTAGTCGGGCGATGAGAGGGCTTGTTTGACGAGGATGAGGTTGAAGATAAGGCCTTGTATCTCAATTCTTCCAGTAACAGGTTAAACGGCCTATGCCCAGTATGCTCGGCGACATCCTCGACGAATTATCTTGCCAGCCCATCTGAGGGAAACCAAAGGGCTTATGGAGGGGAGAAGAGAAGAGAGTATATATTCATGCCCATACCCATATTGAGGAGAGATGGAGATATTGTGGTAGCAACGCCTGAGGGAGAAGCAGCAAAACGATTGCCTGGGTTTCATTAGCTCGAGCACGCTTGTAATAGTGTCCACTGCCCTCGACCTGTGCCGCGTTGGGTTGTGGGCACGAGTTTCCAGGGGAGCCGGTGTCACGCTCTGGTGATCGGCTTCGGCACCTCTTTTGTGCTTGTTGAGGATTTGGTTGAAAGCTGGTGTTGGTGGCAAATGACCTGTCTTTCAATCAGCAGGAGTGGGTCGTGGAGTTGCTGCTTGGCTTATTGGTGTCTCTGGGACGTGTTACGTAGTCTTCGATGGAGCGTTTAGAATTAATGGCCGAGGACCTGCTGAGGTGAGGTACCCAGATCCCACGCCGAGTGACGCGGTGAAGTTGAGCCCACCCTCATGCGTTTGGATGTTCCATTGATGGACTGATGGACGAGGCGATGCCGCAGGACCTGGAAGACCGCGGGCTGTGTCACCGGAGATAGGAATTGCTGTGCCGTTGGTCCAGGTAATGTCCGTAGGAAGGGGCGGAAAATTATTGTTATCGTTGGAAGCTAGTATCTGGTGCGCGGCGTGTATCCCAATTGTGTGAGCTTGTCGGGGTATCTGCCCACAGCATATCGCCGGAGAAATGAGATGAAGTAAAACACACAGACATGACAAGCGTTGGCCATGGCGAAAGAAGCTGGCAAGCGTTGGCCATGGCGAAAGAAGCTGGCAGGTGCTGGCCATGAGGGAGCAGACGATGTATTGGCAGTATTGCAGATCGCCTGTGGTTACTTTCGAGACTTGCGTTTTGCCAAGACGCGTATTGATGGTGACTGATGAGGGCGACACAAAGCCACGACAGTGTCCTTGGCTCTATCCGGCCGCGATGGCCCCGAGTTGAGCGGTTGATGCGGCAAGTTATAGCCTGCTGTGCTTCTTATCCAAGCCCAAAAGGCCAAGATAGAGCATAAGCGGCATCGGATATTGTCGATGGCCATACCATATTATTTTAGTGTGTTTATTGTGTGGATGGAGCGAGAGGGAAGAATCGGAGGGGACTTGGCCCCTATTTATAAGAGAATTGAGAAGCGGCAATCATACCATGACGCTGTTCACGAACGAAGGTCATGTTGAGAAACATGCTGTGTTAGTCGAATTGTCAATCTTGATTAGTTCTCCACACGAGGACGATGAAGCGCATCGTTTGGCTAATTCTCCTCTGAACACAGGTAAACAATGTTGCCCTTTCTTTCTCACTTGCTTACTGAACACCAGCCAATTGAATCTACAAAAAGCGGACAGGTTTGAACAAAGCGATGAATTCTACGCTGTGTATTCTATTTTCCGCTTAGTGATCAGATGGGTGCTCTTTGTCATCCGCTTGCCATCCCCCGTCACCTCTTTTTCACCACGTCAGATTGTTACGCCAAGGGAATCCCACAGAGAATCAGCCCATTGAAGTTCAGCTTATGGAGTGTAAGTTAGACATGTGCTGACATTTGGTTTCGTTTTCAGAACCCAAGAATGAGATGGCTTGAGAGATGACATTGTCTTAGGATCCTCGCGCACGCGCGGCCCGATCATGACAGAAACCTGCTTTCTGTTTTTCAACTCTTGGCTAGTCCACTATTGTCATTTGTCTTACCATAGCCACGTTGGATACCGGTGGCAGCTGGAGAAAGCCATGTCTTACAACTCTACGAAGTTGGTCCAGATATTACCAGAACTGCTGGTTTGGTAGGAGAGTTGCTGGTCTGCATGACTTGAACCAGATAACCGCGAAGTATCGGTGTGATATTGAAAGGAAATGTTCTTTCATTAAGAAAAAGTGAGTCTCAAGACAGCAGAGCTAGCTAGTCCGCCAAGCCTATGCCAAGCAAGCTCAAGCCAGGGTGTTCGTAGGACCATCCACTCGAGGTCAGACTTCTGACGACAACCTCTCACGCATTCCACAGCTTGTTTGATGACCCCCAAGAAGAGGGCTTTGATGTAGGCCAGCTGGCGATGTTTGAATGTGTGAATGCGTGACTCTGTACGCGTCATTCCATTCATTTTCGGCCTGGACAGCCGGCTCAGGCCATGTCGGGATGCAACGATGCATGGGAACAAGACCCCATCGCCAAGACAAAGAGGGAAGATCATCATTGAGATTCGTCACTTGATCCAGATTTCATTACACTGCCACCCTTGCGCATAGTGCCGAAACGTCATCACGCCCACATATGATCGGCCGCGGTTGAGATCAAATCTATGCTTAACTTCAGGACCAGGGTTTGGTTGGATGTGTTCAGGAATGCCCCCACTCGCCCTGCCCGGAATGCCAAACTAGAACTGGCATGGGAGGCCTTCGGCGATCCCCTTTTCCCTACGGAGTACGCCGAGTACGTGGGTAATTATGTTGTCACACAGGTCAACGACCTTGCCTATAAAAGACCACCCCCAAAGCCGGCTAGAGTTCACTAGACTACCTGCCATTGTCCAAAGATCGTTCAGACTCCACGCTACACTATCCCAAGTCCCATCTCAAGCTTAACAGCCAACCGGGAAAACATCGACCAAATGGCCTCCCTCAAAGCTACTCTACTATGCATCGCCTTTGGCTTTGCCACCACTTCCGCCGCTCCTGTTGCCCAGGAGTTTGAGCCCCCCGGAAAAGAGTGCTGGAGCAACGCCGACTGCTACCGCGCCTATTTCTGCTCGTTCCCATTCGAGGGAAAGCCGGGCACGTGCACATACGGCTAAAATCTCTGCAATACTCGGTCGGATCCTCGCTCGCTCGCCGGTCGCGCTATTTATTCAAGATTTATTTTTAATTTTACTTTATTTATTTTACCGCCATGGCGAAACTCATATCGTTTTGCTTTCTTCTTTATTTTAGAGCGTTTTTCTTCTCAAACCTTGCCATAGATCCAGAGTCTTCGTTAGCCTCTATATGCGCGATGCGTGGCCATGGCGGGAATTTGGCACGTGATTACCGGGTGCTGTGAGGCAAGCAGAGTTCCTGTACTCGAAGCTAGCGAGAAATTATGAATTTTGCCATGAGAATTGCTTATGGTTACGCTATATTTTCGCGACGTCGCCTGCGTGGCTGAGTGATTAAAAAAATGCTGCGGTAATGGATTGCAGTTGGACGCCGATGCTGTGACAAGCATTGACCAGCTCCTATCCTATGTGACATGATAATGGACGTCGATCCCTCGAAGGTAGGGGAGAGCATGCTTACATTACGGGAGCCGCGGGAGAGCACGTCGGTTCGAATCCGATCAAGAACATCTTTTTTTTCTTCTTCTTGCCTTTCTGCTTTGGGGGACCTTTCCTCACCGTCTTCTTACCAAGGTAGGCACTGTGCACGTTGCCACAGTTCGTTGCTTTTTCTAAGCTCTCTAGCCGCCCATTTCCCAACTGCGCTACGAATAGCCTTTAGCATGATCACTAACGCCTTTCTTGGGATCTAACTCGTACGCAAAGTAATCTCAATAGCGGGGAAATTAGGGAAAGCAAGAAGTGGGAGAGTGGCTGGGACTTGCACACCACCAGGGCAGCTCCTCGCCCCCCAAAAACGCTGGGTGCCTGAGCAAATTTTTCTCCTTCCTTCCAAACACAATCAATGAGCCGACCGAGACATACATGCAGCTGATACGCCATGAGCGGGGTAGCAGGCACTTGATAGGCGGCTGGGAGGTTGGGCAGGAGGTTGTGCTACCCCAAAGCTGCAGAACAGGCCAATCGGGCTCTCTTCTGAAGGGCTCTCGCAGGAAATGTACTAGCTGCCTAACCAATCGCCCAATGGCAGCAACTTTGGCGGCGGTAAGCTGCATGGACGCATCCAAGCGGGCGTCGGAAATTTGCAAAAGTGTGTTTTCATTCTATCTTCCCAATACAGGCTACAATACCGATAGACAGGAATTGGTGATGATGACAATGTTAACTTATTGGGTGACTATTAGGCAATAGGAAGGATTATGATGTGACTGGCTGACAATAATGATGCAGAGGTGACTTTACAGTCCCTGCTTTTCTGACGGCCACTTGGCCCCTCGGGCAAAAACTTCCTCCCGCAACGTGCGAGCACAACCGCGCATCGCGTTTCGGCTAGCTGCTCATGCGTGCGTGCATGAAATGAAAAAAGCGTGTCGTGGCGTTGACGGGAGATGGAAGGTACATTGCAGCAGTACCATACCATAAAACTCTGTCGAGCCCTCGCCCCCGCCTCCTGCTCTTTCTTCCTCCTTCACCACCTCATCCACAAACACCTTGAACACACAACTACATCACTTGTTTACATACCGAAACGGGCTCACGCAGCCTCACAGTCCCGTACAATATGGCTTTCGAGGACAATCTTCGTGTCCAATTGACAGCTCGTCTGAATGAGTTTGTCAATCGCGCCAGGAGCGTCATCGCCACCGGCACGCCGACCGAGACTTATCAATTCCAGTGCCAAACCCTCGATTCCCGTATGCAACAGGAGATCGGACGCATCAGAGAGGGTAGCACGCCGCTCGATTACCAAAAGCAGACTCAGAAGATGATGCAGCTTGGTATAGAGAAGGCCAGATTGATCCAGGAGCACAAGGACACTTTCTCTGCGAAGCAGAAGGAATGGCTCGAAAACGTAGCATCGGCCATAGCCGGCTTTTCCAACGAGTATCTGACGCTGGGTTTCGTTCCAGCCAATGAATGTTCTTCACAAGGAACCGATCCTCCATTTGAGAGCAACTCTGAGATATCAAGGCAGGCGCGTGGCTCCCTTGAAGACACCACTGTTTGTCCACGGGTCATGGTTTCTCCACTCCCAGAAAGCTCTCAAAGCCCAGCCAGAGAATCAATTCGCCACTCGGAAGCCGAGGAGGTCCAGAACAATGTCGCGTCACCTGAGAACAACCGCCCGCGACGTGCTAGCACCATGAACAAGCGTCGATTCAGCGAGCCGACCCGCACCGTCACCACAATAGCTTTCGACGATGTGTATCAGGATGGGCAGGCAGTAATCAAGTACACAATAATCGAATGCGAACATTCGCTTACCACTGACGCGAGTGTGGAAGGACGCTGGTGGATCTTGCGCTGTGAGGAGCACGCTCTACATTACGCATTTGCCAAGAGGGGAAACCGCTCAGGGCCTACCAGACATCTCATCCAGAAACATGGAGAAGACAGCCCAGATTGCGAAATCAACAGGCACATCGACGTTTTCGGGGTGCTTGTGTTGGGATGCACCGCTGAGCTTGCCAAGAAGAATAATGACGATGTCGAAGCCGCCATCTCGAATGGGTATGACCCGAAGACAGCAGCGAACTCTGAACCCGTCAGTGTGCGAAAGAGACGCAAGACAAGCTCTGAAAACGAGGGAGCTTCTGGCAACCAACCAATCCTCGACCCCGAGTTTGGCAAGCTATATATGGCGCGCTGGGGGACTCAGATGTTTGTCGTCGCGCTTCTTCCGCTTCGCAAGTTATCGACATTGATCCCACCCAGGGAGATGGACGTATTAATGAAGGCCCCTCCAAAATGTTACAACTATGACAAAGAGACGGGACTGCTTAGCAGATGGGCTCCTGGCTTCGAGGATGGTGGTCCCAAGGTCAAGCAGAGAGCGTTTCCTTTCCGATGTTTTGACAACACCGAGGATATCGGCCAATGCAGCTTTGCCTTGGTCAAGGCTTCGAGCCTTCATGAGCTTGATATGTCGAAAGTTTCTCCACAATATCATTCCGTGGTCCAGGAGTACGAGGAGAAGTTTTTGGAACGCGATGCTCGCTTCAATGACTCTGGTAATACCAATTCTTGATTTCGATACGTCCTGAATGACACTGATACAGCTTTGCAGATTACTCGGACGGCATTAGCGACACCAGCCGCCTCCAGACACCCGAACCAACCGAGGACGCTGCCATTGCCGAACAACTCCAGAGCGAGATTCCGTGTGTAGACCCCCAAAATCCGGCTCTATCCACAAACTCGGCCCTTCCTGGTCGAAAGACGAATGGGTCCTCTGTTCGCAAATCCCGTGGCAAGAAAAGAAAGAGCAGATACACTTTCGATGACGATTCCGTCAAGCACTACACTTTATGCTCTATGGTAGATTCAGATTAGCTCTTTTCGCGTAGGGCAGGGATCTGGTTGTTTTTGAATAGAGTGATAAGAGAATAACTAGATTATTCTTTAACATTTAGCTCCATATTGTGTTTATTACTACTAATTATTTTGATATTGTGTTGAAGTTCAACGGCGAAGTATCTAGATGTGCCATGTTTTATGTCAGCGGCTTGCCCGTCAAGTGGGTGACATTGGAAATGGCACACCAAGGCACTATCTCAGGTCACCACTTAGCAGAAGCCTACTTTCTACTCTCCAAAAATATCCACCAAAGCCTTTTAATAAAATAATTAAAAGTACAAGAGATAAAATCTAGATATCGGAGATCATGTTTGTATTTTTATTTTATTTTGTTTCTCTGGATTCAATAGCTGAATTGATTGTTAAAAGGACTAATACTTAGGTGTGTCATTTTCAATATCACCCACTTGCCCGTATAATCTACCAGTGACCCCGCTTTTGTTTTCCCCACATTCATTTCATCTAACTCCTTGAAGCTTACGCCAACTCCGTGTAGCCTAACTTCTCTCATCACCTCACCTTCCCATCCACTTTTGGTCTAACTATCAGCAGTATGTCCAAGAAGCCGACCGGCATCTCCGAATGGGCGGGTGCTCCTCCCGCCTCCGAGGGCGGATTCGCCTTTGCACACGGCGAGTTCTTCGCAGAGGCCACGGGTCAGAACCGCCATCGCCGTGCCACCATCCCCGAGCTGAAGGAGCAGATCGCGTCCGGTACTGACAAAGACCATCCCGCCCACTGGTTCGAGGCTCAGCTCCTTCACTACGGCCTCAAGCCATCAAAGACAAAGTCGGTGGCCCGGATGCGCCTGCTCGACGCTGTCAATGGTAGCGACCTGGCCGTCCCAGACCACATCTCCAAGTTGGAAAAGAAGCTCAAGACTGCATGGACCAAAAGCGAGAGGGAAGCTAAGAAGACAGCCATTACCCCGGCTGCGAGTAAAGCCCCCGTTAGCAGTGCCAAGGCTACAGGAGGAGTGAAGAGAAAGGCAGAGCCTGAGAAGTCAACCCCACGAAAGAAACCTACGGCAAGCCAGCCTGCTGCAAGCAAGGCCAAGCCCGCTCCTGCGAAGCCAGATGAGCCTACACCGAACAAGCCCCGAGCGAAGCAGACGGCCAAGCGTGGCGGCATTGCTGCAAGCGGGCAGAGTCGAAGCTCTCCTGTCACCACTGCATCACCAGCTTCTGCAATGCCAAGGCAGACAGCCCGTCGCGGTGGTGTTGCTGCGAGCGGACCAGGTCGAAGCGCTCCGATTGCCTCTACATCGCAGGCATCCACCAGGCCGAGACAGACGGCCCGTCGTGGCGGATCTTTCGCGACTGGGAGAAATCCGCCTTTCCAATCAAAGGGCTTTTCTCCAGGAGCAATTGAGCTCTCAAGCGACGACGACGATCCCCCGCCACCATACAGCATGGTCGAGGATAATGAACTCGCCCCCCTGGGACTGCTGAACGGAGATTACCACATTCGCAGCTCAGACGTGACAGAGCAATGGTCCCATCTCGGTTCCGAGTTTGACTTGACCCTCACCATATCCGGCAGGCAGCTCTGGGGTCGCTTCGATCTGGGTGTCATTGAAGGGATCATGCATTTCTCTGAACGACCCTGGGCTTCGTCTGACGAGGGTGTATCGTTCACCTGGCGTGGCCGCGAGAACGAGGGACCCATACTCTATGGTGGCCGCAACAAGGGCGAAATTCGGTTTCTGGGCGGTGGTGTCATCGAGGGTCGATTCGACTACCAACGCATTGAATTCCACGGTCGCAGGGTGCCCGATCAAGGAACAAGGAGCTCTGTTAGCGCGTCGGATATGGAGCGAGAATGGGATGATTATAATGAGGATCGGTATGAGCAAGAGAATCGATCTCGTTGGTGGTAGTTATGCGTGGCGAGCAGACCAGGCCAGAGGCATAGATAGACCTTGGCTTTGTCTTGATGCTGTGACGGGTTTTAGTGCTCAAAGCTGAGTATATGCCATACTGATAGGTCAGACCATTGTCATGGTCCGCATGTAGAAGATCGTAGATATTAGCTTCCCCATCCAGCAGTTTGTTGTCAAACAACATCCAAGACCTTATTTTCCATACTAATTTAGTAGGATCGGCCCAATTGAGGCCGGAATAATACATCCGCGCCATGTTTATTCTAACATTTTAGACAGGAAGTGGGAATATTGCCGGTTAATTGGCAGGTGCCTGTATTCTGCGGCATCTGATGATTGGTGCGCTCCAAATAATATCTGCTAAAAGCGCGGGGTCAAGAGAAATCCCCATCTTTTGACAGCATGTGGTTCTACGGACCAAAGGTGAGCCTATACCATCAAAGAAGAGACGATGCGCGCCAATAAAACTCCCGTCCACCCTTAACGTTGAGATCGGCAATTTTCTCTGCCCACCGAGAATAGGCACTAGATAAAGATTGTGCCTCCCGAGGACAATGCTCGAGGACAATGCAACGTTGTTGCAGCTCGTTCTTCTCCCAGCCCTTATGACTGGTTACCTACCCTAGAGACACAGCAACCAAAATGACCTCCTTCGTGCAGTCGTTGCTGCTGGCCGCGGTGCTGCAATTGGGCTTTTCCGTAGCCTACCAAAATCCAATCCGTGACAAGCCCGCTCCAGACCCATCGCTGGTTTACGCTGATGGCTATTACTACCTGCAAGTAACCTGTGAACGCTATTCGACTTGTTAGATTCCAAACTGACCATGGCACTACCAGCACCTACACGGGCTATACCCAGTTCGAAATCATCAGGTCTCGGACTTTGGGAGGCCTGGCTTCGGGGGAGTCCAGAGTCATCTGGACCGACACCAACACTACAAGAAACGCTAACATGTGGGCTCCCGAAATCCACCACATCGACAACACCTGGTATTACTTCTACTCAAGCTGCGACGCGTCCCAGGCCTGCTGCGATAGCTGCCAGACAAGAGTCCTCAAAGGCTGCGATGGGCCCAACCCATACGACTGCGATTACGAGTTTCTCGCTACGCTTGTCCCACCGGAGGGATCCAGAGGCAGCTCCAGCAACCTTGCCTTTAGCATCGACGGTTCGTATCTGGAAATACCAGGCAAGGGGAGGTACCACGTCCTGAGCATCGTGGACGAGAAAAGACTTCAGTCCATCGCTATCACCGAGCTGAATACGACCGACTGGACCGTAAATGCCTGGCACATCATTTCGCAACCTGATCAGGAATGGGAACAGCACTACAAGGGAAATGGTGCAGTTAACGAAGCACCCCATGTGAGTGTATTCTTCCCTCGAGAAGTGGTGCGTTGCTCACAGTGAACCATAGCCTTTGTATCACGGCGACGACATCTGGCTTGCCTACTCCGGCTCGGACTGCTCAACCGCATTCTACGCCCTCGGTCTTCTCTACTACAACGGCGGCGATCCCCTTCAGGCATCCTCATGGGAGAAGTCGGGCCCAGTCCTATCTCAGGCTAACGGTAACTACGGAACTGGGCATAACAGTTTCTTCACGTCGCCTGATGGGAAGGAAATCTGGGTAGATTCCCCCAATCCTCTCGTTCCTCCTTGATATTAGAACATAAAGCTAACTAGTTGGTTTAGAATGCCTTCCACGCCACTGCCAACTCGGACGGAGACTGCGGAAGGACGCGATACACGATGGCGCAAAAGGTCACGTTCGACGAAAACAATGTGCCGAATTTTGGCATTCCGCAGCCTCTTGGTACAGAGCTTGACCCTCCTAGCGGTGAATGCAAGCCTAGAAAGAAATAGACGAGTATGTAAACACGGTTAGACAACCATCACAGGCCTGATCGGACCTCTGCTAGATACCACCTAACTTGCATTTTTGGCTAAGAAAAAGAATATATTACCTCAGGCGTGAGGTACTCCTCCATGATATGACCTGGCATCATGCGAAATATTGCAGGATATTGACAACAAGGGAGTAAGTGTCGTATGCGCGGTTGCATCGTGGACTTAGAACAGCTGCACGAGATCCCTTGAATTGTACCTCGATGCCGGAAAATGTAGAGAATGAAATTGTTGCATAGCCCACATTTCAATCTCTATCATTCTAAATTGCAGGAACGTAGGTTTCACCCTTTCCTCGTGATCCTCACCTTCTCGAGTTGGGTCTCATCGTAGCTGCCCTGGCCCCAACCCCTCCGTCTCTTGAGACGTCTAGTATTACTATGTAAAGGAATGACAACCTCGAAATAGATACGAGGAACTATGACCTACGTACTTAAGACAGGCTGACGAGTTATTAAGCGGGGCGAGGGGGCGATGATATATGTCATTGCATCATCCCACGGAATTGGCTGAAAATCCGCATGCGTATCCGTCCCAGGAGCGTTGAAAATTTCTGAAATTCCTTCCAGATGTCGTAGACTATGTGCCTGACGTACCATATGACGATAAGAGCGATCTTACTGGCCATACGAAGCTTCCATAATAGGGGATGGAGGTATTAGAGCCGAATCTAATATGAAGAGTGGCTATAACACGAATCACTGATGGAAAAGGGCACTACAAAGAACCCGCACCCGGCGTACCCTGATTTAAAGATGACTGACGCCCGTATACGTCGAGTCTTGGTCTGGGATTTTTGAATGTTTGATCAATAGTCTTCCGCGGACATGCCACCTGTGAGCGGGAATATACCACGATTATGTTGGAGTGGGCATCCGCTCTGTTTACGCATTATGACTGTCGATCATTGCATGCTAATAGGGAGAAGCCTGGATGTTTGCATCACTACAAAAAACGCTTGGTATAGCTCCGCGGGCGCCTGAAGGTGAAGGCAATTAGAGAAGGCTTGCTGAACAAAGCGTTTTTACCCTATTAGAACTTTAGAAAAGTATTGAACGATAGGAAACAACAGTGTCTAGTCGATTATCTGTTTGATCTGTATGATTAGCTCACAAAAATATGATAATAGAGTATAGGTAGTTATGGGGAAACTAACGGGGCATGTTTGGGTCTATCAATTTCAAAGTCATCTGGTTACAAGCCCAGAGCTCATAGTAGGCTGTGGGAAAGTGGTGATCTACTCTGCTTCATGCCCCTTAATACTTGATGGTGGATCGCGGTGCAAGCTGGGGCACTTCGTGTTGGGAAAATTGCCACTATACATAAATACGAGCGCTGAAAATTCGATATGTCATTCTGGACCCAAACTACGGAGTGCACAGAAGTAAGTGGACGGAAACCCATTTTTTATGCTAGATGCATAAATGAAGGGCCTCCAACGGGGAATGAGCGTTGCCAGTGGCATTGGCATTGCGATTCAGAAATCGTGCCAAGAAGACAACCAACGCGATCATCGCATGAAAGGAAATTCCGGGCGCCGTGGAAAGCGAGGAGTGCGCGATGATCCTCACACAAACATTGAACACGGAGGGCGCTTCGGGCCTATCTTATTAATAATTCTTCCATAAGCTTGCCTCGGATGAAGCATGTCGCAGCCATTTTCCTGGCACACGATTTATCATTGATGAAAAGGGTAGTCAATTTCTGAGTAGGAGTCGCATGCCAGCTCGGCTGTTACACCACACCAACAACACAACCAACAGCACAGAGATGAACAAAGCGTGTGAAATTGCATACACTGTATGCATAGAATGTGGCGTTTAGTTTATGGCCTATCGATCTTGGCACCGCGGGAACACAATCACTAGCTTAAAGGAGTGTTTCAGGAGATATTGATTCATTGAGTCCTCCACAGACGTACTGATCAGTGAGATCATTGATTTTATGAGCCAGCACGGGGTAGAGGGATGGAGGCTGTCGAGACGAAGGATCCAAGCAGCCAGATAGCAGTTGATTACCCTACCGTCCACGAGATACCGTATACTGACAGACGTAGATAACGCTCCGTGGTCCGATCCCTGATCGTTACATCTGGATAAGGCGAGGACATCGCAGCATTGTGCCTTGTGCACGTATCTCTAGCGCCAGGTCTTCCCCTGAACACAGCCCCTGTCTGCAGCCCCACTACCACCTGAACAATCGCTTGGCTGGCAGGGGTATCACGAGCCTCGTTCCCCAAGATAAGCTGTCGGGCGAGGCGTGTGCTCTAATGTAAGAAGTTCTGGACCAAGTGGATCGCGTACCGCACTCTCTAGTAACGTATGGCTACGCGCGTGGTGGGAGACATCGTATGGCGGCGGAGGCGAACCGGATCGACTCGTGTCTGGGGCATTGCCAATCCCAGCCCCTGTGCCGAGCGTGTGGGGAGGGGAACAATCAAGGCAATGCACTGCTGCGATCCTCACCCAGGCACCGATAACGCTAACATGACAAACAAGATCAGAAGCAGTAACAACAACCAAGTGTGGCGGCTCGGTTATTTCACCTGCTCTGCGTCGTATGAGCAGTGCAGGATTCTCGCCAGCGCCATTGGTGTGCTTGGGAGCAGCCACACAATGCCCCTTTCAAGAGGGAGTGGAGCGAGAACACCATCGCAAACTCCCATAGGTCCCTTTGACGTCCAAGATCTACCCGTTTCTAGAATGGTGCACTGGGTGGATGATTGAGACAGGGGCGGCGGCAGCGAGTTACCGCCCTCGGATTTCACTTGCCAATCTCGCTGACACGGCTTGCCAGCAGAGAGGGAATATTGGGTGACATGGATGCAAAGGTGCAGCGGCCAATTTCCCAAAACACGAGCCAGTCCAGTCACATCGGGCTTCGGCGCCAACCAGCCGATGAACCTGACTCCTCAGCGACCCAAGCGCTGCCCCTTGTCTTCCCTGTTGCTGACAGTCCCGAGGTCGTGATTGGCGCTTGTACCTGCATACAAGCAGCATCCCGCGGGCCCCTGCTCGTGGAGCCCATGTGCAGGGACATCTCAGAGCGTCCAGGGGGCGGATGCGGTGTGATAGCAACAACAGGAGGATCGAGAGCCTTTAAAAGAAGATGTTCCTCTGTCTTTGCTTGAATCTTGATCCTATCTCGACTCAACCACACCAGTCATTCTTTCTGCTGCTACACACTTAATAATAATTCAACTAGTCTTTCGCTACACTACTCTACAACCAAACCCCCAATAATCATCAAGATGAAGTCCGTTTCCGTCCTGGCCATGGCCTCTGTTGCCACTGCTGCTGTCGTACGTCTGCAACTGACTCTCCCACGCGTCTTGGAACACTAGAACTAACCAGCACACGAACAACAGGTCACCCCCATCTCTTCAGCTGCCACCACCCCAGCTGCCATGACCACCAAGACCATCTACGACACCCAGACTCACACCGTCACCTCCTGCGCTCCCACCGTCACCAACTGCCCAGCCGGACCTCACGTGACCGTTGTGACCGTCCCCGTCACCACCACCGTCTGCCCCGTCACCCAGGAGTTCTCCGTCTCGACCGTCTACCAGACCCAGACCTACGTCGTGACCAAGTGCCCTCCCACCGTCACCAACTGCCCCGTCGGCAAGACCACCACCGAGGTCAAGCCCACCGTGACCGTCTGCCCCGTCACCTCTGCTCCCTCCGGCCCCAAGAGCTCCAACGCTCCCGTCGTCCCCGGCCCCGGCGGTTCCAACAGCACCTCTGGCGTTGCTAAGCCCACTGGCGGCAACCCTGGCAGCAACCCTACCTCCAGCGCTGGCGGTTCCAAGCCTACCTCGCCCTCGGGCCCCATCAGCATGGTAAGTTCAGATATGTCCTCGTTTCCCTTGTAACAAGGCGGGATCATCCAGAAAAGCAAGACAGTCGCTAACACTCAAAAGGGAACCACCGCCTCACTCTCCAGCTTCCTCGCTGCCGCTGGTGTCGCCGCCGCCCTCTTCCAGCTCTGCTAAGCGTGATACCCGGTCCGGGTACATTTGGTGGTTTTTGGTTCATTAGAGATATACCTTGAGCTTGAATTAATGTTATTATATTCCTTTCGTGTCTCTGCAGAGTCTTGCCATAGGAGATGTTTCGTGGTTCCTAGAAGAGACATCTTACATGACATGCGTCAACAATCAGAGATTTAATTTCCACCATTGACTGTGCAGAGTATCATCGAGTGTAAGCGTGAATGGTTGTAGTTGATTAGCCTAAGTTGGAAATGCTTATATTTAAAATTTGAGTTAAGTGACTAAGGTACTTTTCATAGCTCGGTGAGGATGCTACGTCGACACGCATTTTCGGCTCTGAGATGCCTTCAGCTACTTCCACTGGACATCTTATTCCACATCCACGAGAGGCCAAATAATCGAGCAATTCTATGGGCGCTGGCCCACAAATGACATGGTAGAAGACCACGAATGGTCAATTGATCTTGTGACCAACTTTGTCATCGGCGATGGTGTTGTTGTATTGTCATTGAGCATTGAGCTGGAATTCAAGCTCGAGGATCTCCCCAAATGAGAGCTCATCTCATTGTATGATCGACTACACATATTGCCTAAGAAAGCAAAAGTAACGCAACTGGAAAATGATAAGTTGACCTGTCCGGTCCGGAGTCTCTAGAATCGAGAGCGAATAATGGGTAAGGCGGCTCGTTGAGAATGCCTGCCAGCGCCTCGTAATTTGGCCAACGGCCAGATTAAGGGACCGGTTGATAATGCCTGTCATGGAGAATAGAAAGCTCAATCGGCAAACAATAGACCAAATTGAAAGAATTATCTTGAGTATTTGGCTTCTATTGGGTTGATTATTTGACTATTATACTATTATCTTCATATTTTACCCTTTCCTGCAAACAAGGAAGTTCTCGAGAAAGGTAGGCTTTCGCCCGTCAAGTCGATTGTACCTTGCCACCTGGCAAAGACAAGGGGTGGCTTTCGCCTGTCAAAGATCTCTCCAATCAATAATCGCTATCTTCTGCTTCCTTAATTGCACGGGCATGAATTTGATCCATCGCTTCAATGACGATCCGGGCCACTTCATCCGACTCTTCGATGGTCAGTTCTAGAGGTGACGTGGACACAAATCCATGGTCCGTCATCCAGGATTCAATGACTCCCATTGAAGTGGTTTCGAAATGGGTTGCGAGAGCGAGCAGCATACTCTTGCGCATGTATGGAGTTGGTGTTGGGAAGGGCCGATTTGCGTAGTATTTGCTCCAGACGGTCTCCCATCCGCGAGTTCTCATATCTTTGATCCGAACAAGTGTCATGATAAACCGAAAATAGAGGAATCCTGAGGCTGGGCGATTGTCGTTTAGAAAGGTGAGCTCCTGCCCGTCCAAATCGCCTCCCGCTTTGCCAGGATAGAGTCGTACATTTGCGATATCGGTTGAAATAACATCAATCTTCCATCGTTTGATGGGTCTCTCCATCGTATCAACAGGCACGATCAACACTTGATACTTATCAAACCATCTTTGAATGATCTGGTGAAGAAGCAAGGAATTGGCTGGCTGTGCAAGCCCTGTAGATCTGGTCCCAAAAAGCACCGAACCGATAGTCTCATCGTCAAGCCAGGATGGGACAATATGCGCCGTTTTGATTTGGTCCTGAGAGACGCTCTCGCCCAATGCATGGCACCACACATTTTGTGATTTGCCTTCTTCACCGTAGTATTGAAGGGCCTTGCGGCGCCAATTGTTTGGACAAGTTTGTTTACCCAATCCGTCCCTAGCCCTGTACAAGTCCAAGAGCAACATCGACACCCTAGAACCGCCAGGCTCGATACATCTTTGCATTTTGGGGTCCTCAAGCCGAGACTTCCTTTTATGGTGATCCCATAATTCACTTCCAAAGGCGAAGTAGCGTTTACGGAGGGCTACTAGGCGATTCTTTGCGTCGTTCGCAGTTATACGGCCAGCATCCTGCTTCTGGAGCACATACTCCCGTTCCAAGGAGATCCTTCGCTTCTTTGAGCGAGCTTTCTCTACTCCAGTTGCTTCCAGTTCGATGCTGAGCTTGATGAGTGACTCAGACATTCCGTCCAAGGGGTCCATCAAGGCTTGTTCCTCCATTTCCTTCCGTCTCTCCACCTCCGGACGAAGAGATTCGTATCTTTTCTTCAGGCTGCTTGAAACTCGCCGCTCGTGCTTAATTTCATTTCTAAGCTCGTTCATCTCGAGGACTGCTCTTCTTCGCACGGGGAAGGGAGTTTCAGTGAGGGCGTGTGACGTATGGCTGTAATTTGTTTCAAAATGCCTTGTTGGATGAAGCAGAGGTAATATTTTATGACGTTTTTGAACTGGCGTCTACTATTTGATTTATCTAGTCTTGATTCTGAGGTCAGAGTTATTCTACCTTTGTTAAGATTTGTTACGAGCCTCTCTTGGGCGTTTAAAGTTTCGCCCTCTGCGAATCCTAATTTCGAGATTGCCCTTGTTTGCAGGAAAAGATAGATTTGGGAATAATAACATAATAGTCAAAATAATGAACCCAATGGAAGCCAAATAATCAAGATAATTGTATTGATACAGTTTGTTGTTTGTTTATTGTAGTTGCTATTCTCCATGGCCTAGCTGTCTTGTTTTGAGACCAGCGATTAAGCACTTGGCGGAGAATGTTGCAAATAGGGTTGGGTTAGCAGGGTTTATGTGGCTCATTAAATCTGCTTCACTTCCTCATTTTTACGTACTTACCCCAAGATCACAAGCACCCGCCGATCCAAGGGCGACTTTATTTGAGGCTCAAGCTTGAGGTCGCTATGGGAATCGAACCCACTCCCCGTAGGGCTGCCAAAACGACCTTCGGGTCTTGCCCAGGATTTTCAACCATCAAGATAGGTTTGCACCCATTAATTTAGGCTTGCGCCCTTCAAAGGTGGGAAATGGAGGTTGACACCGATCAAGCTGAGCTCGCGCTCGTCAAAGGTAAGAAGGGGTGAGGTTACACTGATCAAATTGGCCTTGCGCCCGTCAAAGGTGGGAGGGGAAGTTTTCACCGATCAAATTAGACTTATGCCTGTCAAAAAGAAAGGAAGGGAAAAAGGGAAAAGTCCAGGCCAGGATAAAAAAACGCAAACTATCAATTGCGCCCATTATTTCGTCTCATTGGCAGCTTGAGTAGAAGATTTGGCGTGTTCCAGAGCCTCTTGGACAGAGTTCTGTCTGAATGTGCCGTCTCTCCTCTTGGGTAGGCGAGCTTCTTGGAAGAAAGGCAAGTCCTGAGGGATTGTTAGTATAAACGATAGCAACAGAGATAGTACTGTATTTACTGCTTACCGCTATCCATTCTGCACTGATTGCTGTGGCTTGTTGCAAGTACTGCCTCCCTCCGGACAAGAGAAAACCGGTGTAAACAACCCACTGAAAGTTTTCGCCCACCAAAGCGCTGTCGGGAGACAAAAGCGCAGGGAAGTTCTCATGGACTGTTCGGTATTCGTCACCGACGCGATGGATGGCGGTATAAGTGACGAAAGCAATTGCCAGCGTCTTCCGAATACGCCACTCATCCGAGATTGAGGCGCAGGATGGCGTAAGCTTGGTGTTAACGTGTAGGAAATTGCCAACTGTTTTGCGAGCCAAGTGGACTTCCTCCAGTGCTTCCATGCTCAAAAAATTCACCAAACACCAATGACGAAGTGCCGTTTCCGAATCTGGCTTTCCCTCGAGCAAGCGACGAGCGTGCATAAAGACTCTGAAGGCGTTCAGCAGAGTAAGATGATCTGACCCAGGGCGCATGAAGGCCTCTCGACTATATAGAATTTCAGATAGGATAGTCTCAGATAGAGTAGTAGTTTTTATAGGAGATTACTAGTAATCTTTCTATTATCTACTTATATACTAGAGGTACCTTAGTATTATATTCTACCCTTAAATAGATAGTTAAACTAAGAGAATAAACTAAGAACTATAATACTACTTAAGAGTATTTTATACTAAGGACTAGGGTAACTAGTATAAAAGCTTAGAATAGTATAGTTTATATATAATATCTCTCCCTACTATAATATAGATAAGTCTCCTGCTTATTTATTATATAGATTTAAACTAAATTATTTAGGGGTAGTAATAATAGACTCAGAGATTAATAAAAGCCCCTTAGATATAGAAAGGGTATAAGAACTAAGAGCTATAAGAGAAAATATAACCTAAGTACTTACCTCTAGTATAAATAACTATAAGAGGTAGTATAATAAGAAAAGATTATAATATTTATTTAAATCAGGCTAATTTATACTAATATTAACTAAATATATAAATCTTAGGTAATCTAGTAGGAAGCTACAGTAGGGAGATAAAGATTTTATATAATTTCCCTATATATATATTAAGATATAATTTTTATATTTATAATAAGATAACCCTTTTAACTTTATAAGCTAATTATATAGTTAATATATCTTCCCGATATTCGGAAAAAAACTATAGCTCTTATAAGTAAGGTAGAATTATATAAATAGTTAAATTAGTATAATAGTTAGATAACTTATACTGAACAGGATCTAGGGTAGATCAGGGTTAAACTAATTAGAGTATTATTCTGAATAGTATAATCAGATTATCTTAAGCTATATAATATAAATTATAGTTAATATATAAGTATTATAGAGCTAGTAATAATAGAGATATAAATAGTTATATTAATAATTATCTAAAAGAGTATTTCTACTTAAGAAATAAATATATATATATACTAAATAGCTTATATAGGCTTATTAGTAATCTAGAGTAAGTCTGATCCTAGATTATATAGACTTATTAGTAATCCAGATATAATAGTTAGATAACTTATACTAGATAAGGTCTAGGGTAGATTAGAATTAAATTAATTAGAGTATTATTCTAAATAGTATAATCAGATTATCTTAAACTATATAATATAAATTACTATTAATATATAAATATTATAGAGCTAGTAATAATAGATATATAGATAATTATATTAATAACTATTTAAAAAAGTATTCTATTTAATAAAATAAATATATATATATAATAAGATTATTACTTATTTATTACTTAGCTATTATACTATCTAAGTAATAGATTTATACTTATTAATTATAGTTTCCTAGTAGGTCTATACTTTATATATAACTTTATATAGTCTAATAGAGATCTTTATTTATAATATAATACTCTCTCCCTATTAGTCTTATCTCTAAGATTAGATTATTCTTTCTATACTAATTTAGTATATATTTAATTCTATATTTATTTTATTATATATTCTACTAATAAGATATCTAATTATATTTTAAAATAAAAGAAATCTAATTTAGTATATAAGTATATCTAAAAATTAGAATATATTTTTACTTATAAGTTTAAGATTATTTCTTATACTTATTATATAGAAAAGAATATAGATTATTTTATTATTCTAAGTTTAAATTATTATATAATATATATTTATATAGATTACTTATATAATAGTATATATTCTCTAATATCTTCTAGTAAGTATCTATATACTATATATCTCTAGTAGTTTTTTCTAATTCTTTATTTAATTAAGAAAATTAATAAGAAACTATTTTATTTAGAGAATAAGGAGTTTAAAGCTAAAGTAGAATTAATAGTAGTATTTATATAAATTTCTTATTTATAGAAGATATAAAAATAGCTTTATAAGAAGGGTATAGAGATATTAAAGAAAAGATTAAATAATATAGAAGAGCTAGAAGAGAAGGAATAAAGAGAAATAGAAAAGAAAAGTTATTAGAAAGAGTTAGAATAGATATAAGCTTAAGAGACTAAGCTTATATTCTAAATCTAAATATTATATATTATATAGATAGTTAACTTTTCTAGTTTTACTTTTAATTTTTCTATAGAGAATCTCTTTAGTAGTATTACTTAAGGTAAAATTACTAATTCTTTTTCTTTTAGTAGTATTAATATATTAAATACTAGTATTTCTTTAGATATTTAACTAGTTTCTATATATTATTATTTTTATTATAATCTTTCTATTTTACTAAATAAAATATTTATTTATTTTTAATCTTTTTATTTAGTATTTTCTAAGATTTAAATTTTTCTTTATAAACTTTAATTAAATAATTTTATTCTAATATATTATTTAGTATTTTTTTAAGTAATAAAATATAAAATACTAAATAGATATATATTATATCTAGTAATAAGAGTTTATAGTTAGTATTTAATTTTTTCTTAAGAATCTTAAATAATTTAAGTTTTTTATAATTTAATTTATTACTTAGTTTTATTATTATAATATTTTTATAAAATAAATAGATTTTATTTTTCTTTTTTAAGATTAGTTTTTTTAATCTAGTTTTATTATAATATTTTTTTATTTATTATTAAATAAATTTAAGTTCTATTTTTATTTCTATATATAATAAATATAATATTTCTTTTATTAATATAATAATTAGAATATTAAATTTATTAAGTTCTAATTAATTCTAAAATTATAACTTATAACTATAGTTTATATATATAAATATTAGCTAGATAGATTCTTATATTAAACTATTATAAGTAATTTATACTATTAGTAATAATTATATCTAATTATCTTATTTATAATTAATATATACTTATAAATATTATTTTAGAGTTTAATTTAATTATTCTATTTAATTATTACTTTATAGATAATAAGCTATTAAGAGCTTATATTTAGTATTTATTTATATTATAAATAATTACTAAAATTTAGAGATAAATATTATTTCTCTATCTAATATAATCTTATTAGATAATTTATAGTAATTAACTATATATTATAAAAACTAATATATAAAATTTTCTATAAAGCTTATTTTTTTATATAGAATAAAATATTTATATTTTATAAATCTATTAATAACTATTAGAATATTATTATATTCTACTCTAGTTATAAATTCTTTTAATAATAATAATTTAATAATATAATTAAAGAATATTAATTATTATAGTTATTCTAATATTAAAACTAGTTTTAGTTTTTTATAGAGTTTATATTATATAAACTTAATTTATATATAAGTATTATATTTTAAAACTATAGTTTATATTTCTTTTTATAGATCTAGATAATTATAATATTATTTAATTCTATTAAGTATTTTCTTAATTTCTTAATATTCTAAAAATAAATATTTATAGATTTTTTTAATAAGTATTATTCTAATATCTTATTATAGTTTTTCTAAGCTAGAAATAATCTCTATCTAGATTTTAATATATATTATTTCCTTAAGTATAATTTCTAAGATTTTCTATACTAAATATTCTTTATTATTATTTAAAAATAATTATCTATTTATTTTTAATACTACTTTCTTATATTTAGATTTCTAATTAAAAATATTAGTTTTTTTATTTTCTAATTCTTTTTAATATATAATTTTATAATTAAATTAAAATAAATATTTAATATAATATATTTATTTTCTATTTAATTATTAAATTATTATAAAGTACTAAATATTCTTATAATTTATATATATTTTAATTTTATATATTATTTCTAAATAATAATATTTAAATTCTTTAAATATATATATAATAACTATAAATTCTTTATTATAGATAAAATAATTAAGTTCTATATTATATAGTTTCTTTAAAAAGAATACTATAGGGTATAATATTCTATTATTATTCTTTTAGTTAATTTATATACTAATTATAAAGTTTAAGATATCTATTTTAAGTTCTATTTTTTATATAGAATTAAATATCTATAGTATAAGTTTTAAAAGTATTTAGTTTTTTATTTTATTAAATATTTATTATTATTTATTATTCTATTAGAATTCTATTTTTTTTTTAGTATTATTATATAGAAATATAATAATTTTCCTATAGTTTTTAATAAATTATTAATAGTAATTAATAAATCTAAGAAAAATTTATACTTTCTTAATAGATTTTAATACTTTTTATTCTTTAATTATAATAATTTTACTTTATTCTATTTATATTTTATTTAGTTAAATAGTATATTCTAAGAAATTAACTTTTTATATATAGAAAAAACTTTTTTCTAATTTTATAAAAAGTTTTATTTTTTCTAGTTTTTCTAAGACTTAGTATATATATTTCTTATATATTTTTAAATTATTAGAAAAAATTAAAATATTATTAAGATAAATAATTATAAAAATATTAAAATACTTTTAGAATATCTAATTAATTATTTATTAGAATATTATAAATATATTTATTAATCTAAAAGATATAATAAAATATTTATAAAAACTAAACTTTATTTTAAATATTATTTTCTATTTATTTTTTTCCTTAATTTATATTAAATTATAAGCTTTCTTTAAATTTAAAATAATAAATTATTATTTACTTTATAATTAATCTCTAAGTTTAATAATTAATAGTAAGAATATTCTATTCTTATATATAATCTTATTTAACTATTAGTAATTAATAACTAAATAAAGTTTATTATTTTTCTTTAGTATAAATATTATAAAGTATTCTATAGATAAAGTTAATAGTTATATATAGTCTTTTATTAATATATTATTAATATATTTATAAAGTATTTATAATTAAGATTCTATAAAATTATATAGTTTATAAAAATTAGATTCTTCTTTCTTAATAATAGAGATTTTATAATCCTACTA